GTCTGCTCGGTCGGACACGGCCGTAGCGCATTGTGTTACCGGAACGACAGGTAGCGCAACTGGCGAACGCTGCGTAAAAAAAGAGCATGCTACCATACGAGCAAGGATAAGGACGTGGTGCCTGCAGGCGGAGGACTGCTGCGCCTTAGCGATGTGTATCAAAGCTGCAAAGCTGGACTGAGGGTGCTCTAGCATGTTGCTCCGGCCTCGTGGTGTTGGTGTTGTAGTAACGGATCGATACTCCTGGGGAGGCTGCGAATTTTTTTCTGTGCTGTGTGCTGTGCTGTGTGTTGTGCTGTGCCGGTACATCTTATTCCACTGTGTGCTACGTGTTATGTTACTGTCATGTCTATTTTGCTGCGTGAGTAGCCTGTACAAGCAGTGGTAGAAGAGCCGTCGTGGTTGTTCGCTGTGTGTCAGAACTCCAGAGTCGGTGTGGTAGCTGCTGGGGTTCTGTCGACCGTCAGCCAACTTTCCAAGGCACACAATATTCGGATATCAGCGGCACCAAGCACTCTTCTCCAAACCACCTGACTTTCAAACATGCCAGCAGCACTTTAGATTGGAGAAGCCTATCCACGGCTCAACAGCTAATCAGCTATGCTACAACCCGATTCAGCGCCATCCAGCTCGCCAGCAAAAGTAGAAGAAGCACCCAAGCTCCGTAGAGCATATGATATATTGCGAAGGGAAACAAAGGAAAGCCAACGCCGGTATATAGCCACCATGTACAAGATTTGGCTAATCTTGCCTCGCTCCGTCGCCTCGTGTAGAGAATTTTCGTCCGCTATTCATCGTTCCTCGTATATCTTCGTCTTCATGTCGTCATTCCCGTAGATGGCCCTCGAAGTGGTAATCCACACCGCGCCTTCTTGAATACCACAAACCCCTACCATTGGAAGAAGTGTCGCAAGCCCCCACCACGGCCGTTGTGAGCGCCGCCGCCTCCCCCGCCGCCGTTACCGTTCCCATTCCCCAGGCCCGGATCGCCAAATGGAAGCTTGCTGCTCGGGCTCGGTCCGCCGCAACCAGTCGAGACAGGATCAGGTAATGTACTCGACCTTGATCCACTCGACCCGTAAGCTGAGCTGCCATCTCCACTCCTGTTCCCACTACGATCGGGCGGCATCCACACCGGAAACCCATCTGGCGGAATACTCTCGCCGATCGGCTTGCCTCTTGAATACTCCGCCAGACTACCGTTGATACCGGTGAGCGCCCATGCGAAAACGGCAACTTCTTGGATGCTGCGCATGAAGTCCTGCTGTATTGGGCCGCCTGGGAAAAGTCGTGGTTGCTGCTGGTGCATGCCGAAGCCAGCTTGCGCAACGGGAGGCGCTCCATAGTGCTGTAGTGGTAACTGCGGCAAGGGTGGCAAGTACATAGGCTCGGGAGCCCAAGGTGCTGCGAAGAGACCGTTCGCATAGACGGGCTGAGCGGCCGGCGCTTGGGGCTGTGCGGAGGGGGGTATAATTGGACGCGCGCGGCGAAGACAGACTACGAGACCATCTGACGTGCATGACACCACGGCCTCCAACTCGATCGGTTGGTAGCCATTGTCAGAACGACCATTGGGGGACAACGGAGGGACGGATGATGTGGATGACCGTGCACGTGCCGGATGACCAAAGATGGCGGCATGCGTACCTGTAGCGTTGGCGCTGTCCCTGGAGGAGCCGCGAGACGCCGGTTGCTCATCACTGTTACTTGGCCTGTCAATGTCCATACTATTGGTTGAAGACCTTTGTCGGCTGTCGGTGGGAGAGATTTCATCTGAAGTCCGGCTATTCGATGTGCCACCTTCGGCGGAGCGTGAAGTTTCGTGGCCTTCAAGCTGCACCCCACCTTCATCTTCATCCTCAAGGCTTGCGGCGTCAGTCATGGATTCATCTGCGGAATCGTCTTCGGAAGTATCAGGTTGCACCCGTGCGGCATCGTCCTGCCGTGGATCCCTGAACCAGAAACGAAGGTACGCTATCGAGTCGTTTCCCTTGGCGGTCTCTAGAACCCTGACTGCATCCTCGAGACAATTTTCTTGGATGCAGTAATAGAAGCTCCGACCCTTCATCTCGTCGCCAGATATCCCAATGATCTGCTCTATCCCGCTGGTGGCGTACATGATAGTGAGGGTTCTAGTGAAGCGATTCAGAAAGAGTGCGGCGCGTGGTTCGTGCGTCTGTTGCTTCGCGGCTTGGTTGAACTTTGTGGACAGATGCGACAACATGTGATACCGCGGATCCTTCGGAGACGACGAGAACAGCTTTCGTACTATGGGTGCTTCTACGGCTCGCTCTGTCGCAGCAACATCAGCTGGCCGTAACTATAGAGACGAGTGCAAGTCCATACTCTGACTGGTCATCCCTCGACGGTAGATACTCGTGCACACCACCATGACATCATACACGACCGTGAAACAGCATTCACAGCCTACCCATTGTCCATTGCGATTTTTGATCTGACAGTATGCCAGTACGGCGGCCTTGTCAAGTGTAACGCCACGCTTGTGGAACTCTTGCGCGTAGGGTATCTCGTCTGGATGGAAGAAGTTCCAGCACGACCTGTTCAAGACTTCATCGGGCGTGTGTCCAAGGATATCTACGATTGAGTCGGAAGAGTAGAGAATGCGGGCTTCGGGTGAAAGATCTAGGCTTGATGTTAGTTAAGGCATTCGGTTGAGAGATTCGCAACTAGCTGAGGTCACTGACCATGGATTGTGATGAAGGTAGTTTCCATCCTGGCGAAGGTGGCTGGTTGGATCACTGGCAAGCTAGAGAGTCTCTTCTAAAGCCGGTAAGGCGTGATGTCTAAGGCTCGATGGGTGTATATGTCTTGGATCGAGGTTGGGTTTGTGTAGAACACGCTTTGCCAGAGTAATGTCTGGGCGAGATTTGATAGCCTACGGGTGGCGAGGGCAGACAGCGATGTCGAAGCCTTCTAATAAAGGCCGACAGACTGGTGAGGACGGTTGTCCTCTCGCCAGCGATCGCAGGTCTGGATAAGCTGATAGTGGCTATGCGAAATAAAGGAGCATATCGTGAAGCTAGTGAGGAAGGCCAACTAGAGTAAGAGTACGCCGTCCCTTGACCGAGTGCGGCCCGTTCCAGTCTAGGAAGGATGAGTGCTCGAGCAAGTCTTCACGGACAGTTCAGGTGGAGGTGAGAGAAGAACAAACTCGGCACTGCGGTTGCTCTATTAGCGTGCTGCGCAACGGAATCAGAACCGAGCATGAACCCTCTCTCCGGACTACGCAATCGCCTGGAGATCATGTAAGACCCTTGCGGTGTCGGACGGCAAAGTGCCGGCGAGCGTTGCGAATGCAGCCAACGCTCCACAGCTCGGTCTGCGGAGCGAGCAGTACGGGGTTGCATGGCAGCTGGGCTGGCGAGTAGGAAGACGCGGTGCGCTACTACTTACATGCCGGTGTCACAGGCGACGACTCTTTCGGACGGGGGCACAAACAGCAGCTGGCAGAGGAGTGACGAGGTGGCGTCGCGCGTTGGAGGACAGTATCAGTGCTAATGCGTTGCAGCGCGCGTGTTGCGAGGATGAAGATGAAACATGCAAGGAGTGGCGGGCAGGCATATGGCAGCGAGCACGGAGAGGGGGGGGGGGGTTGGCACGGGCAGATAAATACTAGAGTGGCGGTATTTGATATTGATCGACTCGACGCTCGGCGGGCGCAGCTGAGCAACCTCATGGAACAGACGCGACGGGCTACAGGGGAAACGGGGGAGCTTCGTACTCGAGTATCGTATTCGAGCAGCAACAATTGCTCTCCTAGCGGACTGAAGGCGTGCGCCTCTCCCACAGCGGCGGGTTCTGTGTAGCGGAGCAGTGGTGGTACCGGTACATATTACCCACAGCGGCCCTCCTTTCTGGACAGGCACACATACGAGTGACGTTGATAGCTCACGACCCTCTCTTCAAGCCGGCGCGAATGCCACGTTGCAGCAGCAATCAGCCGGCTCGGGGTCAAGTCACGGCAAAGGAATGCAGAACTGGTGCGAATGCCAGGCCGAGCAGCGTGAGGTGAGCGGGCGTCGCCTGCGACCACAGTCTCGGCGGTTGAGCGTGCGGGAGATTGACAGGCTAACAGGCGATGATGTAAGGCTAGCGCAAGCCTGGGCCAGAGCATAAGGCACCTGGGTGGTGTTGTTGGCGCAGTCTGAAGAGGACCTCAATACCTCAATACCTCAATACCTCAATACCTCAATACCTCAATACCTCAACCCTCCCCTCTTCGAAAGCACGCCCGGCGCGCGGCCGCATTGAGGAGTTGAAGACACTCTCGGTGTGGCCTCGAACGTCGAGCTGAGCGAGTTCTCTGCTGCCGACCTGTAAGCGAAGGGCACGAAGCAAAGCGCGCCGGCAGTGGTGGTGGCTGCCCACTCTTGCACTTCTGCTACTTTGGACGTCTTGCATTTCATCGGCGATGGTTTAGAGTCAACGTGCACCGGGGCAGTTTCTGCCGAGCTGGTCCCGTGACTTCCCTACTAGTCTCTGCCAAGTTCCACCTCCACCTCTCACCTGCAGCCAATGGTTAGCTTCCGGGGCAATCTCCATCCTTGCAACCCGCTGCTGACTGGCTTCCTTCGCTCCCTTTCCCTTTTCGTTGCCAGCAACATCCGAGTGGATTCGTGTTGCTGCCGGATTTCTCAGGCACAAGTCAGCCACTGGCTGGAGCTGAGTGCTCGGGTACGCGCAAGGTCAATAACTAAACCGTTCCCAGGCTGGAAAATGCCGGTCTAGAAGCAGCCATCTGGAAGGAGGACTAAGATCCTCAGCTGGCTGCTCTCTCCACAAAACATGCCTTCTCCCGCTGAACTGCCCAATCTTCGAGCCTCCATCAGACTTGGCGTAGGTTGAGCCGATTGCATCTTCCCGCTTCCAGCAACGTTCAAATTGCTGACACCTCCTGCAAGGACAAAGGAGACAATGTAGGCAGTGAGTTCTTCTGCAAGCCACCAGTCGTCATCTGTCTCTCATCATCTTAGCCTGCTTCTACGATGTCAAGTTCTACCCCTATGCCCTGCCCGGCAAGGACCTGCTGTTCGCTGTTACCGGCGACAAACATGTATGTGCCCCTTGCCGTCCACTCACAGTCTGTCGCTTATACGTCAGACCATCGTTTGCCGTCCAGTCCTGGAGAAAGACAACGCCATCGAGGTCCTGCGCTGGTTCGTTGACGAAGAGACGAACGAAGATGGAGAAGTTGGCTACCAAAAACAATCCCTAAGCTTTGCCGCGGAGCTGATTGTTTCCACCAGCCGAACGCCAGCCTCAACAGCCTAGAATGGACGCAAGACTTCGAGACAGGCGAACCGCTAGTGTGCGTCACGGGATCAAACCCTAAGATAAAACTTCTCAATGTCCGCACTGGTGCCTTGGTTAAGGTACGGACGGACAGGAGGTCAATCGCCCGACCCGCTATGAGACACAGTCACTATATAGATTCATTACTGACGCCAGCATAGACCCTCACCGGCCACGGCTCGGTACACACCTTCAGTCCATGCGCGTTGATGTATGTTTGCCTAACGACGTGCAGTTGGTCAATGATCTGGCTGTATCGCCATTGACGCCCCATATACTGGCATCTTGCTCCGAGGACTACACGGTTCGGATCTGGTGCCTGGATCCCAAGTACGAGAAGCAACCATGTGCCCTCATGTGTGCGGGAGGGTTGGGCGAAGGGCACAAGGAGGCAGTCCTGACCATAGTATGTGCGGACAGCAGCCACATCATTGCAAACTAATAGATGCATAGGCGTGGCATCGCACCGGCAGATATCTACTGTCAGGGGGGATGGACACCGTTGTGAACATGGTAACTGTGGTAGCCCTCAGCCACCTCTAGCTCCCTGCTGACATGCCCTGCAGTGGGTGATCCCTGACCTACCGAATGAAGACACCGGCACAGACAACATGACCATAATCCACTACCCGCACTTCTCGACCACCGAGATACACCGCGACTACGTAGACTGGTTCGCCTCCCTCCCCATCCTCGCACCTACCTCTCCACCCTCACACCTCTCAACTCATCCTCCCCTCACTAACGCCACCCCAGCGTCCGCTTCTACAACGACCTCATCATCTCCCGCTCCGCCAAAGAAAACAAAATCCTCCTCTGGCGCATCGACGGCTTCAACTCCAGCCACCCGCCACCCCCTTCCGCCAGCGCGCCTCCAAAAACCTCCTCCTCCCCACCCACCCGCTCCGCCTTCGGCGCCCGCTTCCAGCGCCTGCTCCAGTTCGAAGCCCCCCTCACCAACCTGTTCTACATGCGTTTCGGCCTCTTCCACGCGCCTGAGAAACACCCCGTCCTCGTGATGGGGAACGAGCGTAGCAAGCTGTTTTTCTGGGACCTGCAGGCCTTGGAAGAGGGTGTTGAGTCCGGTGACCCGACCTTGGGCCGGGGAGGCCGCGGGGGTTACAGGGGCCGCGGGAAGGGCGCGGTGGGGAGCGGGAGGCAGGGCGTGCTGCGCGAGGAGAGTATCGCGAGCAATGTGTCGGGCGTGTCGAGCAATGTGGGTAGTGTGGGTGTTAGCAGCGCGACGAGTACGGGGAGCGGGGGGGAGAGGAAGTGGAATATTGGGGATCCGTTTAGGGGGATTGTCGCGCATAAGAGTATTACGGTTGGCAAGGTGACGTTTGCGACGAGGGCGATTGCTTGGAGTGGGGGTGGGGAGTGGTGTGTTGCTGTTGGGGACAATGGGATGATTTGTTTGTTTCGGCGGTGGGAGTAGGGGCGTCGCGGAGGAGAGAGTGACGGTGCCGGTTACTAACTCATCATGGAATAGCCACAACACATGATATATGTGAGTTTTGTATCGTGATTCGTAGCTAAGTCGAATACTTGCTCATCTATGAAAGCTTAGGGCTTTGAAGCTGATGTTACGAAGAGAAATTCGTGATAATGCTCATACTTAGCTACTGGCACCGCTTCTTCTCTACAACCCCCGTTCTTATGTAAAGGTAGGCATTTCATTAACGCGGTAGGCCTGACTGACATTTGCGACGAACCCGCTTAACCAAGAACGGCCCACGATGCCAGACGATTTTCGCAAACAGACGCATAAACTCGAAGATGCCAGGCTGTTTCGGATCGTCCATGTCACAAGCTGTGATCCCCAGCAGACCAAGGCCAAAATACGAGTGACGGGATGGATCCCTCCTGCCCTTCGCGGAGGGCCATCTGCGTTCCTACTGCACGGTGAGAAGGTGGACGGCGCTGCGGTCGACGAACGGCTCCCAGTATTCGTCTTCATCGCTGTCGTAGTCTTCCTCTTCATCATCGTCATCGTCAAAAAAGTAGTCTTCATCAGATTCGACATCATCGCCATTCTGTCGAATCTGAGTCCAAGATTGGACTGCCACTTCGATATCCTCTGGAACAGACTCATCGCAGAGAATGGATGGAGCGTCCATCACCGGATCCCCGTCAGCTTGGATCTACTGGGATGTTAGTGGTCCGCGCACATAATTTTGATATCAAGCGGATCAAACTCACAACCGAACGGAAATTCTCGAGGGTTTCATAGCCGCAGTCGTCATCTACCTGCAGGCATATCGTGAAGCCCCGGGCAGTTTGGTTCCGCGCGAATGTGTTGTATTCACTGAATAGCGCAACCCAGTCTCGTACTTTGTTGGACAGGAAACTGCTGTTCAGGCTGATGACCAGTGTCTTGATGTTCTGGAACGTGCTCTTTGTCATGAAGTGTTTCAAGCCGTAGGAACAGAAGTAGTCCCCGCACCGTGCGTCCCGAGGATAGTAGAGTGGAGCTTGGTCAAGGATAAGCGGCTTCTTGCGAAGTGTATCGAGTGCCTCGGCTGTGATTTGTCGGCAGAGAAGGAGGATATTGGGCGTCGTACGCGCAGGAAGCTTGTCGGCGTATGATTTCATGCCGTTAACGTTGGAGTGTAGAAAATCTTCGGCATAGGCTTCCAACCTCGCCTTCTTGAATTCTCTCATCGCTGCATTGATGTCGTTCCAGTCCGCAGCGTAGCCGTAGATCATATCGCGTAGCTCTCGGGCGAGCCGAAGAAAAGGTGATGCGATTTCGGAATCCGACGACTTCATCTTCTTCCTGAGTCGGGATGAGGATCGGGTAGGCGCCGCTCCCTTCCTCTTTCCTGCGCCTTTCGGACCGGCAGCTTGCTTTGAGCTGCTAGCTGACATGCTCGATACCCCGCCGGCCTTCTGATGGTTGACTTTCTTGCTGGGTTTTGGATTTGCAGGATCCATGACTCTCAAATCGGGGGAACTGATGGGTAGAATGAGTGGACGAATTCCTGGCGGAGCCGAAGGCGCCTGGCTGATTTATGACACTCTGCGCGAACAGCAAGATGGATGTGTGGGACACTGCTTGCGCGTGATGAACAGAGCGAGGAAACCTCAAGCAGATGGAAGAACCGGCGCTTGAAAACACTGAGATGATCCTTCAGATAGTCGCAGGGTGGATGAAAGAAAGATGATCTGGAAATGAGGGAGCGAAAAGAATGCAGCGTGGGTTGCTGACAAAGTAGGTAGTGAGCCGTGAAGGACATGGTGAAATGATAGGCACGGCTAATAGTGAATGGATCTAAATCGCTTCACGGAGTCTAGCACCTAGGTGACAGAAATTGCCTGACTCCAAGAACAGATAGGTCTCCAGCCAGCTTAGCAAGGTCATGAATAGAAGCCACTCCTGATAGGATACTGCGTCACAAGCGTGTTCAAGTCATACTTAGAGTTGGAGTGGCCAGAGTAAAGACTTTTGGAAACGCGAGGAGTTTGACAGATTCCGGTGATTGGGAGTGAGGTGGGACATGGAGCTCTTTATGCATCCGCCTTGTGAAAACTGCCTCTTGCGGGCACGCGGCCGATGCTTCCCGTCGTGTTTCCGCTGCGTCGCTGAGACAGAAGGATGGTGTTGACTTGAGAGGCACCCGGGTGACATAAATCGCCCGACTCAGAGCTTAAGAACATCACGAATTCCTCACGTTTGCCAGCACGTCTACGATCACTAATCCACCACTAATCTTACCTATAACACGTTCTAGATCTTACTGTTGCCTCTATACACCTAGTTCTTGCAGTTGGCGATATTTCTGTATTTTGTAGAGCTTCATTTCGATAGTAAACGTTGTGTCTAATCTCGTGAGTCGGCCCATTTATGTCGCCCGGGTGAGAGGTCAAGGCGCAAGGGCCACCTGAACGGTTCCTTCTCCCGTCTTTGCTCCAGCTTGTTTAATACCAAATCCACAATCAAAACGGTCTCATGATCGTGTCGACTATAGAGCAGCAAGACCATCTTACATGATAGAGGGTAAAAGATACTCAGCAATTTAACTCTTCAATGCATCGATTACCTAGGTGTATTTGATCTATGGGCTGTGTTTGAGATAGCCAACGCTAGGGCTACGAGTAGTCTTTATGCATCTGCCTTTGTGAGAAATGCCCGTTGAACGCCCTTCCTCCATTCCAAGTTCCCGTCCGTCGATACCCGGTTCAAATACTGTAAACCACGAATAACGCACTGAGACAATCTTTTCCTTCCCACCTTCGTCCTTCTGGAAAGGATCAAGTAAGATGATGAGTACAATGAGGATCTGATCCCACGGCTCTTTGACGGACTCGTAAGATTACAAACGCAATTTCTCACAGTATCTCAGCTGGGTCTTCAACTCCTCCGGGACCGATTCGTCGCACAAGATAGGCGATAGAGGCCCCGAAGAGTCCTGAGCCTACTAAAGCGTTAGTCTCGCCTGTTTTGACAATCACATTGTTAATCAGGTTAAGCTTACGAATGAGAGAAGGTCATCGATTGCATCCTCGGAGCAATCCTCCTGGATACGCAAACGTATAGTCTTGGCCGGGACGTCCGCCCAGCGCGAGAAGTCCGCAAAGGGCCCAAATTGGCAGAGGAGGCTTGTCCAATCTTCTGGGTACATCGTGAGCGAGCTATTGAGGTCGATGATGAGCGTCTTGATGTTCCTCAGCGTCCTTCTAGAGATGAAGCATTCTAGGCCGCAATCAACGTTCTGGTGGCAGACGTGGTAGAGATCTTCCTCGAGGATGAGAGGCTTCCTGTGAAGAACGTCAAGAGCTTCAGCTGTCACTTGGCGACAGAGTAGGAGAACGGTGGGCGTCGTACGCATCTCGCGCATGAACTTCTTGGTACAGATCCGTCCTCGACATTCTGCGATCGTCTCGTTGATATCACTCCAGTCCGCGGCATAGCCCCAGATCATGTTTCGAAGCTCGGCTGGGAGACGAAGGAGTGGTGAGGCGATCTCCGTATCGGACGAGCTCTTTGTCTTCTTTGTTGGCTTGGACGATGGTGTTGCGAGTATTGTCGTAGACAACGATCGCTTCCTCTTCCCCGTGGGGTTTGGGACAACAGGCTGCTTGGAACTGTTGGTAGACATGTCGGCTGGCTTGCACGCAGAGGTAGGGAAGGCGTCTGACGTTGAGTCGTAGCGGAGCGGTCGAGTGCCCAGAACTGTTGCTCGGTATTAATCCGAGGCACTTGACAACGTAGGAGAGTCTGGAAGAATGCTGATGTCTAGACGTAAGACGCGCGCCTGAGGTTGATGTAGCAAGGTTGGATCGAGTTGAGATGTAGAAGGGAAGGATGTATCCACAATCGAGGTGTGGAAGAAGTGCACAGTGTGTGTGAAGAAGCAAACAGTAAGCAGTGCAGGACACAGTGAAGACGTCGGCAAGGCTGAAAGTGATGAATATCATTCCCTTCACAAGCTGGTACTGAGTGTTGCAGCGAGGTTACTACAGTCCCCTCTCTGTCCAACCATGCGAATGCGGGAGTCGGCATCACCAGTGGCGTAAGGTAGTGTACAGTATCTCGTGGAACAAGAGGACTGACTCCGTGCTTTATTCTACGCCTCTTCATTGTAAGATCTCTTTGCAATGTAACTGCTCAGACAGTCTCGACTTTCTTTTCGAGTCCCGGACCGTCCGCATCGTTGGTGGAATTAATATACATAAAAACTTTTGCCTGCACCCTGTCAGTTGACCCTAGTCGTATACCTCGAATTGCTGAAACGCGCACCAGACCCCAAAATTCTTCTTGCTGAGCTTGCCGGATTCCTTCCCATGCATACAATGCTAAGCCAAGATGGCCCGTGGCCGTGGCGTGGAACGAACAAAGAGTCGAGCCGACTGCACCTTTCTCAATGCGGACTCTGCCCCGTCGGACTTCCCGCCGGCGGACTATCCCCCATATCCTCCTCCGCCGCCAGCAGCCCCATCGCCCAATGTACCCTCGTCCCCGCATTCGTCCAGATACACCTCCTATCCGTCAGCTCCTTTGGCGGCTCCGCCGACCCATCCCTGACCACACGCCCCGCCAGTCTATCGTCCGTGTTGTTCTCGTCGTTCTTCTGGTAGTACGGCGGGCCCCTCCCCATGGCTGCCGCCTTCACCCACGCAGTTTCGCATCCACGAGCAATGAGTCCCGCAGACGCCCAACCCGTGCGTGCCTCGACGTCGAGAACACGACTGACAAGCCAGCCGCGCTGGGCTGCGTCCTGATACTGGATACCGGCGAAGAAGAGTGGCATGGTTGACTCAATCAGACACCCGCCGAGAGACGGACTTAGCGGCGTGTTCGCTGGCGTTGGCGTGATGCCCGCTGCGATCCTGCCGATCTCATTGGCCAGTCCGGCCGTCGCGCCTGCAGCGACGCCTGCGGCTACCATGGCGGCAGGTGGCATGTGGGGATGCGAGCGGATGGCGATCATGTGCGTCATGTGGTAGTGGGCCCAGACGACGCCGATGTCGTAGCTGCGGTACTGGAGCGCCTCGCCGAAGGGAGTACTGATCGGTTGGTGGTATTCTGGTGGCAAGGGTTGGTAGGCTGGACCGAGACGCGCGTGAAAGGCTTTCAGTGCGTGCATTATCTGTTGCCATTCCTCGAGGGCAGAAGCTGTCGCGGCATCGAGATCTATGATGTCTGGCTTCGGACTGGGTGTCTCGGGAGAACGCTTGCGCTTGTTGCTTGCGTATGATGGCGGCATTACTGTTGGAGTTGATGTGGGTGCCATGCCGTAGAATGACGGCATTTGAATCGGACCAGGAGGCCTTTGCGGGGGCATCTGAGGTGGTATTTGGGGAACGGCAGGTGACGGTTGCGGCATTTGCTGGCCTTGGAATCCTGCGCTGTGAGGCGGGTATGGAGCGCCGTTTGTTGGAGGGATGGAGGCAGGGAATCCATTCGCACCACCATAGGGACCAGCGGGAGTCATGGGCGAAGATGCCATAGGATGCCCGGAGGGGAATTCGCTTGGGTGCCCAGGCGCTGGACCCGTAGGAGATACATGTGGAGCACCCATAGCGCTACCAGGAGGACCCATGGGAAATCCAGGAGGTGGACCGCCCGGTGTGAAGATACCTGGTGGCGCTCGCGGAGTACCGGGTGGTGGGCCCATCGGCATGCCTGGCTGAGGCCTCCAGTGCCCACCCATTGCTTCCACCGCCTTTTGCTTCCTTACGCGATCTCGGGCCGCAAAGTCTGCAACCCTACCTGCAAGTAGCATAAGGTGATCGTAAGTAGCGAAAACGGCTTGCCCTTTGCCAACAGGCCCACGTGGGGGGCAGTCTGACCATCTGCTGTAATCCATCCTGTAGAAGTCAGCTATGTAACGAAGCAATTCGGAGGTTGGTAGCTTACAGCAGCCGGTTGCCGCTGACAATGCTCTGAAAGACATCCTGTTTGCAGTACCACCAGAACAAGTCTTGAAAGATCTCGTATTTACTGATGTCAAATGGCTGCGGAATTGAATTCGTGGGTGACGGGCTGCTCCCATGCTCTTCGATGATTTGTCCGTATTCGTCATAGCGAAGTTTCCGTCCGATGAGAGTGCTTACAAGCCTTTCGTCAGGTAAGTCATCATTGACCGAGTAAGGCCGTGCAAGCTGTCTCTGCTGTATGAGAAGCTCTGGGTTGTCTCGCGCGAAGTTTTGCTCATGTGCGGCTTTCTTAGCCTTCTGCCTCCGATATTCCTTGGTCATACCTTGATAGTCGATCTCAACCAACAGTTGCTTGGCGCCAACTAAGTGGCTACTCCATTTGAGATGGTCGGCTGTCATGACCTCGTAGAAGCCGAGCAGCAGTGACGCAGCCAGGGTCGTGACCTGGTGTCTCTTCTTGGGATGCCCAACGCAGTGATGTATTCTTTTCAAGGCGTACGCATAGTGCTTGAAGGAAGGCGTAACGGAAGCGCCCTGTAGCTTCGCAATGTGCAAGCTGGCAAGTGCCAGCATGGCGTGTAGCAGTCCTTGGTGATTCAAGGCCATCATCGGCAGAGTGTACGTCCACAAACTCTGTTGCGACATTGGGACGGGCGATTCACTAAATAGCGCTGATGTGTTCCGCGCCTTCCTCTCAGAAATTGAAAGACTCGGCCCAGTGGAATTGATGAAATGAGCGAAAACGCGTGCAGTCTTCTCGTTCCGGAGAGGGTTCGCGACACGTTCTGCCCGGTAGTAATCCAGGATACCTTCGTATATGAAGGAGTCGTATCGTCTTACGCTGAGATCGCTGGTGCTTTGCCGATGGAGTTCCATTATCAATCCAAGATCTTTCTGCTTTCCTCCAATCGCCGTCATTTGATCAGGGGTGATATCCATATCGTCGTCGGAATTTACATCGTAATAGTCATTATCTTCGTACTCAACTGCAGCTTCGTCGAGGACTTGCGTTGGACTGACATGTCCTTCTGCAAATCGTGACGCAAAAAGAGGAGTTCGTAGCGGTTGCATAGCAAAGCCTGGCTGCATTGGTTTCTGATCTACAAGAGAAACGAAGTCAGCGAAAGTCACCACAGTACCCGTCTCTGCCGACTGAGGGGTAGCGATATGTAGAGCGCGAGGCCACGTGGGGTCAAACTGAATCCAGGGCGGTGATGGGAAACGGCTTACCGGCGTAGCCTTGCTTGATTGCAGGTTTAATTTCGTACGGTGCCGACGAATGCTGGTACGATGGCAACTGGATGCCGTCATAAGCCGGGGGCTGGCTCGCTCCGCTGATTGCGTTCAATTGGTAATCAGGAGGTAAATGAGAACTCGGATGAACGGATGAGTATCCTGGGGCAGAGATGTTTGAAGCATCTGCATACATCGTCGAGTTCTGGTAACCTGGGCCGTACGATGTTTGCGCTTGCTGTGAGGGTACCTGCGGCGGTTGCGATTGGCTGCCACTCGTATAAGGCTGCGGATGCCCTGCTGCGGACGGATGATGGCCAGAGAATGGCTGCTGCAGCAAGTGTGTGCTGGAACCGATGGCATGACTAGAATACTGCGGAAGCTGCTGAGGATGTTGCGGAGTAACATGGCTATTGGACTCGTTCGACGCCTGTTGTAGCGGATAGGACGGCTGCATCGCTGCTGCTGAGAACGGGAAGACAGCGCTTGGAGAGGTCACCAGATAAGCCGCATCAACCTGCTGGAGGTACAACGCGTCACCGTGCCGCACTCCATTCGAAAGAACTCCTGCTGAATAGCCGCCTACATTAAGCGGCTCGATGGGCAGAACCTGGCCTTCTTCCAGGGAGGAGAAGCTATACTGTCCATCTGGCCTGGGTTGGAGCGGCGTCAGAGGGACTGATATCGGCGCGCCAGTTTGATGGTGACGGAAGATGGGTTGGCCGCCGGGTATGACACCCGTATGGTACTGAAGCGTGTTCGCTGGACCCTGCTGAGCGGTTGGCCAGTCGCCGATGGGAGGCTTGAAGACGACTCGCTGGTTGTACCCTTCACAATGCCGTTTAGACTTGATGCAGTTGTTGCAGACCGGCCGTTCCTCGCCGCATTTAATTCTCCGCTTTCGACACGTCAAGCAGCCAGTCTTAGTTCTTTTGCGGAGCTTCGGCGCACCGGCAGAGGCTGCCAAAGATCCATTGAGTTGCTCAGAGATGTGTCCATCGCCAGGCGCGGACTGAGATGGTAATGTCGTTATATTGCTCGCCATGTGTGATAGGTTAGGTACTTCTTTCGAAAATGCTAGAACAACGGGCGGGCCTGCCCCCCGAACCTCCAGAGAAAACTGCTTAGATGCCCCTTAGCGCACTCATCTAAAGATCATGGGCGAAGCCAGATGTTGTAGGAAGATGAGCAATGGCTCGGCGTGGTCCCGAACTGGTCCCAACGGGGTGCCGCGGGGTCGGGTCAGCGTTACGGCCGAATCCGTTTTTTTGGCGATTCCTAAGAGAGATAGCTTAGAAAGACCAAGACGACTTAAAATAAATGATCTTCAGTCCGTGGATAGGTTATCGTCATGGAACATCTAATTCACAGAGCCGAATCGGACAAGAAAGACTACGACAAGGGAGCACAGGCTGCGAGCAGACGCTCCTCGAGGCTGAGTATCCCAATGAACAGAAAGATGCCCGGAACGCTTGGAAGCACGACCGTTTTGGCTGACGACAAACCCGGATCGGGTCGAGCAGGGTCGGGTTTAGATCCGGGGACAAGGTGCGTGATACATAGCGGGACGACCAGTCGGGGGCTCGAGGCTTGCAGAGGGCCAGGTCTGATCAGCGTTTGGTGACCTGGCTGTGTGGGCAGGTTGCCCCCGGGGAACAACAGCGGTAGAGTCTGGTTCTGCTCTGATGTCGTGATAAGCATCCGCCGGTTGCACACGTGAGGCCGCAGGCAGCGAGGGCGTCAAGGACAGCGCCCCTGTGTGCTGGTGGTGTCGCGCAAAGATGATTGGAATGCGATGCCGTCCCATTGGTAAACCCCTCGAGGGGCGGCAGGACTCACGCTAACAGCGCGCCCAGCGGGCCTGACGCCCTGACCCAAGCCTGGCACAACCCCTGACACCGGCGCGCTCGCCATGGCCCGCGGTGTTTTGCAGCAAAATCTCGATGAGCGGCGCAAATGGAGGCATCGGTAGCCCAGACTTGTAGCCAGCCTCAATTTGCAGGTGAGAAAGAAGGACTCTGGGCGCGGCGCCGTGGCTGAATCGCAATGCACAGGCCGTTGCGACGGCGCACACGGACTCGCCGGTCGATGAAACAAGAACGAGATCCATATCCTGCCTCTCTCCATGCCGTGGCCAAAACTAGGCCTTGGTCTCACGTCTGCTTGTGAGGGCTGTGTTCCCACTTGATGCACGCTCGCTTGAACTGGCTCGAATCAGGGCAGCACGGGCAATGCAGCGGCGCGACAATCCTTCGATCGCCCGCGTGGCATCCTCCACGAGAGGGGCCTGTTTCCTGGCACTTGTAGGGGTGATCTGCATGTGCCTTGACGCGCCTCGGCTTCCAGTTCGAGCTCTCCATGTGGTTTGTGCTTTATCAGATCTGCGGCCGGCTCGCCATGCGGCGTGGCTGGGCCGTCGGTCCTTCCACATGGGCCTTTCCAGGATCCGGGCGGCATGCCGTGGGTTTTTTCCAACGTGCTGCAAGCCCCACCCCTGGACCCCTTGCAACGACAACAGCGCAGAATGAAAGGAAACCCGCAGCAGGTTTGGCAAGCGCTGCTGCAAGTAGACGAATTGGTGGAGAGGGCCTCGGATGCGATTGGCTGCCTATACGTCCTGCGAAAGGGGCGACAATGATTTCCAGCTTTTGGGATGGCCACGCAGACGTGCCCTACCACGCGGTGTCAGGATAAAGTGCGAAACCAGAATGCAGCGTGGTCCTATTTTCGGGTCAAGGTGCCTATCAACGAGGTGCCAAAGCAATGTGGAAGCGGGTAAGGGCAACGACGTCCGCATACCTTATGAAGATCGCTGGATCGACGCCTTTTCATGCCTCAAACAGACCAGCTTGGAATCTCTTAAGATACAAGGGACAACCGGAGCAGATTGTTGAGCTCACCCTGTCACTTCGTGGAAAGAAAAAACCGTTCCTACTAAAATCGCATCTTCACCAGAATCACTGTTTTTACCTAGGAGACAGAACTTCAATAGCCACGCTGAAGCGACAAGGACGTATAGATGTTTGTAGTATCTATGCCTACACGCTCTTACAGCCGATCTTATGTTGTTCTGTCAAGCTTTGAAGCATTGCAAAGTCGTGACATTGGTCGGGAAGCGTCTTGATAGGAACGTTTTTTGGGGGCTACGGCGTGCCTGTCTAGCGTTGAGGCTACCTTTTTGACGTGTACGAAAATGGTCACTAAGCTCCACATAGTGAGCCACCACCCCGCTCAGGTTACGCCCTTGTATCGGATGACGAAAAGACGGGAAATAAGACGTTGAAACCCGTTAGCATCGAGGTCTCGACTGACGTCCCGTTAAGGTGATAGTCGGCAACTGCCAGTTTCATAGCTAGGATATGGCTGCCAGAGCACATGGTTGTTTCCCAGGCAGGTGCGACCGCTTTAAATCTCCATTGGAGATGAAAAGGAGACGAGTCTTTCATCACGCCAGATGCATTGGTGAGCCCTTGTCTCATATGTACGCGGAGCAGTCCAGCCATGTCGGTGTTGATGCAACGATGGGAGCTCACAAATCCGCTAGCTAATGCCTCGTCCCTCCGTAATCTACCAGAAGCCAGATCCCAGTCCATTCCTCCCCCTCTCCAAGTGAGATAGATGGACCCGCTAATGACCTTCGCTCAAATGCTCAGAAACGTAAATCAGATGCCTACGAAAGCAAAGCAACCCGCAACCCTATCCGCTCAGCCAGTCCATATCATCCAGCAAACCGGAATCTCGTGGCTTCAAGCCGACCAAGCCCTTCTCGGGGAGCGACATTGCGGCGCCGGTACGAGTTTGTGAAGTCCTGCAGCAATGTCCTGATTTTGCGAAGGTCGCCTGCTTGTATGCGTCTGTGCGATCGGCCATTGTTAGCATGCAGGTTCACGTTGCGGATATTTAATAAGACAAGCATACTGAGTGATGTTGTTCAGCAACCGCTCCGACTCCTGCGGCGTGATCGATCCTGGCGGTAACAGGGCCACGGTATTCCGGACCCACGCTGCAACCTGCTGCGGCATCAACTGGAATAGCGCCAGCAGCACGCCTGACGCGTCTGGAAAGCAATCGCGCGGGAAGCTGTACATCATACCGGTCATGAGCCGCTGGACCATGACTTCGCCATGCGCTGTCACTAGCTGCTTGACTGCGGCCTGAACTTCTAGCGGGTTACTCGAGCGCTGTTGGTCGAAATTCGAGGATGGGGAGTCCTCAGATCCGTAGGCTAAGAAATCGCGCAGGAAGTGCAACGTCGCTAGTAGTGGCTCTTCTTTGAGAAGCGTAAGTGCTGTTGACGCGGCCTCCATTATCGGACCCATGAGGGGTGACGATATGGCTCTGTACGGATAATAGAGGAGCGAGTCTAGGCAGAGGCGGTAGAAGTCTTCGATGACTGCAAGACACCCACGTTAGTAGGGTTTATGTAAGGTAGAGGGCGCGTCACTGACCGTCTGGTAGTTCCTCCGGAGGTAAGTCGTTGAGGGCTTTGAGGAATGTCTTCGCCTGTGTCTCAAAGAAGTGGAAGATTGCGTCAGTAGTAGCTGGATCCACATGCTCTGCCCCGTCAGAAAACTCGCGCACAATAGCATCTGAAGCCCATAGGAAGCATCCTTGCCTCGTCGCCGCAAAGCCAGCCGCGAGCTTCTCCGCAAGCTGGGGCAGCAGCGGTGCCATGGACGTACGGTAGGAAAGTACCATGTAGCGCCAGCACCGGCAGACGCGCTCGAGGATTGGGGTGAAGTTGAGGTTGTTCTCCGCGATGATGGCCAGCACCGGAAATATTTCTTCGCAATACTTGACCGCGGGGTTAGGTTGAGTCGGCTCGACATACGGTTGTATCCATTGCATGAAGATTGTGATGAGTTGGAGTTTGTCTGTTGCAATAACATTAGCTGGCTATTCCGAGAAAACTGCGACGAACTGTCTTACCAGCGAGAGCCAACCTTGACTTCTCGTCCACGGCGTGTTGTGCCATCGTCATCAGGGACTTGATAACTGGGTCGCAGTACAGCTTCATGGTAGGGTAGATCTGGTCTGGTGGAAGTTTTGCTATTACCGATGCGACACCGTCAGTAACCTCGTCTTGACTGCTCGGTGGTAGCTTATCTAGCACAGACTCGTAGAAGTGCTGGAGCTGAGGGATGTAATCTTTCAGAAGATCTGCGCAGTCGTTGCAGAAGAACTTAAACGAGAGCGCGGCAGCTCGGATGACTTCTTTGGAGGTGTGGTCGAAGGCCGCCATGATGTAGTTGAGCTGCGGCTGGAGAGTATCCGGGTGCTTCGAAGTCCACTCGGTATACCGGCCAAGTGCCATGACCGCCTGGAAGCGCACCTTCTGATGATCGGGTATCTGGACTATGAGCGGCATCAAACGCGGAAGCATGATGTTCTCATCCGATGGGACCATCCGGCCCATTGCACGCATGCTGAAGAGCGGCGCTTCAAGCTTCTGCCATTCAGGCACGTGACCGGCCGATGCTTGAGGTCCGTAAGTGCTGACCCAGTTCTCAATGAGCGCGTAAGACTTCTGCAAGCATTCAGTCACCCCGATGACCTCACAGCAGTCTTTCAGAACGTCGCCCATCTGGTGTCGAAACTCCCGGAATTTCTCTTCTTGCTCCCTGTCGCCCTCGAAAAGATCCCTCTCATTTCCGCTCTCCGGTTTAGGGTATTCCAGATGGCCAATCATGATATCGACCAGCTTCGAGTAGATATCCACATACTGCAATCTGGCTTGTATGTATTTTTCCAGTGTCAAGTATTGCTTCAGCTCATACCAGAAATTGAACGTTAGAGATATCACGTCTCGCTCTTGATCCCGGACAGCACTCTCAAGGATAGCTTCCACCAAGGCCCGAAACTCCTCGGGCATTCGCGCGATCAGTACGACCCAAGATTCACCTGCCTCGGCGAACAGTCTTGATAGACCTTTGAATGTCTCGGTGTCTTCTGTTTCCGCGGCCTCTTGGAGCATGGGCCTTAGCGCGATGACGCGCGGGTATAGCGTTTGTATGATGTTCAGACACTCGTCGACGTCCCTGGTTTCCTTGAAGAGAGCGGACATACACTCTATTGCTGCCTCGAATGGTTCAGTAACCGACAGGGCGTCGATAACGATGTTCAACAGGGGGGAGTTCACAATATCGTTGACGGGAACTTCTCGTGTCCATGAGGTGATGCATTCTATAAGCTGTGGATTTTGGGCGGCCGAAGCTGCGTTTAGCCGTTAGCAACTGGTTTCGATTCCATCTTGCCGGAGGTACTCACGCGAAGACTGAGCATACTGCGTCAGAAGGTGGAGAACTTGCTGAGCATTGTCCTCTAATAGCTCCCTCGTCCTTTCACTCAGCTCCTCTTCCTACGATATGATGCATTAGACTGTGACTCTCGATGGTGCTGCTGCTGGAAGTCGCCCTCAAGCTGGTGACGGCTCGGCCGAACGTACTGTCAAGTTGATCTTGCGTCCTTCTGTAACTTCTTCCGGGAGGACACGCAGGAAGTCGAGCGCACAGGGCAGGCTCTCCGGGTCGCTGCCTAGAGTAGATACTACGAGAGGCAGAACATCTTTCCACTCTGTCATCTGTATGGCCAAGTTCGCCAGGCACACGCACAGCTGTATCCTGATGGGCTTGGGTCCCGCACGGTAGGAGGAAAGAAGACCAAGAAGCGTGTCCCGAAGGGAGGGGAGGGACTCTCGCGGGAGCTGGTGGAGGTCGTAGACGATCTGCCGTGAGTTAATACACACCAGCGATCCAGCGCGCAACCGCTTGTGGCTTACTTTGCCCTTGAGGGTTGTTGCAGCAAACAGCTTCGCCTGGGCAGATGCATCCCGAGCTTGCAGTATCGCAAAGGTCGTCGTCCAAGCCTCTGTCTGTAGTGCTGCCGTGAGTAAATCCGACCAGATACGGCGAGACGACTGCTGGGGACTAACCGACTTCTGAAAGGTCTCCAAGAACTCGTGTGCCCGACCCTTCTGCGCGCGGTCAACGTTCCCCTGCATCGTCTCGAGTGCAGCCAGAACAGGCGCAAAAGCCTGCTGGGCCGGGCCGTTGGTAGCCATGATCATTCGGGGCGGGCGCGCAGAGGGCGGGTGGTGCTGATCTGATGGAGAGGCGGTTTATTGGGTGCGTTGCATGAAGCGACTCGGAGGAAGGTCGAGAGAGAGCGGCTAAGGGAGTCGGACGTTCTCAAAGGGCGAGGTAGAAGTGAGGTGTACGGCTTTGTGCCATGACGGCCGTCCGCATCTCCAAAATTCGTGTCCCACCAGATGTCTTGGCAACAGCTGCCTCGCGTCTTCGCAACTCGAGCTTGCGCCCACTACCGCAACAGCCAAATCACAATCTCTCACGCGCAAAACAGCCACGAAGACCTTTGCCGAGACTTCGCTTCAAAGCATCTGAAAGCCCTACGATTCCAGCTCTGACAGCCTCACGAAACCTCGCCTATCATGAGCGGACGTCCCGGAGGTGGCCGCGGGAAGGTCCTCCTACCACCCATCAACTTTATATTCCGCCTTCTCCAACAACACTCGACTGTACAGATATGGCTATACGAGCAGCTAGGCATACGGATAGAGGGCAAGATTCGGGTGCGCTACCAGTCAAGTCGAATACTGGAGACCCGTGACAGGCGCTGACCGGGGTAAATAGGGATTTGACGAGTTCATGAACCTAGTCATTGACGATGCTACGGAGGTCAAGCTGGCTACCAAGACGGAGGAAGAGTCTCGGCGACAACTGGGTAAGCATAGTGCGCGGTCATATCAGGCTGAATTTGCATTGACGCAGTTTTAGGACAAATTCTCCTAAAGGGAGACAACGTGTCACTCATCCAGAGCTTATCGTGAGCGTTGCAATGTGATGAAGGGGAAGCAAAACTGGGATGTCCGGAGCTTGCAAGAAGCGTACAGATGGCGCAATCGTTGAACAGACTGGAGGATGCACCGACGTACGACGTTGCGCGTACCAACCGTCTCACCAACTGCGACTTGTCAGTCACGCCGCGATAGATTTCCACCACCGGTAACCAAGGCGTCTAGGCGCCAATCCGTAGAATCCACCGGCACGAGTTGGTCATCAGGTAGTACTTGCTCAGACAATGCAAGACCCACTGTTTGCTCAGCTGTCAGTACAAGACATCGGTTGGTCTCACGGAGCACGTCATGGCTTACCCAGAAAAGGCATGTTCGAACTCGTGTTTTTACGGGAATGCCGCAGACACCTCTCCATGAAGAAGTCATAAAATCCCTTGCCATGTCCCAACCTGCCGAATTTTGTGTCGAATGCCATTCCTGGCATGACGATCAAATCCAGTCCTGTTCCTCCGCCTTCTCGGATGACAGTCCGTCCATCTGAAACACCATTATCACCGAAGCAGTTCTCTCTGCTGGATACAGAGTCCGCATTAAGAGATGGAATGCCCCACTTGTCAGGCTTGAGCGAGTCGTAGTCTGCTAGCGAGTGCAGCTGCAGCATGTCCATGATTGAGCTGGGTTGCTCTGCCTGCGCATTCTGCAACTTGTGCGTGTATGGCACGAAGACCTTTTTGCCAGATTTCAATGCATCGTGAACAATCCCCACGGTTGATATCTCCCCAGACGGCATGGACAGGTAGATGCTGATACGTTTCGCTGCCTGGTACTCTGGCATCGAGATTAACCTTTTGACCGCACTCGACGCTGCGTGAAGTTAGTCCGCTTGCTTGGATCTCTAACAGATCATCATACATTGTCTCGCAACTGCATCCTCTGAGATTTCAGAAAGGATGCTCTTGATATGCTTCCTCAGATCCTGCTTTGCAGCCTTGAGAGCTGCCATTCTGATGCCAGTAACACTGCAAGCCGAACAGTGTCAGAGCAGCAGTCCTGCGTGATACCCGGAAAAACTCTCGTTACACGCCTCCTCTGCTCGTTGAGCCTGAGGCCTACAATCTATTCTCGGGAGTTGCTGCGGGTGATCCAACTGCCCTGTCGATCGTGGAAAATTCGCCGCCGTTTGTTGGTGGCTGCCACCCCTGTCAACGCCCGAACACTGACGCCGCCCGGCCCCTTCTCCAGCGTTGAAGAACCGAAGACCTTTGTCTATCCACACGACAGACACTCCCCATTGCGCTCACCACACCGACAGACAAACATGCTATCCGCCGTAGCATCGGTACTTCTTGCAGGACTCTCCGTCGTCGCTGCGCAGCTCACGGATCCACGAATTGTCGGGACTTGGTCGTCGAAATCCAACAGTACATTCACAGGGCCGGTATGTTGACCGCACTCAGAACCACTCGCGGCGGTGCACACAGGCTTACAGAAGGGCAACAGGGCTTCTACGATCCCGTAAACGAGAAGTTCACCGAGCCTCAGCACCCTGGCATATCGTACTCTTTCACCGAAGATGGCTACTTCGAGTCCGCATACTTCCGAGCGATCGCAAACCGTACGTTATCCACTGGACTGTACAACTGGAAGAACAGCATGCTGATCTGCTTCTTGCGCACAGCCCAACAACCCCAGTGCCCGAAAGGCATAATACAGTGGCAGCATGGCAGATACACATTAGCGGCTAACGGCCGCCTCACCCTCACTCCCTTCGGTGTCGACGGCCGCCAGCTCTTCTCCGATCCGTGTATCCACCCGAACGCGATATTGACCCGGTACAGTCAGTCCGAGGAATTTGAGGTGCGCAACACATTAATCCTAGCCCCACGCCCACACGCACGTCAGCTAACGCCTCTATTCTTGACTAGCGCTACGAGCCCGTCGCCAGCGATCCCTACCACAATATCCCCCGTCTGAACCTCTTCCGCTTCGACGGCTCGCCCGTGATGCCGCTGTACCTGGTATACAGACCTCCGCAGATGCTGCCGACGAAGACCTTGAACCCCACCGGTGTATCCGCGACCGCCACGAGCAAGAGCCAGAAGTTCAAGCGCTCGAAGGGCTTGGACGAGACCGAGCTGCCGTTGAACCACAGAGTGCTCAGCAAGCGGGAAGAGCTGAGGCACGCCACTGCGGACCGGTGGTGGTGGTTCGGGGTAGCTGCTACTGGGGTCGGCGGGGTGTTGTACTTCTGCTTTTAGGCGCTGACAAAAGTGTGATACGATTTAGAAGTGGGCATTTCACACGTCCAAGGATATCACGTATGTTCATACACGTTTCATCGCATGTTTGGAGTTGGTGGGCTGGATTATAGGGGGCACTGAATGTCTACTTCCCATATCTTGTTTGAGTCACTGCAGAAGGATCTTGCAATCTTTGTTCAATAATATCTTCCTGCCGCGGGCGTTTCACGTTACGTTATAGTGGCTCTTAGGGTATCAGATCCTGAGGATTCCAGCAGCAGCGTCAATGGACCTCGGGCATCAGTTATCCGTACCAAAACGCATGAGTTTTTCACATCAGTGGCTTGCTTATCTTCTCTACGTCCTATCATCTATCTCACAGAGTCTCAAACAGCCGACCATCCGCTCATCCAGCTTCCAATAGCGATCACTCCCTCAATGGCTCTTCCCGTCGACCTTCTCAAACTTCAGAACACTCATATCAACGTCGTCAAACGCCCGAACCTAAACCGCACCCACGTCAGCCATACTCGGCACATCACAGCTCCTCAACCCAGGCAAACGCTCACATTCAACGCCTTCCACCCGGCATAAAACTCGGGATCGACGCTCTCCGCCCACACGCTGGTCCCGCACTCCGCGCAGAAGTAGTGCGCGATGCGCTGCTTGTGGAAGAAGTACTTCTTGGCCTCGTGCTCGCCGCGGATGAAGGTGACGGACGAGTTGGGCAGATAGAGGAAGTGGTACCCGTTCTTGACGCAGATGCTGCAGTTGCAGTCGGTCAGTTGGGTGGAGGTGAGGGCGTCGGGGAGGGTGGCGGTGAAGCGGATGCGGGCGCAGTGGCAGCCGCCTTGGTGGGTTGCTTGGGTCGAGGCGTCCTGGGTGGGGGTATCTGGGGTAGGAGTTTCTTGGGTTGAGGGGGCGTTTGAGGACATTGTGGAGCTGGATTGGGGAAGGGGAGCTGGGCAGCGATGTTTGGAATTGTGGAGGACTGGATGGACGACGGGGCTCACGGTGAGGATCGGCAGAAGACGGTCATCGGGGTATATACACGCATACACGGGGCATATATACGCACACACGGGGCTTGCAGTCTCCCAAAGCATCTAATAATACGGTACACCGACACGCTCGGCCTGTCTTTCCCGCCGCGTTGCCTATGCACGCAGTCACGTTGGTGGCTGGAAGAACGCGGTCCGCCTCGTATTCGACGGGAAACGAGTCAAGCAGCCTTGTCAGTACGGCTAGACTTAACTTCAAGAGGACATTTCAAGCGGTAGCAATCGGCGATGTACTCTCCAGCACGTTGGGTGTCGAGGAGAAAGCACTGCTTTCGAGGCACCGGCGGAGCAATACAAATCCCGTCTGGGGCGGTGAATCTTACACATGCCCCGGAGATCATGTAACGTTATTCCATTGTGGGGCTGCACAGTCGGTGGTCATTGAGCTCGCTCACTTTCGCTCGCTATGGTCCCTTGATCGGTGCCTCGCTGCGAGGCGTCGAGTGCTTTACAGTCCTCGTCCATAGTGGAGATGTTTCAGCACGGCGGGCGGGGAAACAAGCCTCAACGCGAAGGCTGTTCAGCGCTCTTTCACTGTCGATTTGATATAGTGATCCGCGGCCAGCCGCTGAAATCACTTGATATAAATGAATGATGGGGCGACAAGCCTTAAGTTAGCATTGCAGTCCGTATTGTGGAGCATTATATTGATCACTCAGGCAGCAGAATAGCATGTGATACGCCTCGAATCAAGAGCGGCGGGGCTTTCAAGAAGCTCACTCTCACTGCAGGTGGTGAGTTTGAGCTCAAGGTGCCTGGTTCTCATCTTCGCCCACTCATACTCCACCATCTTTTCTGCCTTGTCCTCGTCCTTAGCAGTGGTTCCCCCCGGCCACCGATAGATCAGCGAACGGACCAATACGATGCCACGAACGCCTCAGCCCTACCTAGTGTTGATCAAATTTGCCGCGGCGCCACAGCGCGTCTCCTTGCTCAGATCTTCCATCATGTCTCGTGTCTGCTTGGCACGGAACAGGAAACTGGGAAACCCGAGGAACACGCCTGGTTGAGTACTGCTGTCCTTCACTTTCCTGTAATACCTCTTCTCTAGCTGTTCCTGCCAGTTGTTGCTCTCTTTGCACTTTCTTCCTGCCTTTGTACATTGCGCGGCCTTTCGCCGGCTTTCCTTCCGGATACTCCGGCTCGACAATTAATTATCTAGGGGTCTTAGTACCCACCTGGAGAAGCTGCCCCTGCGTGGCTCAATTGTGATACAACACTCGTCACTCTACGTAGACTACGAGCACCGGCCCCTCACGAGGCTCGTTATATCCTCAATCCTTTTTACAAAGACACTCCCTGTCCATAAGCACAATGGCGGCCTCCGCCTCGAATCGTACATTGCTGATAGACGGACCACAATGGAGTAGCAAGCCCGCATGGAAGCTGCCAGGATGGGCAGAGCCGCTGGTGTGTAAAGACGAGCATGTCTACTGGAAGCTCACGGCTAACGAACGTCACTGCTGCAGATAGTAGCATCCATCCTGTTTGGCGCAATGTTCATGACGAGGCGGAGAGGATATCGTATATACGGACCACAGCGCAGACACTATAAGTCGATCCTCGACGACCCATCGGCCGACTACTCCTCGCAAGAACCCCTGACGTACGATTCTGAGAACGAGGACGATGCGCGAGATCCAGTAGCCGCCGCAAGACACCTGCCCAAGCAGCGGAACTGCTGCGGCGTGGTCGTCCAGACGCCCAACACCTCGCGTTTCAAGAACACCATCCAGAGCCGGATACTGCAGCGCTTTCCGTTCCTCGTAGAGATGCTCTACTGGGTCATCAACTATGCATTCTACCGCATGACGTCAATCGCATCGCAGCGGATATTTGCAAAAACTGGCATATGGAATGTGGCGCAGGCGCATGGCATTGCAGTGCTTGAGACAGAGCAGGAAGGCTGGCTAAGCTTCCTCTTCCCGATTCAGGAGCGTACTGTTCAGTATTGGTTTATGCATGGGCATCAAGACGCGTTGACAGTGCTGAACAAGGCGTACGCGCTTATCCATATTCCTGGTACTGTAGGGCAAGTCGCGTTGGCCCTTCAAGCAGCCCCTGATGGTGATTACTGACGTTTCTCAGATTCATCGCCTGGTATTACTATATCGCCCCTTCTAACCCACGTTCGCCATCGCACGGCGTACCATGACCCTCACCAACTTCCTCGCTTTCATCACATTCGTCTTCTACCCCTGCATGCCGCCTCGTCTTCTGCCAGCCGAGTACGGCTTCCTCGATACCGTCCGCCATGACGACGCACAGAGCGTCTGGATGAGTGGCAAATACGTTAACTCGCTTGCCGCAATGCCGAGCATGCACTTTGGGTACGCTTTCTGCATCGGCTGCACCCTGATCTACCACTCTGGCGTCTTCCGGCGGACCCTCGAAAGGGGCGAGTTCCGAAAGTCAACGTTCTGGAAAGGGTTCTACCTGCTGCTTGGCGTCGGGTATCCGGCGATGATTCTTACCACTATCGTTGCGACGGCGAATCATTACTACTTGGACGCGTGTGTGGCGACGTTCTACGTTGTGCTGAGCTTCTTTTGTAATAAGATTTTCTACGTCTTCCTCCCGCTAGAGGATTGGTTCCTCTGGCTTGTCGGGGCGGAGAAGCCTACACCTTCTACTGGCGAGCGGTTTAGGGAACGCGGCGGTCGGATATGAGCTCTCAGAGCTCTGGTGTCGTATTAATGGGCGATCGTTGGGTGTAGAATAGGGATGCATAGCGTGTGGATCAGGTGCATTGGGCTGGCGTAGAATTATCCATAGATCCTAGGGAACTCCTCTGCTGAGGGGACTTCGGGGAGTAATAGATCATTTTTACTACCAAGAGCCTGCCTGTCTCGAATATAAAATCGCGAAATACCCGCGCGCAGGCTGCTGCAGGTACCGGCGCGAAACGGAGCTTGGCGCGACGACGAAGCTTGGGCGGGCGAGCTCGAAGCTCCGAACCACAGCTGTCGCGCACACCTTCGAAAGTGCGGTTGTTCGGTTCGTTGTTATCAATCGCCGTGTACAGTCCTTGAGCGCGCTGTCACTCTTTTTCTGAATTTGCCACTATTTAGTCCGGCCTTGACAATCAATTAGGCGGAAACGCAATTGAGAGGCTGTCAGTCCTCCGTCCACCAGCCTCCGTTTTACCCAGCCCCAGATCTCGTACCTGCAACTTGTGCCATTGCGCGCTTGTAGTTCTCAATCGTGGGAACCAAAAAGCGTTACAAGTTCCTAAATCACAGCCATGGCAGACCCAGAAGTCCGAGTCGAAGCTACGCCAACGGAGGACACACCGGCGGATGATGTCGCCATGGCAGACGACGGCGACGAAGCCGAGGCGAAAGCAGGAGACGGAGAAGAGGTTTCGACACTCCCTCAAGCAGAGGCGCCGAAGCGGGCAACATTTTTAGAGTGCGCCTCTAGTCAACGATGCGACGGCGCGTTGCGCAAAGCGCGTCGCAAAGCCTCCAAGGCACCCAAGCGCATGTGCTGATACTGGTATAGCTACCTCAAGTCTCCAATGGTGGAGCTCGTCCTCGGCACCGGCTCCGACCAGGCCGTCCTAACAGCGCACCAAGCCATGCTCGTTAAATCCCCCTACTTCGCCGACGTCTGCGCGCAATTCAGCGAAGGCTCCAAGGTTCCCCCCTTCCCTCCCTTCCTCCCTCCCTCCCTCCCTCCCCCGCCCCTATACCACCCGCTAACGCCCACAACAGCGCCGCATCGAGCTCCCCGACGAAGACCTCAACGCAACCGGCTCCTTCCTCGAATACCTCTACATGGACGAGTACTTCCCGCGGCGGCTCAACAGCCACAAGGACTCGCCGCTGGAGCCCGACGACAGCGTGCCCACGCCCGACGACTCGGGCGCCGCGCTCCTCAAGCACGCCAAGGTGTACACCATCGCCGAGAAGTTCGGCATGCCGGCCCTCAAGTCCCTCGCGCACTCTAAGATCCACCGCGCCACCTCCACTGCCAAAGGCGAGATCGCGTACGCGCGATACGTGTATGATAAAACGAGCGCCAGCGACGAAACCATCAGGAAGCCCGTCGCGGCGTTCTGGGCTACGAGGAGCCATGTGCTGCGCCACGAGGCGGAAGCGGAGTTCAGGGCTATGTGTCTCGAGTATCCGCAGTTTGGCTTTGATGTGCTGAGTCTGGTGCTTGATATGAAGGAGAAGAGGGGGGAGAGACATGAGGGCTCGAGTCAGCAGCCGCCGGCGAGTGGGCGGAAGAGGGCCCGGGTCAGTCAGGGGTGAGTATGTGGAGATGCGCGGAAGCGATTCGCGTTGTGCTCAGTGGGGAACGGGCCGGGTGCTGAAGACTCTGAGGGGTTGCACCGTCGTGAGATGGGGGGGCCAATATGAGCGGCGCTCGATCTAGAAAGCTAGGATATCATCTAGTTTCTGCAGGAGGTTTATGTACGTTCATCTTCTTCACCTGTAATGTAGCTGTATCTGTGTGCCATCAATTCAGAGAAGAAGTCGACAGCTCGAGTTCTTGACGATCGGAACGCTGGCACACTACGCGTCAGATTGACAGTGCTCGGGTACCGCGAGAGATACAGTCGAGGATCATGAAACCGACTCGCGGTGGACAGATTAACTAACATAGCCGTTTCCACCACAGGACTGTCCAGCGATCACCCCATGATCAACCGCTCCATCTCGTCCACCTGCTTTGGCGTATCGGTGAGGTTCTCGTATCCTTCCTCGGTGATGAGCACGTTGTCTGCTACAATGTCAGCGCACTGTCTCTGGAACCCGAGCACAAAGCCACCACGCAAACCAGAGGGGAAGTCAGATACTCGCCTTCGATCCTCACACCTCCGACCTCCCAATACCTCTCCAATACCTCCCTATCAATATACTTCGCATGCTTCTCATCCTCCAGATACGGCTCCACAATGAACCGACAAAAGTAAATCCCCGGCTCGACCGTAATGACCGCCCCAGCCGGGACCTCACCCCTGACCCTCAGATACCTGAACATTGGATTCTTGTCCTGATAGTTCGCATGCCCGCCCGTATCATGCGTGTCCATGCCCAGATAATGCCCCAGCCCATGGGGGAAGAACGCCACGCTCGTCCTCGCCTCGAAGATCTCCTCCCTCTGGCCTTTAAGGATTCCGAGACGGATGAGGCCATCGATAGCGATCTCGTGCGCGTGCGCATGAACATCATCCCACACCACCCCCGCCCTCAACATCTCAATGCACGACCGCTGCATCTCAAGCACAATGTCGTAGATCTCCCTGCTCTCCTGCGTAAACCGCCCGTTGATCGGAAACGTGCGCGTGATGTCCGACGCATAACACTCCAGCTCCGCGCCCGCATCGAGCAGCAGATTCAACTTCCCAGAGAGAGGCTGGTCATTGCGCACATAGTGCAACGTCGCAGCGCTGGTGCCGCTGGCAACGATCGAGCTGTAAGCTTGGTTGCGGCAGCCGCGCTCGATGCACGTCTTGAGGAAGATGGCTTCGAGCTCGCGCTCATTGGTGGCGTGGGAGACGGCGCGCATGACGGCCGTGTGGGCGGCGGTGGAGACGGTGTTGGCGGCCCGGATTAGGGCGATCTCGTAGGGGGTTTTGCGGACGCGGCATTCTTCGATGGCGGGTTTGAGGGAGTCGAACTTCGTCTCGCCAAATGGAAGAAACGTGATATGGTCGGACACCTGACCGGGAATGGCGAAGACGGTGGATTTGGAGGTTTCGGAGGAGGCGAGATAGCCGTTCACTTCGGTCGAGGGGAGGACGGCGTCGACGTCGTATCTTGAGCGGTTAGTATATGCCAACGACGTGAACGCAAGAGTGAGGGCCGGAAATTGTGTGATGTTTCCACTGCGCTGCGCCTGCGAAAGATTGCAGGGCATGTTATAATGTGCTTAGAGACGCAGGACAGGACGCGTAACAGCATCGATAGAATTGAACAGAGAGTGATAGTTGGAACATAAAGATAAAGAGATACTTATGGAGACATATTCTCTTTCTGCTATTGGAAACCGATCTCTTGGGATATGGCGGGCCTAGAACTACAATACGCAGGAATAATCTACTCACTTCTCCAACGCTTCCTCCGTTGTCATAGGCAGGCCAGACCACACGACCTCTTCCGGATTAATGGGCGGGATGAACAGCGTGGATTTGTCTGCTGCGATGTCATAGGTGAAGTAGCAGTCAGGCAGCTCGCAACCGGTCAGATAGTAGAAATAACGGCGTTGTCTATTCCGGGTTAGCAGGGTCTGTCTCGAATGCTTTAGAACTCGAAAGAGGTTGACGACGAAGGGCTGAAAGCAGCAGCCGTTGTCCACTATATGTAAAAAGCAATGAGCTAAGGAGTAGTACCGTCTTCTACTTACCTGAAAGGTGCTTCCTGGTCGTTGTCCTACAGGGTTTCAGAGACTAAATTAGTCTCCGCTGTTGCTTGCTCATGGATGCCTCGCTGGGGTGTCTAGGCAACGTACTTCGTTCATCTTTGTCTTCTGGCCCTCGAGATAGATAACTCCTGAGGCTTCTCCGCCATGGGCCTTGATGTACTCGACCACCTTCTTAACATGAGCTTTGGCTGGATACTTCCCTTTCAAAACATCATCGGCTAGCTCGGACATCTTGCTGAGCAAGTGGTATTGCTCTGAGATCGGCTGGTGAAGTGTTCTAGTTGTGCCTCTGTCAAATATGACTTGGAAGATAGAGACGACAAGGTAACATCTAGGCCGATGGCTCAATTAAACGACCTACTACGGTCAGACCCTAGTCAACAGGCTGCAATAGGTGAATAATTCAAATCCCTGATCTATCATATGGTGTTGGATGCCGCTGCTTACCTTGCTTGTCACTTGCGTTGTTGATATGATGTGGGTCTCGTGGCATTCGCTTTCCGTGACGTGACATCGCAAAGCACGATCTGGAGCACCAGATCGGGATACAGCTCTACAAGAAGGCATGAGTGCCCCCTGCTTCTTCTATGTGTTACATGGCTAGCTAGAATCCTCAATCACAGAAGAGCATCATACAGTTAGAGATTTCGATCCGCTTAAGTTGCCGACCCTACGTTGAAATTCATGGTCACCGTAGACCGCTTTGAAACAAGCTATTAACGTGTATCTCATCAGAGAGATGGCTCTATGTAAACGCAAAAGCCCCGAGTTCGTAAATGTATCGCCAACAAGCCCTCCCGTAACGCCGTGCCAATGCATTATACCCTAAATAAATCACATTTTATGCCGCGAGCACAATGCCAGGCCCCGGTAATCTTAGGCCGGAAGGAGGCTTTAGATACGGCAAACGCAAACAGGTGCCAAGAGCAAACGCTTAATCCTTCCACCGGGCGAGGAACCTTTCCATGTCGTCTGTAGGCTGAGCGGCGGCAGCGACCTGATAGTGCTGTCAGCAAATGACATGCCCAACCTGATTAACTTGGAACAACCCACCGTATTCTCCATACTCGAAAACTTATAGGTCCTCGACTGCGTCGTTGTGGTCTTCTGCTTCGGCGTCGGCAGCCAAGTACGAGCAATCTGAAACGAGGTGCTCGGAAACAACGGCTTCATGTCTTTCTTCGAGATCTTCGTAGGCGGCAGTTTCTGCATCGGCGCGAACTTCATGATGCCTGTCTGCTCTAGGTAAGGTACCCCGAAGTCGCCCGCCTCGGCCGGCGCTGGTAGCGCTTCGGCCGTGTCCTTTTGTGTGGCGGGGCCATCAGTGGTGGTGACGCTTTTCAGGCCTGTTATGACTGCCGCTGGGAAGACGCCAGTTACGCCTTTGAGAGTGAAGCGATTCGAGTAGTTTGTGACGCGGCCACCGGTTTTCATCACGGAGATCATCTGAAGGAAGCTGGAAGTTTGGTCAGCCCCTGACCCTAGACATCGCCGGTCGCGAGTTTTCTTCCCGCCGTATGGTCTGGCAAAGCTGACGTACTATGCGTTCTTCGTGTCGGCACCGACGCCAATTGAGATCGTGGCAAGAGCTTGATTGCCGGTAGTATAGACGCCTTTTGAAATTAAATTGGCAAGCGGTATCTACACACGCAGCCCGGTCAGCAACCCGCACGCAGTCCGCTGTGAAGCCGCCGAATAAACCCACCCATTCGCCTTCTGCGTTACCGCCAGCGCAAAGGAAGAGGTCGTACGAGAGAAGATCCGTTATCGGAGGAGCATCGCCGGATTCTTTCCACTTTACTGTTATTGAAGCAGCTTGTACGCCCACTGTGATAGTGTCGCCTGCGGCAGGTCCTGTGAATTCAACATCTGCGAATGCGAAAGGGGCGAGGGTCGCCAGCAAGGCGAGGAACCTTAGCCGCATCTTCATTGAGCCTGGTCAGTCCAATGGGTCGTAGGTCCTGGAGCGGTGCTGCGTGTCTGTGATGAGCTGTGGTAGGGAGGGTTGATTGCGCGATGCTTGTGATGGTAAACGGGTTCTGCTGGGCGCTCGCAATGGTGAGCCCTGCGGCGTAATCAATGCGGAGTGGCGCGGCGCTAGTGCTGCCAGGGCAAGCGCAGCCATTGGCTGAGTCTCAACTAAGAAGAGGCAGCAATACAAGTATTTTTTATCGTCACGTGGATTCTATCAGCATGTCAAGGCCGAACAGCTGTTGGAGTATCTCTATGCACAGAACCGTGATATAGGAACACGACGAATAACCTCAACTGTCCATCCACAAGTTTCGATCGCCAATCCAATCGAATTTTGCACAATGCGTACCAGAAAGATGGGGTACTCGCTGTTTCCTTCGCCGTCGCATACTCCGCAAACACCGTAAAGAATGCGTAGAGTACAGACAGAGGCCTCCATTAAGCAGTTTACGCCGACGTAGTCGCTGTCGCTGACGATGCCGTCCGTGTCGGTAGCCGCGGTTGAAAGCTCGCCGGCGTCTTGCCAGCGAAGGCAACCGCTCTCTGAGCTGCCTTCTGGAGGGAGAGGTTCTTGCTGTATAGCGTCTCGCTGTTGACCTGCAAATCGAAGTCCAAAAGATAACAAAGACTGATTTCCAGCACCTTCAACTCTCGCACGCTGACGCCGCCTACTCCCGCGAAGCGCTCATGGTGGTACCTCAGATCTTCCAGCGCCTTCATGGCCACACGCAGACTCGCCAAGACCAGCCGATGGAGCGTCCGGTTCGTGATCGGTACGAGCTTCTCCACCACGGAAAGCTTGTAGATGTAAACACCGGCTGCTAGCCAGACGGCCGTAGACATAGGACAGTATCGTTGCAGGCGGATGAGATAGTCGTTGAGGGCCACGTTGGCAGGCCTCTTGCTGAAGAACCGCCGCGCAATCGCCTGTTGCTGGACACGCTCTGGCTCGGCATCGGCTCCAATGTCTCCTGGAAAAGGCTCGGACATGTGGGCCTCGGGACTGCCGACCACGACATCTCTGAAACTAGGTGCCTCGATATCGTGGGAAGGCACTGGTGTTGCCGGCCTCGACGTGCTCCGAACCCTGCCTTCTATCCATGCTTGTCTGCTCCTAGGCGTGCCCGGACGACTGATCGGCGGTGTTGGTGGTATGTCTCCGGAAACTAAGGCCAGCGCCTGAAGCGAACGACAGAACATCTTCATCGCGGTCTCGGGTGCGATATCTGAGACGACCCATTGCCCTTCGGCCGGTGGCGACGGAGCGTCCCTGTTCGGTGATCGAATAGGTGGTATGACGCCTGTGTCGGCGGAGGGATTGGGGGGTGAGGGCGGCTCGGTGCCGGCTTGTGAGGGAGAGGTAGCTCCCCTGGTCTCGCTGGATTGCTCCATTATGGATGCTTGATGTCGATGTCGATGTCGATGTCGATGTCGATGTTGGTATTGATTTAATTGTTGATGTAGATGTTACGGAGGCACTCAAGTTACCCAATAAGTATGATGGTCGACTTCCTTGCTCCTTCTCATCTGGGCGGCCATCCGTCTAAACGGAAGGACCGACGAGGCTGCTCAGGTACGTCTCTGATTGTCCACATGCACATTCTTTTTTTCGCAGCGGGGTCAAGCTCTGGCCGCGCGATTGAGCGAGTTCAGGCGACGTGACAGCAGATGTATCAACCTGAATTTGGAAGAAGAGTTGAATCGAGCGGTACGGTCTAGGGTGGTTCCTTGCCAATAGCAGAAGGCAGTCCAATGTCAGACGTTGGTACTGCAACTAAAATGTGAAGCGTGCTAAAAGAGGCCCACCATGCGCCGGTAACTGGAACCCGGTGATGGGGCAGAGCACTAACGCCGCACGAGATACGACACTGTGAAACTGAGACGAGAAGGTCCTCGTCTACGTGCGGAGGAGACGGCATGGCTCTTAAAAGGGCGATCAGTGGTCAACAGCCGTCGACTCTGCACACCATCCCGTCCGCGCACCACACGGCGGGGCGTTTCGAGGCGGCCGCCTCTGACGCTCGCAAAAGGCTGGGGGAACGGCTCGGAAGGGAGCCCTTGACCCTAGTGCGATCGATTGCAGGTCACGTGCCGTATCTCACAGAGTTCCGGAGCTGTTTCTGCGGACGACGGACTACGGCCTTAGCTAGAACTGGAGACACATTCGAGGAACGAAGAACGAAGAGTGCGCCAGGGTTTTGAAGCGCGATCAAGCGCTGGAGCCCCACGATGAGAGCCAGCATCCCTGCATGAAGATCATGTGTTGCGCAGATATTGTATCCCATGGATGCTTTCGACTCTATTCAGGCCTAGAACGTGGAATCTCACGAGCAAGGCACTACGCACTCGAGTCCGGCGTCGCAGGTCGTAACTGCGTCTCTGAGGCACATATTCATGACGGCTCGTACCGTATGGTGGCGTGGTAGCACCTGATACAGGTACGCGCGCCATATTTACCAGATCATGGAGTCCTAGAGCATGGCTCAACGACACCTGCTGCCATGCTCTCATCTTCATCAACCATCCGATGTGACTGCGGGCACTGCTGTTAACTGTAGCGGTATGACTCGGCCGCTAGCAAGCAATTGGAGCAAGTTTTGAAAAGCCAAAGCTCGATCAAAGAGTCCAGCACAAGATCATGCAGAAGATTAGGTCGGTAAACACCGACTATATAGAGTAAGGAGTAATTGCCGACAAATTCCACCGTTGGCGGAAACAAAAGTTTGGTCCGCCGTTGAGGGCAGAGCGCGTCGGGTATCTCGCAGGAACTTTTCCCCTCCCATCACATAGCTCATCAAGTCGTCCCGGTTGAAGTGACGTCCGCCACACCAAAGCTATCTACACAGTTCCGTCGCCTGTCTGGAATGTTGAATGGCTTTTCCCCGACGCCACTGCTGAGCTTCTGTTGAAGCGCTCCGTAACTCCAGAGGTATGCGTAAAAATCGAGTTGAGAAAAAGAGCGTACATATTTACAGATCGAGCTGGCCGCATCTAGGGCGGGACGGGGAAAGTCTGTGGCAATGGCGCATTGCTCTTTTTGGCTGGTTTGGCCCAGCCTTCGGTGCCGTCATCGACGGCTGGCTTCTCCTCTTCCTTGGTGCCGTTGGTGGATGGCTTAGGTTCGGCGGTTCTGTCGCCGTTCGTCGCCGGCTTGGATTCCGGGGCATCGCCGTTCGTAGCCACTTCACCATTCACGTGAAGCGGCTTCTCCATGTCTTTGATCTCCAAACCTTCGAAGAGCGGGAAGATGCCATGCCGCTCATGGAAATCATTATGGACTATAGGAGAGTATGAGCGTGGTCACGACAAGATAGAGTCGACTGACTTACCGATGTTCACTAAGTACCAGTTGTCCATCAAGTCTCGGATCACATAACGAGACGGATTGGCCGCGGAGTAGCAGCTCGCCCAGTCATGTCCAAGCCGAAAGAACTCATCCTTCCAGGCAAGGAAGCTGATAGTCTCCACAATGGTCGGCTGGACAATCTCCTTACCGGGAAATACACCCCAGGTGACTGCATTGGGGCCGTCGCCAGGCGCATTTGTTTTCAGATCACCTTGCTTGTTGACCGCATAGTAGGTCAGGTCAGGGTTCCGTTCGATGCGGGTGATGAGCTCGGCAATGACCTCGGGTGAGACGAGAACCTCAAGATAGGCCTTCTGGTAAACATAGCCGTTCCGCGGGCCCCAACCGTAGACCGGATCAGAAGACTTCGCGCCATCCACGGCTGGCTGAGAGTTAATAGTCAGCAGACCCCGCTGGTTGAGATCGATCAGGTTATCCTTGATGACATCGGCTTCGCTCGAGATCGGCGCCTCGCTCCAAGGCAGGCTTTCAAGCTTGCCCTGCATGTACCTGACGAAGAGGTTGGCAATGTCCTTGACGGACCGTGGCTGGCCCCAGAGCTTCACGTTCTGCTCGTTGGTGCCCTTCAGGCCAATACCGTAGGCATCAAGTTCGCCAAACGCTGGAGAGCGCGAGTCACCCCAGCGCCCGTTTGGAAACTCGTCCCAGTCCTGAGTGCGCGCAACGTACGACCGGTTTCGGTTCCGCCAGAAGATAGGTCGAACGTTCTCGTCCCGACGATTGAGACCGAGTGACTGTCTCCACGGCAGCGGCTTGTCCAGGGGGCTCTCGAGATCTGGAGTAATTCCAAGCTCTTCGAGAACCATACGAGTCGCTTGAGCCAGGTTCATGGTGTAGCTGTATCACGTGTCAGCATACCAACCGGCAAAGAAAACCATGCTACCTACAAGTGCAAGTGGATGATGCCAGCGTCAAGCAGCCGGCGGCACATTTTTGCGACCAAGTCTTTGCCGACTTCGCGCACTTCGGCGTCATCATTCTTGACCGGCTCCAATGCTTTGGTCCATTCTTCAGGTACATGACATTTGGTCCAGTGCGCGCGTCGCAGAAAGGCAGCGTATGTGTGGATTGGCATGATACCAGGAATGATTGGAACGGTAATGCCCTTAGCACGACACTTCTTCACCCAGTCTAGAAAAATGTCCACGTCGTAGAACATTTGGGTGATGACGAAGGTGCCGCCTGCATCGACCTTCTCTTTGAGATGGTCAATTAGGAGGTCCGCGTCTTCCTGGTCCTCACAGCCTTCGGAGTAGCCAGCAACGCCAATGTCGAAGTGATTCCCGTATTTCTCTTTGATGTACTTGACCAGGTCCTTTGCATACCTGAACCCACCGGCCTTGGCTTCCCACTTCTCGCGCTCCCTCGGAGGATCTCCTCGCAATGCCAGGATGTTGGTACAGCCAGCGTTGTAGGCTTCCCGCAGTGCATCGTCGATCTTTGACTTGTCCATATCCGTGCATGTAAGATGCATGCATGTCTCCAGACCGTAGGCGGACTGAGCAGTCTTGACCATCTCGCAGGTTAACTGCGAATGGCGGCCGCCAGCGCCCCAGGTGACATCGATGAAGGACGGGCCAAAGCCGTGCATGCGGTCCATGCGGTCATAGAGGTTCTGCACGCCTTGCGCTGTTTTTGGCGGGAAGAACTCGAAGGAGTAGGAGGGCTTGCCGGCCTTTTGGGCCTCGGCGAGCTTCTCTGAGATGTGCATGATGGTGGTGAGGGATGAGGAGCGGCACAACCGGTGTGTGGGAGGTCGCTACTACAGTCTGCGGTCGACTGATGTATCAGCAAGAGTTAAGATGCAAACTTGACGCCCCATTGACACGGCATCCACAAGCAAACACTCTAAAATCTGAGCGCTGACCTGTACAATTCTAGAACTTACCGCTAAGTAGGTATGTTCAAATCCTTGTTCCTCCCTTCAGCCCCGCTGCCAGCGCTAACCAAGATACCTAACACGGGCCCAACGATCTGCCAGGTCACGCTGCATGTACCGCAACCGTTCCTCTTGCTAAAGAAAGCGAGTGTTGAGAGTGCAATGAGAAAAACCCAATGACCGCCACAAGCTGTAGAGAAAATTGGCTTGGTGGGGGATCTCCGGCGCTGCCAGGCACACAGCATTGAACCCCCCACCACCCCTCGCTCATGACGACAAGCTGCTGCATTGGAATCAGCTCCGACGCAGGAGAAGCAACGTTGAGACAGCAGCGAGAAAGAAGCAATACCTACAGCTCAGACGCGAGAAATGGCTACACTCTGATGGTCTCAGCATTGAGTGGCCGTCGACTCAGCAACTCTGTGTTGAAGCTGCGCAGTCTACACGGACAGCTCGTCTCATCAACAAGGACCTAAGAAATTCCTAACGAGAAGACATTCATCAAGGCAGCATGGACCGCCCTCGCCGCATAGTAGGCACAAGCCTCAAGATGTACTTCAACCCGCAACAAACCGTCGAATACATCCAGGGCGTCGCCGAGCTCTCAGAACACGCACGGTCATCCGGCATCGATCTCTTCGTTGTTCCCGACTTCCTCAGCATACGCGAGTCGCAGAAGATACTACAAGGCACAAGCGTAATGCTAGGCGCGCAAGACACGTTCTGGGAAGACAGCGGCGCCTACACCGGCGAGGTGTCCCCGCTCCACCTCCAACAAGCCGGCGTCAGGATCGTCGAGATGGGGCATGCGGAGAGGAGGAGGATATTCGGCGAGACGGACGAGCAGGTTGCGAAGAAGGCAACAGCGGCTGCACGCAACGGTCTTGTACCTCTTGTCTGTGTTGGCGAGCGCACACACGGCCCGATTGCATCCGCTGCAGTGGGCATAGCCATCGAGGAGTGTCGACCTCAGGTAATGACTGTTCTTGCGGCGATTCCGGATGATGCGGAGGTCATTCTGGCATATGAACCTGTCTGGGCTATTGGGGCAAAGGAACCTGCGGATGCGGATCATGTGGTCAATGTCACGAAAGAGATCAGGAGAATGGCAGCGTCTCGGAAGGGCACGACTAGGATACTATATGGTGGCAGCGCCGGCCCGGGTACTTTCAGCAAGCTTTCGGACGGCGTAGACGGGCTGTTCTTGGGGAGGTTCGCTCATGATATCGGAAATCTGAAGCAAGTCATATCAGAACTTGCGCAATCCTGATTCATGGCAGCATTCAACGGGAGCGATAGCATGATCCGAAATACACATTGACATGATGAGTCCTGGCGGCGAGATGACATCTCTGCAGAACTGGAAAGGCGCGAGCATGCGGTATCAACCAAGGTTCCGAATCAAGGCCATGATCGCTTCGCTTCTAGATAGCCCCTGCGGTCCAGAGCAAAGGCTGTGATTTAAGAGACAACAAAACGACATGTCTCGTGGAGAGCCGCGAAGAGGCCGTTGTCGCATTCACGCCGAAACAGCAACACCGATATCAGTTCAGGACCTCTAAGCTGATAGGCATAGAAGCCCTTAGACTACTTAAGCATTACTACTCTATAGTGCCGGCAGCTTGCCGATCGAACTTCTTGTTTGACAGTACGACTTTCACACTGGACCAATCTGCTCCGATGTGCTCTCAATCCTCTAAAAGCAAACCCCAGCCTCATATCCTCTCCGCCTCCAACACCTTCCTCGCCTCCTCACTCCTCCACCAACTAACCCCCTCCTTACCCGGAAACTCAAATCTCTCCATGCTCTCCGGCCGCATCTCAACACTATACCCCGGATCCATCGGCGTGACATAGTGCCCATCCCTAATAACCGCCGGATGGAAAAAGTGCTCGTGCAAATGATCCACATACTCCAACACGCTCTTCTTCCCGCTGACCACCACATAGTCGATCGTGCTAAGATGCTGCGTATACTCCGGTAGGCCGACACCCCCGCTGTGCGGCACGATGGGCACGTTGAACTTCTTTGCCAGCAGCAGTACGGCGAGGACTTCGTTTACGCCGCCGAGTCGGCAGGCGTCGATTTGGCACACGTCGATCGCGCCGGCTTGGAGGAGCTGCTTGAAGATTACACGGTTTTGGCACATCTCGCCAGTCGCGACGCCGATGCCGAGAGGGGCCAGCGCGGACCGGATCGCGGCGTGCCCGTAGATGTCGTCGGGCGAGGTGGGCTCTTCGATGAACCAGGGCTTGTATTCCGCGAGGTGGCGCATGTAGTCTATTGCTTCGGGGACGGACCAGACCTGAAGGGTGGGTGATTAGATCCCAGCAGATAGGGATGTGAAGAGTAAGGACAACGTGGACATGAGGAAAAGGTATGTACCTGATTCGCGTCCACCATCAACACATTCCCCTTGTCATACCCGATCACATCTCTCGCGATCTGTAGCCTCTCCCTATCCTCCTCAACACTGCCCCCAACCTTCAGCTTAAAGTGCCGGTACCCCTTTGCAGCCGTCTCCTCCAGCAAGGCCCTCATCTTCTCCTTCCCGTACCCCAGCCACCCCGCACTAGTCGTGTACGCCGGGACAGCCCTACTAGCCTCCGCCTCCCTTATCCTATCCGCCTTCCCCTTCCCCGTCTCCTCCAGCATCGCCACCGCTTCCTCCGGCGTCAGCGCATCCGTAAGATACCTAAAATCAATACACCTGACCACCTCCTCGGGCGTCATATCCGCGACAATGCGCCAGACAGGCTTCCCCAGCGTCTTGGCCCAGAGGTCCCAGAGCGCGTTGACGACGGCGCCGAGGGCTAGGTGTATCACGCCCTTTTCGGGCCCGATCCAGCGCAGTTGCGAGTCAGAGACTAGGTGCCGCCATGTGGCGCCCCAGTTCGAGACGAGGGTGTCGAGATCGGCGCCGCGGATGCGGTCGGCGAGGAGGGTTATGGCGGCGCAGACTATTTCGTTGCCGCGGCCGATGGTGAAGGTCTGGGGGTGAGAGGATTAGTTGGCGGCCGGTCAGGGGGACAGAGAGACAGGGAAGGGAGGCTTACCATGCCGTGACCGGTGTGGGGAGAGTCTGTATGGAGGATGCAGTAGGCGGAGCTGTAGTCACCGGCGGCGTTCATAGCATCAGAGCCCGTTTTGTCGAGGGAGGTCTGGCTGCGTCAGTCACCGTTCCTGGACCGTACTGCTTGTAGTTGCTGGCATGGGAGCAGACTAGACTCACTGGGAACCTCACGTCCCGGGTCTCGATATGTGTTATAGTGACCATTTTGTAGGATGATGCGATATGTTGGTAGAGGAGAAGACGAGCAAAAGATGTGAAAGGCGAGGATTGGACTCAATTGCAAGCTATGAAGGACATGGAAGCTATTTACATATCCCAAGACCAACTAGAGCTATGTCTGCCGGAAGAAAGTTCAGTCAGCACCTTGTCTACGGCGGGGCTGATAGGTGGAGAAATGCTGCCATGGGACTCCGAAGCTTCCTCACGCGCAGCATCCCCCACGGCTGGCTCATGAACAAAGTCCTCCCTACGTGTTTGTTCAGTTGTTCGGTGAGCATTGAGCCGGTGTGTTACTCATGTCGCCGGAAAATTATTAAATTGCTAAGATCGGCTTAACCGGTGATAGACGGCTTCAAAGAGAGTTCAGCTCAGCTAACTCTATAAGTTATCCTCAATATTACCTCGACGCTATAAGGATTATCAGCGATATAAATACGTTATGTATAAATGCTTTATATGCGCTATATTATTATATAATGGAGTTAAATTATTATCGCGTGGTCACTATTTGCAGCGTCTAAGAATGATGACACCTTATTTTCTAGTGTTCTACACGTGATCTCATGACTTTCCTGCGACATGAGTATGCGCTACTGCTTCAGAGGCTGATCGTGTTTTCTGGCTGAGTGGAATACTGGAGTTGGAAAGATGGATTATCCTAGACTTGACGCTTAGAGCATGCTATCGATTACATTTCGGACGGGATTATATATCGATAAGCACAACGGATCTTCCATCAACCAGTCCGTTGTGGTCTAGTGGCTAGGATTTGTCGCTCTCACCAGCTCAGCATGAGCTTGAGGCCCGACAAGGCCGGGGTTCGGTAAGCTCACAGTTCGATCCACTGCGCCATCTGTTCAATATGCTAATAATTCTGAAGATTCCCCGCAACGGAATTGTTCTTTTGTGCCTTTTGGATCTCCGTTGACTGTGCGAAGCTTCGGGAGCTTAGGGACTATGCAAATATGTTTGTTGATACAGCAGTCCTGCCTTTTTGCGGCGAAACGTTTTGTGCCCTGATAGAACGTGCCGATGCGACATCGGAAGGACCCTTAGAAAGGCCAAATCACCCTCTAAGACCATGCACGGCCAAACCTTCCGTTGCCAACAGCTGGAATCATAAAAAGCAAGAGCGTGTATGCGTGGGTGCGTGAGTACCCACTGCAAAGCAACCGCATTATCATTAATCTGCCTCACAGAGGAAGGGTCCTGAACACTATGAATCACTTCATCTACTCGACATCCGAGCTGCTTCCATTGACCTACTGTGCTATCTAGCAACGCCTCTGGCCCCAAACATACCTCGTCCGAGAACTGCTGCGGAGACGAACGCGTTGTCCAGGACAAACCCACAAGCCATGCACTCCATCATCGCCGCAACACCCGTGATCCTTCCCGTAGTCCCTCATAGCCCAGAGATGCGATAACAAAGAGCTGTAAAGACCGAGTCGCGCGCGCCATCCGACCCACCATACAAAACAACCATAACGGCCCCATAACCTCATCCCATTCATCCAAAAGAAAGAAACCCCTGACAAGCAAAACCACGTGCACGACGTCGCTCTCTCCATCAAGTCACCGCAACAACATTAAGCGTAAGTTTCGGATTCCTCTCCAGCGCAATCCTCAAGTCCTCCTCGCCCTCGATGCGATAAAACTCCCCCTCAACCTCATCCCTATACTCGACCCCAAACTCCTCCTCCTCGTCCTCTCCCGGCCGTTCCAGCACCCGCCGCTCCCTCAGCTTCTTGTACAGATCCGCGTACCCGAACCCTGCCGGCATGCGCACAACGATGCAGTTCTCCGTGTCGAACCACACCTTGATCTTGTGCGGCGCGCCCTGCGCAGCCGAGGGGGCGGGGAGACTGCTGTTCGTGCTGCTAGCCGCGCTCGCCTGCGTGAGCGCGCTGTTCTGGCGCTGCATGGGCGGCTGCATGGGCGTCTGGAGCGCGTCGGACGGTTGGCGGTAGTGCGCCGTCTGCGCCGTGCTCGAGCTCGCGCCGCGCTGGTGGTATGCTGTGTTTGAGCTGTAGCTGGGCTGCTGGCTCAGATTCCCGGATGAGGACTGACGGGATGCGCCGTTCGAGGGCCCGGTCGAGGACTGCGAGGCCGAGGACAGCCGGTAGCCGTCTGCGGCCGCGACGTCGGGGTCGATTTCGTAGTCGCCTTGTCGTGGCGCGAAGAATTTCCGCACGAGATGGCCTTGCACGATGTGCGGGCCCAGCTTGAGCAGGTTCTTGATATAGACGTCCAGATTTGCTCGCCGGCCATTGGAGATGTTGTCCGTGACGTAGGTCACGGGGCCCGGCATGTAGGGCAGCGAGCGCTCGACACCCGAGTTGCCGGCTTCGAGCGGGAATTCTTGGATCAGTGCGATCTGTAGGTCGTAGAAGTCTTGGTAGAGTCGGGATAGCTCCCAGTGCCGGCCGTCTTCCATTTGGCACTCGATGATGAACCAGAAGATGTCGTCGGCGAAGCAGTAGCGGGGGACGCACGCGCGGACGGGGGCGAGCAGTTGCGGGACGGATTGACGGTACTGAGCCTGGTTCTGGTATGTGCTTGCCGTTCGAGAATGCGAGTGTACCTTAAGAGAGCTGTTAGTCGAGTGTTCCCTGTTGAATTTGGATAGGGGTTTGCGTACAGAATCGTGTCCGTTCGCTGGATATCCGCTTTGGCTCTTGTTTCCCACGCTCATCCGCTCAGTACCACGCTGCGTCGCCGGTGTGTTTGAGTCAAGCTTGCCCAGTGGAATGCTGCCGTTCTTGTAGTCTGCCGCCATCTGCTTCCACTCTTCCACCTTCGGCACACCAGCTCTTCGCACTGCCTCCTGCGGATCTGCCACTGGCTGTCCGGTGGTCATGTCTCGGATTTCGATGAACGATACAGGTATCAGGCCAGGTCCGCCGAGTCTCGTAATCGGCTTCGCGACGAACCACTCTGGGTTTGACTGCGCAATCACAATGATAGCCTCGCCTTCTCTTGCTTCCAGCTCATCTGGCCTTTCAGCCTTGAAGTCATACATGACCATCCCATAGACCATCGCACCAGCTCCTTTCGCCATACTTCTTGACATGCGCATCGGCTTTGGCTCTGAGTCCGTCCCATTCGTGCTGCTGCTGATCGTAGCCCTTTCCGCATACCCAGAATCGTGTCCCGCGTTCGGCTGAACGCTACCTCTTGCTGAACCTGCTGACGATCCACCGCTGTCCCTCACGGTCTTTCCAACTCCTTCGAAGTATTTCACCGGCACAAGTCCGCGGGTGGCTTGCAAGGGATTGCACGCCTCATACCAGTCCTCATCGTTTTCTCGCCCGACAACGTGAAGAAAGTCGCCTTGAGAGAAGGAGAGGTAGCCGGACGCGGGGTTCGAATCAGGCGCTTGATAGTCGTAAAGAGCCTTTATAACCTAAAATGCCACAAGGCAGTCACGTTAGCGGCCATTGCATTGTCCTGGTGCAGTCCTGTTGTGCAGGGCTCGTAGCTATTTACCAGGAGAGTCGCCTACATACCTTCTTCGGCGGCACAATCGATATCGCGTCTTTCTGGGGTATTGAGATGTGATGCGCTCTAGGTTCTGCCTCTTTGCTCTGCCTCGACCTTCGGAACTGAGACGCTGTCAGTATTTCGTCCCAGGCTAACAATGAGCGCGCGGACTGGCGACGGACCTTCATCTTGTCAAATCACCTCTATAGCAACGTTGTTTCTCCACTGTTCCGTTGAACTAGGCGGCAAGAGGGTTTATGACTGTTCGATGGGGAGATATGCGAAAGCGCGGGTAGCAGCGCGGTAGGCAGGCCGAAGCTGCAGGGTTCGTCCGATCGGGTGTGTTGATGTCGCGCAAGACGGTCGGCGGTACTTCCGCAGCGGTCGCAATGCTCGTCGACCGTTGCTGTCTTGGGCGTTTGATATATCAAGTTGCGTGCGGTCGTCGGGAGGTGGAGGGGAGTAGAAGTGGGAGCGAGTCTGGACCACCCTTGCGCGAAGGTGCTGCGAGGTGGGCAGAAGCAGAGCTCGTGCTTTCCACGCTTGTGTGTTTTCGCCGTTGTGCCTCGGGCGCACGAGGCACGCTACTCAGCACGCGACTGTGGAGAAAGCGTCGGTATGCGCGATGAGCAGGCTGTTGCGATGATGCGAGAAGCGTTCAAGATATGGTGGCCGCCGTTTCGGTCTGGATGGACTTGGGGGCAGTGGGCAGAGGGCAGTTTTCTTTGGCCCGCGTTAGGGTTGGCCGAATGACGATCCTCCTGCAAGACGCGCAGGGAAAATCGACGCAGGCACTGCAGGCACTCACAGTCTGCGTGTCCTGTCGACGGACAGAGGCAAGCCTTGCTCTGCCCTTGCGATCGCGCGGCCGCTTGCAGCTGGGTGGAAATCTCCCGCAGAGACACTCTCAGACGCCCAACGAGCGCAGCCTGAGCGGTTAGCTGTGCAATGAACGGTCAAAAGACGAACTGGGCATCGTCCACGCAGCACAGGCGGTTATGTGCAATGGTCTGTTCGGATACTGGCATTCGCGTAGTGGCCAAATCGCCATGAGGCTGTTCAGAAGGTCTTTGTTCTCGAGTTTGGCTGCTTGGGACCATTCGCAACTCGTCGAACCATCCACGCACGCAGCCCGCGATCGTTAACTCCACCACAGCGCCCGCGTCACCATGTGCCTACCATCAACACTCCTCTCCATTGAACTAAGGCGCTTCGAGCAGCATAGGACAGAAGCAGCTGCAAGCCATCAAGAAAAGGATTCGAAGTCTGGGATCAGTCGTCCGCATAGGCATACCTAAGCTTCTTCGAGGCGAGCGCGCCGTTGGACTTGCCAAAGCTTGCGCTTCCGCCAGCCACCAACGAATCAGTGGCCGCAGCAGCCATCTGCATACATCATTGGTCGCTGCCTGCGCCGCAACGCCTATCTAACCGTGAACCCAGAAGGGGAAACCCTATTGCAAGTGAACTCCGCCAAGCCCAGCAACGCCGTCAAGAAACAGTCTCTGTGCCATCCACGAACGCCAAGCCCAAAATCCTTCACATGAACGGGAAGATTGCGTTTACCTTGGTGTTGACAAATTGTCGAGGGGGATCCCACATGCATCAAACGCTCTTTGGCGCCGGCAGCATGCTGGTTGTGGCGAGCGGCGTCAGCCTTTCGCCAAGGGGACAAAGACGTGCTTTGATAGCCATGCAAGATTCCCGTCATAGCCACCCTCCAGAACCCGCGGCAAGTCGTCTCCAGGCCGACAAGCACGCTTCTGCAAACAATCCAAGATGCGCCGGCTGCGAGCCGACATCGGGATCGCAAGTTAAAGCGACGCCCTGGGAGCCAGTTCAGCCGTCGTGGTAGGTGCCAGCGACGGCGAAGCTGACGCACCAAGGACTTTGTTCGACTTTGCGATCCGGGTCTGGCAAACTTGACGGGCCCCCGAAACAATCGTCAAGACGTGGACCCTCTAGATTTCGCTATCCAGGCTGACGTAGTGAGGTACTGAGGAAGAGTCGCAGTACGACTCAAAAAGAAGTGTAAAGGATGATGTTGCGGCGAGAGCCGGGTTCCAGGCCCCAACAGCTTGGATGGGCTCGTAGACAAGAAAAGAACTGGAATTTGAAGAGAGGAGGAGGGCAAGGGGGAAGATATAGGAGGGGATAAAAGGAGTGAGACGAAGAGCGATCGTGAGAGCGACGAATCCGGATTGATGAACGCGTAGAGCATTCAAGCAGACGGGTCCAGATGCCGTGAGGTTACACACGTCGAGGACCTGCTGTGCAGCAAACAGCGATAGATTGCTTGCGGTTGCTGAAGTCGAGGCAGACATCTGAGAACTGCCATTACAGGACGTCTGCGAGCAAAGCGGTAATCACATGAAACCATCACGGACCATCGGTTGTCTCACATGGAAGTCGGAGGACGATCCTCGAAATGGCGGAAGTGACCCGGGCCGGTCTCCGTAAGCTCATATCTGACCCTTGATGTCTACCTTGCGGAAAGCTGCATTCTTTGCATTCTCGAAGAGAAGACCGGCTTTGCCCGTCTGGAACACAACACTATCGGTTCTGTCTTCGAGCAAGCCTTGAGCGCCATGGTCACAGAGGAACTGCACACAGTCTTGGTCCGACTCGAAACCTAGCTCTTCGGTAAGGAACCTGATTTTCACGTCTGGCTTATACCTGGCACAGCAGTCAGCAATGTACACCTGCATAAGGGGAACAGAGCGGACTTACGCCTTGCATATGTTAGCTAAGGCAGCTACTCGCTCGCGGGCAATGAACATGTCCATCAGGTAAGCGCCCATGTTAGGTGTCTCAAGGTAGAGGCGGAAAAATCTGTGGTAGTTGCCCAACGCCAAAGCAGAACGCACGTCCAACGCGTGCTTGACTGCAGGCTGTTGCTTGTCTGTGGGGGTTAAGTCTGCCAGTATATCGTTCATGTCGGTCCGATTGCACGTATAGATGAAATAAAGAATGCGATACGCCAGAAACTCTGCCGGATGCCCGCCTAGCTTCTGCGAATACAGTGCTCGAAGCTGCGTCTGGCACTGGTTGTACTCACCCAAGTCCCCCTTCTCTAAAGCTATGCGGGCATGGATCTCGTAAGCGTTAACCGTGAATTCGTTCTTGATATGCTGCACGGTCAGGTCTTGCCGTAGTGACTTGAACTGATCGCAGATGTAGGTGTAGTTGCTTTCCTTTTTCCACTTCTTCTTCAGCAGGTCCAGAGTTTGTTCCAGGATGTGCAATGGACGGACGGTCTCGGGTTTGGGTGCAGATGTGAGTCGGAAGTACCGCTTCTCCAAGTCTTGGCACGTGCCGATGATAGGACCTTCGTTCACATCAAATGGGCTTCCGTCCTGGGAGTGGTGTAAGGACTGCGGCGATCGGTTTCCGGGCTTGCCGTTCTCGAATCGTTGTTTGCGTTTCTCCAGGTTCTCCTGGTACTTACTTGTTCCCTTTGCAAGGTCGTCCAGCTTCCTTTTCTGGCGTTTCTCTACGCGGTCCGCTTGGCCTTGGTTTGCATAAGTGATACGATCTTCAAATACGTTGCGGGGGTTAGCTTTCCGCCAGGGAGGGATTGAATCATCGTCAGCATCGCTCATAACAGTGTCGGCGGATTTGCGCTTCTTCGAAGAGTCACCGTTGCTGTATCCTGCGAGTGCGACATGACGGTCCGGAGTCGTGTCTCTTCTCCAAGGTTCAGTGGCCGCAGCTACTGGCATCGCCATCCGTGCTCTTTCAGTGTGTATTATCTGTTGAGGAAGCGGCATGGCTTCCCAGTTCGTCGATACAAGCGCGTCCCTCTCTGCCGCTTCAGTGATAACCTTCTTCAACACTTTCTCAATTTCTTCACGATCTATTCCGGCTACGGCAGCATCAGGTGCAAAGGATCGTTGAACGTACTCCCGGACGGCTTGTGGCCAGTCGACTTTCTTCGTGGGTGCTTTCGGTTGCGATGGCGCTGGCTGAAAGGAATGTTAGCGGGCATGGTTCTGATGGGTGACAGCAAAGCTTACCGAGGGTTCGGGTGGAGCGAACTTTCTACGCGCCGGTACCGTAGTGAAAGCGGGTGATGCTGCAAATTTTCAGCTCCGGTTGATGAGTACGGGTACAGACATTGACTGCTTACGATGCATGACGGCGATTTCGGCAGACTGTCTCCACGGTACTGTAGTCGCGTACATTAGTCGAAGGTGTGTCGTATTTCACGGTATGATCACGGCGAGTTTAAATTCAGGCAGAAGAGCGTAATGCGTAGGTTTAGCGATCGCCTTTGGCGGTGAGTAGATGGTGTGGAAGTTGTCGCTGCTCTGGGGTTGATGATTAGCAAGAGGCAGGAGCGCTCACGTGACGGAAAACCGCACTTTACCCAGGTGGGCGGCGATTTTGTCATTCAGTCGACACCTAACAGGTGGGATGTCACGTGCGTGGTCTCTTGATAGGAAGAGTTGCTGTCTACAACCGTAAATTGACCTCCGCTGCTTTCAATGTTCTGAATGTTCCTTCGCCAGCTTGATTTGACGACTGCGCTGCGTCCCTCACTGCTCCCGGATGAGACGCTTCTATTCGTGCAGGATGCCGTGGGCTTGTACGAAGGGTCAGTCCCTCCCGCCCACCTATGCCTGGAGCAGTCACTGATACTGGATACTGCGCTGTCGCATAGGAAGTACAAGTTACCTAATCACCAGAACGGCCATGCCTACCTGACCTCGCACCGAGCCTGCTACGTAGATAATGAAGAGCCGAGAAAGTATAGTGTTGCTCTAGAGCTCAAGGATGTTGACAAGTCGGACTTCTACGTGAGATGGAGAGGGAGCAATCGCAAGAGGGAGCATGCTCATGGTAGACCTAGGCCGGCTTCCTGAAGTCCTCTCCCAAGATCACACTCTACCCGAAGCCCTCAAAGCGCGCTTCTTTAACACCTTGGGGCCCACCTCTATCAGTCAGTGGCAGCGCAAGACTAAGCCCAACATCCACGCCTCCAACACGGCATGGCAGCCCAGCACGCTCTTTCGCGCCCTCCCCGGTGCCACCCGTAACAACCGCTACCTGGATCTGTCCCATATGCTCGTTCTCCAATCCTGTACCGACGAACTTCGATCCTGCTACTGCAAACGCACATACGCCATTGCCGCCATGTCTCGCATGCGGCATCAAACCGCCTCTCATACATGTGGTCAAGGCGGCAATAGCAGGCATAAGCAAACGGCAAGCGCCAGTTGTTGCGCCCGTACCGCAAAGGAACTTTGATCCATTCGCCAGTTTGTCGCAGACACAATTAGCCGCTGCGCCTTCGTTCATATGTCCTCGATGCACTTTTGAGAACCACCCATCGCTCATAGCCTGCGAGATGTGCGGTGCTTCCCTGGTGTCGGCACCAGACAAGCGCCTTGATCTCAGCGATGCGGCTTCACGGCGAATAGAGTCGCCCGGGCCGTTCCTCGACGATCAGTCTATCGAGAGCGACTCTGTCGAGTGCGTCAAGTTTTCTTTCCGTGCAGGAGGCGAGAAGATCTTCTACGAGCGGCTGAAGGGCGCGTTGGTGCAACGAAAATGGCTCCTCTATAGCGCACCACCAGTACCGAAGCCCAACAATCCCCCTGGCGCCCCCCAGAACGGGCGTTCTACTTTCAACGCAAGCTCATCCAGCCCTATCCCCGAGAAGGGCATTGGCATAGCTGGCCTCGAGCGGAGAGGGGCGGAGTTGAGGAAGAACAATGAAGTCGTGATCGGCAGCGCCTTCGAAGACCTCGAAGCACTCATGACGTCCGCTAAAGAAATCATCGCACTTGCAGAGCAATTCGCTTCACAAGCGAGTATGAGCTCAAATGGCAACGCTTCGGAGGCCAACGCATTGATATCGCAGTCTGCATCCGCACTCGGTCTGGTGACCACGAAAGATATGCTAGGCTCAGGCAGTGGCTCGGAGTCGCTCTATGTGTCGGAGCTTTCACGGAACTTGGCTGAGTTCCTTACCGACGACTCCAAGGGGATCCTCAAACGAGAAGGCGGCATCATGAGCTTGGTAGATCTATGGGCAGTCTTCAATAGAGCAAGAGGTGGCGTCGAGCTCGTCAGCCCCGCAGACTTCGAGAAAGCAGCACAGATGTGGGACAAGCTCAAGCTTCCAGTCCGACTCCGGAGGTTCAAAAGCGGCCTTCTAGTTGTTCAAGGCCGCGATCGGACTGATGAGAAGACCATCGCTAGCTTGCGTGCATGGCTCAAGGAACTTCATTTCGATATACCCAAAGACGAGGTCACCTGGGACTGGACGCACTTCGGCCGCGGTATCACCGCGCAAGAAACAGCGCAGAGGTTCGGCTGGAGCGTGGGTGTCGCGAGCGAGGAACTCGAGATGGCAGAGGAGAAGGGTGCGCTCTGTCGCGAGCAAGGCTTTGATGGCCTGAAGTTTTGGGAGAACTGGCTCGTGGAGTTGCCTGTAGAGACCCCAGGAAGCAGCCAGCAGTGAGTTTGCTGTAGTGGGTTGCTTGGTTACAATATGGCATCTTAGTATATAGACAGTCAATTGAGGTTATCGTTATAGCCTCGTCTACCATATAGAGGATCGCCTGCATGGTAAGAGACCCTCGATCTTCAATCGTATCTGTGCGGTGCGAGTGATATCTTTCGGCCAAAAGAGATTGGCGGACGGGACAGGCCGGAGCGTCGGCTATCCTCGGTGTAGAGGCACGCGAGCGTTTTTCCCCATCGGTGTTCCGATATAGGAGCGTCTGACCTCCCGCAACCACCTCCCGTTACCTTGCGTAAGGCCGTTGAGTCTGCCTCAGCGGATAAGAACACGCATTATCCACGGTTTCTCACACGCCTTCCCATTATCGTAACATTGCCATTCGCATGCAGCGACGGTCAGCCTCGTCGACAAGCAGAAAGAGGAGGAAGCATGGCAGGGGAAGCAGCTCTGCGCGCGGCCACTCCGCGAAGAGATAGTTCAGCAGCGCCTACCGTAGCCGACGTTAACGGATGGAGGCCTACAGCTCTTCCTTCGAAACTGTCAACGCCAATTGAGCCTATTACCAAGGCCAATGAAGCGTCCAAGGCGTGGAATACCCGCAATCTGGGATTGAGGTTGGGTGCCGACTTTGCGGCCGCTGCGAGTGCCGGAGTGCTCGTTGCGCCTATCATTACGGCGATTGACCGTGGCATCATTGAGAATGCCTCTGGCCGCAATACTCTAGGAGCCTCCCTCAGATCCTCCCTCCGCACCCTTGTCCTCAGACCGCACGCCTTCATCTTCTCGAAGCCGTTCGCCCTGATCTTCGTATGTACCCGCTCTGCACCTAGATCCTCCTTCCATACGCGAGAGCCCTCATTAACACTTCCCCCAAGACCCTCTACACCGGCACCTACCTCACAGCCAACACCCTCGACACCACCCTCAGCACGACCCACAACCACCCCGCGGCCCACACCACCTCCGGCGCCCCCAAATTCCTCGCAACTTCCAGCGCCAACCTAGCCCTCTGCCTCTACAAAGACAGCCGCTTCACCCAGCTCTTCGGCGCCGCCTCGCCGCGCCCCGTGCCTCTCCCCACCTACGCGCTCTTCACGATCCGCGACTGCCTGACCATCTTCGCCTCGTTCAACATCCCGCCGCTCCTCGCGCCGCACATCGAGTCCCGCCTGCTGCCGAAGCTGGGGGAGGGCGTGAGGAGGAACATTGGCGCGGCCAGCGCGGCGCAGTTTGTGGCGCCCGCAGCGGTGCAGCTGGTCAGCACGCCGTTGCATTTGCTGGGGCTGGGGTTGTATAATGAGCCGAGGGCGACGTGGGGGCAGAGGATGAGGAAGGTGGGGAGGGAGTGGGGGATTAGCTGTTTAGCGCGGATGGCGAGGATTGTGCCGGCGTTTGGGGTTGGTGGGGTTGTGAATATGAGGGTTAGGAAGAGATTGATGGGAGGATTGGAGTAAGAGGGGGCTGTATGTATCAATGCAGGGGGAGCGAGGGTCTCCTGGGCTTTGGTCGCTGTTTAGTGGGTAGTGTTAAAGTCTAGCTCAGGAGCGATTTAGAGCTTGCGCGGGAGTTGCTAGAGCTGCTAGAGCTACTCTGTTTTTTTAGGTCGCGACATACGGCGTTGGGTCGCTCTACTTGAAATATTTCCGGCCACTCGCCGAAAAGTAGTGCTGTGATATGACGAATCCGAAGGGAGAATAGGTGAGATGGAGCTCGGTGCGGGAACGACGGAGAACTGCTGGTCCGTGCAACGGTTGCTCGCTGGCAGTGGACACCAGCACCAGAACAAACACCACTTCACTTTACATGCCACGTACATGAAGTGACCTTGACGCCTTCAACAGCGAAGCTTTACTTGCAGCGTCTATAACACACGTGGTTGTCTGGCTATGATTTGAAGCTTCTACTAGCATAGTCGGAGCTTGGAGGAGCTCTATCACACGTAAACAGCCTGAAGTAGCACCGTCAACAGCTCTATAATTTCCCTCCGCATTCCTCACACCCTCACCCTGCGATGGCTGTCGGACTTAGTCCTCGCCGAGCGCATATCGATATCTCGCCACTTCCGCCAAAGCTAGACACCACCGCCGGAGCAAGATCACGTCTCTTCCAACCACCACAAACGCCCGCATCATCCTACTCATCGAGCACCTTCACCTCCACCAACTTCGATAACCTCGCGAATGGCGGCCAGAAGCGCTCACGGCATGACTCGGAGAGCTACTTCACGACGCCCTACTCAGCAACCGCGAGTGGTTGGTCCAATGTCTCCGCCTCCTCGATCCTGCACTCCACGGACCTTGCAAGCCCCGCTCCGCTCGTAAACACCAGATACACTCTCGCAGGTGGACTGGACACGCCGGGACTCGCGGCAGCAAGCTCATACGAGGGCGCAAATGCTCTGGCGTATGATGTGGACTTTAGAAGGCGGTGGAGCGTGACGAGCAACGGCGGCCACAATGGCGGCATAGCAACGCCAGGTCCCTTGGCCGGCGAAAGAAACGGCAAGCGACGCCATCACTCGTCCCCCCACGACACGCCTCGCCAAACTTGGTCTCAAACCGTGCTCCACCTGGCCGGCGCCATGGCAGGCAAGATGTGGGACTTCTGCCGTGCAAACGCCTTTCGCGGTTTCTATGCCGGCGGCGGCCAGGGCTACTCCGTCTCAAGTACAGACAGCATTTGGGAAGACCTAGACAGCCGCCAACCCGTCTTCTCACCCTTCGAGTCCATCACGACGCCCGTACCCGGGGACTTTCCACCCCTGCAGCACAACGACTACGGCACCGACTTCATCCACCGCGGCGAGACGCCTACACCGCCGCGCCCCGCCAAGCGCATACACACAGACACAGGTTGCGGTTGGGTGATGGTAGACCGGCATTCCGACTCTCGAGCCTCGAGCCCACGGCTTTCTACGCGCCGCACACCGAGCCAGACCAGCACAGCTTCGAACGCGACGCCCAGATCTCACCTCCCACGTCCCGTCGCCCAGCCGCGTCCACAGCTCACACGCCCGCCCTCGCACCGGCGGTCCTTGATCCCCGTCTCGCGCCGCGGCTCCGCCGTCTCGCTGTCTGGCTCTCCGGCGCTGCAGCACCAGCCCACGGATAGGGCTCCAGCATCTTTCGCCTCACCCCGCGGCGCACAAGCCACAAAGATACCCTCCCGACCGGGCTCACGCGCCGGCTTGTCCGGCCAGGCGCTTCCGTCCCCTGAGACGCAGAAGTATGCCGCGAGGCTGAGGCGGGAGGAGCGTGAGGCAGACCGTAGCCTGAGGAAGATGAATGAGCGGCTTAGGGACATGGTGCGCGAGGGGAAGGAGGCGCTGGGGTCGAAGATCGAGATTGTGGACGATGAGGTTATGCAAGGGGCTTCCTGGGGGTGACGAACGCAACAAGGGAGGACTGGCGTTGCATAGATGTGCTTGCAGCATACTACTGGTGAAATTTTTCTGCTCCGTGGGTCAGGCTTTGGGTAGCAAGCTCGACTCGATACTTTTGCGCGTTATGGCGAGGAGCAGGTTTGACATTAGCGGCAGCGTCTCAGGCGTTTGTTCCGTGCTTCTGGGATAACCCCGAACTGTCCTTTGAGAGCATTCTGGACGGGCTAGTTGCGACAAGAGAGCATATATACGATTCCTACAATGTTCACCCCGTCGCCAACCCCCTTCCATGCAGATAGTGATATACACGGTCACCCTTCCTCTCATCTGACTATCCCACCTGTCAACAAGCCATACCACCCTATCATCCCTCTCTCAACAAAACCATCCATCCCTCTCCCCCCAACTCCCCCGCACAAAACCCGCCTTACCACCCCTTCCGCCTCAACTCCTGCACCCTCCCAACAACAGCCTGGAACCCCTCCTTGAACCTCCTCCGCCACCTCTCCCTCCTCAACCTCTTCCTCTTCAGCCCCGGCCGTTCATGAAACCGCTGCCTCGCCTCATCCTGCCGGACGCGGTTGCGTCCGCACAGCATCTCGAGCTGCCTGAGGCCCCTGGCGAGATCGACCCCCTTGCTCGCATCCACGTTCACGGTGCGGCCCAGCGAGGGCCCCAGCCGGAAGGGCGAGGGCTCCGGGATCAGCTTCACGGCGGCGGGCGGTGGCGGCGTGAGCGAGGGGCTGGAGATCGGGTCGAGCATTCGACCTAGGTCGAGGGTGTTGGGCACGGGGTCGCGGCTGCGCGGGCTGTAGGGCGCGGGGCTTCGGGGCGCGGGAGTGCGTGTCATGGCTCCGAGGAGGTCGTCGAGGGAGGAGGTGGTGCCGCTGCCGCTGTTCAGGGGGGAGGGCGTCACATTGTGCCGGCTCCCTGGGTGCGTTTCCCTGCGGTGGGTGGCTTGTGCGGAGGGCGTCTTGAAGCGAGAGGTCCGGTGCTGGGAGGTCGGTGTGGTGGAGGAGAAGTCCAGCGCCGAGTCGAGGGCGGACTCGAGGGAGCTGGGCTGGTGCTGCGGCTCCCTCGTAGGTGGTGGGTCGGGGGCGCGGGCGGCGGCTTGTTGCGTCCGCAGAAGCGTGGTGGAGAAGGGTCGATGAGTGTTGAAGGGGGATGTTACTGCTCCGAGCCGTGACCATGATGCAGATGGGGGGAAGTGCGGCCTCGTGCATCCTCGTGAGGATATTGACGAAGGCGCGAGGAGGGTGGTTGGATGACTACGGAGGAGGGCCTCTCCTGCCCGTCGGAGCTCCATCGTGTGGTACTGGACGGCCGTCGATCAGACCAGGCTGATGAGAATATGTTGCCTGCTCGTGTTTGAGGCTCAATTGGTCGGCCAAGGCATGTCGCCAGGAGATGTATGCACCCGGATGGAGATGATCCCTCGAGTTCGAACTTCTTCATCTGGGAGAACTTCGGGATTTCTCAGCTCAAGTTTCTGGCGCAAAGCAACTGCAGGCACAACCACGGTCGCGTGTAAAGCAAGAGATACCCCTATTCAGTTCTCATCTGCTTTTCCTTTGGCTCACTCATCTGGGAATCTGTCTTTCGCCGCGAAAGTTCCCTTCCTGCGAAACACCCGTATTTGCCATGTACAACTATCAAGGTTAGATTTTCTCACCGTCCAATAGCTTCACAGCTACTCAGAAGAAACATGCGGCTTTCCGCTTGGTTTCAAGGCGATCGTACGTAGTGAAATCTAGCTGACAGCCAAGCAGCACCCGGTCAATATGGCCGCCCACCGAGCTACGGTGGTTTCCCAGGCGCGCCCAGCTCATCCCCCGGCATGGGGCCACCTCCAGGCATAGGTACGGCCCTCCCCTTTCTCCACGCGCAAACATGCAGCCCTGACCTTACTCTCACAGGCAACGCACCCGGCATGGGCCCTCCCCCCAGCGTCGGCGCACCCCCAGGCATGCAACAAGCCCAATCCTCCGCAACACCGCGCCCCGGCGGGCTCCCACCGAACTTCGCCCCTCCCGCCGGGATGCCCAACATCAACTTCAGCGCGCCCGTCATCCGGCTGGGAACGACAGGGCCAGGCCGAGGCTCCGAGCCCGTGCGGCGGGACACCAACGCAGAGCCCATGTCCGCGGGCGGGCGAAGAGGATTGGGAATGGGGAGCGACTACCGGGGCACAGAGCAGCAGCGGCAGCAGATAAGAGATAGCATGATGGCGCTGCAGCCGCCGACGCGGGAGGAGATTGCGCGAACAATTTTCGTGGGGAATATCACGGAGGGCGTGGGCGGGGATCAGGGGTTGGAGAGGGTTCTGAGGACTGCGGGGAGTTTGCGTCGCTGGACGAGGGCTACGGACGCGGATAATAAGCCCTGCAGGTTTGGGTTCGCCGAGTATGAGGATGCGGAGAGCTTGGAGACTGCGGCGGCGATATTTAGAGATGTGGAGGTGCCGCTTAAGAGGCAGGAGCCGAAGGCTAAGCAAGAGACCGATGGTGCAGGGGAGGAGAATGGGGAGGTGGAGAAGGCGAAACTACTGGTATGTATTTGGCCTACCTTGACACGGCATTTACTGACCACAGAGCGTCACAGGTCATCGTAGACGAAGCGTCAATGAAGTACGCCGAAGAGTGGAAAGAGCGCCGCAATGAGAACGAATCAGCCTCGGAGTTCCGCATCGACACCGCCAGAGAATCCCTCCAGAGCGTCCTCCGCAGCCTGTTCCATCCGGTCCCTTCAGCCAGAATGGATCAAGATGGCGATGTGGCAATGGCAGACGGAGAGCTAAAGAGCGATGCCACCGCAGCTGAAGTGATCACAATTCCCCTGTCCGCCGAAGATGAGCTATCAGATATCCCCGCCGAGATGCGCGAGACGGTCGCCGCGGAAATTGCGGCCTTCAGAGACCGCAGCAATCGCCGAGATCTCGAGCGTTTACGTAGAGAAGAAGAGGCTGAGGCGCTCGAGCGGCAACGAGGGGGAAGAGCGAACCGCCTGGCCTCACCCCCTCCTTCTGCACCAAGTGGCCCTGGCGGTGCTAATGGCATTCCTCTGGGGCCTAGAGAACGCGGTGTAGTGGGTGCTCCGAGTGGCCCTAAGGCCTTCCAAGGCTCACAGGTACCCAAAGACTATCAAGGTGGTGTTACATTTGTCAACGGAAGTGGCATCAACGGCGCAGCGTCTGCTGGGTGGATCAACCGCGAAGACGAGGACAGTGACGCGAGCGATGAGGAGCTCGAGCGACGCCGACAAGAAAAGAAGGAGGCGGAGCTGGAAAAAATCTATCTAGACTACGAGCGGCGCTGGCTGAACCGAGAGCGGAGCCGCACAGCGGCGGTGGAGCGAGAAAAGGCCCGCGACAAAGATGAGGAAGCGGCACAAGCGCGAGAGAAAGACGCCGTCGCAAAGCGACTGAAGGAGTGGAATGACGATGTCGAGGCCCAGAAGAAGACAGAGGAGTACTACGTAGACCGCAGCTTGTGGATACGTAACCGCATGGCTTTCCGCGCGCGTGAAGCGGAGGCCGATGATAGGGACAGGGCGAACGAGGACCGCGAGAAGGCGCGCGAAGAGCAGAAAAGGGAGCAGGCCCGTGGTATGGCCGACTCTTTCTTGGACAGGCAAGCAGAAGAGCTCGGCTCCCGTGTGCAGACACCACGAGAACCCGCCCGCTTCAAGATGTCGCTGGGCACTGCAGCCGCGCAAAAAGCCCAAGCAGCAGCGCCGAAACGCCGCACGATCGCCGAAGTCGAGGGCCTGCTCGAAGATGAAGAGGAAGCGGATACGACCACCAGACGCACGCTCGTGCCCATCAAATTCGACACTGCGGCCGAAGCGGCGGGACTTACGGATGAAGAGAGGCAAGAGGCAGCGAAGCAGCTGGCGGGCGATATACCCACCGACAAGGAAGGCCTCTGGAATTGGCCGATCAAATGGGAATTCGTGGATGATACGGTGCTCACGGAGAGGCTGAAGCCGTTCGTGGAGAAGAAGATTGTGGAATACTTGGGCGTGCAGGAGCAGATGCTGGTGGACGTTGTGGAGGGGCATATCCGGAAGAGAGGCGGGCCGGATGAGCTGATCGGGGAGCTTGAGGGGGTAAGTCATCTGTGTCCTGTCTCAGCATGCGCACTTTTGCTCCAGAATTCTCGCTAACAACACACACGCAGGCACTCGACGAGGAGGCTGAGGTCCTAGTGAAGAAGCTCTGGCGCATGATCATCTTCTTTTCAGAGAGCGAGAAACGTGGGCTATCAACATAGTATCGAAACTTACAAGCATGGCCGATAAGGAGTTCAAGGGGTTCAAGCTGCACTGCAGGAGTAATCAGCGTTACGTGGCATTCTCACAATCCGATAGATCCAGCTGAACATCGTTCGTTACGAAGGGCACTTTCGATTTTTAGAGCGCCGATCGAGAATTTCGCGCCGTTGGTTAATGTCTGGGTAGAATAGTCCGGTACCTCATATATTGAACCGAAGCCTGAAACCGAGAACCGCGACAAATGTAGGTACCGACCGTGCCCAATGTCTTCGGCGCAAGGTAGAGTCTGCTCTGGCAAGCTTCCTGTACCGTTGATTTCACAAACGACTTTCGGCGGGTTTCCGTAGCTCTGAATTCTGCTGTCTGAGCGAGCATTGCGCGAAAAGATAATGTAGCCGTTTGGTCAACCTTGGACACGCTCCAAAGTTGATGAAACCCAAATTGCTCACGTATGATAAATAGAGCGCCAGCCCACTATGCTTCATCGCTCAAGAACCACAGTGACCGTTCATCGAATACCGCCATCCCTCTGAAAAAGAACGACTATTCATCGAATACCACCATCATACCAAATCATCTCCATCACTTCAAAATAGATCTATACTTTCGAAAACATCCCCACCTCTTCCAAACACTCTCACCAGAAGAAAATGTGCCGATTCCAGAACGGCCAGCGCCTCTATGTCTGCGCCCCTGTGTACGCCTCAAACGCGCAGCACCCGCACCTCTGCCTCGACGGACGCTCTGCGCGCACCCAGCCAGAGCCTCAGGATGAGAACAACAGGCAACCAGGTTCGTGAGCCCCCTTTCTCACCGTCAGCATCATCCCCCGCAAGCAAAAACTCACCCGTCTCCAGGCATCCTCAAAGCGCTGCGCCAAGCCCTCAAAGCCCTCTACCGCCGCCTGCGCCGCCGCGGCAACCGCACCGCCAACGCCGACCTCGAGGCCCAGCTTCAGCACCCGGCCGCCTTCTTCTCCTCGGCCGAGATGGCAGAGCCAGCTCTCTTCCCCGCGCACGGCGTGCCGATCCCGCTGCCGGATTTCGGGCCGCGCGGCATCATGGAGGCGTGGTGGTTGCTGAGGCTTCACGATGACGATAAAGAGGAATCTGAGGTTGAGGCGGCCAGCCCGACGTCGTCGCTAGGTGTATGGGGCGGCCCTGCTTATGGCGACGGGAAGTATAGAGGCGTGTTGCGGTGCATGAATCCTGACCAGTGATTGAGGAGGCTTTCGTTTTGGAGGCGCTTGTAGGGATTGTTTAGCGGCATTCGTTCCTCGATCTTGGTGGCTGAACATATATCTGTAGACAAGCGTGGCGCCCTGGAGTTGGCGGTTTGTGTTAAGCAGCTTGGATCCCTGACGAGGGAGGCTTCGCTGAGTTTATGATGAATATGAAAACCAATGCTCTTGAACGGCAAAGAGCTCGAAAGTGACAGTGACTGAAAGCACGCCTGTAAATTTTTACTATGTCTTCCCCCATCATTGGCTGTGTGATGTGATTCGCAAGTGCTTGATTACGATAAGTCGAGATACGGAAGGTATTCGACATGGCGGCGAAGACTTCCGCACAGAGAAGGCGTTTCCTACGTAGCATCGTCTTGTTTACCTAGAGCTCTCCATCGTCACTTCTGCGCAACGTTCGTGATATGCGTTCAAGTGTGTTCTTTGTCGTGGAAACAGACTCCGACGTTGCTGCACAACGGCGTCTGTGCGACTCGCCGGCCACCCTCGGCGCGGCACGCTGCTGGTGCTTCTATGAATAGGACTTCGCCGCATCAAAGACTTTAGCTGCTGGCGGACCGCATCATGAAGCCTCGGTATGAGTTTCTTTTGAACGATCCCCCGGTGGAGTTACTTTGTGTCGCTGAATTGACGGAACATTCCTCAGATCCGGGTCCTGTGACACTCCTCCCCCTCAGCTCTATCCCAATAGGGACAATATGCCGTGAGAACCAATACGATCAATTGACCAGTCATGGCGGAGCATTCAGTGCTTATACAAGTAGGAGTTCCATTGGATGGCTTCGAGAGAGAGCTCCTGTGTGAGCCTATCAAAGTCGTGTCTCCCAGCTGGTCCACTGCTTGTCGCCTTAGCTTTCTTCCTGTCAGACCTCTTTCGCCATCCATGATCTCAGCTTCGAACTATTGAAACCACTACGCAATGTTGCGAACAAAGAACCTCGTATTCCTGATGTTACGCTATGTGGCTTGATGTACCACAACTGCTAAAGTATAATACGCAGCTGCCCGCACTTCACAACGTCTCTCAGTTCAAAAAAGCTTGATCAACCGCACTCCAAGAGAACATCACGCAGACTAAGACCTTAATCATGGCCCGTCTCAGCTTCTTTCTACTTTCCGCCCTGTCACTCGGCTTTGCTGCTGCCGAAGACCTGCAAGACTGCAATGGAGCCAGATACCTCCCTTCCCGAGTACATACATCCCACATCAATGCTTGAGTTTCTCCTAACAGATACTCTGTAGTACACCTGCTATGACGGCAAATATCTCTGCCCAGTCTACAATGGCGTACCTACGCTTCGATGCGGCGACGCCTGCTACTCCGCCGGTCAATACAGGTACGCTTCAATCGTCCCGCCGCACCGGGTTCTCGCGTCCAGAACTGACCCGGCATAGCTGCAACAACGGTGTATTGAGCGGCCTCTCATTCACTGATACATCTTACACCCTCCGTGCCGACAACCCGACCGCGCCTTTCGACAATGCGCCCATTGAGGCCTGCAGCCGCGCTTTCTGGATCGGAAGGGGCACCTGCGCTTACTGCCCTTCTGTCGTCGGCGAGTACTGCGCCACGTTCCCCAATGACACCCGCCTTATCGGTAGCAGCGGAATGGTACGTCTCCTCTCTCCTCCTTTGGCCCCTCCTCTCCGTCACCACACCCCCTAACCTTGCCATCTCCAGTCCACCTCCGTCCCCGGCGGTCAGATGTTCTACATCGATCCCACTGGTGCCTTGGGCTACACCGGAGCACACAGCGCGTACTATCCCCCCGGCTCTGTCTTCGGCGTCACGGCATACAAGAACGGCGACCAGGGAGAGTTCAAGTATACGCCTGGCGAGGGATGGTATGCTTGCCCTACGACTGCGGACGCGAATGTGTTGCAGATCTTCCAGAAGCTGCCGGGCATCACGCTGGCGAGCAATTGTACGGGATTGAATATTCTGGTTACGGAGGTTGGAGGAACGGGTGCTTGGCAGTATACCTAGGGTTGGGGAGGTGTAATGTGGCTAGGGAAGGAAAGCGTTGTGTGGGATGGATGGATGTCTTAACTCTCTTCTTCCTCCATCGGTGTGGCTAAGTCTTGTTATAAATAGTATCGGTATGTAGATGCTTGCTGGAACCAATAATACTACAAACCGTTGGCTGGAGCGGCAGAAACCCGTACTCTCAAGCGGTGGACCTAATTCTTCGGGATGTGACTTTGAGAGGCATGGTTTTCGATATACGATTGTCTCTACTACGAAGCATCCGTCGGGTAATGGAACTGGAGTGAGGATTGCAAGGGGGAGGTTTGTGAGCCCCTCGGGTGGACCCGTGGATCGCTCCGTCAGGCCCGCTGGACGTCAGCGTACGAGTACTCGCACCACCACCGCCATACACCTGCCTCACCTGTCACTACTCTTCACACCCTGATGCTATGCTGCCCCCGAACCTCTCCGGAGACGACCTCTATGCTGCTCAACCATCGCTGCATCCGCTAGGGCTCCTACCGCCATGAACCCCGCCAATGCCTCCCACTCCACCACCCGAACGAGCTCAACCCCGGCCTCCGCTCTGCGCCCACGAACCCGCCGACTCATTTCCGGTCTTGACGAAGAGCTAGGGGACAATATTGGTAGTGGTGGGAGCACTCGCATACCTTCACCCTATGAATCACCCTTCAGCTCGCGGGCCGCATCGCCTATCCCTAGCACGCACCCCTCACGCCCAGTGACTTCACAATCCGTACCACGCTCGCACCCAGCTGGCAAGTCAGATCGACCAGGCGCTCTGGGACAAAACAACGGGCAGGACTCCCTTAATGCACTCTCGGGACTATGGGGCAACTCGTGGACAGCGCTGCAAGGGCTAGCGTCGAATGTGCTCGGCGGCGACACAACGGCTGGCACTAAGGACAATCCTACGAGGAGGAGAAGGCCGTCGGGAGCGGCCCGCACTCGTAGCTCAAGCAATGCGCGGTCTGCGCAATGGGGCCCATCGGGCTCTACAGAGTGTCAAGTTGGAGCAGGATCGCGGGAAGAAAGGGAGAATCTCGTTCGCGCAATGAAGCGGAAGGACCTCTTGTCGGCCAACGGGCATGCGTACCCAGACGCTTCAGGGAGACACAAGCGGAGAACCTCAGACGACCGGTTCTCTGTCTCTGCACCGCCGGCGGAGCATGACGACCGGGATGCACTGGTATATCTGCACCACGTCCGGCCGCAAGACACTCTCGCCGGCATCACAATAAAGTACAATTGCCAGGCAGCGGTGCTGCGGAAAGCCAACCGAATGTGGCCGAACGACACAGTCCAGTGCAGACGAACCTTGGTCTTGCCGGTTGATGCCTGTGGCGTGAAGGGCCGTCCGGCTCCTGCGTCTCAAGAGAGCGCGGCAGAACGGGAAGAGGAAGATCTGTTGCTCGGCGGAACTGAGATTAAGGATGATTCAAGATCAGACACAACACCCACTCCGACACCCACACTACCCAATGGCTGGCACCGCCGTACGTCTACTTCCACCCACTCGGCAACTGCCAGCCACTCCCAGCACCCGCCATCATCAGCGACCTCTTCGCAAACCGAAAGCGACCCACCCTGGATACACGACTCCTGGGTGATTCTTCCAGGCGACGCCAATCCCACGGAAATTGCCCGCCTTCCCCGCCGAAGTCTCGGTTACTTCCCCCGTGCTAGACGAAAATCCACCAACTTCTCCGAATCCGCCACGCCCTCCACCTCCTTTGACCTCCCTCGCCCATCTACCTCCGATGACTCCACGCCCACTATACATCCTCCCAGCCAATCCATCCCAAACAGCCCCAGCAACACCACCTCCGCATCCAAACTTTCCCGCCCGCCCCGCATCCGCAGCACTTCCAACACCAGCACCACAAGCCAGCCGCGGCACAAACCCGCCTTCATCCTCCAGGGCCCCGGCGGCGTCGGGACGCTCTCGCCCTCCGTCCGCTCCCCCGGCCCCGCGGCCGACGGCCTGAACAAGAACTTCGCGAAATACCTGCCCTCGGTCGCGCCGCCTCCTTCACAGTCCCACTTCACGCCGTGGGCGCCCAGTTTACTCGACGCGGTGAGCCCCGTCCTGACGCCGAGCGGCGCGCGGAGTCCTGCTGCAGGAGGGCCAGGCGCCGGGTTCGAGATCGAGCAGCTGGGCGGTGCGATCGAGGGGTGGGTGAGGAAGATGGCGGGGAAGGCGAGCAAGGCTGCGACGAGCTTGGGTGAAGGGAAGCCGGCAGCGCTGAATAGCAAAGCTGCCAAGGCGGGAGTGGGGCCTGCGGGACTGGGGGCCGGGACTGGGGTCGGGGATTTGATTGAGCTGACAGATGCGTTTGAGATTGGGGAGGATGAGGATGGGGTGGAGGAGGAGGTTGGGAGGGGTAGAGCATTTCAGGATGGTCATGAAGTATCGGGCCTGACGAGGAGGTCTAGGAACAGGGAAGGTAGCAAGGGGACTAAGGGTGGAAAGGATGATTGAGGCGAAGCGCTTGGTTGCGCTTGGAGTAAGGGGTCTGGAATTTTATGCATCTAGGGCTTCTGGATAAGCGTTATCGCTGGGCGGTATGTTGGAGCACCTTTGGTTTTCTTAAGAGCATTGGGTCTCTTCGGGTGTTGCGTCATTGGCGATAATCAGTATAGCCGGCAATTCGAGCCTGCCGCTGCATCTACCATCTCGACGTCGTGGTCATCTCTGGTAGCCATTCTCGTACATCTAGCATCGTAGAAGACGCGTTGACGCTAAGCCACAATAAGTCACTTAACCCGAACGACATACTGGTGCTGGCCTTAAGCGGGCCAGTGCAGTAGAGACCGTCAAGCAGCAAGGACAGGGAATGCCATTCCGCTAATAAGGTCAAGCGACGTTTTGCGTGTCTGCTGTCCTAACGGTGCAGCGAAAGCGAATCCATCTCTCCATTGCTTCAAATGACCAAGCGACAAGCGCATCGAGAGCCCCCTCCAGAATTCATAGTGCGAATCCCAGATGCCAGTACAAACATCGAAAACCGTCCCTTTTCCTGTCCACAGCACGCCAAATCTCTCGGAGCAAGTGGTAGGAAAATTCAAGAAAAGGTCTTCATATATTATCCTTCACGCCTTCTCATCTACCAGTATCGTAAGAACGGTTTCAGTAGCCATGCAACCCATTGACCTCGCCGTTGATGCCGAAGAAGTGGAACCTGCCATGCGTGTCAGATAAGCTCAACGCGAGTAGGAGAAAGGAACGGCAGCGGGACAACCCCCGACCACAAGGAGAATCACGCCAGAAGGAGACCCCGACTCATTAGCCCAAGAATGACTTACCAATCCTCAACGTTCAGCGTCGTCGGCACAATTGGACCACCCTTACTACTGTTACTCCAGGTCTCCTCATTAGCCGGCTGCTGATGAACCATCGGATCCAAATGCGCCCAGGAATGGTCATTCTGCAAATGGCTCATGCCATTCAACAGCGGAGTCTGGAGGTGCGACTGCCCTGGCATCTGCTGATGATGCTGTTGAGGCGTTGACTGCTGCTGGTGTAACCCTTGGGTGTGGTACGGTACGTCCTGCTGCGTGCGCGACAGCTGCGGGTCGACTAGTGAATGGTGCTGCAGGATGGGCGAGTACTGCTGGAAGGATATGTTGGTGTCGGCGGGGAAGAGCTGGTCCGGCTGGAAGTTTTGCCAGAGTTCTTGTGATATATTGGGGGAGTCGCGTGTCACGAGGAAGAGTTCCGGGGGTGTTCCGGGATAGGAGTAAGATGGGTTGAAGGGGGTTGTTGGCCGTGTTGCGTTGCGCGACGGGCCCATGAATGCGTCGCTGTTCTGTCGGGGTAGATGTGGTGAGGTGTTTGCGACGACTTGTGGCATAGCTTGTGGTGGAGGTAGTTCTCGTGAAGGGGTCATTGAAGGCGTCTGAGGGCGAGATCGCTCGTACGAGACTTGCGGCATTGGCGGTCCGCCGAAACCACCGAGCTCCATGTCATCGAGTTTTCGTTTCGGTGCTTCTGGTTTTGGCTTTACCGGCGCTGTAGTAGTCTGTGGTTGCCTGTTCTTCTGATGCCGCTTGCCGGCCGCTTTCTGCAGCCTTTCTTCTAACACTTTGTTGCCGAGGATGGATTCGAAGAGCGTGTGCACCATCTTTGCAACAAGCCAGACCTTGGAGACTTCTTTCAGCGCGTTCATGCACACCTGCATCCTGTGCTCTGTCGCTGATACAATAGATTTGTTCGAAGACCGCATCTGGTACACGTGCATGATCAATGCGGAGAACAAGCTATAGACGATGAAAGCAGGCGTGTATCGTAGCTGGTCATGGTCTTGAAGATTCTCGATGATAGAAGTGATCATCGCGGCGGCCTGGTACGCGATGTTGCGAGACGGGTACGCAGTTTGCTCATCGTAGCCGTTCTGAACCTTCGGTGAACCAGCGGGAGGCATGTGAGCTCGGTGGAGTAAGCAGAGCGTAGTGTAGTAATTTGCGTGCAGCAAAGCAGCCCAAAAATGGTGGTGCGGCCTTTCCCACAGTACCTCCTTCGGGCAATGTTGGAACCAGTCCGCAAGCGCCATGTCGCTATACGTCAAGTCCATCGCAGCATGCCGTTCTCGAGATTTTGATGCGACTGAGTATTGCTGCGACAATACCAGGCCCATGATCTCGCAGAGCTTGACGTAGTTGATGAAGAACTGAACGTGAATAGGATTAGGCGCGAACTCAGCGGGTCGGTCAATCTCGTCCTCGAGGAAGTCGTCTTCCGTGATCATCTCCACGTCCGAGTCCTCAGGGTTTATCCCGACTGGCCTACCGAGTGCCACTGCAACTGACCGGTCGCGTGAGAACAGAGTCCACCATATCCGTTTCCATAGCCGCTTGTCGGATCTGCTGAGCTGCGAGCCCTCGACGCTGTTGGTGCTTAGTATACTTTTTGGTTTGCACATGATGTTGACTAACCTTCTGTGCATACCCGAACCTTGAGCGACGACAATCGCAACCCGGCTCCAGTAAAACACATTCTTGGTCACGTCTGAAGCAGTATTAGAACTGTCCAATCACTGAAATCTTTCTGTAGACTCGCCTTCGGGTCCTTCCCAGTACCATCCCATGAGTATCAGCGCCTGGACGATGGTAACACGATCGTCTTCGTAGTTTGCATCAAACAGGGCTTTGGCTCGCTTGTAGAATGTTATGGCGGCTGGTGTGGTAGACCCACTCGAATCCATGAGCTGCGGGTTCGTGCAAACCCGCGATCCGGCCAGCAGGATAGCTTGGAGTAGCAGCAAGGAGGGAGGATTCTTGGGATCCCGATACTGCTTCATGAACCGACTACGGTTGATGACAGGCACTACGGGCGCGATCCACTGGAAGAAGGCATCAACGAGCTCGTCGCAAAGAGCTCGCGGTGGTAGTAGGAAAGCCCCTCGCTGGTGCAAGATGTCAATCTCCATGTTGTCCAGCTCGTTGGCCCGAGCCTTCGTGCCTCGAACATTCTCGGGGAGTGGGTAGTGCACCACATCGGTATTTCCATGACGATCGTGGACCAGCAGAGAGAGATTAGAGGACTCTCCTAGGTAGGCGACTCGTCCGGCTTCTTTGATCGGCGCCCTCGCGAATTTCGGCTTCATAAACTGCACGTACGTCTCGTTGTGCGTCGCTTGCTGTCTAGCCACCGCCTCGTTCATACTTGTAGTAGGTGTTCCATCTGAGGAGTTGTACACCTCGGTCTTTTCCCGTACTTGTGTGTATCCTCCTCCTACGGGCCTGGGGACTGGGGTCCCATCGATGGTCGCTGGAGATTGCTCGGCATCTTGTGGTGTGTCGAAGTCGCTGGATGACGGCCGCGCGTCAGCAACATCCACTCTCCTCATAAAACTCAAGATACGCAGCGTACCTATCCGTGTCCTTCGCCTTCGTTTGTGTCGTCTTCTTCCGCTTCGGCGTAGGGATCCGGCATTCGATGCCAAAGGCGGTGCAGTTGGTGCATGGTACACCCAGGCTTGCGGCGTCGCATCGTACCTGCAGAGCGCCCAACGGTTAGGCCGGCCGTCTCTGGCTGTGCTCGTCGCGGTGCCTAGATGGTCTCTACGTACCTTGCGGGCGTGACAAGTCTATCGCGATGATCGCGCCGTCAGCTTGTCCTTGTTGACCTCGGTGCCGAGGCAGACGCCTTCTCCTTCTCAAAAACGCACAGCGCGACGGCGGGCGACTTGAACTTACCTCACAGGCTCTCGAAGCGCGTTGCCTTGTCGACGACAAACACTGTCAGCCTGGCTGTCGCATGCCCATGACATTCCATACATCTCCTGCTCACCTCCTAAAACTTGGGTGGCCCGGGGTCTGGGACGAGGGGGCAGCGGCCGGCTGGTCGGGAGGCGGTGGAGCTCCAGAGATGGCGACAAACTCAGTCTGGGAGTCCATGATATTGCGACTTTCGCCTACTGGGCTGTCTACCGGTCCTCGGGGTTCTCTGATCCAGCAACAGATGCGAATATGGCCTTGATGTTGCGAGCGATACCGGATGGAAATGTCAACTTCGTGAATGACCGGGGTCTCCAGGTCTGGGCTTCACCCACGCTCTCCACACCTGACTGCAGCCCACTAGAGCACTTTTATCGTTGTGCCCTCCACGGTGGACTGATTGCTGCGACTATTTCGCTGATCAAGTGCATTTCATGGAGTCATCTACGCGAGCTGACTGTATGATACTGAAACAGCTTCCACAAGCGTCCCCGTGCCTGGCCGGTCGTTTCAGGCTCCATTTGTATCAAGTCGAGGTGTTGCAGTCTTCAAGCTTACCTCATCTGCTTAATCGTCAAGGGTTATTGGAGAGAAGGATGATGTGCATAAGGCGACTGCTCCGCATTGGGAGCGACCCCGTGTGCATCTGCCCGCAGGCACGGTTGTGGCGCGGGAACGCACCTGTTCCGTCGATTTTTGGCATCCGGGGGGTTGTTGCTTCTCTCCCACAGGTTGTCTTTCATCGACAGCCATAACTGGCTTCGTGGAAAGGAACGGTTAGCCACAGGCCGGTTATTGACACAGCCCTTGTGCGTGAGACTTGTAGAAGCAATATTCCATGCCTGGAGGGGATGGCAGAGTTTTAGTCCAGCACATCGACATCCAAGTACCGTCCACGAATGGGCGCACGAGGTTGTCTGAGTTAGGTTCTGCTTGATTCTCGTGTGCATCACACCCCCCTTCACGTATACTGCAGTTGGATGCCGATAACTCCCGCCATGTACCCTGAAATGATTTCCTGCGTGGCCAAGCCTAGGTTCACATGCAGCACAGGGCTGCCCAGGCGGTCTCTACAGCTTGCGCTGCCCAGGCCGCAACGGGAGGATCCGGAAGACAACGGGGATATGCACAATTAGGGAACTGATATTGCATACGCTCCATTCCTACGCCGTCACCCTGGTGACAAATATCGACAGAGTCGGAGAATCACGAACTAGTAGGGCAACGGGTTGACGATCGATCGAAGGCTTTGACGTTGGCTGTGACAATAGAGCTGGGTTAGGGGCATAGACGTAAGCCAGCCCATATAGCCTCGTAAGCTTGTTCAAGCTATAACTAGAGATGAAACAATCAGATCAAAAGGCCTTCAGAAACATGGTGAAGATGTTAAATTTTGGTGATTTTGGAGTCCGGCGATTCATGTCATCCGCGTGGGCGTGTCTCTCTCACCGCAGTGGTGCGTTACTACAAATCGTAGCCATTCCTCGCGCCAAGGGCCACCAACATAAGAGACACCTGGTCCACAGAGATAAACGAAAGTGGCAGTCCAGATGCTGATTTCTGTCGAAGCTCTTCCTCTTTGACCCAGATGAAGCGTTGATGCTCTGCGGGATCCAGCTTCACCGGAAAACCCTGATAGGCTTGGTTGCTGAATTTCCCTTCAGCATCTGCTTGGCCGTTCAGATCACCACTTGCAACCTCAACCTCGAAGGACAGTTTCAACCAATTCTTGACACTACTCGGCCGGCCAGTTTGAAAAGAGACTCCGTCGCCAACTTGCCGAACAATCCGAGTGGCGCGCAAGCCTGTCTCTTCGAACAGCTCTCTCGCGACTGCGTGGAGGACTGTCTCGTCTTCCAGATCGCAGGAGCCTCCTGGGACCTCCCAGCGGTTTGGATAGGAGTCAGACGCGCTGCGTTGTAGGAGAAGAAGGCGGTCTCCACAGTACACCAATGCGCCGATTACAAGGCCTTGAATGTCCGGATGCTGTTCTTGGAACGTCTTCAACGGAATGGACAGGTGAACGAGCTCTGGTGGGACTAAGAAAGGTTCTTGTGCTGAAGTGACGGTTTCTGCTTCAGGAGACATTGAGTGACTTGGTCTAGTACTGAGTGAATAAGACAAGCACAACCGGAAGTTGGCTAAGACAGAGGACGACTGGATCCGTCTTGACAAGTTATAGAATAGATAAATCTTCAGCTTGCTGCCTGATGGCGCTTTGTTGAGTCATGTCACGGCATGCGATCTACACGAGTATAAGCGGATCACGTGCGACCAGCGGACGAGCTGCTGATTCTGGCTCGCAGTCAGAAAGGAAGTAGGACTCCTTTGCCTCGCCGTGGAGTGTTAGACATGGGTAGCAGTGAGATTCTTTGCCTAAGTATTTCCCCAGATTTCATGACACGCGCACACGCGAGATGCCTCGACACGGGGTCGGACGCTAACCACAGTAGGCAAACCGAATCTGACGTCCTTTCGTCTCAAGTACCTTCGTACCCATCTCCGCTTTCCCTACCCTGCAGCAGCGTCGGCAATCTTATCCCTACATAACAGCATAACTCCCCAGCAGCCCAACATGGTCAAGAAAGACCCCAAGCTCCTCGTCACCTCGACAGTCGACATCAGCAACGGCGGACACTACTACCGCCGCATTGTGAACAACACAACTGGAAATATCAAAGTAAAAGAGGTCATCGAGCCCGCCATTGGTGTTCGCACAATCAGCCTCACGCCCACCAAACTCGAGTACTCAGACGGACACACCAAATTCACGACGACGGCTGGGCCTTCAGGAAACGTCACCATCAAGGCTCCTGTTGGAAACACCACCACCAAAGCTCCCGTTGGATACGACACCAGTCAGCTCTAAGCCCTAGCAGCGCATTGCATCACACCCTAAACAGCACCCAAGCAATGGCCGAAGAGAAGCCCCTCCGCATCGCCATCGGCTGCGACGACGCCGGCATATCCTACAAGAAGGCCATTCGCGCCGACCTAGAAAAGGACCCGCGCGTGGCCTCCGTAACCGACGTCGGCGTCGCCGAGAACTCGGACAAAACCGCATACCCGCACATCGCCGTCGATGCCGCGCAGCTAGTCGCCTCGGGCGATGCCGATCGGGCTATCCTCATCTGCGGGACAGGTTTGGGGGTCGCCATTAGCGCGAACAAGGTGCCGGGCATTCGGGCCGTGACGGCGCATGATAGTTTCAGTGTCGAGAGGGCGGTGCTGAGTAATGATGCGCAGGTACTATGTATGGGCGAGAGAGTGATTGGGGTGGAACTGGCACGAAGGCTGGCGAAGGAATATGTCGGATATCGGTTTGATCCGAACAGTGCAAGCGCGAAGAAAGTGCAGGCGATTATGGATCATGAGACGAAGAACTTTGACAGGAAGTAAGGGGATAGACTTCACGATCTGAGTGTACGATCTCGCTGCGCTCGCCTTCTGTATGATCGAGTAGCAAACTTGCCATACTCGTACAAGCCTGGGCTGTCGTTACTTTGCTAAACCTTGATGGCAGCAGCGCTGACCTCAAGCCTTTTGTACCCGCCACAGCATGCAATATGACCAATTGAAGTCGCGAAGGAAGGGCAATAAGGCTCCAGGGCCTTGCTCCGTGATGGTTTGCTGGCTGGATATCTCCGCCGTCCTCCTTAGCATTCCAGATGATCCGTTTGAGAGCGGCATATTCGGCTTGAAAAGCATGCAAATTGATGGGCTCATGAGGGCTCGGGTCCGGCGAGAACCTGAAGGATCACGATGACTCCACGAGTACCCTGCTCGTATCTACAAACTCGAGCAGTGCGAATGACAATTTACGGTGGGGGATGTCAAATGAGAATCACTAGGATCATGTGACTGCGTCAAAGCGCGCACGCGTCGGTCCTCCAGCACCTTGGAGGACCGCCACCTCGATCACCACTTCGGCTGCCAGGCACATGCCTACACTATGGTGAAGCTCCAGGCCGCCACCGTCTCCAATCAGATCGTACGCAAACGAAAGAGAAAAACTCCAGCGGAAGAGACACCTGCAGCAGACGAACTTCCACAAGACGGCAACCATGATACTCAGAGCACGAGCACAACCGCAACTGTCCCCACGAAGACACACGATGGCGGCAAGAAACCTCGAAGAACGCCGAAGTCAAAGTCAGATGGCTCGAAGCCGGCGCTGCTCCGCCGCGACTCATCCACCATAGTAGAGACATCGATCCCATGGCCATCCGAATTTACAAAACTCGCACAGGTGTACAAGGCATTAAACCTGGTCTATACTTTCTGCTGCACCCGGAGGCAGCTGGCGACAACGTTTGAGAATATCAAATCAACCGTCGAGGGGCATATAAAGCGGGAGCTGCTTATTGAGGACGTCGCACAGATTAAGGCGCTAGTGCCCCGGGCCATCAACTTCGTATACGTTGATGAGGCGATGCTGCAGATCAACATCGCGGGTGCGGAAGACAACGTCAAAGGCAAGCTCGCAAAAGAGTTTGTGATCGCCCAGCCAGTTCAGGATCCCGATGGCGAGCACAAAGAGGTCCTGCTGTTCGAATTCATCGATGGCGACCTCAAACGGCAGGTTCAAAACCCAACGACCGGTGAGCCGATGAGAGCTACGCAGAAGCTCAGGCATGAAGACGTCAAAATGCCGGTCTTCAGTCAGAAGTCGATGATGAAGTTGATTGAGAAGCGCAATACCAAGTTCACCTCGGCAGTCAATGCATTCCTGAATCAGTGCGCAGCAGATAATGTCGACCCTGTTCAGAAGTTACAAGAGGAGTATGCAGTGTTTATACCGTCGCCGTCAGGAAGTCGTTCTACGACGCCAGCAAGAGATCTGCGCGCAAGACTCCCCTCTAGTATACCTAAGGAACGCAAGACGATTCCGGAGATCATAACTGAAATCAAGGAGTTTGAATGGTACACCGGCCAGATTGTACCTGACGGTCATCGAGTGTTTGACCCACAGCCTCCTGTATACGGCGAGCTCAACTTTGAACTCTCCCAAGAGCTTGTAAATGCACTCTACAACACCCGTGGCATAGAGCAGCTTTATGCTCACCAAGCAGAAGCAATCAACAACTTGTATGATGGCCACAATGTCATTGTGTCGACTTCTACAAGCTCCGGCAAATCACTGATCTATCAGATCCCTGTACTCCACCAGCTGGAGAAGGACCCAGAGACTAGAGCGATGTACATTTTTCCAACCAAAGCTTTGGCCCAAGACCAGCGCCGGAGTTTGAAAGACTTGTTACGCTTCATGAACGGCCACCAGGACGTTGTGGTTGAGACGTTTGATGGTGATACGCCGATGGCCGACCGGAATCGCATTAGAGATGAGGCAAGAATCATTTTCACGAACCCGGATATGTTACACATTACTATCCTACCCCAAGAAGAGGCATGGCGGACTTTCCTCCAGAACCTGAAGTTCGTGGTTGTGGACGAACTCCATGTCTATAACGGCTTATTCGGATCACATGTGGCCCTTATCATGCGGAGACTGAGGAGGATATGCGCCGCGGTGGGGAACCGCCATGTTAAATTCATTTCCTGTTCGGCCACAGTCGCTAATCCTGAAGAGCACATGAAGACTATCTTTGGTGTTGAAGAAGTCAAGCTGACTGACTTTGACGGTTCGCCTTCTGGCCGGAAAGAGTTCCTTTGCTGGAACACGCCGTTCAAGGATCCTGCTGATCCTACTTCAGGTCGAGGAGACTCTACGGCAGAAGCGGCGAAGCTTTTTTGTCAACTTATATTGAGGGGCGTCAGAGTCATTGCATTTTGTCGGATACGGAAGCAGTGCGAACTTATGCTTGGAGCTGTCAAAAATGAACTTACATTCCTGGAGCGACCGGAGGTGATGGCCAGAGTTATGGCATATCGAGGAGGATACACTCCTCAAGATCGACGACAAATCGAAGCAGAGATGTTTGATGGGAAGCTTGTGGGCATCGTTGCTACCAGTGCATTGGAGCTGGGCGTAGACATCGGTTCGCTAGACGCAGTCATTACTGTCGGCTTCCCTTACACCATCGCCAACTTACGGCAGCAAAGTGGCCGAGCAGGGCGACGAAATAAGGATTCCTTATCCGTGCTTGTCGGTGACTGCTTCCCTACCGATCAGTACTATATGGAGAACCCGGATGAGATCTTCACTAAGCCGAACTGCGAGCTGCAGGTCGATCTTGAAAACATGCTCGTCCTGGAAGGTCATATCCAGTGCGCCGCGCATGAGATGCCAATCCGCCCAGACGGGGACTTGGCCTACTTCGGCCCTCTCCTTCCCTCCATTGCCAAACAGCGCATGCGTAAAGACCCGGCCGGCTTCTACCACTGCAACGAGCGCTTCCTGCCCTACCCCTCCAAGTTCGTCGCCATCCGCGACACCGAGAACGACCACTTCGCCGTCGTCGACACGACCAACGGCCGAAACGCCGTTCTCGAAGAGCTCGAAGCCTCCCGCGCCTTCTTCACCATCTACGAAGGCGGCATCTTCCTCCACCAAGGCAACACTTACCTGATCAAAGAATTCTCCCAAGACCGCATGATGGCCAAAGTTGAGCACGTAAAAGTCGACTGGACGACCCAGCAGCGCGACTTCACGGACATCGACCCCATCGAAACCGAAGCCATCCGACGCATCCCCGGCTCCCGCTCGCGCGCCTTCTACGGTCCGATCAAGATCAAGCAAGTTATCTTCGGCTTCTTCAAAGTCGACAAGCGCCGCCGCATCCTCGATGCCGTCCAGGTCGACAACCCACCCATCATCCTCTTCTCCAAGGGCATGTGGCTCGACGTGCCCAAGTCCGCACTGGAAATCTTGAACTCCCGCCGTCTGAACGTCGCGGGCGCTATCCATGCGGCCGAGCACGCCATCCTGAGCCTGATGCCCAACTTCGTCATCTCAATGCCCGGCGACGTCCGCACGGAATGCAAGAACGCGCTCAAGGAGTTCCAGCAGAGAGACACGGCGCGCAAGCGGCCGGCGAGACTGACGTTCTACGACGCCAAAGGTGGGGCCGGCGGCGCAGGCATCAGCACCAAGGCATTCGAGTTCGTCGATCTCCTGCTCAAGCAGGCGTGTGAGCGGGTTGCAGCGTGTCATTGTCAGGATGGCTGCCTGGAGTGCTGCTGTAGCGAGAGGTGTAGAGAGGCGAACCAGGTGATGAGCAAAGCGGGAGGTGAAGTCATTCTGAAAAGTTTGCTCAATCTGGAGATTGATGTTGATGCCTTGCCCTGGGGGCCGGAGGAGGCGGTGCCGGCGGGAATTGAGACAGTCATTATGGCTGAGGAGGTGAGGCCAGCGAGGGGGAAGAGGGTGGAGGTTATTGAGGTTAAGAGAGAGGGCGGCGGTATGCAAAGAGTGGCCGTCGGCGCTGTTGAAGCGGACGAAGATGGAGTTGTGATCAAGGAGGAGATAGAATAGGCGAAGTATAAGCATTTATGTACAGTGAGGGAGTCACTCATAAGTGATTCGGCCGTAGAAACGAGCATCCATAGATATTACTGCAAGACAAAGCATTCTAGACTCACCTGGAGTGATTTTACTGAATGAATCATAGTTACCGCTGTCAGAAAGTTGTATGATTTCCGTGTGTGAAACCTAAGCTCAAGTGCTTCAAGGAGGACCCATATACCCAGTAGAGCGAGAAGAATTCACTTGTAGGTCAACTAGTATCCTGAACATGATTCCTCAGGACCATGCGCCGGCAAACAACCATCCATTCGTCTGAGATGCAGACGGAGATGCCGACATCGGACTCTCTTCAGCAAAACAACGCCGTAGCTTCATCAACTTACAAGTCGATTGCTAGTCCTCAGCGAGGTCAGCGATGTCGAGCTACACTACCTATATCCTACCACGTCCTCCATAGCAGTCAAAGTGTATACAGCTTCACGAGTTATCCCTCGCGCATACTCTCTGCTGCAATCCGCATGTCGATTCGCAGCTCGTAGTCTTAATGAGATACATATAGCCTCACACAATGGCTACCTTCGCGTGAGCAGCCCACCCAGTCCGTGTGTGCCACCATTTAACAATTTACAGAAAGTCCACGTTCTCCCACGCCTCCTATGCCGCCTTCCGCCCCTCCTACCCCCGCTCCCTCTACACCACCATCCTCTCCTACCACCACGGACCCCGAAACCTACTCGTCGACCTCGGCTGCGGCCACGGCGTAGTCGCACGATCCCTCTCCAACGACTTCGACCATGTCATTGGCACCGACCCCTCCGCCGGCATGATCGCGCAGGCCAAATCCTCCACCTCATCCACCGACTTTGCCAATGTCGAGTTCCGCGAAGCCTTAGCGGAGGACCTACCATTCATCGCCGACGGCAGCGTCGACATGGTAGTAGCAGGCCAGGCGGCGCACTGGTTCGACTACCCGCGCCTGTGGCCCGAGATGCGCCGCATAGTACGCAGAGGCGGCACGCTGGCCTTTTGGGGGTACAAGGACCACGTCTTCGTCGACTATCCCGCCGCAACTCGCATCCTCATGGAGTGGGCGTATGGCATGGACAAGGAGAGGCTCGGGCCGTACTGGTCGCAGCCGGGGCGGTCAATCGTGGAGGGGAAGCTAAGGGCCATTATGCCGCCCGCTGAAGATTGGGAGGATGAGACCAGGGTCGACTATGAGCCTGGAACTAGAGGGAAGGAGTCGGGTGAGGGGACGCTGTTTATGAGTAGGAGGTTGAGGGTTGGCGAGTGTAAGGAGTATGTGAGGACTTGGAGCGCTTATCACGGGTGGCAGGAGGCGCATCCGGAGGTGGGGAAGAGGGCGGAGGGTGGGAAGGGGGATGTAGTGGACGCGATGTTCGATGAGATAGTGCAAGCGGAGGGGTGGGAGAGCGAGGAGATGGAGGTTGATATCGAGTGGGGGAGTGGGTTGCTGTTGGCGAGAAGGAGATAGATCTATGCCAGATGGCAACTACCGAGCTAGGTACACAGAGATCAGCTATACATGACAAACTTTTGAAGCCTAAGTCTTGGAACATTTCCTTACTATGGACAACGCATGCGAATGGCGGTTTGGCTTGGCCGCTGCTGCCATGGCAACTCACCCCCGCCAAAGAATTGGTCTCAGCGGCCGGTGCGGGAAACACCACCTTTTTCTGACGCTCAACGGCCTTCACGCAAATTCACAATCCTCACCGCTGGCAATCTAACTACAAGCCCCATTCTCCCAATCCAGAAAACTACAACCGCAATGGTACGTTCCTTCCCGCCCAAAACGGAATCCAGCGCAGACCCCTATTCCGTCAACACCGCCGCGTGCGCAAACACAAACCACACGACACCTCAACCACAATCAACGATCCACTGAGAGCGCGCGCTTCACACTCTCACTGCTACTTGCACCTTCGCACTGCACGCCAATGCCTCAGAAAACAAGCTCACAGCCCCAACAGTCCGGCACAAATTTCAAAGAAGCCTTCCAGCTCTTCGACAAGCGCGGCAACGGCCTCGTCGCCCTCGACCAGCTCGGCGACCTCCTGCGCGCCTGCGGACAGAACCCCACACTGGCTGAGATAGCGGAGCTGGAGAAGAGTGTGGGCAACGATTGTGAGTCAACCTTGCTCCAACGCATATCTGTGCAACCAGCCACTGAGTCGGAAGCGGAGGTGGAGAAGAGGAGGGAGAGAAGGCTAATCTGTTATGCACTGAATGTAGTCGACTACGAGACCTTCTCCCGCGTGCTCAACCGCAAAGATGGCTTCCGCGACCACGGGCTGCCGGAGGAGTACTGCAGGGGCTTTCAGGTGTTCGATAAGGATATGACGGGCTTCATTGGGGTTGGGCAGCTTCGGTACAGTATGTTGCTTCCCGCCCTCCACTCGCTTCTACGAGTGACCCGTCATATTGCGTGCGTTTTAGAGCCAGCAAGTTGACTTCCAAACAGTCCTCACAAATCTCGGCGAGAAGATGAGCGATGAGGAGGTAGACGAGTTACTCAAGATGGTGGATACGAGCAGTGGGGAGATCAACTATCTCGGTATGCTAGAGTTATGTGCTGCATGTGTTCGTAGAAAACTGACCGCATACCAGATTTCGTGCAAAAGATCCTGGAGAACTAAGCTTTCCACCTCACCTCCTCGGTTATGTCTATTGGTTTGCATATCGTAGCGCCTTGTTTTCACACGGGTGCGTAGGGTATCGGCGTCTTTATTGGCTTTCGGGGAGTTTGCAGGGTAGGCCAGGGATGAGGTATTAGTTTTGGGTGGAACATGTGGGAACTGGTCCTCTGAGTAGAAGCGCCGTGGTATGGACACAGATGCAGTAAACAACTGTTGAAATGAGAGAGTCTCCGCTGCTGATTTAAGCCCCCCAACGCCCTGCTAATTGAGCTGTCGTATGCCGGATCTAAACTTTCTGGCGAATGCTGAACCTCAGAAAATTCACTGATCCTCCCGGCCGTGTCGTCTCGCGTCAGGATCCAAAGCCAATGGTTCGCTTTATACATGCCTATAATGCCCTCAGACGTCCTCAGACGACCTCCTCCATCTCCTCCGCGAACCACTCCGCCTCCTTCCTCATCTCCTCTTCACTCCTCGGCTTCCTCGCCTCATCCGCATCCACAGCCGGAAACCGACCCCTCCTCCTTCCATTCACCCCACCATCCCTCTGCTCCCCTCCCCTCTCCCTCTCCCTCTCCTCCAAATGCGCCCCCACATCCCCCTCCTCGCCCTCTATCAGGTCGTATACCGCATCCCCACCGCCCTCCAAATCCCCCTCCCTCCGGGGTATCACATGCGCATGTAAATGCGGCACGCTCTGCCCAGCATCCGCGCCATCCTGAATCGCGATGTTCAGCGCCGTCGCGTTGAAAACGCGCTCGATCATGCGGCTAACGCGCTGCACGGTCAGGAAGAGGTCGGAGATCTCGGTGGGCGTGAGGTCGCGCAGGCGGGGGACGCGGCGGTGCGGCGAGATGAGGACGTGGCCGGGGAGGATGGGCTTGAGGTTTACGAGGGCGAAGGTGTGGGGGGTCGAGTGGAAGACCTGGGGGTGGGTTAGTGGATTGGAAGAAGAATGGGTGCTGAGGGTTTGTTTACTTGTGGGGTTACGAGGAAGGGACCGAAGTAGATGGGCTTGGTTATCCGTGGAGGAGGCATGGTGGGGATGTGGGGCACTGTGATCTGTGTCAATTGCACAAGTTAGAAGCGGTTGATCTATTCAAGAAGCTGAGGCTCCCGCCGTCATCGGTTCGAAGTTTTCGGCTCGGCTGAAACAGGCAACCCGACTCTTGAGGGTCTTCAAATCACCATCTTCAAGACGTTCTCCCCACGAGTGCTCACATGATGGCCTCCCCCCCGCCCTCATCCGTGCCGCCAGCTACTCCAGCAATGCGGACGACCTCCCCGCGCATCCACACCTACCACTGCCTCTGCACGCACCTCCTGCTCGCCAGCACACACCCGCTCTCCTCGCTGCCCCGACGCGGCCAGTCTAGCCTCGACAAAGCTTATATTCTGGCCCTACCGCCTCCACCCCGCCACGAATCCCCTATCGCAGATGCTGAAAGCAGCGACGAGGACGGCGAGGACGACGGCAATAAAAACGACGCGGGACTTGGGGGCCCAAGCGCAACGACACTCCGCTCACCCGCAGCCAACAACTACGCCCTCCTTCTCTCCACAGTCCTCGACCGCAAGCCAGTCGTCGTGACGCGTGCCGACGGCTTTGAGAAGCGCTATCTGCAGCGCTGTAGACGGTGCAGGCTGGTGGTTGGGTATCAGCTAGACCAGGCGCAGTTTGCCGACGCCCCCGTAGCGACGGTGGGGATGGAGTCGGGGCTGGGGAGAAGAGAGGATGTGATCTATTTGCTGCCCGGGGGGTTGCTGAGTACAGAGGATATGGCTGCGGGGAAGACTACAAGTGGAGATGATGTTGGATTTGGGTTGGGAGGCTGAAGGCGGGAAGGAGCTGAGAAAAGCGGGTCAAGAGGGCAATCCTGGGGTTTGGGAAGATAGGTGTGTCCGGATATTAACGGATGCAGGCTGAACCACAGCAGGATCCGGCGCCTTTCCGAGTGGTTTGCGAGGTGTGGCTGAAGGCTTTGACGGATACCTATCAGCTGTGGTGACAGCCAGCATGTGATAGGTGTCACGAGGTTCGACGAGCTCAGCGGCCAACGTCAAAACGGTCTTAAGAAGCATCGAATAGACATCTACAACACCGTGACACCTCTGGTGGCTAGCGTGCAAGGGTTCTTTTTGGCTGTATATTGCATGGACATCACCCGTCGAGATACGAAGCTCAGCAAGCCAGGGATAAGACTGCACGGTTAGAGGAAGCGACTCAGATTTGAGGTCAACGTGACGCATAACCTGTATCATCTAAAGCAGGTCGTCTGTCTCGAGCGTACGACATGCAAACGGCTTTAGTCGTGCAGATATCTGCACCTCCCGAAAGATACCTCTATGAAAGTTTGAAAGCTCCGCAGAGAGGAGGAGGAGTTCCAAACAGCGCTGTTGGGTTTCGTTTCTTTTAGTCCAAGGCAGTCTATTTCAGCAAGAGAGGCGCTTTTTCAAGACGTAGTGATCTCAAACAAAACAATGCTTTCCGTTCAACAGTACTTATCTCAGACACACCATTACATCAGATGTTTCTCTTTCTCATTTTACCTGCTACAGGAATGAACTCCGTGCTATCTGAGCACTTTTCGAACGCTCACACCTTCCTAATATGTTAAAAGATCTCTCCCTTACAGGTGTCGAAGATACATCCAACCACTGAAGACCGTTCGTTAACCCTGTAATGAGTCTATATGCATCTCGAATCTTCTGATTTACAGTCCACAACAGATGCAGTTGTCACCAAAACTACCTTGCCCAATGGTAACGACAGCAAGTACTCGTCGATATCCTATTACGCCCTCCGGACTCCGTGCTGCTTTCAAACCCAACCTCTACGGGCAGATACTGCAGTATCAGGGTTTGATGGCGTGGCTCCTCTAATGTATGGGGTAGTGGTGGAAAGTTCCATTGTTTCACTTTATCGGCGACCGTCAGAGATAAGCGGACCCAGTGCCGGACTCCGTCCTACAAAGGTTTCCTCCGCTCATGACGATCTCCATTGCCGCACGGGTGATCGACACTGATATATATATGTACAGATAGCTGGAGCGCGCTCGCTCCGCTGGACATCGGAGAGTGATAACATCACCCGGAGGTGAGGCAGAGAGAGAAATTGCTGACGATACTCCACTTCGCATCCCCGATCACTGCCAGAGGAACCAAGACGGTTACAGATCGACGAGGCCTACATCAACCGTACAAACCGATACGGCCGCAATCGAAAGGTCAGAACCATCGGTTGATATCGTTCTACGGCGAGGTGAGCTGTCGGGTGGCTACTCAACTTGAATCTATTCTGCAAGAGATGGTTGAGGGTGAACAAAAGCTCAAACTAAACCTCCGAGCCACGACATGCGGCGCATTTGAACAAAGTCCCTGGCCAATCGCGGAAGGAATCGGCCTTGGGAACGCGCTCAAGCGACCACTGCAGCGGGTTTGGTGGAGTTGAAGCTGGGGTGATTCAGGAGGCTCGTACGAGTATGGCCCGGATGACTACAGTCATCATCTACTGGACCAACTCGCTATCCTAGGAAACTACACGTGTGAAGGTGGAGGGATAGCGCTCACCATAGGTATGCTTAAATGCTCGGGCTAATCATTTGCATTCCGGACACTCCTATTGGCCAGCTGCGAATGGATCCCAGACATAGCCAAGTCGTGAGTAGACCTTGGCGCTATGATCTGGGAGGCTCCACTCCCGCTTGATCTTCCTTCCTCGTTTCTCCGAAACGATGCGGCGACAAGCTTATTCCGCCCATGATCGGGGTGCTTTCCCCTGGGATCTTCTGGAGAGTTTCCTTGTCTCCAGGCACAAACTCCACTTTCTACGATATACGTCGTTCTGCCACGTACGTCGCGTACTGAAACAACAACCACACCTCGCTGTTAATCTCTCTGGGGTCCAAGTGCGTGTGGGTGGCTCGGAAGGCTCCCTGGCGCTGCACGGGAGGCATCTCCGCTCGATACGACACCGGCAGCCCTTTCCATTTTCGTTGAACTCCTCTCAGCCCACCCGTGACGCACTCCTGCTTTCTGTAGAGGCCGAAGGCGTAAGTGGCGTCACGAGGCTGCGTCCCAAGCCACCGGTATGTACCTTGGGTTCGCGCGACCTTTCCAGCATATGTCGCCAGCTCAACGCTCTGAGCGGTGGTCACTCCGGTCGGGCGGCTGTGCAACGTTTTTTGATTGGATCAAGCTCTTCACGCCGCTAAGGCTCATATCCGCTTCATAGAAAGGATAGAGGCATGCAACTGTGTCTATTGGTTTTGTGGTACAGGTAGAGAAGCAGGGCTACTTGAGAGAGAACACTTTCCCATCAGAAAATAGTGCGAGTGAAGCTACACTTCCCGTCGACGATATCTTGTTGATGAACGCAGCAGCATGTCGAACGGGTTACCCTTCTTCTCTCTCTTCTCTGTCGGCTATCGGGGAAATTTTATGCTGTCTATATTCCATGAATGCTCAATTCTTAGCTACTCTGGGTTTTTACCGTTCTTCTCTTGCATATGTCTTAGTCCAAGTACTATCGTATGAGCTGTTCGCTTGGTGATCATTATACAGCCAGCACACTTTCGATATACCAGCTGTGCTACGGAGGTCCTTACTTGATGCGTCAGTCAATGTGATTTTCTCACGCTGTTTGATCAAACCTCCGAGCAAACTTCAGGGCCTCGGCTCTCACCTTCAATTCATGCTTTATGCCTTATATTAGTGTTTCTACTCCAGGCCCGCTTGAGGACCAACACCTATCAGTGCGGAATCTTCACTCGGCATCCTTGAATTGAGGGTTGTTGCCTCGTAACATGTTGCAGTCATTCGACTCATTCCCAGCCAATTCGTAAACCCTGCTATCTTGTTCCATATCTCAACAGCACTAATTCCCGTGCATCCGCGCTCCTCTTTCAAGTTCCGTAAAGTTCCGACAAAAGCTTCGGAGAAGAACTCTCTGTTGTTGGTTGGATGACACCGTGCCTTCATTTGATACCCTCAGGGGTTTTGTAAGTTTTGGTCATTCGACATAGCCAGTTCAAGCCTCAACTCGTGGTTAGTCTAAAGGTGTTCTCTCCTGTGTGCCGGACCATCTGTCCAGACATGCGTGCCTGTCAAAACCAAACCTGTTCAGAAAGTTTGAAACAGGGGTCGAGTAGGAAAATACTTTCGAAAAAACATGCTGGGCGGAAATCGACGTTACATTCCTAGACCATTCCAGTGCCCTCGCATTGTTCGCCTTACGTATATGCCTCTGGCATTTCGATCGACAGCGACTCAGGGTCCTCTTTTGATTCTCTGGATCGGCGCCTCTGACTGGTTCATGGTTCTCATGCTTGTGTGAACCCGAATCTTACCCCAATCAAGTGATTAAACCCGAATCCCACTTTTCGATGCTTTGTTGGTCCCGACCATCAGATCCATGCTTGTACATGTATGAACCAGCTTGGCACCGTCATGCTAAGAGGCGTTGCTCTCGTTGCTCGCCTCTTCCGAAACAACGCGGCGTGGGTCGACATCAGGTCTTCCGTTCGTATTCAAGATGATGTAACACTCCGGTGCTTCTTGAAGATTTCCTTGCCCATGAGCGTGAACTCTTTACGGCCGTTGCTCAATGCATGCTGCGTGCTGAAACGCTCTCATTTGCTCCCCGCAAAGTCCACAGGCGTAGGTGGCTTGTGAGGCGCGAGGGAGCAGGCGGGAGGCTTTCAGGTTTCCGAGATCGATCCCGCAGCCCTTTCCGTTTCGGTTGAACGTCTTCCAACGAACTCTGCAACCCCTTTGCTTTCTGTAGAGTCATGTGTGTAGGTGGCTTGCCAGTTGCGAGGCTGCGCCCCAGATAAACGGAGACCTCACCTAAATACTCGGATTGTCACGGAAGTCTCCGCTCACCCGTAAGTTCACCAGATCCAGCATACACTCAACGTTCTGGTCAACAACCACTTCGATCGGGTGGCTGTGCCACGTGTTGCTAACTGGCAAGGAGAGAAATTGGCATGATTCAGTCCGCCGCTATCTGAGGCGCCGCAAGGCCACCCACATGTTTCCCCAGACATTCCCCCACATGATAGCAAGGCGCTCTCCCCGTAGGTTACACATGGAGATAGGTACCTTAGGGCCCGCCGATCCCGCTCAACGCTTTCCGCTCCCGCCCCTTGGCCCCGGGCCGCCCGCCGGTTCAATCGGAGCTCTGTGTCTGTATGGGGATCGGCATTCGTACATAGATTAAGGATGCACGTTCGCTTCCACAAGCGACAGATTCCCTGAAGCCGCATTAGAGCTGCGTTAGGCGTCTTGGCTAGCGATGCTCAGGCCCGCCACCAGGTTTTGGGTGGGTCGGCTGTCAGGTCGACTGGAATTACGGCCAGTGCTACTCCAGCAGCGACGTTCAAAGCGGATGCCAAGGTTCGTGGAGGGCCTAACGCGCAATGTGCAGGACGCCGTATGCAAGTTGTCGCCTCGAGGGCGGACCCTGATGGTGCGATTTCCTAGGGTCGGCCCGCCTTGTATCAGCACTACTCCGTCCAAGCATACTTTCATGCCGCAAAAGTATGGACGGGAGTTCTCCCGCGAACGAGGCTTTTCGCTTTCAGCATGCATGCGGTGGTCTATGAAGATCACTTGCACGTTCCGTAGTGGGTCTGCTTGCAAAAACGGTACTTCGCAGATTCGCTGGAGTCCAAATGCCGGTATCTAAAGGCTTAAGACTGGTTTGTCAGACATAGCTTAAAGGATCTCCTATTCCGTGGCTTTATTCTGAGTTTTCTGCATCTACTTTGAAGGCTAGACTTGCCCCTTTTCTGACTCGCTATTCCTATATTCCTTCCCAGCACAGCTAGTGCACTTCTTCCTCTGAGTTCGATCTGGCTGATCTCTCGATCCTCTTGTACCTTTTGTTACCTCGTTCACTCTCGACGTCAGGCACCAACTAGCCTGCAAAATCGACATGGCCACCACGACGAAGCAGTCGTTGCGGAGGAGCTGTCACTTCTGCAGGACAAGAAAGATCAGATGTTCGGGGCAGAGCATATGCGATGCCTGTCGCGAGCGCGAAATGGACTGTATCTACGACGTCGAGACCTCTAGGAGTAGACACAATACTGGTTCTTCAGACACGACGTCGAGAAACCGCGCTGCCTCCAATTCCACGGACGAAGCACAATCATCAACTACAAGCCGCACATCTCAGCTTCCGGAGTTCACACCAAACCCCAGGAGAGACAGCGCAACGGCCAGCAGTGTCGCTGTTGAACTCGAGCAGATGTTTCAGGAGATATTTTCGGGGGATCCAACGCCAAAATCGAATGCCTACCAGGAACAACTTGCTACGTTCTACAGAGACTATGTGCGAAGTACAACAAACGAGGCCGACGACGACAGTAGGTCGGAGACGCTGGCGCCTTCACGTCCGCGCTACCATAATCTTTTCGTCGTGCTTGTCCAGGACCTCCTAAGTATGTTGACCGACAAGTTTGGGGATCTGGGTTGCCAGCACATCCAGGATGGCAAGGCCAAATTTTATGTTCGTGGCCTTGCTCATGATAAGGCAATGCACATGTTCGATTTGACGCCAGTTCCTTCGGACCTACTAGCCGAGTACGAAAGCCGCCGGACGACGCAGATGATTGATGTCTGGTTCTCAATGCACCCTCTGTCGATGCTCATTTCCAAGACATTACTGCTTCAGAGCCTGCGCAACAAGACAGTCGATGAAATCCTTCTTGCCGCCATCGTTGGAGGTGCAGAATTCAGTCGTGACGACGAGGCCTCCCGCACACGTACCGAAGCTCTGTTTCGATGGGCGGCCAACAAGCTGCGCGCCCGCTCAGCGGCTGACTGGGACCTTTCAACCGCTCAGGCGCTGATGCTCCTTGGATGGCACGATCTCTGCTACGGGTCGGTACGCAGGGCAACCTGTTATATTGGTTACGCAGGACGAATGGTCACAGCTCTGAAGACTAAGCCCGCCGGCGTTGGTGCGACCGCAAACAGTAGAGTCAACGGCATCTCTGCCAGCGAGGTATGCTTGGTCTTTGGCTAACCTCCCCGGCGCTCCCGCCAAGCTGACGAACCTCTAAGGTTGAGGAAGAACTCCTCACATACTCTTGGTGGATCACGTTCTCGGTCACCCTCTGGACCTTCATGCAGATGGATCGACCGTTCACTCATCTGCTGCCATCGGTTTTACCTCCTAGGTTCCTGCCTTTAGACGAGTCCTCGTCAGTGCCCATTAGTCTGGACGAGATCTCTGAGAATCTGTCCACCCTACCGTCGCAGAAACGCGTGGTACGAGACTTCTGGCCTCTTAGCCATATATCCTTTACGACGGCTCACGTTTACGCCCTCCAAGTGGAAGAACCGGAAACTGAAGAGGAATCTGTATCCGGATGTTGGCAAGAGCGCACTTTCCATCAGTTCCGCCACCTGCCGAAACTCAGTAACAGCCAGAATATCGGAAATATCTGCGCAAATGTTCGCAGGGTATTCAGCGACGCCATTGTTCTTCTGAAACAAGCCGTTATCAACCCGGACACGGTGGCGGTGGTCTCGACCTTTGCACATACGGTCTTGATTCACCTACTCTTTCCGCGATCACGATCCTCACCTTCGGCCACCCCAGCCTCATCGTTAACGGAAGAGACCATGAAGAGCTTTTTCTCATCCGCTGAGGCGCTTCTCATCCTCTTCTCGGAAACTGTTGAGAGCCGCCAGAATGGCCGAGGCATTGCCGAGCGTTCCTATCTGTTCGAGCTCTACATCTCAGCAATGGATGCATGCGGTCGGGCCATGGAGTTGTTCTACATAAGCGCGCAGCGTGGTCCAGAGCCAATCACTCGGATGGTTACGGCACAGGCGGTCCGACTTTGCGACATTGCAACCCGGATGCATGCCTTTGCACGCGACGAAGTAGCTCTCCACGCGCAATCGATGCGTCCCGTCAAGAAGCGTCTAAAAGCTGTCCGGAACCGCTTCCAGCTCGTATCCCAAGGGAACGGCGTGAGCTTCGCGGACCCGATCTTCAACTTCGGGGCCCATCCGACGTTTTCTCCCGACAACGTCAGCCTGCCCTCGTACACGACAACAAGCTCCTACGACTGCGAGCTATTCAAGACGCCGTCGATGAACTCGCATCTGCAAACACCGTTGATGGGTTCTCAGATTAGCGACTCAAGCAATGCACAACTGGAGGCGCTCACACTAACTGATCACCCGATCAATTGGTCCTGGCCACTTGACACATCGACTTCGCACGTCGACTTCAACAACCTGGACCATCTCTTCCCCCAAATCACCCATCGCGATGAAAAAGATGCGAGCAACTGGATGACAGCTCAGCCGTGGGAGACAGACCGGAACGTCATGCACGGTGGTCAAGCGATACCTCCAACGCCTGCAAGCACCAACTCGAGTAGATTTAACGACCAGCCGGGGACGAAGAGGAGGCGGAAAAACTCTCGCGAGCCTGCTACTTTGTTTGCATTTGCTGGTGTAAATGAATGAATGATTGACGAATTCTTATGTTCTACGGGCAGAAAAGGGGCTTATATAGATGGGACATCGGTAGACGAACGATCGAGTCGGCATTACAGGTAGATGTTAATAATATCATGACTTGGGCCTGCGTCATTCCACTCCTTCTATAGAGTCTCAGCCATTCATTCGTGCATTCATCCTTTCTAGGATTGAGGCGTCATTGTTACTAGTATAGAATGTATTGATTTTATTAAATGCAGATCATGTAGCCCTGCCCACTCTCTCTGGCTCGTTTTGTCAACCTTCGAAAATCTGTGGTCAAACCGTAGCTCGCTGGTGCCACCCATCTAGTAGTGAGTATCCGAAGTTCTGTTCCTCGCGGTTGAAACATTCTCTATAGATGTGATACAGCATTGCTGTTGAGAAGCAGTATGCCAAGCTATAGGTAACAACATGCTCGACGCAGCGAAGGCAGTCCTGCGACTAATTAACTACCAAACTCTCATTGATAGTACAAAGGTCTTGGTTTATCGCCTGGACCACAATTTGAGAGATGTCAAACCTAGCCCCAAACTGTGCTAGGAGAATGTGATGGCGAGCTACTATATATGGCTTGGTAGCTAATGCAGTTAACCGCGATAAAAGGATGCCGATTTCCTAAATGCGTATTCACACTATAGACTGTTTACTATAAGAAGGTATGGTTTATTTAAAGCAAACACTTCCCAATCAACAGACTCACGTCCAACCGCATACTGAACGCCAGCCAATTCAGGACGAGAGGGGGATCCTTTACGAGGTCTAGCCTAGAGCTATTTCAACAGGTCAGCAGCATTCTCTAGACATCTTACATGCACGCAACTCAACGTACCGCGTCAACAGTGGGCTGGTAGCCGTACAGCCACCCCAAGTACCACATCCACGACCAGGCAGGCGCATAAGCATACACGAGCTTCCGGACCAGCGGACCCATGCCGTAGGGTAATTTTCCCATATGCACTTTTGCATAGTTGCTGGAGAAGGCCACGATGTCCTTGGCGCGAGCTTCCCGCCTTATTGAATACTCTTTCAGGACATCATCAACATTGGAGAGCCTCTTTTCCGCTGGGACGGAGAAGTAGCGTTGTAGGAGGTTACCGAGCTCGGTGGCGTCTTCGATGGCTTGGCAGGCTCCCTGGTCGGAAGTTAGATCGGAACGATGAATGAGTTGGGGGAGTAGTATTACCTGACCGAAGAAAGACGTCATGGAGTGGGCGGCTGTGACGAAAGGTGGAATTAGTATTGTCAGGGTTGCAGATGGTCGACGGACACTTACCGTCACCTAACAAGGCCACACGCCCGGCTGACATGGAGGCGAACGAGACTTCTTCGTAGACATTGCTGGCAACAATGCGCTCCGATCGGTTAACGACTGTGCTGGTGTTAAAAGACTAGTCTGGCACCATATCATAGCAATTCGCATTGACTCTCGGCGTACCATCTTTGACCATGCCATTCTCTCCAAACGGATGGAATTTCTCTCCATATACGTCGTTGATCATTTCACGCGTCGTGCCTGACCAAACCGAGCGGTTCTTCTCCTGAACTGAATTGGGATCTGCCATCTTCAATGCCGACGCACGTTAGCTCCATTTCGCGTTCACCAGAGAGCAATTTGGTAGGCAATCATACCTTGACTCCAATGAACCATTGCCTGTTGTCTTTGCACGGCCATGTGGTGAGTATTGAATCATCGTAGAAAAGCCAGTTGGCCACACCGAGCTCCTCAGGGCCCAAATTAGGCATGGGCGCGGTGTATCCCGACATATGGACGCGGCCTGTGAATCGAATGGTGTTTACGGCGTCCATGCCAGCATTTCGTGCAAGAATGCGACGGGTGATGGATCTGATACCGTCCGCTCCGACCACGACTTCTCCGCTTAACTCCCGGCCATCTGCGAGCTTGACCTTGACATATTCTTCTTCGGGCTTGTCGATTACGTCCTCAACCTTCGCATCGAGCACCACGACCTCCTCGCCCCCTGCCGCTTCATACAGCATGTGGTGAAAATGGTGTCGTTCGATAGAATAGACTGGATAACCATAATAGCTTTCGGCGCCAAAGTCCAATTCTCTCCATTTGGTCGTATTACGGTGTATCATGACCTTCTTGAGCGGCTGTCCGGTGCGCTTTATTTCTTCATAGAGACCCAACTGCTCCAGGACCTTCAGCGCATTTGGCGCTAGGGAGATGCCAGCGCCAACAGGCTCGAGCTGCTTCGTACGTTCTAGCACCTTGCATTGGATGTTGACCTTCCGGCAGATTGTCGCAAGCAGGAGACCACCTATCCCTCCTCCGATAATGAGAACTTGCGTGTCGGGCTTGTGTACCATTGTGAGTTTGGAAGGAAGATTGACAGTGGTACGATCAAGGAGAAGGCCGCCGAGAGACGGTCATAAAGGAATAACTTTTGGACGATATATTTGTCGCTCCGCATGCTGGCCTCAGCAACGACGGAGGACGACAACATGATAACGGTGAGTCCATACCGTGGAATTATCACAAAACACGAATGTGAACCGACGGAGAACGGAGCTCGAAGCGCTTACATGTCGCGTTGGCATAGTGTAGACTTTGGCGTGTGTCCGCCGGTGTACGGAGCTCATATGCTCACAGCCCGTCGGACGAGCGCACGTTCCCGTCCGTCTTAGTTAGGCTTTGGACGCTCACACGTCGGAAGACACAGCGTAGCAGACAAACAGATAGGAGAGAAACGCGCCTTGAGAGACGCGACGGAGGGCAAAGGGCGGAACAGCGACTTCTTGCGCACGTGACTCCGCTTTACTCGGAGCAACGGCCGAATATCCGCCACTCTTTGAACAGAGAGCTTTGCCTCGACCACGCCTCTGTGGGATCTATCACATCAAGTGTATTGTTACTGAGCCAGATGTGGTAGAGTTCACAAAGGCGCGATGAGGTTGTTTACTTCTTCCAAAGCAGCCAGGCGGTTGGCAAAGGAGCGCTGCCGGCGTCCGCTGCAAACACTACAATCACGCATTACGACATCAAATAAGACGTGGTCGGTAGATATGGAAGTCCTGAGGGTGTTGTAGCATAGATTCGAAGTTCACTATCACAATTCGGTTACGATCAATACGTTGAGAGCCGGCTTCCACTCATAAGGACAATGCATGATAGAAACGGCGCCTTCAGCTACGAGTATGTATAAAGTAATTTTTCATTGACTTCTTTTTGTTAACTGTCCATCCTCCATCATCCTCCAAATCAGGTGGTATATAACGTAAAATTTTAGACAGGAAGGAGATAGAAGTGGAAATATACAAATAAGCGAGCTGGAACTAAATTAATTTAATCGCATAGCATATCCTGGTGCACATACGGTGCTACCATTTTAGATCTGCGATTCCGACCTGCAGCTTGTCAAAGTCGAACATGATGTACTTGTCCTTCGCAAAAGTATCGCCGAAGTTTCCAATGAGCATGTCGCCAAACCCCAGAGTGCGCACATTCAGAACGCAAGTGTTGTTCCCAATATCGTCCACATAATGGGAAGGGATGATCTCCCACTCCTTTGCGTGGCCGGCAAACTGGTATTTGAGTGGTGGCAAGCTCTCCTTCTTGCTGCAATCAACCTCATACCATGACTGGTTTCCGTTGTTGGGCGGCGCTTCCAGTGTGATCGGCTTGGCGTCACTCAAAGCGATGAGTCTCTCGTAAGCATCCACGGACAGAGGCGCGCCCTGTCCGTAACTTGCATTGTCGAAGATGGCTCCGGCGCCATGCGTTTTGTTGATCGCCTGAGATTCGTTCCCGATTTTCATGGATGTCAGGTCCAAGGCCCAGTAGTTGATGACAGCCGGCGAGAACTTGAAATCCACGTTGTTGACCTCTGGAAAGACGATGTTATCGTACCACAGTGCCTTCCCATCGATGCGTTCCTTTGCGTAGCCTCCCAAAGTCTGGATGGCGTCGGCCCCGCCACAGATGGATTTGGCCTTGTCTGGCGAGCCCTCGTAGCAAAAATAGCCAGCAGTGATTGGCGATGGCCAGACACCGTTCTTCCAGCCCTGATAGAAAGGAGCTTGATAAGAAGCTGAATCGGGTTAGCCGGAATGAGAACTCAGGAGTGAGCGGTAAAGGGAACAAACCGTTATCACCAGCGAAGACAGGAGAAAGACCGAATACTCCAGCAAAGGGAAACGTAAACGGCGAAACGGAGAATTGGAAATCTGCTCCTTGCATAACAATACGTGACGCGGCCGGCCCGACCGTCAAGATGTCGGAGGCATGATCTACTTCCATATCCTTGTAAAAGAAGAACTGATTCGGGTTCCATACACGGCTAGGATAGAGTGCGGACTCGTCCTTGTACGTCCGGGACTTGGATTGATTGAACAATTGTTGGTCAGGAGATAGACAAGCGCTCGTGTCTGTATCGTTTCCACGGCATGTAGTCGTGAGAACAAACTGGCTTATCCAGGTCCAGTCCACGGATATCGTCAAAGACTGTGGAGGGGTTCCGATGAAGATCTCGCTAGTGTAGCCGACATTTTTGACCGCAGTCAAAGGCATATCATATGCCTTTGATCTTTTTGGAGCCGCAGCGACATGCTGGACACCACCGAATGCGAGACCCGCAGCGAGGTAAAAGAGTGACTTCATGTTGCAAGCGGCTGGAGAGAAACAACTGAGGTGAGGAAAGCTTGATTGAGACTTATGCGCGCACAAACAGGAGCTTCCCTGAGCATTGTATTAATCCCACCCGACTGCTTGGGTGGTCCCCCTGATCCAGAAAACCTCGCACCTCGTGTTGCTCGCAAACATCAGCAACGCACATGGTCCGTCTCCCAGCGGACGCGGACCCGTCGGTAAGCGGGAACTTGGGGATGGACAGCAATCTTGGAGTTGGCATAGGCAAGACGTCTCTCCTCTCCCTAGCGACATTGCTTCTTACCCTCCGAGCCGATGCGGACCAAGTTCGTGAGAGCTGTTCCATCTTGAGCGCCAGCGCAGCCGAGGTCCGCCATCCTCTCGCCGAAGACGACGGAGCGACAACAACATGCAACACCTTCCGCCGCAGAGGCTCCGTTCATCTGCCCTTTAAGTGGGTTTGATGTGGTTCTGCACGCCACTGCGCGTATGCACATGCTTGCCAAGAACGTGTTGCCCAGTGTTCACCTTGACTCTGATCGACGATCGTTTCCATATCTGTTTCCATATCTATCTCTCGGAGGCCTCTCCTTTACATGTTGTCTCTCAGATTAGGAGTTCGCCACTGAAGATCCTCATCTCAGCCTCTACAGACATTCATTCAGATCAGGCTTTTGCCACTGAAGATCCTCACTTTCGCTCTCTCGAAGCAGGCTTCCCCATTGAAGATCATCACGTCCGTTCTTCCAGACTAGGCTTCCCCCTGAACAACGCCACTTCCATTCCCTCACATCAACCTGCGCCAGTAAAGATCTTCACTTTCGCGCAAGCATGGATCCCATTGAGCTTTTGCAAGGCAGCGCCAATGGCCCTCTCACTCCCCTCTTCCTAGTACATGCCGTATCCGGCCTCGCCCTCCCCTATCTGGCATTGGGGCCCCTCGACAAGACTGACTGCCGTCCTGTCTACGGTATCACTTCGCCCATCTACAGCAGCCCAATCTACAAACTCCCATCCTCATTAGACGATGTGGCGCGGCGGTACGTCACACGCATCCGCCGAGAGGTTCAGCCCGAAGGGCCGTATCTTCTTGGTGGATGGTCAATGGGGGGAATGATTGCTGTTAGAATGGCGAAGGTCCTGCAAGAGATGGGCGAGAAGGTTCTCCATGTTATTATGATCGACTCGGCGAACCCAGAAAGCTTCCCTGCGTTCAAATCAAAAGAAGCACACGACGCGATGACAAACACCATGTTCGATGCGATAACGAGGCGGATAACACCGCCTCCGTCGGCAGAAACTGACACCTTCTTCCCCTCGCCTATCTCTGAAGAAGACGTAGCATTCGAATCCGACGCGGTGGATCTTGCCAATCTCCTAACCCTGATGCGCAATCATATATCGAATGGGCTACGTATCATCTCCGAGGCCAAGCCGAGTACCTCCTCGAAAACCAGGTATGAGACTGAGGTTACACTCATCAAATGCACCTCGTTTGTGGCACCGCCACGGCGGTACGGCGTGAAGAAGCCAGTTATACACTGCAAGACCATGAACTGGAAAACGAAAGACTTTGACAGCTTTCAAACCATCCTGTTCAGCGGCGATCATGACGGCGCTTTCGATGAACGATACGTCGGCGAGCTGACGGCAATCATGGAAAGTATTCTTTCAACTGTTAACTGACGTGGTCGTTTTGGATTTGTGCCGGCATTTCGTTACTACGAAGATACCCTTGAAATCAGGTTACATTCGTAAGATATAGAATCTAGATGCGAAAATGCTCTTACTAAAGATAGAGCGAGCTGTTCCTGCTTCGGCGTAGTCTTTGTCAGTTTTCTGGTGGCGATAGCAGCGGCATCGCGATGGTTCATGACATCGTCTTTTCCATCTCCTTCCTGGCTTTGTGGTTGCGGTTCCCAAAACATACGCGGATCAGCCGCAGGGCTGACGAGATTCTGGAAGCAGAAAGGCCAATTAGCGACACGGAAGGCATCGGACAGGGTGCTGCACTCAAGACACTCACTTGTTCACACATGTACAAGGGAGAAGTCCCTTTGAAATGTCACAGGAATTGGCAGCTCTAGTCCAAATATAGATCTAAACTCATAAGCTTTCTTCCAAGTTTCAATGAATACCGAAACAAGATCTCAGTCTCCCACGTTGACTGGTAAGCGCGCCCAATTTTCCGAAATCTTAACCAAGCAGTCTCAAGTAAAGAAAACAAAAGAACCCCAGCCAGCGAATTCCGAAACGCTCAAATTCTATCAACCAACTTACCATCGACGAAGAGTTGAATCTCAGGTGTTGCCACGGTGCATTTACTGTTTAGCTATTGGCGTTATCCGGACATGTGCGTCGCCCTTGAGCCACGGGCTACCAATCTTCGTGAAGTCTAAAGCTCCGAAGTCTTTGGGCGGCCCGCTCGCAGCCCAACCAAAATCATAGTTCCGAACCAGCTCCCCGACAACTTCTCGTGCGATGGTTCCAGCCATTTTCTCGCCGGGGCATCGGTGGGAACCTGCTCCGAAGCCGAGATAAGTAACCTCATCTGCCGACTTGGCCGGTCTGAACTGCTCGCCCCCTTCAAGCCAGCGCTCCGGAAACCACTCTGTGGCACGGTAGTAGTTGCGAGCGTCGTGGTGAGTCAGGTATGGCGATATCGAGACGACAGCGCCGACAGGTACGACTACGTTTGAGTCGGGAATAGTAACCGGACTCCGTGCGAGTCGAAGCATGTTGATGCCTGAGTAATGGCGGCTCGTCTCCTTGAGACATGCATGCAAGAGCGGTGAAGAATGCACACTCGGAGACTCGAGAAGCTCCTTCCGCAGGATAGCAAGGCGTTCAGGGCTTCTGATGAGCTGTCATACGTCAGCTAACGAGCAACACATTGCTTCAGGAGACATGCCTCGGCGATGGTCCAGGAGATACTGGCTACGGTGCTTGTATGAGCAGCGAACATCAGCAGCGTGTGGTGTGCCGGGAAGAATTCCGTTAGATGGACTGTCAGTCTGTCACGGAGCGTGTGAGAAACGTAGTCCTCCGAGTCTGCCCAACGATTGGGGTCGGAGGCTCGCTCCCTTAGGCGTTCGCGGAAAATATCCTGCATGCGATCGCGGGCTTTCCAAAGCCGTTTGGCGGCAGGATGCGGTACCCAGTGGGGCAGAACAAAGTTGAATATACTGCCGATATCGGCCTCGACCTTATGGAGGAGGTCGGAGAGCTCGTAGACGTTGTGGTGGTAGAAGTCAGGGCCCATCAGGCATCTAACGATAACCTTATGAGCGAGGACTGATGCGGATTCGAAGAGAGCGGTATCGTTCGTTTGAGCCCACTGCGCGAAGCCGGTCACAGCTTCATCACGTGCAATGGCTGCGTAGGAGTCTAGCGCCTCGGAGCGGTTGATGCAGCGGTTGAGGGACCCGACGAGGGTTCTGAGATGGTCCCAGTAGCCGGGCGCAACAACGGGGTGGAGGAAGAGGTTCTACACTGTCAGTCAAATAAACGTAAAGGGGTTGGCGCGGACTGGCGCGGGAAGTTTGCGAGAAACATACCATGCCCCAGCCGAATGACCAAGCATCCTCCTTAACATTTACGTAGAACTTATTTAGCACATTGCTGCGAAGCCAAATGTTCTGTGTAAAGAGCATTTGGATAGAGAAGACCGGGCCGCATTGCACATCGGCCGCCTGGATTGCTGCGGCCGGATCGGTAGCGTATGCGGTAGCATTGCCTAGAACGGGCCCGCCCAGCCGAGGACTTGGAACGAGGGAAAGCTGCCGGCGAATTCGTGCGGCAAGAAGTGTTATAAAGACAGCGGCTGCGACAAGCGCCAGTATCGCTGGTGGAACCAACATGGTTGTTTGTGCAAAAGAAAACCTTTCCTCCAAGTTGTTTAGACGTTTACCTACACCTCATGTCGGCCACGTCGCGGAAAGACGGCGGCCTTTATTCTCGGCTTGCAACAACGCTTCAAACCCAGGTCGTTTTGAGGTTGAAGTTGTACAGTTCATTAATTGTTGAGTCGCTGCGCGCCAGCGATCTCTGAGTCTCTCCGCTGCATCATCAACCTGGACCGGTCTTTCCGCTGCCTCCGCTGGCGCCGCCGCTCCGTTCTCCAGCGGACAGTCGACAGATCCTACACACTGTGAGGGCCGAGACCGCTTCAGCCTAATAGTCACCTAGGCGCCTGCGTCTGTCGCTTTCCCTAGTGTGGTCGATGGCGTTCAACTCACGTTCTCGGACCGAACCATTGAGACGCTGAGGAAAGGCCATCGTTCTCGAATGAGGGAAGTCCGTGACGGCCTGGCTAAACGCCGCTATCGGAACCATCGACCCAGTGGATGGTTGTAAGCACGAAACGACTCACTCCACCCCCAGCCGGAGCATGAGGGCTCGGTTAGTAGTCGCCGGCGGGTTCTTGAACTCCTGTGTCACAATCGGCGAGATCCGAACAGGCTCAATATAAGCTCCGCAAGCGAGGCTTGTTTCCGTGCTACTACAGGGCTACTGAGCTTGTTTGGCACCTTGCAGATGTTGCGGATAGGAGTGAGCGGAGGAGCCACTGCAGCGCGGTTGACAGCGGAGTGCAGTTGACAGGGCCGGATGATTGTACGGCCGAACCTCAATCCAGTCACGTGCCCAGACTGCAAAGGCATCCTCAACCCCAAAGCCTCCTCGCTTCACCAGCTCCGCTGAGCCACGGAGCTCCGCCGTATTCGCAAGAGAGCTCCACTGGAGGTACCACCGTGATCACCTTACGGATGTCTGACCAACGGCGGACTTGAAGGGGCCTAAGCCTTCTCCTGATCACGAACACTCGCGTAGGCAGTGATCTGCAGAACATGTAGGTACCAATACTTGTGTTCCGTCTCATTTCCGTCGCCACGACGAGCATGGCCGTGTCAAAAGATACTTGAATAAAGCCTGTTGGAAGTCCTGCCTTTCTTCATTCCACTCGTACCCAAGACTAGAAGAGCGCATACATCACCGGCCGCTTTTGCTGTGCTTCGGCTTGCGCAAAGCCTCTTTCACTCTTTTGCTTCAATCTTTTATCGTGAGAACATGCTGCGTTCAACGTTCATATTATATGCGCTATGGGCCTCCGTGGCGACAGCTGCTTCCGTGCCTAAAGACCTTACGGCATGTGTGCAGAAGGCCTTCGCGACATCGGACCCTGATAAGAGGATTGTATCCCCTGGCGATGCAACGTACACTGATGCACGATTGGGAGAAAAGATCCAGTAAGCGCAGCATGAAAGAGAAGCTCTCTGGCAAGCAACGTAGCGAGAGTCGTGGGACGTTCATGGCTCTCGCCTAATCTGAAAGGGGTCGCACGATTTCTGGTACTTTGTCTGGTCGCATACAGTACAGCTAACACTCAACCCAATAGATTCGACGAGTTTCCAGCTTTAATTGCGTACGCCAAAGATGTGTCGGAGGTCGGCCCTCTTGTCAAATGTGCGCTCAAGTCAGGCTACAAGCCCGTGCCCCGAGCCGGAGGACACCAGTACGTGTAATTAATCACAATGATTCTGTAACCACGTGCTCACGTTCTGCACCAGTTTCCTTGCTTATTCCGCTCTAAACAACTCTCTCCTTATCGATCTCGCACACGTCAACCACGTAATAGTCTCAGCCGACAAGAAGACCGCGGCCGTGGGCGGCGGCATCCGCCTCGGTGCGCTGTACACCGCTCTCGACGCCTATGGCGCCACCTTTGTGGGCGGGATATGCCCAACCGTCGGCTTGGGCGGTCTCATATCCGCCGGTGGCTTTAACATGCAGATGCGGGCGCTGGGCATGTCCGCAGACCACGTCGCCTCCGCGAAAGTGGTACTGGCTGACGGCACGACTGTCGTCGCCTCTCTCTCATCCCACCCCGACCTCTTCTGGGCCATCCGCGGCGGCGGTGGCGCCACATACGGCATCGTCGTCGAGTACACACTTAAGCTGAGCACCTTCCCCCGCTCCGCCATGCTGTACCTCGCCTGGAACGAGACCGGGAACGTGCGCTACGACGTCGCGAAGCGCTTCCTGGCGTGGGGTCCCGCCCAACCCAAGGAATTCACCTCGCAGGTCAACGTGTACAAGAATACCGTCTCAGTCGTTGGATGGTATCTCGGCGGCACCGTGCAGGAGCTCGGGGCGATAGTGAACGCGTCCGGGCTGCTCGAGATCGGTAGCCCGCAGGTCGTGGTATCCGGCGGCTGCAGCACGGACAACTCGCGCATCTTCGGGTACACGGCCTTTGAATGCCTTCCGGACGATCAGGTGGACGCTTCCATCATGAATGTCGTCCCGGAGCCGTATGATCAGTTCGAAAACAACGCGCAGTTCAAGTATGAGGAGGTGCCCAAGTCGAGCACACGCGCTCAGGCGTGGCCGTGGGAGCGCTTCCGGCGCATGACCAAGTCGTTTTTTGTGCAGAAGAGCAGGCCGGTCACGGATGATGTTGTGAAGGAGTTGGTGGACCGTATTGGCCAGCTTGACGACGCGTCTGAGGCGTGGGGCGAATGGCATGCGTGGAACCTGTCCAGCTCTAGCACCGGCGGCGCGTTCGCCTGGCGCGAGCAGGCGCTTGCGCATCTGGAGTTCATCGTTACGGGCTCGGAAGACGCGGCGACGGCGAAGAGATATGAGCAGTGGTTTACTAGCCTGGAGGGATTGCTGAGACCTGCCGTTGGGTACGTATACTACTTCCTCCTGAACGTGCAAAAAGCATCGACACTAGAGCTGACGTAACGGATAGGCCGGCCTCGTATGCGGGATATATGGACGACTCGCTTTCGGTGAACCCGCTGATAGCGTACTACGGCTCCAACGTCTGCCGCTTGGTAGGTATTAAGAGCAAGTACGACCCCAGCAATGTTTTTACCAATCCGTTGTCCATCCCGCCAAGGGCGCCACAGGGTATTTCGTGTTGAGGGCTGCATTGGGTGTGTTAATGGGGTTGGCCTGATCTAAGTGATCGCCATGAGATTTCTTTTACCACAAAAGCTTTCTGCTCGCCACCTTGTAAACGTGGCTCGAGTCTTTTCAGCAAACGTACAACGTTAAAACCCAGGAATTATTTCTTGAACGCGCTCCGTACTGGAGTGTCTTGACGTGTGTAAGAGATTGACGAGGAAAGAACGGGGATTCGAGCGAGAGCCATGCCGACGCTCTACAAGGCACCGGGAGTCCAGCATTAAATAGGGCAACAACAGATATGTACAAGTATCTCTAGCTTATCGTACCACGTCTCGCATCGCTTCTTTAGCCCTGCAGAATCAGATCGTCAGCAAACGCCGTGTGAGATTTGAAAGGCATCTCTTCGTGATACCTACGCTCCACTAATTGTGCCCACTACACCATATTTATGTAGCGTCGTAGAGATCATCCCAACACTGGCGTCAGCATTGGAGATCTTGTTAGCCTGCTTTCTATTCGCAATCTCATCACTAGCGAGAATGACTGTGGAAGCGAGCGATTCGTCCAGCCCAATCTTCGCGGGCCATTTATTGAGCAGCCTGCGAGATGCATCACTTCACAAACGCCAACGTCCGCTCAAAGGCTTGCGGTCCAGAGTAAATTACGCTCAAATTTGGTATCTCTAAATCTATAGATCACTGCGCAAATCTTCAAGCAGTACTAAATAGCTTCGTTCACGCCACACCTCGCCTTTCATCTACCTACGTCTTCTGCAAGTAGCATGGCCGCCTGCTGCGCGATCATGCAATTGACCTCTCCACGCGTGTCGTGGGTATAACATGAGCTGTTTCGCATCTCTAACAGGATTCACAGCCGGTCGTGGACAATCTCATAGGCAGATGCGCATCGAATAAGCAGACACCGTTCCAGGCATTGCTGAAGTCTCCTGAGTGTCAACCCGTGATCGTTACGATCCTCCCACCTGTGTGAGCGCTGGTTCCCCTAACGGCCGTCTCGAATAGCCACATCCCGACATCGTTCCTGCTAATCGTGTAGCCGAACTGGGGGTTGATATCGCTGGCGACTCTTATGCGGTCCATGGATGTCATTTCACCGTCCGTTAACAGGCTCGGCCTCACAACGAGATAGCTTCGTATAGCTCTCTGCAGCGCTGGCTTCTCCATCTCGGCCATGACCATTGTCTCCATTTCTCTCACGTCTTGGTGGGGGATGGTAAGTAGCCAGTGATAGAGCGGAGTCATGGCTATAGGGATGCCACGGCCGATTTGGTTGACTCCGATTGTGCTGATGACGACAAAGTGCGGTTTGGGGCCGCCCAGCGAGCGGAGGGTGTCGAATATCATGCGCGTGGCATCCTGGCATATGGTGGGATCTTCCAGCGTCGGCCTCAATGGGTCGGGCGTGAACCGGGGTTTGCCGCCAATACCGGATATCACAACGTCTACCGTACCGGCACCCTTGCTGGGGGCCTGGAGCGTCTGGGCGACGGCAGCAGGGTCTTTGACGCTGCCGGTAACAATAGTGAGATGGCTTGCGATTCTCTCATCCGAGATACCACGCTCGCGAACAAGGGCACGCAGTTTCGCCTCGGTACGGACAACTGTTGCGCAGAACTATTAGCTGTGAAGATTGCAGGCGGAGAGTGGAGCTTGTGGATGAGGCGAGGTGTAAGTGGCTTTAGATATGGGGTAGATATGTTCAAGGATAGGTTGCTTACGGACGGAACACAGATGGCCGTTCTGCAGGGCGAGCGCGAGGGATGCCGCAACGGAGCCTCCCGTGGCGCCAAAATAAGCGATCGTTCGCTTAGACATGGTCCTTGGCTCTTGGCTATCCATACGCACGCTTCCGCCGCTGACTTCGGGGTGAGACTGCTTGACAGGCACAGGCGAGCAGCACACGAGAAGTCCGTATGCGTCTCCCACGGTGGGTCGCAGCTGTCGGCGAGATAGGCGAGTGACTGGGGTCCGTTGTGTTGAATTGCGGTAATGATCTCCACGTGTTGTCGTCAGTGACTTCCAGCTGGCTCAACAACAAGCTGCAATAGAGGCGCAATCCCAGCAAACGTGAAACTTCGTGCAGGAGGCAAAGGGATTGTTCTTGCTATTTAGGGTTGTGATCAGCGAGGAAATGGGATGCGGAGGGCGGAGCAAGCGCGGGACCGACGGAGGAACCACCGTACTCCTGTAGCTGTCGCCGTTGGCGGGCGGAGGCAGCACTGCTGCCAGTGTAGAGCTATAACAGATCTAGACCACGGTCTATCGAGTGGCCCACTTATGGCTAACATGATTTCGGGTAGGTAGGTGAGTGTTGCAAAGCGTGCGGAAATAAAAGTCACGTGACTGCAATGATATTGGGCTTCCACTCTGCTTGTGAGTCACGATGTATCAGGGTAGTTGGTTCATACACTTGCCATACCAGAGGCAGAGCTGCGCGGATGCATCGCATCAATGCAACATCTTCTACGGTTACATGAGCTGCTATCTCCCCACGTGTCATGATTTCGCGGGCGGCTTGCTAACCAGCTAACTTGATTTATCGTATAGTAATTTACTTGTGTACAATATGGTCTTATTTAGATTACGTGACTTGCTTCCCCGTTTTGCACCTCCGGTCAACTCCTTGACGGCATTACCACAGCACACCCAATACGATCTCAGTACTGGGACTGTAGCGACCTCAGTACAGCGTTATTCTATCTGACTAAGGGTCAGCCAAACGGCTGTCAATCAGTGTTGGGTTACTACGTAAATCAGCCATTTGTAATCTCAATACCTCTGGCCGCTCACTGCTCCGTCTGGTTGCGGAGGCACACAATAGGCACTGTGGCCTCCGTCGCCTCTGCTGGCGGCTTCCCTTCTGTCCTTTTGCTATGGATCACCGTGCCTCTACTCTCCCTGTCCCGTCCGTTCCCATCTCCGTCTCCGTAGTCTCAACAACTGCCGATCTATCAGATCCAATGTGCGGCGGTACCATGATCGCCTCCTGTCCGTCATGGCTTGCGGCCATGAGCCACAGTGCAAGGCCAACTACCGCCTGGTTATATTTCGTCCATGGAGACCATCTTCAACTTCAACGCTCATCTGACAATCGCTTGAAAACAGCGTGCTCTTTCAACCCACTGATCTGTCCTTCACCCATCTCGAATTTGACAGCTCGGCGCGATGTCCAACTCACAGTCAGCTAGCGCTAGCACTCTCGGAGAGCCGAGCTCTTACCAGTCCAGCTTGCTCGATGATGGAACTCTCAGTTCTGCCAGCACGGCGCCGCCAAGAGATGACCCATCCGTCATCGTAGGCTTGGCCTGTCGCGTGCCTGGCGCTGATAGTCCGAGTCAGCTATGGGACAACATAATTGCCCAGAAGGATTTGCAGAAGAAGATGCCCGAGGACCGGTTCCTTGTGGATAACTTCTATCACAAGGACGGTACTAACAAGGGAACTGTAAGCAGCCTCCTTTGTGACTCTACACCCCCTGACTTGAAGCCTTCTGACTTTGTGTAGACCAATGCGAAGTATGGTTACTTCCTCAATCAAAACCTGGGAGATTTTGATCCCGGTTTCTTCGGCATTTCCGGCAAGGAAGCTGAGGCGATGGATCCCCAGCAGCGACTTCTTCTGGAAGTTGTGTATGAGGCACTTGAGGACGCTGGTATTTCTTTGGAATCGATAAACGGAAGCCAAACTTCGGTCTTCTGTGGTTCATTCACGAACGACTACGACAAGATGACGGTCAAGGACTTGGCTTACTACCCAAAATACACGGTCACAGGCACCGGCAACGCGATTCTGTCCAACCGTATTTCGTACTTTTACAACCTCCACGGCGCCAGCGTCACTATTGATACGGCTTGCTCATCCTCGCTGGTTTGCTTCCATCTTGGCAACCAGTCTCTTGCCAACCAAGAGGCCGACATATCGATAGTTGTCGGATCGGCCCTCCATTTCGACCCGAACATTTTCATTACCATGACCGACTTGGGCATGCTCTCCACCGATGGACGATGCCGCGCCTTCGACGCGGATGGCTCCGGCTATGTCCGTGGAGAAGGTATCTGCGCCGCCGTCCTGAAACGTCGCAGCGAAGCCGAGATGAACGGCGATCGGATCCGAGCTGTCATTCGAGCTACCGCTGTGAACCATGACGGTCGGAAACAAGGTATCACGTATCCTAACTCTGATGCTCAAGAGGCTCTTATCAGAGCCACATACAAGAACGCCGGGCTCGATCCGTGCGATACTCAATACTTCGAAGCTCACGGCACCGGCACCAAGGCAGGTGATCCGCAGGAGACGCGGGCTATTGGAGCGGTCTTCGCTCCCAACAGGGAGCAGCCCCTACATGTCGGTTCCGTCAAAACAAACATCGGTCATCTCGAAGGTGCTTCCGGCCTTGCCGCGATTATCAAGACAACTATGGCTCTCGAACATGGTCAAATCCCCCCTAACATGCTCTTCAAGAATCCCAATCCCGCTATCAAGTTCAGTGAATGGAAACTCCAGGTTCCTGAGCAGCTTCAAGTCTGGCAACCTGGCAAGGATGGCATTCGTCGGGCAAGCATAAACTCTTTCGGCTACGGAGGAACGAATGCACACGCCGTGCTCGAGGATTATCAGTCGCCAGCACGCCCGTCTGTCTCTGCGCCACTTCCGGAGCGCCTGGCTAGCATGCCATCGTCAAGACCCTATCTGGTTCCGTTGACCTCGCACTCTGATAGGGCAGGCAAATTGCTCAACGCCAGACTCATCGAATACCTCAACACCCATCCGAGCGTGGAGATCCCGGACTTTGCCCACAGTCTGAGTGTGCGCCGTTCGATGCATGCACAGCGCTCGTTTGCAATCGGAAAAGACCACGAAGAGTTGGTCAGTGATCTTGCCTCACCTCAACCCATTGCCAATTGGACCGGTGCAAGCAAAAGTCAGCCACGACTTGGCTTTGTTTTCACCGGACAAGGTGGCCAATGGTTCGCTATGGGACGGCAGCTCATCCAGCAGTCACCTCTTTTCCGGCAGACTCTTGAGCGATGCGACCAGGTACTTCAGAGTCTTCCAGACCGTCCGGAGTGGTCTGTCGTCGAGGAGCTTATGCGCTCGAAAGACGACTGCCGGCTGGGGGAGACTCTGTTCTCTCAGCCCATCTGTACCGCTTTGCAGCTGGCTATCCTGAGCTTGCTCACCCAGTGGGGCATTAACTGCTCTGCGTGTGTAGGTCACTCGTCGGGTGAAATGGCTGCAGCTTATGCCGCAGGCATTCTCTCTTTCGAGAACGCAATGATCGCCGCGTATTACAGAGGCCTGTATATGTCCAGTGGATCCAAAAATGCTTCAGCGACTCCCGGAGCGATGATGGCGGTTGGTCTTACGGAAGCCGAGGCCCTTGTCGAGCTTGAACCTTACAAGGGCCGCGCTTGCATAGCCGCAGTCAACAGTCCCTCCACTATGACCTTATCCGGCGATGAGGATGCCATTCTGGAGCTCAAGCAGACGCTTACGGCAAGAAAGGTTTTTGCGCGACAGCTTCAAGTTGCCCAAGCCTTCCACTCCCACCATATGAACCCGCTGGCCCCTGCGTATCAGGAGGCTCTCAAAACGTGCTCAGGGTTCATCACTCAGCCGCCAACATGTCTCATGGTTTCCAGTGTCACCGCTCGTGTCGCAGATTCTCCGAACATGGGCGATAGCTACTGGGCCAGGAACATGACAGGCGCGGTCCGATTTTCTGATGCTCTGACAGGAATCCTTCTGGATGAGGAGGACAGGCAGAACATCGACATTCTGGTCGAGATTGGCCCCCATCCCGCCCTCAAAGGGCCGGCTCGTCAGATCGCTCAATCTCTGAGACTGGAGATTCCATATATTGCATCGCTGACACGAGGCATACCCGACTTCAACGGGCTTCTTACCGCCGCAGGCCAGCTGTTCTCCCTAGGTTATCCTGTGGATCTGGCGGCTGTCAACCGAGACCACTTTATCACTGAACTAGGTGTCCCGGCTGGCACTTCAGAGAGTGTGAAGTTGAACGATATCCCTACGTATGCTTGGGATCACGGCACTCGCTATTGGGCTGAGACCAGAGCCATCAAGGACCATCGTCTACGGAAATACCGTCATTCAATCCTCGGCGCTCCTGTACCTGGTTCCGTAGCGAGACACCCGCGCTGGCGCAACTATCTCCGCCAAAGCGAACTTCCATGGCTTACTGAGCATGTCGTTGACGGCAAAGTTATCTTCCCGGGTGCCGGTTACGTCTGTATGGCTATCGAAGCCATCGTGCGTCTGAGTGATCAAGCGACGTCCGAGATAAAGGCTATTGTGCTCGAAGACGTCGTTATCAAATCTGCGCTGACGGTCAGCGATACTGATGTCGGAAGTGAGATCCTACTCGAGGTCCAACCATCCCGGATATCTTCTAAGAGCCGATCAGACGACACCTACGAATTTGTTATTTCGTCCTATGATGAGAGTGGTGAGCGGTGCACGGAGCATTGCCACGGCCTCGTTTCGATCGAGAAGGGATCGCCGGCCGAAGTTAAAACACTTACAGCATATCCTAGTCCCGATCATCTAAGAAGAGCAACTACCCGATGTGTCGGCCATAATTCCTTCTATCGCCACCTTGCTAGTATTGGACTGCAGTATGGCGAAAACTTCCGACTGCTATACGGAGACTTGGAAAGTGGGCCGGGATTTTGCATGGCTCCTTTAACTTATCGCCCGCTCAATGTTGGAACCAGTGAGCCTTACGATGCTACTATCCTACATCCTACTGTTCTCGACTCCGTATTCCACGTGGTATTTACCGCCATTGAGTCGAGACTGGGCCGCCCTCTCGATGAACCGTTCGTGCCTACTTATATCCGCTGCCTCAAACTTTCCGGGTTACTGGCCAACGGCTCCCCATTCGAGGATCGAAAGATGAAGGTTACTTCTTTAACTAAACTTCCAAGCGCCAGAGTCGCTTTCAATGATATGCTACTTCACTCCGAGGAAGACAACAAACTATTGATGGAGATCCAGGGCCTGCAGGTTACTTCACTTGGAAAGGATGAGGAGGGGAAGTCAAAGCGCTCCCTATACTTCCGACAGCGCTGGCAACCGTGCTTCAGTCTACTTGGATCCAACACACAAACCCCTGCCATCGACAGCCTGAGCAACGCCGTAGATCTCTTCGCTCATCAATACCCAAACAGCAAGATCCTTCACCTCACGTCAAGCCCAGAGAGTACTGCAGATGTTCTTCATACCCTCGGCGGCACCAAACACGAACGCCGCCGCTTCGGAAGCATGGACGTATTCAGCTTTGCGAAGCCGCTGGGTGAAGAATTCGACCAGCTGATAGAGACACGGCCGGGATTGGTCAAGATCTGCGAGCCAAAAGACGGAGAGTACGATTTGGTGGTTCTGAGCGAGAATGTTGAGATTGACGTGGCTACTCTGCTGAAGGCAGAAGGACACATCATCTCAGAGGTTCAAGCTGTCGCCACTGAGCAGTTGGCTGAGGTCTTCACATCAGGGAAGATTAGCGCATGGCAGAAGAAGGGTGAAGAGTCCGCTCCGCTCGGCGGTCTAACAGTTGTCCTTCCTGGCGGTACATCTGAATCTGCAAGCTCCATCCTTGCCGGTCTCCGATGTGGCAACAGCGGTCCCGTCTCCACGACGACATTGCCCGCTCTCTCGAAGCAGGCCCCGCCATTCAAGAATATCGTCGTGCTGTCAAACCTTGCCGAGAGCATCGACAATGTAGCCACGTACCAAGGCATGCAAAACCTGCTGGCCGAAGCCGCGTTGAACGTTCTGTGGATCACCCAGGGCGCCACCATGGAGTCGAACAATCCGGACGATGCCATGATTATCGGACTTGCTAGAGCTGCCCGCAGTGAGAACGACCAGTTGCGCCTTGTCACTATGGACCTCGACAAGAACATGCAAGGCGGTTTCGTCGCAAACCGCATTCTGCATGCCCTGGATCCGCGCTTCGAGGAAGACGAACTCACCGAACGAAACGGCTGCATCTACATTCCCAGAGTCGAGGCCGATGACACGCTCAATTCGAAACTGCGCAATGGCGTTAGCTGCGAGCCCCGGTCAGAAAAATTCGGTGAAAAGCGTCCGCTTGCGCTTAAGATCGGAAAGATTGGTCTCCTTGAGACGCTGTACTTTGGAGAAGACGAGGAAATTATTGATAGCGATCTTGCCGAGGACGAGGTTGAGATCGAAACTAAGGCTTCAGCTATAAACTTCAGGTATGGCGACCGAAGGCTGATTGACAGGTAACGCTAACTAAGATTGTTCAGGGATATCGCTGCCTCTATGGGCATTATCGAAGACTACAGGCTTGGAGATGAGTGCGCCGGCTCGGTGATCCGTGTTGGCTCCAAGGTCAATCCACGCGATTTTCAGATCGGTGACCGCGTGGTTGCTTGGAGGCCCGGTCAGGGCGCCCATCGTGCCATCGTTCGCAATCCTGCATCACTATGCGACAAGCTGCCAGCGTCAATGTCATACGCTGCCGCTGCCGCTCTTCCTTGCATTCTCACCACGGCCTACTACGCACTTGTAGAGGTCGCTCGGATACAACCAGGAGAGACCGTCCTAATCCACGGAGCCATGGGAGGTGTCGGACAGATGGCGATTCAGATCGCTCATCGCGCTGGTGCGCAAGTGTTTGCAACTGTGGGCTCACAGGCCAAGCGTGACGCACTCAAAACCAAATACGGCCTGACGGACGACTGCATCTTCTCTTCCCGAGACGATACCTTCGTAGATGGCGTCATGAAGGCGACAAACGGCAAAGGCGCGGATGTGGTCTTGAACAGCTTGGCTGGCAAGTTGCTCCACGCGGGCTGGAGTTGCGTGGCACCATTCGGTCGCTTCATTGAGATCGGAAAGAGGGATATTCACGAGAATACCAATCTAGGCATGCGCGCCTTCGCGAAGAGCGTACTATTCGCGTGCGTCGACCTTATCACCATTTTCGAACTCAACAAGCCACTCGGAGCCCGGATTTTCAAGGAGTGCTGCGAGCTGGTCCACAAGGGAGAGATTACGCCGCCGGAGATCAAGGAGGTCTCCTACGCTGACGTTCAGAGTGGATTCCGACTGTTGCAGATGGGTAAGCACACCGGCAAAGTCGTCCTTGTCCCGCACAAGGACGATGTTGTGCCAGTGCTTCCGGCCAGCTACCGCGGCTCTCCCATCTTCAGCTCGACGAAGGCGTACCTGCTCGTCGGTGGTCTCGGTGGCCTGGGCCGTACTTTGGCAGAATGGATGGTTCGAAGAGGAGCGAAGAACCTGGTGTTCCTATCCCGATCAGGGTCCGATCGTCCGGAAGCTAAGACAACGGTGGAGTGGCTCGAGGCTCGAGGCGTACGAGCTACGGTGTACCGTGGAGACGTATCAAGCTATGCCGACGTGGAACGCTGCATCCAGTCAGTCGGTGGCGAGCTCGCTGGTATCTTCCAAGCTGCCATGGTCCTGCAGGATGCCCCGTTGAGCACAATGACATTTAAACAGTGGCAGACTTGCATACAACCTAAAGTCAAAGGCACTTGGAATCTCCACCAGGCCACTCTACAGACCTCTCTCGACTTTTTTGTCTGCTTCTCCTCCGTCTCCGGCATTATCGGTTCCAAGGCGCAAGCCAACTACTCGGCTGCCAACAACTACCTCGACTCGCTGATGCGTTACCGCCGTGAGCGTGGCCTTGCTGCCACAACCATGAATGTGGGCGCCATCACCGGAGTTGGAGTTGTCTCCGAGGATCTAGCTCTACAGAAGGTCATGGAGCGGACTGGCATGGATCTCGTGAACGAGGAAGAACTTCTTTATCTGCTTGAAGAGGCGGTGAAGTCCGATTCATCATTGACGGTTTCCGAGCGCGGCGTCGACATGCACCAGATCATCACCGGCCTCAATCTTTCCCGAAAGGACCTTCACTGGGCGACAAAGCCGCTCCACCGAAACCTTTATGCCAATCACGACTATAGCACCGCCGCAGACGCGGCTCAAGGTGGCCAAAACCTCATGGCCCTGCTTGAGACAGCTACTACGCTCGAAGAGAAGATTCCGATTTTCCTTGAAGCTTTCGTGAAAAAGATCGCCGCTATTCTAGCCGTCCCCGTCGACATTATCGAGCCGGGCAACTCACTCTCTGCTTATGGCCTTGATTCTATCGTGGCCGTTGAGTTCCGCAAATGGTTTCGGAAAGCCGTCGGCGTGGATGTGGCCCTTTTCGACGTCCTGGGTGCGAAATCAATTGCCTCGTTGGTCAGCAAAGTTGCAGGCATGATTGCAACCGACAAGAAGATTGCCAAGAAGGACAACGCCGATGCCCATGCGGCCGACCAGTCGGAGAAAACGAAGGAGAGTCAAGAAGTCGCGCATACATCAACTGGAGAGATTCCGAAGGCAGACATATCGAAGCCAATCCCGCTGTCAACCTTCCAAAGCCGGCTATGGTGGACGCACAACCTTGCGGAAGACAAGTCCTTGTTGAACCTGCCTATCACCTTCCACCTGAAGGGCGTACCAGATGTTCCCGCTCTTCGCGAGGCGTACCGAGAGATGATTCAGCAGGACGCAATCCTTCACACGGCCTACTTTGAAGGAGACGACTTTGCGGAGCAAGAAGTGCTCAACGACTTCCAGTTCGAATTAGGCTTCAAGGATCTGTCAGCGGAAGCTGTCCCGGAAAAGGCGCTCGAAGCCCTCGTTGCCCATACGAAGAGTATCGAACTTGATATCGAGAACGGAGAGATTTTCAAAGCAGCGCTAGTCAAGTTGGGCCGCGAGGCTTACGCTATCGTCAACGTGATGCACCATATCTCCGTTGATCGCGGCTCCACGAAGCCCTGGATAGACCGTCTCGTGGTGCTCTACGATGCGATCCGGGAGCGTAAGGATCTTTCTGCTGTGCCGAGACCTCAAATCAGTTACGCGGACTTCACTGTATGGCATAACGCTCGCTTGGCGTCGCCTGCTTTCCAACCCGAGATCGCTTTCTGGAAACAAGTCATGTCAGGAGCCCCCAGCGCTTGCAAGCTTCTACCTTTTGCCAAGCGCGATAGGCCGGCACATGGCGACCTGGACAGGGCTATCCACAAGACTCAACTCGGACTCGGACTTCTGAACCGCATGAAGCGTGTTTGCGCGCAGTCAAACGCAACTCCATTCCATTTCCTTCTTGCGGCATTCCGCGCGTTCTATCACCGCTACACCGAGGACAACGATCTCACCATCCTTATGGTCGATGGCAGTCGTCCGCATCTGGACGTTGAAGACGTCACGGGATTCTACGTCAACATGGTCCCCATCCGCTGCCAAGATGAATGCGATTCAAGCTTTGACCAACTGCTAGGAGCCTCGAAGAACCGCGTCCTTGAGGCTCTGTCCCACAAGGATGTGCCTTTTGAGACGATCGTAGATACAATCCAGGCGGAGAAGACGCAGTCACATCTCCCTGTCTCGCAGATCGCTATCAACTACCAGGTTCACGGAGAAATGCCATTATTCCATACCAAAGACTTCGACATTGTCAACATCACGTCCGACGATATCCCAACGGCCTGCGAAATAGCAGTGGAAGCTCTCGAAGACTCTGATGGACTGAATCTCCGCGTTGAATATTCCACCGCCCTTTACAGCCATGCTGATATGGAACGCTTTACCGACAACTTCCTGACCTTCATGAGCAGCTGTATCAAGGACCACCGGCAGCCTATCGAGGAGATCAAGATGTGTGGGCCCAAAGAACTCGCACATCTCAAGACCAACTACTGGAACCTCGAACACACGGCCAACAAGTGGGACGACAAGTCCGTTCTAGATCGAATCTTCCAGCAGGCTGACACTAGTCCCCAAGCCATTGCCCTTGAAACCTCAGACGGCGCCAGAATCACTTACGGTGATTTGGTAGACAAGGCGCGAAAGATTGGATACTCCCTGCAAGAAGCGGGCGCTGTTTCTGGAGCACGCATCGCCGTACTTGCTCAGCCAGGCGTCGAAGCAGTTTGCGGTATGCTCGGAGCTCTACTTGCCCGTTGCGCCTATGTGGCTCTGGATCCTAGCTTTGCTGTTGAGCGGCTTTCGTTTATGGTCACCGACTCGAACGCCCGTGTCCTGTTGGCAGGTCAAGAGATGGCACAACTAGGTGGAGAAATTGTCCAGAAATCCGGCAACAGCACTCGGTTGCTCAAAATCGCAGATTGTACTACTGCGTCCGGAAAAATGGCTGCAGGTCAGACTCACTGCCCCCAAGATCCCTTCTATATGATCTACACTTCGGTAAGACATTTAGCCCTTGAACCAAATGGATGCTGACATTTTCCACTCGCAGGGCAGCACGGGGAAACCTAAAGGCGTCGTCCTCACACAATCAAACACCCAGCAGATGCTGAGTACGTTGCAGAACGACTATCGCTTCACCCACCAGGACAAATTTCTTCATCAGTCTTCCATTTGTTTCGATCTTTCTGTTGTTCAAATCTTTTCTGCTTTAACTGCTGGCGCTACGGTATGCATTGCTTCATCAGAAACAAGAAAAGATCCAGCAGCTCTGGCCGACTTCATGCGCCGCACATCCGTTTCTGTCACATACTTTACGCCAACGCAGTTTGCCCTCTTGCTGGAACACAACAACCAAGCTCTTCAGCAATGCAGCTCCTACAGGGTGGCATACTTTGCCGGCGAACGTCTTCCAGTTAGAATCGCACGCGCTTTCTACGACCTCGGTACGCCTGCTGTATTGTACAACACGTGGAGTCCTAGCGAGCTAGTAGTGCAGACGACTATCCACAAAACTAATTATCCGGACGAGAACGCCATCAGCATCCCGATTGGATTCCCAATGGCCAATTGCCGGCATTACATCGTCGACTCCCGCTTGAACCCGCTTCCAGTTGGTATGGTTGGTGAGATCGTCGTCGGGGGAGCGCAGGTTGGCGCTGGATATCTCAACAGACCTGCCAACAACGCGAACTCTTTCCTTCATGATCCATTCTGTTCTGATGCGGACCGAGAAAGAGGATGGACCAGGATGTTCAGGACTGGAGACAAGGGAAGGTTCCGGACTGACGCGCAGCTCGAGTTCCATGGTCGTATCGCAGGAGACAAGCAGATCAAGCTTAGAGGCTTCCGCGTTGATCTGGGCGAAGTGGAACAACGCCTATACCGAGAGTCCTCCATCGAGGAACAAGGACTCGTCGATGTGTCTGTGATCGCACGGAATTCAGAAGAGAGTTCTAGCATCACAGACGATCGTCAACTTGTTGCCTTCCTAGTCACCAAAAATCCCATCAGTACGGCATTGCAACACGTCTATGCCACGGCTCTTCACGAACGAATTGGAAAGCATCTCAATGTCTACATGCTTCCCAGCGGCTACCAGTTTCTGGAAGGTTTGCCTGTCACCATTGGCGGCAAAGTCGATCTCCAGAACCTCCATAAACGCAAGCTTAATCTGATCTATCCTGGAACCAACCCTCAAGGAAATTCTACCACTGCTGCTCCAGGTACGGACGCAGGTCTAGGAGCACGCGAAGGAAAAGTTATCCAACTTATCAAGGACGTCTTGGGTCAGGATCGTGAGGTGGGACTATTGGACAACTTCTTCGCCATCGGAGGGAACAGTTTACTCCTGCTTCGACTCCAATCTCGACTGAAGCGCGCCTTCAAGATTGCACCGCCGCTTCCCCAACTGCTCAAAGATCCAACTGCTGCCGGCATTTGCGCTTACATCGCGAATGGAGGCAAGTCATCTTCTTCATCCATAGCCGCTGACGAGAGTGCCGTGGACTGGACCAAGGAAGCTGCTCTACCAACCGTTGGGCGTTACTCGCCACAACAAGGCGCACAGCCTGTTGTGCGGGCAGATCTGCAGTCCATCCTGATTACTGGAGTGGAGTCCTTTATTGGAATCCATCTACTGGCCACCATACTTGCTTCCAAAGAAAGCACAATGACTATTTACGTCCTCGGCTCGAGTACGCGACTTTCAGAATCAGACCTCATCGAGAAGCTAGAGGCTTACGAGATACTCAATGACTCGAACAAAAAGGCATTAGCTTCGCGCATTCGTTATGTCCCCGGCGCACTGGATCAGCCGCGTTTCGGATTGTCCGGCTCTGAATTCGAAACGTTGGGTCAGTCAATCCAAGCGGTCTATCATCTGGGCGGGCACGTCAGTCTTCTCAAATCTTACCGGGATCTGAAGCAACCCAACGTCTCCGCTGTGTTCGACCTCGTTGAGCTTGCCGGACTTGGCAAACAACTGACAGAGATTCACTATCTCTCCACATGGAGCGTTCCTCATCTGCAGTCTTGGTCCGCTTCGAGGCTCTCTCGTAAATCGATCAGCACTTTGGAGGAAGACGCTACGCATTTCGCACCACCAGCAACCCACGAACACGGCTATTTCAAGACGCGGTGGGTCGCTGAGAAGGTCCTCAGCCAAGCATCCGCACGAGGCTTTCCGGTTTCTATCTATAGGTCTTCTGCGGTCACCGCCAACAGCAATTCTCAAGTGCCAGGGTCAGGCGACGGTTTCGTCGGTCAAATGATCCTTGGCATGATCGATACAGGCCTGGTTCCGCAAGTGGGGCTTGGTGAGCCATCATGGGCAATCGACTTCATTCCCGTCGATTACCTCTGCACGACATTACACAGCCTCATGACGCGCGACGAGGTCGCGACGAAAGATCTTGCCGTTTTCCACATCGGGAACACCCAGCCACTCAGGTTGCAAGATCTTCCGGCCGTGATTGGGCAAATCCGACCGGACAAGGGAGAGGGGAGGGCGGTCCCGCTTACGGACTGGCTCGCGGCGCAGTCCGATGGCGCAAAAGCTGAGGAGCAGTTGAGTTGGGCGGTCTTGAAGGGATATCTCAGTGCCGGCCACGTCATGTTTGCGCTTGATCGGAGCAAGACTGACGCGGCGTTGAAGCTCATTGGAGAGAGCGCTGATTGTCCACCTGTCGATAGTGTTTACCTTCGGGATTTGTGGAAGGCCCAGACTTCGGGCTAGGGTCGCGTGGTAGTTGGCTTTGCATTTAGATTTCCTTGTGTAGCGGAGTTTGTGGCTTGGTTATAGGTCCTGGGTGAGCAGGAATAATAGGCTGATAGCTGAATCCACGGTCTCTGTTCCAATCACAGTGTGTACCAAGTATGGAAGTGATACTTGTAGGGGCTGCTAGATAAAACTTTCCATGCGCGTTCGGCTTTGACCTTGTCGCTCGTTGCCATAACGGTAAATCGAGCGCTCCACATTTCTTACATCAGACAGACCCATACTGAGCCGCAGGATGCAGATTGTTCGCCGTCAGACGATATTAGACGATGTGATGTTCGTGCTGTCCAGGTGCCGAGATCAAAGCCTTCCACGGCCTTGATGGTCCCTCGAGTAACCAATCTGAATTACAAAGAGAGTGGAAGTATGCAGAAGCGTGTCACAGCAGCCGAGCCTCGCGGGGATGGAGTGCAGCATAACCAAAATTAGCCTCCACCGTTTCATGCAAAGTCTTCATAAAGAGTATTTGCACGTAAAGCCCTACCTGTACCAATAGCTGGCGTTCTCTTGATACTCCAATGCAAAGATCAAGGGCTGTCCAGAGGGTTCGTGACCTTTCCCCAGGCCCAGGAGTCGTACATACCAAGAGGGGTCACACATCTTCCGGGTAGCTTTGAATCCGAGGAGCCCATCGAAGGAGCGCCGGTGCTCGCACAGCCAGGCCGTTTTCCCACCTTCAAACTTGCATGTGCCTGGAATCCGGGTCTGGGGAGCGCATCCCTGAGGCAATCCTATCGGGTGGCTGGAGCTGACGCGCAGGCGATGCCGCAGGGATGGACCGCCCGAGCGCATAGTATTCTGGAATTGTCCATTGTACGATGGCGGGAAATGCATATTGGCCTCTTGCTGAGCTGGTCATCGCTTCTATGCGCCGTTGTGCATTGGTCGCGCGTTCCGGATCTGCTGCAGATCCGCCTGGGGAATCGTGGAGAGGCTCGGTTGGCGTTCTGGAGGTTACATACTGGCAGCCTCAGCTTAGGGTGTTCCTTGCGATGTTCGGTCAATTCTCTGGCTGTATCGTGGAATTTTGTTGCGATCGAGCTGGACGCCTCTCATAAAATGACATGGTGTAGACGGGTTCGAAGCACATACAAAGGACAACAGGTCCCTTTCTCTGCGGCTCCGCTTCACGGCTCCAGATCGACACTCATGTCGTACTCCCATCTGCACCAACTTATGCTTAGTTGGCGCTTGGTCAATGTTCAGGAGCCGACACGGAACGATTAGAGTAAGATTCGGTCCTTCTAGTTTCATTGCTGCAGCTCGAATCCGTAAGGCCTCCAAGAGAAGCGAGTCTACAAGGTATATACCCGCAGCCGTCCGCCGATATACCACACGTCTGCGTGAGAGTCGTCACCATTGTGTCCCCTTTCAGACTTCTGAGACTTCCGGATCGAACGTGAACGGGCTGGTAGCTCATGCTGGCTGACAGCAGATGCTGGATCACAGAACTGTACATGGACGAACATTCATCATCAGATGACAGTGGCTTCCTGCACCGCGATATCCTTCTCGGAGATAGGGCTTGGATGATGATGATGATGATGCCAGCAACCCCGTGTCCATGGGCTTGATCAAGATATAAAGATGCCATAGACCCACGCCCATTACTCAGTATCCCATCCGCAAACATCTCACTTCAAACGCATAACAGACTCTACACCATCAACCATTCACAATGAGAACCATCTTCCTTCCCTTGTTGCTCTTCAGTAAGTCCTGAATGCATGACCCCAATTCGTTTCAACCATCAGCTTTAACTTAATTACGCAGTTGCCGCCACTTCGGCCAACCCTGGTAGCTCCGGCAGCAGCGACTGCAAATCATGGTGCTCGGACAAGGGAAAGTCCTGCTTTTCCGATTCCGAGAAAGGCTACGGCCAATGCTTCGACTGCGGTCCCAGGAAGAACAACAAGTACAAGCAATGGTGCGGAGGCAGGAACGGCAAATGCTGCGATACCTACAAAGACAACGACCATTGTGTAAGATTCCCCCGTAGACTCTCTCTAGTGAGCCAGCTGGACGAGCTTTGTACTAACGTTGACAGGGAAAATGCGATAACAAGTGCAAGGTATGTGGACCACCCGTGAGGAGTTGGCGGTTTCTTGGGTTTCTAAAACTAAGTTTTTTGCACAGGATGGAAAGAGGTGCGACAAGAGTGAATGCAAGAAGCCCTAGACGGTTTGACGCTATTCTAGGGGTGGTGGCGGAGTGGAAAAGTCATGAGGAGCGTCAGATTGATAATATGAACGGTAATCGACCGGATAGCCGGACGCTGACTTTTTGTTCATTTTCACTCCTTATATGCTTTGTGGTTTCACATCTGTACGAGCAATACGCTCAAACACACTCATTGTATCTTTGAAACCGCGAAATCGAAGATAAAATTGCACGACGAGACTAGAGATCCTTGCAGAATTGAAGGAAAGAGCTGTGCGAACTACCATGCACTTACAAACGATCTTACCCTGTGAGCTATAGACAAAAACATGCTAATGATTATAAGAGCGCCTTAAATCATACGCACTTGTAAGCTCATCGGCGTCCGGAAGTACGCCATCTGACTCCTCTTGAACTGAACGAAGCCTCCCATGTGGAACGGGGCTGCTGGACGTCAACCGCCGTCTTCAGGGCGTGACATCAACGACAAACGCGTGAGGAAATGATGCGCCGCGTCCACAATTCGATGAGCCTATGGCTGACTAGTAAACCACTGCATTGACCATTCGTTGGACGTTTCTCCGCCAAATACGATAATACAGCTGGGCGAGAGGCACAGGTGAAAGGGCACGTTTATGACCCTGTGAGGCTGTTGCAGGCACTACTGGAGGCGATAAGGGCTATGCGCCAGGAAGGCTGATGGACTTGATGAAGTTGTAAGATTTCGGTGATTTCGGTGATTTCGGAGCCTGGAGACCTCTGTCACCCTGGTGACTGACGCGAAACCGGGCGCCTCCCACGGCAAAACCAACGTACGTTCTATACGGCTAGCTCGAAAAACAGCACCGAGGTCATAGCCAGCAGCGAAGGAAACAGTTCCAGAAGTTGACGCGCCCCATTGCCGAGCTTTGAACCCGCAAAACAACAAGCAGCCATCCAGAGAAGCAGTTTCCCGAACAGAATCCATTTGACCCTGGGTACTCGACGAAGCACCGTCTGGGCGGAGTTCGACCATCTGATTGTGCTTCCCGCTTCCGGTGCTGGTGTCGATTCGGGCTTGAGTTTGGCTGCAAGAGTAGCTGACCACCGTTGATGACGTGCATCGTGATCGTGAGGTTGCTCGGTGGCCGAGGGGCGAGGCATGGTCTGGATGCGCAGGAGCCAGAACTCCGCAAGCTTTCCATCATCATCATACGGTACTTGCTGCATGAAGTTCATCCATCGCCGCACTACCTGCAGAGCCTCCTCCGCGGTGACTCTGAACCACTCTCTGTGTGTGTCATGGTGTACGCATTTGGGCGGTTCTTGGAAGTTGCTCAGCTCCGCATGCGCCAGTGCCTCAGCACGGCGTGCATTGCGCACCGGCAGACAGTCAGTGTAGATGATTTCTAGCTGCATCTTACATCTATACCGAATCTGCTTGCAACGCTCTGATATTTCGATATCGGTGAATCCGATCTTGAGCAACTCTGGTTGGCTCGGATCTCGAAGGATATACACTTGACCAACGGCCGCCTCTTTCGCAGTTCTGTCGGTAGCATTTTTGGCTGGAACGGGCCTGCGAAGCCTCGTGCGGATGTTGTCGTCAATCTCGTTAGGTACTTTGACAGCTACGCTAACTTGTGAAGAGGTCGACTGTTTTTCGCGTAGCTGCGGCCGTGGCTCGGAGTCTTCGTCGGCAGAGTCAGTGGAGCCATGCTCGCTGCCTGGAGCATCTGTATCGTCATCGATGACTATAATCTCGGTGTGGGTCTTAGGCCTAAGAACGTTCGTAATAGGAGCCTGCAAGGCTATTTGCGAAGCCGTTGTTTTGAGTGAGCTTCGCTCCGCGCTCATGTGTGGTTGTGGTATACGCGCCATTGGCGTCTTGTCTGGCGTCGATGGTGATGCTTGTGCCGCACTGACAGCTGACCGAAATGCGTTTGGGTCAGATACTATACGTTTCCCGTCAAGCTGCGGACGGTGGGAGTCTGTTTGCGCCACGTCGGATATAGTTGGTGCGGATTTGCGTCGACTCTTGGCGAGCCGACCGGCTTTAGCAACGCCAGCACCGCTTCGAGGTGGACGTGATGCTGGTGAAGTATTAACTGGTCTCGCTTGGCGTTGATTCCCTTCGCTTGCTAGACGAGGACAGCCTCTCGACGTAGGCGTTGCAGTGGATTGGATAGAGACCGGATCTGCTGCCAAGCTAGAGTGGGGAGAATATTGGGTAGCTCGATCCATCGCGTCGTCAAAGGGCGTGTGGCCCTCTTGAATCCCGGTAGCGGTGGATCTGTATAGGGCCTCTTCACTAATCTTGCGTAGAGGTTGAGCTATGCCTGGGCTCTGGGTAAGGATGGAGCCGTCGATCCCAAGCAATGCCTCTGCATCAACCGGAGGTATATGATCTCCTTCGTTCATTACGGCCCATGAAACGATAAATGAACTCCACACGTTCTTGCCTCGCGACCGCTTAAGCGGACTGATCTTGGGTTACGCTGCTTGCGGCTCGTCCAGACAGGCCCCGTTCCTGACACCGAGATCTTGTCCGCTGTCTACGCACGCACAACGGAACAAGAGCTGAGCGTTCGGGTAAGTACTAATAAATCTAGGGAATGATGAGGAGAATGGCGATAGCAGCTGCCTGTGCGAGAATGAATGAACTGTGAACGTCTAATGGAGGAGTATAGAGAGACTTTATGTCGTTCTAAGAACTTTGTGCTGGAGCTACGATGACATGATGGGCGTGGGGCATGAGCCAGCGTGGCTTAGCCAGGCACACGATATCATACCGTCAGCCTTGCTGCCTCGAATCGCAGCAGGCATGCGGCGCAGCGATTGACTTACTGACTGACACTGTTGCATAGTACGGATCCCCTTCCTGCATAGTCACCGTGAGCTGGAACACCACTCGACAAGACGAGACACAGGATTGTAAGAACACAGTATGCTCCATCGAATTGTGTTTGGTTGATTGTTAGGTGACTTGGTTCTCGAGCGGCTACCGATTGCATACAGGTCGAGCGGGAAGATTGAGACGCGGTAGCCGCCCCCCTGCATGTCTTGAGACTTGCCAAGGACCTCGCCGCAGCCACCTCCTGCAGATAAAGGGAAGACTGCCAAAAAAAGGATTGGGTCCGTTCTGGGCGAGATCTAGCGTCTTTATGGCGATAAAAATACACGCGCGCTGGCGGCAATGCAGAAAGGCAAGCCGGTGGCAGCGGGAGCTCGCAGCGCTGAGCCTTCCCGTCGTCTAGATCTTCTGAACCCATTCCAGATACTTGCGTCATAGATGGTCTTGACGCCTTGCTCTCCGCGGAACGTCAAGATCGTCTCGCTCTAAGCTGTTTCCGTTCGTTTTGATACCGCTAAGCGATGGGCGCTGGCTCAAGCCAAGCGCCCGAGTCCACATCTGTTGCTCGCGGACATATTAATTCTCCGTCTTCGAGTGAGCTCCCTGGTCCTTCCGCGCTATGCAGACACGGTTCCTCTGCTACAATGCGTATTAAGCAGCAGCAGCAGCGCCGTTTCCATTCATTCAACGCCAAGCGGCCAGTGAACAGCGTGGGCCTTGCTGACATTTGCGGCCACGTCTTACCATCAGAGTATTTCTCCTTCTCGAGCCGCAGCCTCGCCGCCCACGTCACCCTGAGCCGGCTCAATAGCTGCTATGCAGACCGCAGTTGCATATTCGCCATCATGACTAATGCTGAGCCTGGCGATTTGGCCGTGAAGCTCATCAAAGTCGACATCCTGCATAGTGAGGTGCGCCTTCGGTCGCGTATCGTGCGTCTGCTCCCCGCCTTGTCTGGTATCGGAACTGAATTCGTCTTGACGCGACCCGTTAGGTCCCGGCTTGCCCCCTCTACTCGACGAGCGCGGTGCCCTGTCCAACCCACTCTTGAAAAACTGCTCCAGGACCTCTCCCTCCTCTGCACCCCCAAACCCTTCTCCCTCCGCTATCTTCAACTCTCCAGGCATCCCCTTCCCCCCAAACCGCCTCACCCAATCCTCCAGCGGCTCTTTCCAGACATACTTATCACACACCACCGCAAACGGCTCCCCCGTCTCCCTCCCCATAACCAGCACCCTCCCAAATCCGACCCTCGCAGGCCCGCACGCCTTAACAACCGCCTCCTTCGCCGCCCACCGTCCCGCCAACCATTTCGCGACCTCCCCAATCCTCACATTCTTGTTGTTGCCCGTGTAGATGTCATCTGAGCACTTCCATCTGCGCCAGAACTGGCGCTGCTCAGGCGCGGTGAGGATGTGGTTGAGGAGGCGGAAGAAGGGGGTCGGTGTGGGAGGGGCGTCGGGGGCGCGGAGCGTTTCGCGTAGGATGAGTTGGCGGATGCGTGGGATGTGACAGATGTCTGTGCCGACGCGGAAGGGGTGTGGAAAGGGTCGGAGGGGCATTTACGGCGTGGAGATGGGCGGAAATGGGTTGGTGTCGAGAGGCTTGATACGCGTGCTCACTGCTCAAGGCCATGGCGGTCGTAGAGATGAGGTCGCGCTTCGAAGTCCGGGGCCGACATTTGTCCGAGATGCCTGAGGCCTGAGGCTTGAAACTTGAGTGAAGACGGTCACACTGTTAACACGAAAGAACCGCTATTACCTGAATATGTATCTCCTCACTTAGAAGCCATTGATAAAGTGGCGCAGTCAACTTCTGTTGATCAACGGTTATCTGTATGAATTCTGTATCACGCGCGAGTTCGAACCGCGAAAGCCCAGGGAAAAAAGACATTTCCCCTTCCCGACTCCCTCTCATTCTCCGTCCTGTCAAACCTCAAAAAACCCACTTTGCCAAGGCACCCAACGGGTGACCTATTCCCGGCATCGCGGTGTTTCCCAGAAATGAGGTTTTGCTGTTTTGCTCGCAGTCCACGCTTGAAGTACCTAGGTAGCTGTTGCCTCCTGAGGTGACGAGATGACGTCCTGCCCCCGAGAAACCAACAGCATCAGCTGCATTGGTGCTGTGCCCGAGAAATGCCAATAATCACGGTCGTAACACGGGGGACTCTTTGGAGACGTACGACGACTCCAGCGTATGGTAATCCTTGGCGTTCAGCTAGCAAAGGGTAGGCATACCGCAAAGGTTACGTTGGTGACTTTTAGCCGTGTAAACGATGACCCATCTGGAGTGGATTGTCGGCAAGGGCCCGCGTCTCGAATGGAGTTTTCGAGGGTGCGGCAAGGATGCCGGTTCCAGGTCCGGAAGACCTCACATCACCGAGGTGTCCACAGCACAGTCGCTAGATGCAGCATGAGACATTGAGGACGCCGGCTTGAAGCCGCGTAGCGACTTGTGTGAACGGATGAGGGCCCTCAGCGGCCCGCGACTCCCACAGCATCTGCTTTGCTGCTGACTATCTCCCAACTCTTCCTCCCTTCTCTTCCAACTTGACCCTCCTCTCTTCCCTCCACCTCGGGCCCCACCGCACCAGCACCCACAGTATCGGACTAGCAGCAGCGACTACAGCCGCCACAAACGTGAAACACCAACCTCTCCCCATCGCCCTGATCATCTGGATAATCACAGCAGTGCCCGCAGCACCCATGAGGCACCTGACCAGATTGTTCGCCGCCGTTGCCGTTGATGGAGATAGCGGATAGAGATCCACCAGCATCACGCTCATCATGTTGAACGCGCCAGTGAGCGTGAGGCCCATCACGAAGTGCAAGACCGACGGCGCGGCGAGAGAGGCGTTCACTTCTAGCACCCAACCATAGCAGATCAACGCCGCATCTCCGACGACGAGTAAGGGCACCGCGACCTCAATTCTCGCGCGCTCGAGCGGGAAATGTCGGAGATCGTCGCCGCGTTTGCGGTCGATGGGCATCCCAACTTGCTTCGCGACTCGCCGGTAGTTCCAGTCCTGGAGCTTGCCTCCGATGATGGGCGCGAGGAGACATCCGAAGCCGAAGGGCAAGAAGGAGAGACCGATCTGGAGGTCGTTGAAGCCGTAGATTTCCTCGAATAGAAAAGGCGCTGAGGAGGCGACACAGTAGAATGCAGTATAGACTAGGGCGTTGTAGAGGAGAAGCAAGCCTACATCTTTCTGGCCGATGACTTTCAGAGTGTTCAAGGGGTTGGGCCAGCGGAGCTTCCGCTTCTTTGCGAGTTCCGCCTGTGCTTGCCGGTTTAGCTCTCGAGACATCGTGCGTGTGAGTTCGTCTTCTGCTTTAGCGGCCTTGCGACACTCGAGGTAATTAATCAGTGACAAGTTCCATCCTTGCGGTGGGATAGACCCATTTCCCACAACATTGCGGCCGGTTTCGGGGAATATTATCAGGAAGGGTACTAGGTACACGACGACTAGTATCGTGAGGAACCAGAAAATTGAACGCCATCCGAGGAACTGAGCCAGGAGGCCGCCAATGACTGGTCCAATGGCCGGTCCAATCATGGGCCCGGCTTGAGCCCAACCCATCCATGTGCCTCTTTCTGCGCTTGTTGCGACATCAGCAACAACGCCGTTAGCCAATGCTATTGTGCTGCTGCTTCCCGTGCTTTGGAGACATCTGAGGATGAACAATGCTGGGTAGGATGTCTGCAACGCGATCCCTATACATGCTGCAATGTATATGACAAACCCGATGATATACGCGGGTCTCCTGCCTGCCATGTCTGCCAAGTCACCAAAGACGGTGGGCGCCAGTCCTTGGAAAATCATGTAGGATGTCAAAGTCAGATTGACGAGCTCTCGTGATACGTCTAAATCTCGTGATATGGAGTTCAGTGCCGGGAAGTAGATGTTGGCCGAGAGGGGCGAGAAGAAGCCCGCGAAGGCGACCGCGAAGACAATGAATTGCTTCTGTTTCTTGCTAAAAGTTGAGTACGCAGGACCAGACGGTATACGCGCCAGCTTCTCTGGGTCTTCTGTCTGTTCTGCAGGCGCCATGGGCTCTCCTGTAATCGAACTGTTCGAAGAAGCCGACTCCCCGTCATGGCTAGCATCGACCTTCTCTTTCAATTCGCAGGCGTCCTCGGGCGCATCTGCTGTCGATGCCTCTATAATTGTCCCACCTCCTAGCACTCCTGCTGACGCCTCGGCCGTCTCCTCATCCTTGATCGCGTAGTGGGTCGTCATGCCGTGGAGAGAGCGCCGTGAACCTTAGAAGTCTCGAGGCTGAAGCCAATGGTAGCAGCGACGGGGTAAACCGCGATTGAAAAGGGATTGAAGCCATAGCTGCCGCGTTTTCCAGTGATATTCGGGGAAGTCTCGCTGAACAATGTCTCGATGATGCCACAACATCCGCTCGTCGGTCTGGCCCAACGTCAACCGCACAAGCTCTGGCCAAGGTTTCCATCGTGCCGCTTTATTCCCGGCCACCATCTGTCAACACCATTGACTGTTATGCTACATAGACACTGTATCTAACCAGTCCCCTTGATGGATATAACACCAGTCTTTAACGAAATCCTCCGCAAGCATGGCGCCACGCCAGTCCAGCGGCACCCCTTCCGCCCCGAAGACCTCGACAGCTTCCTACAAGAAGCATACCGAATAGTACATCTCCCCAATGCGCCCAACCCTCTCCCGCAGCCCCTCTAACAATCCCCCCAGAACACCCACATAACCGAACTAACGAACCACCTCCGCGCAATCCGCCAGCCCTACCTCTCCGTCGCGCACCCACCCCGGCGAAAGCATAACACCGACTCCACCCTCCCCCACCTCAACAACCACCACGACCGCAAATACCTCAGCGACAAGGACAAGACCGCAATCGATGCCAACGCAAAGCAGCTCCTCCGCGAACTCCACGCCACGTTGCGCAACCTCTCCGAAGCCGCCAACCTCCGCGAGTCGACCGCCTCGCAGATCTCCTCGGCGAAGCGCGCCCGCGGCGGTCTCGGGGCGCTGGGACGATGGGCGGCTGGCGGGGGCCTGACGCGGAAGTCGCCGGAGGAGGAGAGGGAAGAGGAGGAAAGGCGTACGGTCAAGCTGCACAGGGAGAGCGTAATTTATTACTTGCAAAGGAAGCTGGAGATGGCGGGGGAGGTGCAGAGGGAGATGATGGATGTGAGGCTTAGTAGGGAGGTGGAGAAGAGCAAGAGTGTGCTTGCTAGAGCGAGGGGGTTTGTTGTGCCGGAGGATGTGGCGCCTGATGGGAGTTTGGGCGGGGGGTATGGGGGGCAGAGTCGGCAGGGGTTTAGGGGTGCGAGTTCAAGACGCGGCGCTGGGGACGTGGAGAGGAAGGACGTGAACCAGACGCTGGATCCGGAACAGTTGCAGCTTTTCGCGGAGGAAAATCAGACGATGCTGAAGCATTATGAGGATACCCTGGACCAAGTCAGGTAAGACGCCCCTTCACGGTCCCAATCCCACATAAACTAACATCAAGCGCTCTAGGTCCGCCGAAAGGTCTCTATACGAGATTTCGGAGCTTCAGAACACGCTGGCAGTGAACCTCGACACGCAGGCTGCGCAGATCGACCAGCTCGTACAGGACTCCTTCTCCACTGCTGAAAATGTGGGGAGTGGCAACAAGGAGCTGAAGCGAGCTTCGGAGAGGAAAAGTACGGCGAGGATGGTCTTCTACGGGACCTGTGCATTCTGCTTCACGCTTGTGGTTTGGGATCTGTTGATATAAGAATCCCAAGCTACCACATACACAGCACATCTATCCCAAATAGAATCGCAATCCAGCTAGGAATGCGAATCAAAAAATACTCGGGAACATCTTGAGCGATTAGTGCATAAATGTGTGAGGCTGCTAGACTGTTCCTGTGGTTGTGGTGGTGGAGAACCAGTTGAAACGATTCATGCCACGCGATTTGAAGCCAACTTCCTGAGGTTAGGATCCAGATTTCACACCTGAGATCTGTCAGGCACAAACTGCGGGAAAGTGTTAAACTGCTGGATAAAGTGAAACCCCCTATCACACAGAATTAGTAGGATGTACTTGCCACCTTATAATCACAGCCCAGGTTCGACCGCATCTCCACATCGAAATATGCTGGCTCTCCAGCACGATGCCAAATGTTGCCTCGGCTCACACGGCTCCACAGCATCTGATGCGGGACCCTGACGATCCCCAGATGCTGTTTAAAGCACCATCTCGAGCCGCATCCGCCAGGAGGAGCCTCCAGCCCTTCCTCGAACACTGCCCGTCTGGTCCCTTTACTCCGCATCCATTCCGCCGAGACGCAAGTAGTGCCTTCCCCAGCACGGCCTGCCCAGGTGGTGTTGCCGCCCCCAGACTGCACCCGGCTTGGCGCCCCGAGTATCGATAACCAGAGTCGGTGTGGAGAATCGCTAAATACGGATCCATCATGCCAGCGCAACCTCCACATTCCTCTCACCATTCCCCCAAAGACCGCCTCGAGCAGATTTCAGCACAGATGGCGCCAACCGTCAAGCCGAGCGCGTTCCTTGCGGACGTCGTGCCCATGGCCCCAGAGGACCCTCTCTTCGGGCTTATGGCGGCGTACCGCAAGGACAAGTTTGAGAAGAAGGTGGATCTGGGTATTGGAGCATATCGAGACAATAACGCAAAACCCTGGGTGTTGCCGGTGGTGAAGAAGGTAGGCATTCATGACCTCCTCTACGTTGAATATTCGCTAACTCCTGGTGCTATCAATAGGCGGACGACATCCTACATGACGACCCGGACGTGAACCACGAGTACCTCCCTATCGCTGGCCTCCAGGCGTTTACCAGTGCTTCCCAGAAGCTTGTTCTCGGTCCGGACAGTCCTGCAATCAAAGAGAACCGGGTATGCAGCCTCCAGACCATCTCCGGCACCGGCGCCGTCCATCTGGGCGCCCTCTTCCTTCGCAAATTCTACAACAAGCAGAACAACCCGACCGTCTTCTTCTCCAGCCCAACATGGGCGAATCACAACCAGATCTTCACCAACGTGAACCTGCCCATCAAGACCTACCCCTACTTCTCGCCCACCACCAAGGGTCTTAACTTTGAGGGCATGATCGAGGCCATTGAATCCGCGCCCGAAGGTTCCATAATCCTGCTGCACGCCTGCGCACACAACCCCACCGGCGTGGACCCAACCCAAGACCAATGGAAGAAGATCGCCAGCGTGATCCACTCCAAAAACCACTTCCCCTTCTTCGACTGCGCCTACCAAGGCTTCGCATCGGGCGACCTCTCCAAAGACGCCTGGGCGATCCGCTACTTCGTCGAGCAAGGCTTCGAGCTCTGCATCGCGCAGTCCTACGCCAAGAACTTCGGCCTCTACGGCGAGCGCGCGGGCTGCTTCCACTTCGTCACGTCTCCTGCGTCTGATGCCAGCCACGCCGCCGAGCGCATCCGCAGCCAGCTGGCCATCCTGCAGCGGTCTGAGATCTCCAACCCGCCGGCCTACGGCGCACGCATCGCGTCGATAATCCTGAACGACGAGCAGCTCTTCGCGGAGTGGGAGGACAATCTGCGCACGATGTCTGGCCGCATCATCGACATGCGGAAGGCGCTGAGGGAGAAGCTCGAGGAGATGGGCACCCCGGGGACGTGGAACCACATCACGGACCAGATCGGCATGTTTAGCTTCACGGGGCTGAGTGAGAAACAGGTGCTGAAGATTAGGGAGGAGAGCCATGTGTATATGACGAAGAATGGGCGCATCAGCATGGCGGGGCTGAACACGAATAATGTGGATTACTTCGCCAAGGCTGTCGATAAGGTTGTTAGGGAGATGGAGTAGAATTGGGTCGTTGGTGGCCTCGTTCGGGGCTTGCTGGTCGTATGCATAGCATGATGGGAACAGGGGTTGTCGATAGAGCATGGCAAAGGGCGCTGAAAATAGGAAGGTTCAGCTCAAAACATAGGTTCTGCTTCGCCGTGAACGAAGGTACAAAAGTCCTTTCTCTAATCCCTACTCGTAGATATATCCGTTCTAGTTACAGGGCAATATACTCCATTAGACGTGTACGCCATTCCATCCTCCTCACTGCGAATTGTCCCTTGGTCCCAAGAGCTGCCTGCAGAGCCATTGAACCCAAGGCCGCAGTTCAGATCACCCTCAGTAACGGCCCACAGGCTCCAGGAGCCAAATGCTGTTCCCAGCCGCAGCTCGCACTATGAAACTGAAGCAAATCATAATACCAATAGCTTTTATATATTCGTTCCTTGAGGCCAGCAAGGCCCTCCACGAACGCCGCCATAGTTCCCCTAGCAGCAGCGAGCACAAGACTACATGCCTCGTTCATCATACAAAAGTCCCGTCAAGAAGTGTGCCCTCGTAAACCCATCCAATGACCTATTCAGAAAGAAACGCCAATCCCAAACGGTCCAGCTCTCTCTCCAAACCGAAACCAGCGGACCGTCTCACCACCCTCACCTCCCCAGCGAACTGCCCAGACTACTCGGCGTAATACTACTCAACTTACTACTAACCCAGCTCCCACTCCCACTCATCCAGCTCGGCAAACTCAACCTGCTGCTCTTGCCGCCCCCCAGCCCCGTCTTCTTCACCGAAAACCTATCCCCCCACTTCTCCTGCCCATCCATGAGGCTCTGCACGATATTGATGACCCCAAACGCGCTGCTCCCGACGGCCCTGAACAGCGCCACAGCCGCAACAGCCCACAAGATGAACTTGAGGTAGAAGTTATCCGAGACCTCCGTCAGGCCGTACGCCTCGCTGACCGCCATGGCCAGGATGGCGTTCGCCACCATCCACACGACCACCATGTACGTCCTGACCGCGCGGTAGTAGTCCTCCTGGGCCTGTGCTTCGCTGAGCCCGGGTTTCGCGACCTCGACTCTGTCCCTCAGGTTCCTGAGCGCCTCGTCGTAGCCGGAGTCGATGTCGAGCTGCTCGGAGGGCATCTCGAGCTCCACGATGCCGCTCTTCGAGCCCTTGGCCGCGCCGAGGTCTGTGTGCAGGACGTTATCCCCCTTGGTGCCCCACGTGACGTCGTGCGCGTTACAAAACGCATAGACCTGCAGCGTACAGATGTAGCTCGGCAGCAAGGCAAAGTACTGCGCCGAGCTCGTGAACATGTGCCACGGATCCAGGTACAGGAAGCTCATGAGGAAGTACAACCCCACCGTGGAGCACGTGCTCACGATCAAGTTCGTGAAGACGTTGTTGCCGAGACTGAGCTCCGTCTTCGGGTCTTTGAGCTGCTTGATCACAATGTAGAGCGCCGCGAAGGTCGTGTAGGCCATGATGATGCCGTAGACCACCATCGAGGAGAGGAACATGCGTTTTGCGCCCTGCGGCCGGTTGCCCATGGAGAGGATGAATTGCATGCAGATCAGGAGCACGCAGCTGTAGCGCAGGATGATGAAGATGACTTTGCCGATGGAGTGGCCGAAGGGGTCGAGGCGTGGGTCGGCGAGACTGCCGGCGATGAAGTAGAAGGTTAGGTAGAAGTTGGCCAGGGAGAAGTAGGTGAAGAGGAGCGAGACGAATTGGTACACGAATTCGATATGGAGAAGGATCTTGCGCATTATCGTGTGGTCGGTGTGCCAGACTTGCCGAAAGTGCAGAAGCGAGTAGACGGCGGCGAAGAAGGCGCCGTTGAGCCAGCGGCGCCGTTGGGATATGAATTCGGGTACGGCGTCTGTGGTACGTGTTAAGACATGTTGTGAGATTTTGGTAAGGGGATGTATTTACCTGGAACGTCGGTCTCACCCGTTGCGCTCTTCACGTACTTCAGCACCCATCGCTCGCTTCGCTTAGCTACTAGCTCCCAGCACAGAATGCGATCCTCAGCCAGATACATATTCGCAGTGAAGACATCCGCATCTTGTCCGTGCAGCGTCTCACCCTTGAAGTACTGGCTCAGGGGACCGTGACCTGTCTCGTCATTCTGCAGCGCATGATACCGGTATGCGCTGAGCGCTCCGGGAAGCACCGTGATATAGCCAAACACCGACTCAAGAGGCTTGTCAAGGATATTCGACATTTTATACTCAAAGTTCTGAGACGCCACGAGCGGGTTGAGCAGGCCGAGCCACCCCTTCCCTTTGCCAGCCTTGATCTCTCCAGCGGCTCCTGCTACGTTCGAGTCTGTGTCGAATGCTTTCCACAGATGATACAGCGCCTTTGGTCCTGGCTTCGTGCCCACGTCCAGAAGGATGCAGACATTCGGATTCAGGGCTCGGCCAAAGGCGTTGAAGAACCAGCGGTGCGAATTCAGCTTCTTCAAGTTCTTCTCCTTGAGGCAGAAAATCATCTGGCAGGGTACGATGCCCTTCTCTGCACCTTTGAACTTCAGATCGGCATCAAGGGAGACCTGGGTCGTGTACTCGTAAACGTGCGCTGTGACCTCCTTTTGGTTGACCAGGTTTTTGGCTATACCGTCTTGATAACAGCCCATTGCCGCCAATGCGTCCAAGGTTCGTGGATGCACCTTTTGGCGGCCGTCTGAGATGATGCATACAACAATCTTCTGCCATCCGTCCTTGCCCCAAGTCCGTGATTTCGTACGCGAGCAGAAGTGCGAGATGTTGCGCATTACGCCGTGCATCGTCCTTGTGAAGTCGATCTCATTCTCGTTGTACATCGTAATACAGATAAAGAGCTCCGTCTCGCGGGAATTGTTCAGATTCTGTCGCAGCTTGTAGCCTCTTTCCACGAAGTCGTCCGGATCACACGTGACAGCGGTATACCGCATGTGGGTGAATTCGATATCGTCGCGCCGCGGGAGGAAGCTGTATAGGATGGTCGGGATCTTACACTCCAGAATGAGCTCACCGTTGATGAGCGGGACCTCGCGCTTCGTCATCTGCGCTTGCCGGGCGCCCCTCCGCGTTTGCATCCCATCCGGCGCTGGGCCGTAATGCTCGTACTTTTCGTCATAATCGTCGCTGGCCGTCGAGTGGGAGACGAACGAGTCGACCGAATGCAGTTCCGGACGGGACTCTTGGCTGGGCAGCCCGAAAACGTCGTCGGTATTGCTATCGTCTATGGGTATTGTCGTGGTCTCTGCAAAGTCTTTGGTCGAGCTTCTGGAGAGAGGTCGGCCTCCAGCGAAGAGCGGCGCTGGTGGTAGCGGTCGCTTCGGACTTCCTCCGTACCTCGAGGATGGTGTCCCTGGCCGAGGACTGCCATTGAGGTCAATTGCTTCGTATGCAGAGGCAGAGGCGGGCGGCCGCGGCCAGTCAGCTGAGCTTTGGGATGGCGTCCATGGCCGAATCGGGGACGTTCGACTGGGGGAGTACGGGCGGGGCGGCATATAGGATGGGATGCTTGAGTCGGGCGGCGGTATACTGGGAGCGCGGTCTAGGATCGAGGGCTGCCTCGATAACGGTAGTGATGTTGTTGACGGTTGGTAGGAGCGCGTGAGCGGTGATGGTCTGTTTGGCGATGTATATAAGTTCTGTGTGCTAGTTTTGACGGATTTGCGCTTGACCCTGGCTTTCACCGTTTCGTGCTTGCGAGCGCGCTTGCATGCGGACGGCTGTGAGAGAGATGCGGTGGCTTCACGCAGGAGATCATGGATGGTATCTTCGCGATGCAAAGCTTGTCGCCCACTGCCACCTGCGCGCTCACTTGCAGAATTGAGAGTCGACGAAGACGAAACGTGGGCAAGCATAGAATCGGTTGGTGGTACTAACGGTCTGTATGCGCTCTCCTCCACTGATGTCAACAGGCGCATCGTCGCGCCATTCTGCGCCAAGTTCGTGGGAGTATCATCCTCATCGTATGCTGAATATCGCGGCGGGAGCTGAGTTGGAGTGGTTGGTCGGTCCATAACGGCTGCCACCACACTGAACGAGTGGAATGCAGTGAGGAATGTGGATAGATTATGACGCGCAGTCAATGGTTGAAACGAATGACTGAGCGGACCTCACGCCGATTACGATGAGTGAAACTAGAAAGGAAGGTAACATATAGATCACTCTGATAGCTTGACACGGCTCCTCTGCCGAGTGGCTTCTGGTATAGATGGACAGCTGGCCAGCACGTGACCAGTCGGCGGAGCAACAATCGATAGACGCGGATGTCTTCAACCCGCCTTCGGTGGAGCATTTTGGAAGCGATGCTGATATCCACCTCTTACTGGTTGGATGCTCTTGTTGTCTCGTGCCCTGCAATCTGTCTGATCATGCCCAAATTTCAGTCGCCGTCGGATTCCTTCTTGATCTCTGCGCCCTTCCGCACTGAGGTCCGTAAGATAGCCATCCCAGAGGCGCCATTGTCCCGACAGTCACTACTGCTCAAGGACCGTAAATCAAGACGTCGAGAAAGGGCGTGGTTATCTTCTCATCCTTCTCTAGGAGTTTCCGGTGACCTTCGTGAAGCAACTGCCTTCTCCTGGTTCGACTTCGACTTCGACTCTCCTCCTCGTGCAGCTCGAAAGAGCTGTCTCCAGGCTTCAGTACTCGCAATGCTCAGCATCGATCATGACGAGTGGTACTTCCGCATCACCAAAGGAGCTTCGGTTTGGTGTGAAGCGGCGGCAGATCGTCAACTCGTTGTAGCCTGGGTTTCGGATCGTCTTCAGGGAACCTCGGAATTGAAGTTGGCGGCCCGCGTCGATCAACCGTTTTCCGGCGCCATGGTCACACACTCCCTTTGCTCCCTCAGCTGACTCTGCAGTCTCTGTTCCGAGAGCATGCGCCCCGTCTCCAAGCATCTGCAGACCGCTCAGCGCTACGTGCGGAGTTGGAAACGAGCTCTAGAGTGCGGGCTCAGGAAAGGTAGCTACCGTTTTGCAGATGATGAGGTGTTTTCTAAGATCTCCAAGTGTCTCTTCTCGTCTCCGTCATGTCACCATCGAGGGCAGCAGACAGAGGCTCTTAACTTCCAAATTGAATTGTTGTCCCACTAGTTCTCCCACTGTTCTCATCTCATACCTGTGCAGTAAGAACACCACCAGACAATGACATAGCACTATCCAGACCCTGATATTAGCCAAAGACTGTTTCGTCACCTCCCCACGTCACTAGTACCCCCTCGCTGTGTCGACAATGGCTCTTCTTTCCTACAAACCGAGTTCCAAAACATCCAATGCCCTCGATTATATCCGTACTTATCCTCCGTAACATCCACAAAGCCCCACCCGCCTCCGGAATCATTAACAACACAGCACGACCATGAGAACCCTCAACTTCAACTGCGCCCTCATAACCGGCGGCAGCGGCGGCATCGGGCGCGCCATGGCTGAGTATCTCATCTCTCAAAATAAAAAGGTGATAATCGCCGGCCGCACCAAATCCACGCTCCAATCCACCGCGCGAGAGATCGGCGCCGCCGCATACTACGTCCTCGACACCGGGAGGCCCGATGCGATCCCCGGTCTCATCGTGCAGACCACCGAAGTCCACCCGGACCTGGACTGCCTGATCGATAACGCAGGCGTGCAGCGACCGCTACAGGTGCTGGAGATGAAAGCCGGAGCAGTTTCTGGGGAAGGCGGATCAGGAGATCGATGTCAATATCCGCAAGCCGATGCACTTGACGTTAAGGCTGCTGGAGCATTCTAGGGGAAAGAATGGGCGCGGTGGTTATGAATGTTAGTAGCGTGCCGGGGTACATTCCGATCAGTGTGATTAAACCCGGTGTACAACGGGACAAAAGCGTGGCTGTAAGTTCGCGTTGACATAAACGGCGCTGTAAACCCTGGTCTGGAGCGGATCAGGCGGCTGGTGGGGATTGCAGGCACTTCTGGAGCATGGATCTCCGCACACAGCTCAGGGACAACGAATATCAAGGTTGTGGAGATTGCGCCGCCGATGGTTGCGACGAATTTGCATCGTGAGAGGACGGATCCGGACGATAAGAAGAAGGAGAAGAATCCGAATGCGCTGAGCGTGGATGAGTTCATGGAGTCTGTCATTAGGGAATCGAAGGAGGGAAAGGATGTCATTGGAGCGGGGATGAGTGAAAAGGTGGTGGAGCGGTGGTATAACGAGTTTGGAGGGGATTATGAGAAAGCCGTGGGAACGAAATGAGCTGGATTGCCCTAATTCATCCATTCTAAGGGTGGATACTGATGCTCCTATCACCGCATGGTTGCGCCACCGTTCTTTCTACGATTTGAAGTTGGATGCAGCAGTAAAATCTAGAGGGACGATTCGAGGGTAGACGGGAGGCAAATGAGGATCGAAACTACAGCTCAAGTAAAGCGTTCAGCGGCGATACTAGTGTCGCAACAGTAGCACTGCTACTGTTTGTCTACAAAGCTCTATTGATCCGTCGATTCTGGTCTTCCGCAAAGTGTGCGAACCTGCATGCGCGGGTTTCTAAGACATCGGGAGCCCCACATCAGAGCCGCCAATTTAACAAGCTGCTGTTCATTCTCACCAAGTACCTTTCAGGTGTCCGTGAGATCTTCTGTACTCCTCAGAGTGCCGGCTCTATGGCTTCACGTAACTCTCACGTCGCGGCCTCACCAAATCCTCACCGCCCTCCTGCTTCATCTTTCCGTACTTCTTCAGCCGGATAGCCTGGACGCTGATGAATCCCGAGGTGTCCGTTGGCTCGAAATCCACAACCGTGTCCATGCTGCTCTCGGTCTCGTCGTAGAGCTTCTCGGTGTCGCTCCAGCGGCCCAGCACGGAGAAGGTTCCCTTGTAGCACCTGCATCGAACCGCGCCATTGACTCGCTTCTGCGATGAGACGATGGCGTCTTCGAGGAACTCGCGCTCGGGGGAGAAGTACATGCCGTTGTAGAGGATCTTCGCGTAGTTGAAAGTGACCTGCTACAGTTAGCGGAGACCACAGCAGAGGACGAGTGACTACTCACAAACTGATCGCGCAGTGCGCGCACCTCGCGGTCCATGACCAGACCTTCGAGATCCATGTGTGCGGCGCGCAAGCATGTGAGTCCCGGAGTCTCGTAGCAGCCACGAGACTTGAGCCCGATATACCTGTTCTCCACGATATCAATGCGGCCGACACCGTTCTTCCTCGCGATAGCGTTGCAAGCCAAGAACAAATCCACCGGGTCTGTCACAGTGTTCTCGCTGCCATTGTCGTCGTAGACCAACTTCTTTGGTAGGCCCTTCTCGAAGTACAGCGTGAAGTCTTGCGGGTGATCCGGCGCTTTCTTCGGGTCTTGGGTGAGCTTCCACATGTCTTCTGGAGGCGTGGTGTTCGGGTCCTCCAGTATACCGGCTTCGTACGAGCAGTGCGCCAGATTCTCTGCAAATCTGTCAGTGTCCCTTGCTCCATGTGCAGACACAGCAACAACGCGCCACTAACCATCCATGCTCCAGGGCTTCGCCTTGGTGCTCGAGACTGGAATGCCCTGCTGAGCTGCATAATCGAGGAGGTCGTTGCGGCCGGCAAATCGTTTGTAGAACTCAGGGTCCCTCCAGGGCGCGATGACCTTGATGGACGGCTGTAGTGCGTAGTAGCCAAGCTCGAAGCGGATCTGGTCGTTGCCTTTGCCTGTGCAGCCGTGGGATACGGCGAAGCAGCCCTCGCGCTGGGCGACAGCGATTTGAGCGCGGCAGATGGTTGGTCGTGCGAGTGACGTGCCGAGCAGGTATACGTTCTTAAAGCTGTTAATAACCTGCCCATGTCGTACAAACACTAGGTCTTGTGTGGACATACCTCGTAGATGGCGTTGCATTGGACCTATCGGCGCGTTAGCTGTGCAGCGAAGCTATCTACGCGTGCGGATTTGCGTACGGCGGGGAAGCACATCTCTTCCACAAACTCCCGCTTACAGTCCACGATCTCCACCTTCACGGCACCGAGCTTCAGTGCCTTCTGGCGAGCAGCCTCGAAATCCTCTTCTTGGCCGACATCGGCCACTGGAATTTGTTAGCAATGCTGGCTCAGCTAGAGTGACGTTGTGGAACCGTACTGAACGCGACTATGTCATAGCCCTTCTCTATAAGCCAGGCAAGAATGCAGCTGGTGTCAAGTCCACCCTAAGCGCTGCGATAAGCGATTGAAGCCGAATACTACGGGCGAGGTCATACGCTGTATGCGAGACAGATCTGTAGACCAAGTTAGATCAGAGAGCGCATAACAATGGGGATCATCCCATGTAACTCGCCTTTTGTTTAGCCATATTGGACTTTATGGTGGTGAGGCGCAATTGCTGAAAGACGCTGACTGTTATCGCGAAACTTTTTTGAGCTTGCGATGAGTCGGTGGGAGCTGCGATATCGTGGAGCTATGTCGCAGGTCTAGCTTTGTTCGGCCTAGCGTCCACAGCTCTCGACATCGCACGAGCTCCGGCACGTGATTCAGTGAGATGATTGCTCCATCACCAAATTCAGCCAGCTCGTTTCTGGATGACTTTTTAGTTAACCACCACCAATATGGCTCCAAACCGAGGCCCAGACATTAGTGCTGCAACGTGCGCTTATATTGTTACCCTATACCTTTTCAGCAAGCTCGAATACATCGAAATTGAAGCTGATAATCAATGAATGCGGCGATTATATACCCTCAGAACGTGGTTTGGTGATGGAGCACAGGCTGCGGCACGTGATTCAGTTAGTTCTCGGCCGAGAGAGTAGTGCCACTTATCGTTCCGCGGACCCAACCGTGGTTCGTAACAGCCTAGTAGGTTCTTCCCCGCAACCGGGTAACCGATTGCAGTCGCTAACCGAGAGTAGAGCGGAGCTTTACCTAAGAGGGCTAGATATCCCGTCATCCTGGTACACCCCCGGCGTATCGCTCCCTGGCGGTCTGGCTCGCAGACTCAAGCTCTGAGAGACTAATAGAGAGTTCGTTGGAATGAATTGAGCTATTGCATTATCTAGCAAATCTCCCTTAGCAGCTCCATTCCTCGCGATGTGTCCTAACCCTTTTGCCTTGACTCACTGCATCTAAGACCTGGGACCGGAATCAGACTTCTGATACCATTGGATATCATCGCGGGGGGCTAATGCCGGAACGACTAATCGTGGCGCTCATCCGTCCAGCTGAATCTGCATCAGGGCTATCTCGTATCCAAACCTTTCGCCTTGGCTACTAACCGTCAGGTCTGCAGTGGTATAATACCAGCCTAGATGACTCCCCTATCTCCTATTTCTTTACTTTTGAATCCCAGTGCGTCGCGACCATTACGAAACTCGGGTCTTTTGCTAAAGGAAATTGCTATCGACTTTCTGCAGCACTCTTTCCACAATGAGGACAGCAGCAAGCGCCAGCATAAAGCTGCTCCTCCTGTCGCTATGTGTGCTATTCTCGCCATTGGCTCTGGCCGACCCGCAGAGCGGGGTTAGCATCAACTGTGTAAGCTGGCCCTGTTGCGTCCATCTTCGCCGCTAATCGTCTTTAAGGTGCCAGATGGATGTTTTAACATTGTCCGAAACCCTATAAGATCCGCCGCTGTCAGGACCTTCTGCTCATTGTACATTGGTACAACAACTGTCACCGTCTCTGCAACTGTGACTCAAACAGCCACCGTGGCCGGCGGGACGGCATCGACGACCCTGTGAGTAACAAAACCGGCTCGCGGATGCAAGATAAAAAAGGCTCGGCTTAAGACAATCATCCCCACGCCAAAGTCAGGCGTGTAGTGTAAGAACACCGTTGACTAGTCGCGCAGATTAACAACAACGGTGTCAACCTCCGTCTCCATCTCTCAAGTGGTATGCAGGACTCCTTAATAGTTGTGTCCGCTGAGACTCATGATCTAGTAGCCAGACTCAACAATCCTCACAACTACGACAACCACGACAACCACTACGACCACAGTTGCCGCTCTCGCGCGGAGGCAAATTGAAATCTCCGCCTTTCTCTCACAGTGCCTTGGTCCATCTCGCATCAGCAGCGCCTGTTTATGCCTACTTAGTGGTCGTCCGATCACGACAACCACGGTCCAGTCAACGGTTAGTCCGTATACATCTTGGGGAGGAGGATGCATGTTTGCTAAATCTACACCCTCAGACCACAGCAACGTCCACCGCGCCGCCAGTAACAACACAGTATGCCATCCTCACTGATAAGTATGGTGTTGTATAGTGCTCATCCGCATGGCCAGGACTCTCACTTTAGTGGCAACGTCTGTGGTCGAGACTATAGTGCGTTTCGGAGCTCCCTCCTTCTGACCTGGCTCCCTCTCACTTAAGCAGGTCACTCTCCCACCGACCACCACCGTCAGATCGATACTGACGACCGTGGAAACGGTAACTAGAAGCACGTGCGCGGCTAATCCCCCGCGCCAAGTTGTCCAGAACACTGGTTTTGAAACAGGCCTTGCGCCCTGGACGTTCGATCGATCTGGAGGCCAAGTAGGATTCAGTCTTGGCTACTGTGGTGTAGATTTTGGACCTCCGACCGATTGCCAATTAACCGGTAGTGGTTGCCGCTGTTTGTAAGTTGACCCTGAGTGCGGGTAAAAATATCACATTCCCACCTGCTATTTTCACCTGGCTCGAGATCTCTGCTGACTAGTGGCGCCCCTATAGCAGCAGCAATGCTGATTCTCCTGGCGGCTCAGGCCTACTGCAACAGAGGCTAAGTGGCGTCTGTCCCGGCCAAACTTACAACTTTGCCGCATACTTCGGCCGCTCAGACAATATTATTCCAGGGAGCCAACTCAGGACGACTATAGCTGTAAGCCTTGATGGCGTCCAAATCTTTCCTCCAACCCTAATCTGCCCTCTCAATGAGCCTTGTCCTATTGCAGGCGGGTCTGGTCCGTACACGAGGATCGGACCTATCCCTGTTGTCCCTCAGTCGGTGAACCCGGTTTTGAGTATTGAATTCGTTACCGACATTCCAGCAAATGCTGGAATCTTTTCGGTCGATATATTTATCGATGAGATAACGCTCTCTCTGGTATGATAATTATACTTTTTGTTGTATTTAAGCTAGTATGATCTTTGTAAAGGCTCTAGTATATAGCACGTTATTTTGCTTCCACTTGGAAACATACAGAAAATCCACCTTGTCTCCAACCACACTTTGCAACCCAACCCGTCACACGCCGCCATGTCGACTCTAGCGGAAGACCCGCACGAGCCCGACATGGGTTCCAGTTACATGCCCTTAAGTCATGTCGCCTAATCCGAATCTGAGGCATTATCGACCGAATCTGAGGCCGTGTCGACTGTGGAGGAAGAGCCAATGTCCCCCTACCACGGTTCTATATCCTGATTCGACTTAGCCGGTCGTGCAAAGCACCAGGTGGTGGCGACGATATAAACGGACGACTCTAAGACGAACGTCGTCTCAACGATATTGGACGCGCGATGCCGAACACTGACCATACACAGTCTGTTGAACACCCTGAATACACCTAGCTCTATAGAACACCTCAGCTGCCTACGCATTTGCACCGCCATCTACGCTCCACGCAGCTCCAGTTACGAAGCTGCTCTCGTCGCTTAGAAGGAACACAGTCACGTTAGCAACCTCTTGCGCCTCTCCAGCGCGCGGAATAGGAGTGCTTATAGCGGGAAAGTCTGGAACACGAGCCAGGTTCGCTCGATGCATAGGCGTATCAACAGCCCCCCTGTTACGACATCAATTAGCCCGCTTCGTGAAATAGAGAGATTCAGAGCTGGTCTTACGGCAGAACACAGTTGACTCTGACTCTTCCGCCCGCCTCCTTGGCCGCACTTCGCACCATTCCCAACGCGGCGTGCTTCGAGGTGGCGTAAACAGCGCCCTTGTTGAAACCCTGCATCGAGAAAATACTGCCAATCTGAACGATGCTGCCACCCAGCGACATAAACCCAGGTTTCAAGGCTTCCGATAGTACGTAGAACATGCCCGTGACGTTCACCTTCATGATGAAATCAAACTCGTCGTCGCTTGTTTCCCAGACTGCCTCCGTGCCCAGATGACGTCCTGCAGTTCCTGCAAAATTCGCGATCCCGTCCAGTTTCCCGAAATGGGCTTTTGAATCCTCCAGAAAGGCCTTCAAGGCCGCTCGGTCATTCAGGTCCACACGCCGCGCAAAGCTTCTCTTTCTGCAATCAGCGTCTAGCTCGTCGACAACCTGTTCCAAACTGTCCTGATTGAGATCGCAGAGAGCAACCATGGCACCTCTGGAGAGGAGTGTCTTCGCTGTGGCTAGGCCCATGCCGGAGGCAGCGCCAGTGATAAGATACACTTTGCCGAGAATAGAAGGTATTTCACCGGTACCAGAAGTGGAGGTTACTCCGAATAGATGATACGCTAAGAAGTAGGCGTAGAGGAGATAACCTCAAGCTATTCCCCTAATAAGACCGGTAGCTTAGGAAGAAATCGCCTTCAAAATGTCTAAAGGGCTGATACCTGGAGAATGTCGTGTGCTAGACCGTGATAGAAGACCCCGCAATTACAGTCAGATATCGGCAAGACGTTTCTCCGGCGTTTAAGTTACGCTCTAATAACCAGTTGCGTCAGCAGATTGTCTCACTGCTTTTCGCTTGTGCATAGTCGACGGTCCAGGCGTTGCTCTGAAGTACTGCCAGCAGTATGAAAATCTTGGACAGTCGACGTCGACTATGTTGCTCTCTCCTCCGAGGTCCAGGATCGACATTGAAGCTCCACCTTCAGACGTGGTTTCTTGGATTGATAGACACGTCATAAAGAGCTGTCAAGAACGCTCACGCCACGGCTCGATTCGCACTCTCCTTCATCTTCTTCTGGATCTCTCTCTTGATGGTTGCTGTCCTGAAAGCGCTACTATTCCGAAGTGGTTTCGATGCAAGTTCGACGGGCGTCATGATACCAGCTTTTGTCGTCCAAGTGCCAAGGAGATCGTTGGTAATAGTGCCAAGGAAATTGCGGGTATCATAATTGCAGTGAGCGGAGATGCTCGTAGCCCCATAGCGCAACAACACTCGGGCGGACTCTAGGTCTGCAGTTATCACCGTAGCATGAAGAGCCGTACCATAATATCCGCCGATGACATTTGCATCAGCCCCATGTGAGAGTAAGCGGGCAAGGGCTACATGTACGTCCTTCGCAGGTCTGGAGACGAGAATCGCGTCCCCAGACCTCACCAGGGTTTGTAATGCAAAACGCGATTTACCCTGGGACTCGTTGACATTCGCTCCGGCCTTGATGAGGGCATCGATAATGTTGCATTGAGACGCGGTCCACTCTTTGGATTGCGCTACGAAAGCAAACAGTGGGGTTAAGCCGGTTAAGTCGTCGTCCTCTTCCCGATCGTGAACACTGGCACCATTGGCAACGAGAAACTTGAGCATCTGTCTGGTGTCATTAGGCCTGCCGCTTTGCCATCTATCGTACGATAGTGACACGAGAAGCGCATGGATAGCCGTACGACTCGGTGGAGGACCCCTTATATTAGGATCGGCACCGTACTCGAACAACAATCTTCCTTTTTGCAGAAAACGCTCCAGTGGTTCCCAATTCCATTCTTTGTTAATACCACGTACCAATATATGGAGAGCATATACCTTCTCGTCTGAGACGGCATCCGTATCGGCTCGCATCTCCAGCAAATCTCTGGCTCCATAAGCGACGGCATTCGGATCGGCTCCCTTCTCCAACAAATCTCTGACTTGAAGAGCTGTCACCCGGGCGCCCATAGCCCTGCAAAGCTGCACGTCGTAGGATCTTTGCGTAACAAGATCCAGTGCCTTTCGTTTCGTTCGTGCATCTCGAATCTTTTGAGCATTGGGAGTAACGCGCAAGTGCTGCCAATCTGGTGGGCAGTCATAGTTTCTTTCTAGAGGTTCCTTCGGCGAAGGGCTGCATTGGCTTGATTGGTCAAGACTTCCCTTTGGTTCTCCGTCCATTAAGTCCGACAAATGTTCTTGAGCGACAGGGCAGCCCACGTCCTGCACGGTTGGGGAAGGGTCCGCGGAGAGATCATCTTGCTGCTTGGCAGCGTGGTGTTCTTCTCCGCCACCTTCTAGTTGTTGACGGGAGACAAAGAGTTCTATTATCTGTTCCTCTAACCGACACTCTTCCCGAAGTCGCGTGACAACAGACCCCAAGCTCTCAGACGAAGGGTGGCGGCGATTAGACTCTGGTGGCTCCGGTTCTCCGTCATCTGATAGCTCCGACTCCCCGTGATCTGCTAGAGCCGCGGGCTGCTCATCCACTCCATCATCACAGACAGTCTCCGCGTACGTTGTGAGATTATCTAGATATCTCTGCAACGTGAGTCCGGAACTCCCTTGCTGCGCATCATCTCTCGGCAGCCGGGCCTGAAGTCGGGCGATCTCCGCCAAGATCAGAGCAGTGTCGTCTCGTATGGCGGAAGTGTCTTGTAGGATTTCTTGAGTATCAGATTTGATCTCACGAGCAAGCGATCTGACAACGCTGTCAGTATTGGTCTGGCAGATGGAGACATGTATACATACAGGGCCACCATATCTAGAGCAATATCCAGAGCGGTCTTGTGAGCCTCAAGCGTAGAGCGTAATTTTCCGGCGTCCCCGCGTCCATTCAGGGCCCATTTAGTGCCTTTGGTAAGCCTGGATCCTTGATAACTACTCAGCAACCGCTCTATCTGCGCCACAACATCGTTGCAGTTTGCCAAGATGCCAGTGACTTGTCTCCCTAGAGTGGGTGGGAAGTTATTCTGAGCGGGATCCTTGGCGTCGTCTGCCAAAATCTCTAATACGGTCTTGATGGAGAGCAGCTCACGAGCTACTGCATCGAGATCGCTCCGGGCATCCCGAACCTCGCGCACAAACTCCGTGACCTGGAACGACACTCTTGTGATCGTGGCTGCGAGAGTGAAGCAGCTTGCGGTTATAGACAGTGGATCCATAGAGTCAAGATTCGTAGATGTCGAGGAGGTGACAAGATGTGATAGAATCCATTCAGCCTTGCCAGGAGCTGAGGTGATGCGGAGTTGATGTTGGCGCTCGCAACGACTGTCACGTGCAATCATGCCTCACGCAGCTAGCGGTTTCAAAACGCGACCAAGCCGTGTAAGCCTCTCTCTTTTCTACCAATCTAGAACACACCGAGTATTACATCAAAAGAGTTTGAAAACACGATCCAGACACGACAGTCATGTAGAAAGTACAATGACCTTACTGAAGTGGAGCTAAAGTAGTCGTGAGAACTAGTCAAGAGGAGTTCAAATCTTAACTCTACTTAAGCTATTCAGCCTTACCGCCTCTCAAGAAATCCGTAACGACAGCAAAGCCTCAAACTCCGTTCCCCGTACCCATCCCTACCCTCGGTCTACATGCTTCATCGGCTCAAGCTACTCGTCAAGGCCTTTGTCAAATTCCCACCGTTCCTCTCAAAGCACTAATCTCCCTGCACAAGATCCGTTCCGGACGCCGGCATGGGGATCTGAAGTCGACTGGTCAGTTCCTTCACTTCCTTCCTTAGTTTCTTGATTTCCAACACCGCCGCATCGTCCACTACATTCGGCTTCGTCTCCTCGACGAGCTTGCTCCATCCGTCGGCCTCGAAGTCGACTTCGTCAGCGTGTTCCTCCCACTCTTGAAGCTGTGGAAACATGTCAGCTTGTGTGCACCCTTGAAAGAGGTCTCAACGCCTACCTTCTGATCGCCGACTTTAACTCGTACCCAGTTGCAGATCCCCCTATGAGACTGTCGGCTTTCCAAGAAAGCGATGATGAGAAGCGCCGGTGAGTAAATGACCGTCATGATGCATCTGTGTAGACCGTGCCATTGGCGCTTCGAAAGGAACCATTGCAAGGGCGTGAGGACAAGTTTGACAAGGTTGAACGGAGGTATGTATGCATCTTTGGCAGGAGCGCGCGCAAACCGCATTGTCTTCTGCGAGAACAGAGCCAAGTACTCGTTTTTGGCATTGCCGGTGATGGCTCGGTAAGCCTCGTTGTAGACTGCAACAAGGACCTTCAGGAGCACTAGATGACAATGAGCAATGCAGTCCGCAAAGGTGCCGGGGAAGAATACATACTGACGGTGATGATGAACGTATAGATGTAGTAGAGGATTCGGCCAAAGGGAGGCTAGAGACATGTTCAGCATTTGCACACAGCATCTCATGACAAGCGGGACATACCGCAAGGTTATCCCATGAACCATAATCCGTGCTCGACATGACGACGTTGAAGACCTTGTAAAAGAGATTGCTCTTGGGTTCACGATCCTCGACATCGTGCAGACCGATGAAGCCTTGCATAAAGCCCATCAAGACCACAGCTAGCAGTGCAAAGAAAATCAGACTCTCCTGCATCATCGTCTTTAGCACAACCAACATCACGCCGAAGAACTGAAAACTCTCGAGAAAGAGCAGCAGTCGGAGCCAGAAGAAAGGTGCCGAGAAGGCGAGGAACTTGTACGACATTGCGGTGTAGTATGCCCGTTCAGGAGAATCACGAGGCCATCCATGTGCAGTTATGCGGTAAGCAAGGGATACAACCAGCAAGGTGTAGAGTGTGTCGTTGAAGACGTTCCAGAAGGTGATGTAACGGCGGCCGACCTTCCAAATCTTCATGAGTTCATCGTAGATGAAACCGCAGGTGAAGAGGTAGAGCAGGAACTCGACAAAATCGAAGTCGCCCTTGTGGTTCATGGTGTTGATGGCCCTGGTGTAAAGGGCGAGATAGAGAACCGAGAAGGCGAGATGCATGGCGTTTTGGTACTTGGGTACGCGTAGTCTCCTCGGGTCGAAGCGGACCCAGAAGCGGGGGTCGTCTTTGCCCTCGTATTCAGTGAACCGTGAAGGATCCGTGTCATCTTGGATAAGCCAGCCATGCCAGAGGAGGGAAATGACCTTTTGATAACCCGAGGATGCGATCACTTGGAGAGCGTGGAAATCGACAGCGGTTTCAATGACGTTCGCAGCGACGGTGTCATTTCCATCGGCAGCTGTATAGTAACGTTGCAAGAGAATCTCATGGATGAGGCATTGTTCGTCGTCTTCACCTCCGATACTAAAGATCCAGCGGTTAGCTGGGATGACTTGGGAGTGAATGCACACCGCACATTGGTACGCAGTAGACGACCGCAGTGAGATGACCTGAGAAATCTTCGGGGTGCACGGCTCTTCATCCAAGAATGCGGGCTCCAGACGCGCGATACTCACATGATCCTGGCGATAATCTCGCAAGCTGTCGCTCGGACGGCATGCGTCTCTGAACGCCACAGTTCCAATTCAGCCTGCTCTGCGAACCATTTTCTGACGACCAGCAAGGCGAACACCACACATCCTTTGTGCTCCTCACCACCTGCCTTTTTTGCGGTCTCTACTACCTTCTCCGTGATAATTCTGGAGAATGGCTTCGTGATCTCATCCTCATCTGTCCCGTTTGGTACGACCTGCTCTATCTGGTACTTGAGGCGCAGCGCGACCTTCGTGACCTCGAGCGCAGGGATAGGCGAGGGCACGAAATCGCCTCTGCGAGTGGGAAGAACTATGGGAAGGGTCAGAGTAGACAGATAGAGAACAGAATGCGTCGCGAGCAGCTACGAGGCACTGCATGCTCAGGGAAAGAAGCTCTACTGACGGGACCGAAGCTCATCACGAATAGTAGGCCCGTTTTGACTGTCCGTGTTGGACAGCGTTTTCCAGAACACCATATTGAATGCTGAGGTAGTCTGGCTAGGACAACGAGCTGGCAGCCGTTGAGATGGTTGTGGACAAGGTTTCGAAGTTCAATGAGTGAAGTTAACAAGGGAAAGGACTAGGGAAAGGGCGAGAAGGTCATGTAGATTGGATCCGCATTGCGTGTGAGATCAAGTAGGGAATGCGACAGACGAGATGCGCCACAGCTCCCGGGCTACGATTTCGGGAGCACGAATGATGCTGCTCATGATGCCTGAGTGATGCGGTTGCTGTTCTACGACTGACGGCAATCCCGCTCATGTGATGCGGCTGATGCTCCGGTGATGCGCACCTACACGTCAATCTTATCTAGGTACGAGTTACGAAGCTTGAGGGCTGAGGTGCTCTCCAAGAAGCTGGCCTAGAACATCTCGCTCCGTCCCGCTGCAGGCACCCGGAACAGCCGGAACAGCCTCATCTCATGCCAGTCACATGATCATCAGCATACCAATTTGACCTCAACCTCCATCAACCGTCATCCGCATCGCTCGAGCTTCTCGGTGCGGACAAGGTATTCATCGAGTCACCGTGGTCCTCTAGCAGCCCGCGAGGCATCAGCTGCCATGATCACATCAAGCTGCACACTCTTGAGCCGGAGATACCGCTCTCAAACACATCATCTGCAAAGCTTATAGTTACCTGCCTTGGCTTCGTCTCAGTCCTCCTCCGGCCAACTACGAAAGATATCCCGTAATTTGTCGATTGGCGCTGCCATGAATGCCGCCGCTGTTGCAAGCGGCACCATGTTCGGTGCGAGGGGGTGGCTCCGTGTGGCGGTAAACCGTTTCGTGCGTTCAAAGCTCCTCGCCAATCGCTCACTCTCTCCTCCAAGTACGCTCTCTAGCTTGGGTAACTGGATCTCCTCCTCCTGTCGCGCGTGGTGCGCAAAATCACCCCAGAGGATGTCGACAAGGACTTCCCGGTGCGGGTTGGTAAGGCTCATGTGATCGAAGCCGTACAGGGATTCCTTGAGATGCTGGGCGTCCTTGCGATCTTTAGCGGCCCATTGTCGGCCTTCTTCTCCGAGGTACTTGTCTAGGGCTGTTTGTATATTCGGCGTGTGTTAGAATCTTGCGTGTAGACGGTAACGTATCTCTGGCTGACAATCAACACCTTCAATGTCGTCTTACCTGGATACACGACCAGTTCTTCCCCCAACGCGTGACGTGTCATTCCCCAGACGAAGGCGTTCCCCCATCTAGTCTTTCCGTCATCCGCAGTGGCCGCTTTGTACTCGTCGTAGCACCGTTTGAGTTCGGCGTGATCTTGGACGACAGCGGTTTGGAGGGTAGCCTTGGGGTCCACAGAGGTCACGTGCAGGCACCGGTAGCGGGCGAAGGATGGACGAGCTGGAGCGGAGTGGCGTTGGACAATGTAGCGGAAAGGCTCAGTCCGGAAGGGCAGCGTCCGTTTAGACGCCATTGTAATCAAAAGTAGTTGTGCGAATGGAAAAAGTTGCGTGCTGGTGAGTATATTTTATGTGCGGGCGGAGCAATCCTGGAATGAACCGGACTGGTACGCGGTGCGGTAAGGGCTCGAAAGGAATCTCCAGCTAAGTTGGTCGATAAAAGGTGTCTTCAATGTCCAAAGCCTCGGTGGTCGTATAGGGTCCTACGGAGTGCCACCTTAATTTGGCATGGAGCTTAGAATTTGAGGGTCAGCCGTACTACATACCTTACTGCGCACCAAATTAGAAGAGGGACCAGCCAGCACGGTCACGCAACACGTCCTCTTGTGCTTCACCCCAGAAACACTTCCGGACTTGGTCTTCATCAAGAGTTCTGGCAGTGACAGAACGATGACGAGCCGAGAGCCCATTCATCCATGCAGGCAGCTACGTGATAATGACAACTTGTGGCGTTGCCCCCGTGAATACCTTAGGCATCGAATACAACCAAGGTCCTCGAATAATCTTACATAGACTGTGATCCTTTTCTCAGTCGCATTCAGCTGTCGCTAACTTCTTTGGTCGCGTTGAGTTTGTTTGTCGGCCCCGATAACGGGGAATACTTTAAGCTATCAGATCTTTCTGTGTATTTCTCCAATGGCACAAGCTCGTGTTGCGGTCAAAGAAGGCGCAGAGCAGCAGCCGTCTCACGCAGCAATCGACAATGGCAATCCTGCGAACCTCAAGCCAAAGTACCTCGTTCTTGATGATATCAACATTGACCTCATCACCGTCGGCGTCACTACCTGCACGCTTATCTCCATCTTCGCTTTCCATTTTCCAACGGTAATATATTCTTGTGGCTGCGACAATCATCCTTCCTCTGCGGATCTTCTTTCCTCGCCCCACAACCCCACAAGGTCCTGCTCTCATAACCGGAGCGTCGAGCGGTATCGGCGCAGAACTGAGCTACATATTTGCTGAACGTGGCCACGATCTGATCTTGGTCGGAAGGAACGAGGATCAACTGGACGCCGTCAAGAGCAATGTAGAGAAGAAGTACAGAAAGACCGCGTATACCATCGCGTCGGATCTGTCTCTCCCGGGCGCGGCGATGTAGCTCCACGACCACGTCAAGAATGAAGGTTTTACGGTCGATATTCTGGTCAACGGTGCTGGACTTGGAGCTGCGGGCGAGACGCTCGAACAGTCCGCAGAGTTGGCTGAGCGGATGACTACGTTAAATTGTATTGCACTCGTACAGCTCACGTAATTGTTTGGGAAAGATATGGTGAGACGTGGACACGGATGGATTCTGCAGATATTGGCGGTAAGTTCTATATCCCACTGACCCCCTCCCACCCTGAAACCGAAATAGCTGGTCACAAGAAGCGCATTGCTGACCTGTATCTTCAGGTTGGATGGTCAGTCCTGGCCAGAACATCTACCATGCCACCAAGCACTATGTCCGCGCCTTCTCCGAAGCCCTCTCCATCGAGCTTCGCGGCTACCCGGGTGTCGTCAACACCCAGCTTATGCCTGGTCCCACGCACACTCAATTCGTCACGCGCGCACATGCCGAAGAGACATTCATGATGGCCGCCTCTGGCGCAATGGAGGACCCGAAGAGCGTGGCGCTGGCGGGGTACAACGGGTTGTGCAAGGGGAAGAGGATGGTCTTCAGTAGCTGGAACGCGGCAGGAACGGCTTTGATGATGCATCTGGCACCGCGAAGCGTTCACCTTACGATAGCCAGCTTGATAAATTCTCCGCTACGGGGAATGGTGAGTATGAATGAATCGGAGAAGGATCAGAAAGTCCGTGGATCTGATCTTTGACGGCGCAGTGGCGGAGGTTTGGCCCGCCGAGCCCCTTGCACTAGAGAAGTAAACGGCCATTGTAGGTCGGGTATATTAGCGTTGTGAGTCTGAATGAGTTTGGTGGAAGCTAAAAGTCAACGGTCACGGTAGCCAGGCAGGTGCCAAGGTCTGACTTTGATATCTGATAGATTTCGTAAGGACTGGCAAAGCTTCGCGAACTTCTAATATGTAGTAACGCTTTGAACGCTACGCAACTCACTTTGTACGTGGCATGCAATGACTGTGCTGAGAAGTGGACCCAGAAGGCAAGAGCAACTTCACGCGACAAGGCTGGACCGCACGAACCTGAGTTGTGGAGAGAGAGGCGATGGAAGGGTTTGCAGCGAGGCGGATTCAGGGGTGCCTTTCGGCATGATGTATGTCATTGAGGCTGACCCGGATCTGGATACCGAACGCGAACGTTTGTGTTTAACGACCTGCTTGTCGCGGCAAAGCGCCGTCACGTGTAGTTCATCCTTCACCATCTGTTGCTCCACCTCAATGCAGCCCCCAACAGGCGCCTGGACCGGAAAACGGCCGTGGAAGCCGCGCCTCGACGGAGAAAAGCTTTTCTCTGTGGTTCGGAAGCGAGCCGGCCGCCGGCTGTCTGGTTGTTTGGATGAAGCAGCCGGTTGCGCCACTCGCCGTTTCACGCAGGGTCTAATCCTCAACTGTAACGTTTAGGCGGTGTCGACCTGCACCGATGTCCTGCGAAGAAACGAGCCTCTTGGATCGACAACGTACCATCAGGCCATCCACGCGCTACCCACACAGAGCACTGGCCTGGCCGAGAGTCCCTCAACATCCTTTGCCTGTGAACCAAGGACCGATGCTGCGCACTAGTGTTAGCCCAGCGCTCCGCTGTGCCGCAGACAGGCAGTGGCACTGATTACGGGACGGTTGGTGTTTTTCGACCGCGTCCGCCGGCTCGTTGGATGAAATAGCAATGTCCTCCCTCGGGACCTCCCTGCTCGGGGGTTGGACTTCTCTCTTTTCAACTTCATTCACTTACCATCGGGTTGGAGACGGTGCGCCGACAGACGAGATGGAGCTCAAGGAAAGCGTGCAGTCCTCTGTGGACTCCCCCGCCGTGTCCCTCGGATCGCAAGACCATACCGGACGCCTCTACAATGACCAGGAGGACATGCTGCGCCTGGGCAAGAAACAGGAGGTCCCACGAAACTTCAAATTCTTTGCAACGCTGGGCTTCGTTGCCGTCTTCGTCAGCAGCTGGGAATTCGTCCTTGTTTCAACCTGGGGCGGGCTACTCAACGGAGGGTTTGGCGGCTTGATCTGGGAGTACCTATGGACCTTCTGTCTCTACTCTACCGTCGTCGTCTCGCTGGCCGAGATGTCCTCAATGGCTCCAACCGCCGGCGGCCAGTACCACTGGGTCTCGGAATTTGCGCCGCCCTGGTGTCAGAAGTTTCTCAGTTACATGGCCGGCTGGACCAGTATCGTCGCTTGGCAGCCGGCTCTCGCAGGCGGACTATATCCCATCATTGTGATATTGGAGACCATGATTGTCTACTGGAACGAAGACTTCGCATTCACTCGGTGGCAGCAGTCGCTGTTGATGATCGCATTCGGTTTTCTGACTATACCGTTCAACACCTTCTGGAGGCGCTTCCTGCCTATGTTTGAAATCATTGTTTTGGTACTTCACTTCGCTGGATTCTTCGCCACAATTTTACCTCTCTGGATCCTAGCGCCAAAGAACTCGGCAAGCGAGGTGTTCACGGAGGTTGTAAACAGCGGAGGATGGAGCAATACTGGCCTCTCGCTACTCATTGGTCAAGTTACTGTACTGTATTGCATGGCTGGCTTTGATTCTGCGGTCCATTTGGGTAAGCCCCATATACTCGCATTTTCGCACCAGAATCGTGCCTCAAGTTGCATCGAAGTCCCGGCTAACATGCGCCCACAGCCGAAGAAGTTGAAGACGCAGCTAGGAACGTCCCGCGCTCGATGGTGTGGGCGTTCCTCCTGAACGGCTGCATGGGCTTCGTGATGCTCATCACCTACTGCTTTTGCATTGGCAGCCTTGACAGCGCTCTCGAAGCCGACGAGCCCTTTGTCAACACCTTTCTCAACGTCGGCTCTCCGGGCGGCGCAACGGGCCTCACCCTCATCCTCTTCGTGCTCTTGATCTGCGGCAACAACACGTGCACGACGACCGAATCACGTCAGCTGTGGGCTTTCAGCCGCGACCACGGCCTTCCCGGCTCGGCCTGGCTCTCGAAGATCCACCCGACGTGGGGCGTTCCCGTCAACTGCATCATGGTAACCATCGCCATCAACATCGTACTGTGCCTCATCAACCTCGGCTCAGACGTGGCGTTCAACATCATCATCAGCATACAGATGGTGGGCTTCCTAGCCACCTACATCATCTCTATCGGATGCCTGCTCGGCAAGCGCCTGAGAGGAGAGCCACTGCCACCAGCACGCTGGAGCCTTGGTCGCTGGGGACTGCCAATCAACGCCATCGCGCTGTGCTATTCCTGCTTCTTCATCATCTTCTGCTTCTTCCCGCTCGAGACCCCGGTTACGGCGGACAACATGAACTACGCCATCGCGATTTTCGCCGTCGTCATTGCTGTCTCGCTTGGATTTTGGTTCGTACAGGGAAGGAAGACTTATACCGCGCCGGTGGTGTTCACGGCAGGGCATAGGACGGGGGACATGCCATTGCAGTCTATTGCGATGTTACGGAAGCGTTGACATGTACATACGCTTTCTGTATGCGTCGTGGCGGTAGAGGCCGCTTGGAATCTACTTTTTCCTCCGTTTTTCTAGCAGTGCCCCTGAAGTATCTTACACATGGTAGAATTCTCATGCTCCGATTCTGATACGACGGAGCAGAACCGCCTGAAGTTTTTGCGCCATCAATTTTGATAACTTGGCGCTCCGTCAAACAAATACCCAAGGACCATCGCGCCTTCAAAACAGGTTTGACCCACGCTCCATCAGCATTTTAGTGTCGCCGCTCTGCACCTTCCTGCTTGAGAAAAAAGCATCCTATTTGACGCACCAGTATCCGCAGATACCAACATTCCTCCGCTCCGCGAATAGCAGCAGCCTACGGAAGCACACCAACGCCTGGTTCGTATCTCCATTCGCGGTGTTCAATCTTGACCCCCATTTCCTTCCCTACCTCTCCACACCACCCCCATGATCCCCGCTTACAGCTTACTCCACTCCCTCCCCGCAGCCTCCATAGCCCCCTCCCCATCCACCAACACGCACCACCCTTCCCCTCCCCTCCCGCCCCTCCCACCAATCGCCGCCTTGAACTCCCGCTGCGCGTACTCAAGGCCCTCGCGGTCGAAGCTGCCAGGCTGGAGCCACACGGCCGGCACGCCTGCTTCCTTGGCCTGCTTCAGCACTTCGCGCGTGGCGGCGGGCGGCGTGATGATGCTGAGAGAGGTCTGCACGGGCTGGTCGAGGGCGGCGGGCGAGGGGAGGGTGGCGTGGGTGGCGCGGAGGCAGTTGACGGTCGGGGCGCGGGGGTTTATGGGCTGGACGGGGAGGGAGTGATTGAGGTACCATGCGAAGACTACAGATATAAGATTAGTGCTGCTGGGGAGCAGAGGTGGGATGGGAGGCTGGGGATGGAGGGGATATACCTTTGTGGCCGTATTTGGAGGGGTCGGAGCTTGCGCCTACGACGGCGAAGCGGGGGGAGGAGAAGAAGGTCTTGAAGGCTGCCTCCATGCTACGGTTCAGGTAGTCATTGTCTGATGTCGCCGTTCAAAGGATGTGGTGATATGTTCTGAGCTGTGGATGGCTGCAGCTGCCATTCCGAAGTTCGGCGTGGATGACAGGGATTGTCTGACGCCATTCCTCGACCCCCCGCAAACTGACTCTTTGCTTGTTACTCTGTACCTGCAGCGTCGAGGTATCTTGTACACTCACCACCACTAGAACCACCACAACCACTACAACACTCCCTGCAATATCGCTATCCTCCATCCCCGACCCTAGATCACCTCTCTACTCTGCGACGGACCTGCTATCCATTGACGCCACCGCTCTCTTCGTAACCCGCCCTGGCCATCCGCTCCATCACCGACAAACCGCTCGCCTTCACCGCCATGTCCGGCTCCTCGAAGCTCACCGGCCTTGGAAAGGCATTCCAGAGTTTAGACCTAGATGGCCACGACCTACCACCGTCACCGGCGCCCTCGACCCCCCGCAATGGCAGGAAATATGCATTGGCCACCGAGCTGGTATACACCGAGGGCAACGACCAGTACAACGCGAGCAGTGTCCCTATCTACCAGGTGAGTTACGTTCGAGGCGGTATTTGGGCGATTGATGCATCCCTTCAGGCCTCATTACATCAGCTAACACTGTATCAACCGCAGTCCGCCACGTTCAAACAAACCTCCGCGACCGGCGGCGGCGGTGAATACGACTACACGCGCTCCGGCAACCCAACCCGCACACACCTAGAGCGACACCTCGCCAAGATCATGAACGCCTCACGCGCGCTCGTCGTCTCCTCCGGCATGGGCGCGCTGGACGTCATAACGCGGCTGCTACGGCCCGGCGACGAAGTCGTAACAGGCGACGACCTGTACGGTGGGACAAACCGGCTACTCAAGTACCTCGCGACAAACGGCGGCATCATCGTCCACCACGTCGACACGACCAACCCCGAAAAGGTGCGAGAAGTCGTGAACGCCAAGACCTCGATGGTCCTACTTGAGACGCCCACGAACCCGCTCATCAAAATCGTCGACATCCCTACCATAGCGAGTATAACACACACAGCGGCGCCCTCCGCGATTGTAGCCGTCGACAACACCATGCTCTCGCCCCTGCTCCAGAACCCGCTCGACCTGGGCGCCGACATCGTCTACGAATCAGGCACCAAGTACCTCTCCGGGCACCACGACCTCATGGCCGGCGTGCTGGCCGTCAACGACTCCGCCCTAGGCGAGAAGCTCTACTTCAGCATCAACGCCTCCGGCTGCGGCCTCTCGCCCTTCGACTCCTGGCTGCTGCTGCGCGGGATCAAGACGCTGGGCGTGCGCATGGAGAAGCAGCAAGCGAACGCGCAGCGCATTGCCGAGTTTCTCGAGGAGCACGGCTTCAAGGTGCGCTACCCCGGGCTGAAGAGCCATCCGCAGTACGACTTGCACTGGTCCATGGCGCGGGGCGCGGGGGCCGTGCTGTCGTTCGAGACGGGGGATGTGAATGTCAGCGAGCGGATTGTAGAGAGTGCGCGGTTGTTTGCGATTAGTGTCAGTTTTGGATGCGTCAATAGTCTGATCAGCATGCCGTGTCGCATGAGCCATGCGAGCATTGATGCCAAGACGCGGAAGGAGAGGAATATGCCCGAGGATATTATTAGGTTGTGTATTGGGATTGAGGATGTGGATGATTTGATTGATGACTTGAGCAGAGCGGTGAGTTTGTTCGTTCATATGTTCTTTGGGCCAACGCTGATCTTGACCGGTGCAGTTGGTCCAAGCGGGCGCGGTAAACGTTACGATTGACGGCTTTCACGCGAGAGGCAACGGGCACACTCTGGGCGAGGCAGATGACTCGGCGCAGGAAGCTACTGCCTCCTCGTCCTCGTCAACCATGTAATCTCGCTTTCCGTAGTAAACATACGGCACGTACTCGGGTGGTCTATGTCTTGAAGTTCAGTCGTTGGAGCGGGTTAGGGCATTTCCGGCGTTGTGGTTTTGTTTTGGCATCACTAACCCGAGTATGAAAAGCAATGAACTCGGGAAGCGACTTCATCTCTCCGAGAAATGACAGCAGTTTTCTGGGGCTTTCTCGCCGGGGGGGATATCCATCTTAGGGGTAGGGGTAGTGAACAAATCTAGCAGTTGTTGGGTAGCACCTCAATATCCTGTTTCTGGTCGATACGCTGCTCCTTACTTGCTCCGGGGCCGCTGTTGCTTTGGTGAACCTCCATTACACAAGCAACGGTGACAGATAAAACCAGTCTTCTACCACGCTGAAAACGGCAGAATGGCATATCTAGCGGTCAGAATGCTACGACTCTTGAGGCCGCGCGCAAAATATCTCTATTAGCCCAATGGCTGCACGCCTAGAGTCCCATACACACTGCTCCGGAAAGCCTCCGCATCCAAGCCTCGCCCAATCAGAACGATCTTGCCCTCTGGACGCGGCAGCCCAGTACCACTCGGCGCATCTCCACCCTTCGAAGCGTCTTTCTCATCAAGCATCTCGAAGACCTCGCGGACACCCTGCAGGAGCTTCACGGAGCCATCACTCAGCTGTATCCGGCCTTTCAGCCGATGCATCTCGAAGGATGCTCTGCTCGTGCTTGGGGCTGGGCACACGGCCGCCAGATGCGGCGCCAGAAGGGCAGAGTCCCAGAGCAGGGAGCGGAGCCACTCGTCCAACACCGGGAGCTGAGCGGGTGACAGGATGGGGACGGGGATGCTGAGGGTTGAGATCGTCTAAGTGGTTTCGGTCAGCGATTCGCTGGGAGAAGGGTATCAGATGACTTACCGGATCAAGGTGGCTGTGCCCTTTCGCCGCAAAGTCCAGCTCCGCAGCGCCGACCGAGTCGTACGCGTGCAGATCCAGCAGCACGCCCTCCAGCTGCGGTACCTGGCTGTGATGCGTCACATGGACCTTTGCCAGAGCATTGATCGACTGTATGCGTTCCTTAACAGCCTCAAGCTCCACAGAAGTGACAAGATCGCTCTTATTGATCACCACAACATCCGCATGCGAGATCTGCAGATGCGCTGTCGTGAGCTCCGGGCCCCCGTGAGCGTCTACGTGCGGCTCAAGCGGCTGCGCAGGCGTCTCGTCCAGGCTTCGAAGGATGTTCTTTGCGTCAACGAGCGTGACGATGCCGTCGAGATAGATGGTGCTTCCGAGTCCTTCATCTACCCAGAAAAGGGGCGCGATGTTGCCTGGATCAGCTAGGCCGGTGGTCTCGAGGAGGATGTAGTCGAAGGCGCCGCGGCGTTCCATGAGGGCCTCGATGGCGTTGACGCCGGAGTCTCTGCTGGAGTTGTCAATCTGAGGCTCGGTGAACAAGGTTGGGAGCGCGGACTTTACTGAGCAGCAGATGCAGCCGTTGGCTAGTTCGAGCCATTCTTCGACTTGTTGGCCGTCTTTGCTGACGGTTAAGCTCTTCTCAATGTCCGCGGCTGGGACGGAAGCGTGCTTAGTAGACGCAGGCGTTCCGTTAGTATAGGGAGAACTCACAGTCACCAAACTCTGCGAGAAGCTGTCAGCTGCGTGGTCAGCGTGGAAAGGGGACAGAGAGTATACAAGCCATTCAGGATGACGGCGATTTTCTTCCCGTGCCGTTCATTGAGGATGTAATTCAGCAACGTAGTCTTTCCTGCACCGAGGTAACCTGCCAGGATCTGGTTAGAGTTATAGCCCTGTGAAAGCAGTCGCGCATACAAATCGCATTCAGTCACTCTATACAAATTTGACAACGAAGTTTACCAAGAGTAACTCTGACTTATAGGTTCAGTAAACAGGTATTAGATTGCTAAAATTCTGACGAGTCCGAGAGGAGAGAAACGCGCGACACAGGAGATGCACAGCGGATCTGTGCCTATATTGTGTGATTAAAAGCTTTATCTTGTGGCTAAACATGAGAAACTAGCTTTCGATGAGGCAACCTACCAGTGACTATCGTTATTGGAACCTTAGTAACGTTGAGCTCTTCTAGCTCAGTTACAACAGTGAAAGACGCATCAGGAGCATCATCCGTCACCAGCAATGGCGGCGCTTCTTCGTCATCAATCTCCATATTCATTGCGAAAAATCGTTCCAGGCACAAGGGGGATGTCCCAGCAAGGGATTTACGTATATGAATATATGGGCGGAATTTGCCGTCTCCCGAGCAATGCCGCAAGCTCCTTGCTCCAACTTTACATCTTGACCCTAAAACAGACTTGAATCCCACTTTCCGTAGCTTGCATTAGGCGCAGTCATTACCGCAACTCTACGCCAACCTACATCCGAGGCTTAAGAAATCAATCACAGCTTGTCACGCCTTCATCCAACATCCACAATGCCCCGACCACCCCTCCGTCTCTCCTCCCGCCTACGGCTCCAACCTACAGCACGCCAGCCATGCCTCCGATGCCTCTACTCAGCGCCCGCAACCCCACCGCCTGCATCGCCCGTCCTAGCCAAACTCCGCATTGACCTGAAGAATGCCATGAAAGCCAAAGATACCGCGCGGCTCGCGGTGCTCCGCGCCGTCCTCGCCGAAATCACCAACTCGTCCAAGACCTCCTCGCCCATAACAACCGACCTGCAACTCCTCTCCCTCCTCAAGAAGCGGACCTCAGGCGCCAAGGCCGCGGAGCAGGAGTTCCGGGCAGCGGGCAGGGGAGATCTGGTGCAGCGGGAGGAGGAGCAGCGGCGGGTGCTGGAGGAGTATGCGGAGGGCCTGGAGGCGGAGACGATGGGGGATGTGGAGGTTAGGGCTGTGGTGGAGCGGACGGTCGGGGAGGTGGAGAAGGGGGGGGCCAAGGTGCAGATGGGGGAGGTGTTGAAGAGGCTGTTTGCGCCGGGGGCGGAGCTGGATGGGAAGATGGTGGAAAAGAAAGAGGTCGTCCGGATTTTGAAGGAGGTGATGGAGAAGAGAGGGAGCGGCGGTGCTTGAGCGATAGTTCCGGGGGCTTGTGAGGCGTATTGTAAGATGGTGTTCTGCACAGTACGTTGTGCGGACTTTGGGGCTCGGCCGTTTGATACCCTGATTCGTACCAGGCTCGGTTGTATATTGTATTGACTTGTAGATCATGGCCATTTGTACGATAGAGAGTATCACGCTTGTAGCTACATATTCGTCCACGTGAAGAGAGGTGTTCCACGGGGAGAGTCTTGAAAGTGGCGCTCCGAGCATTCAGTGCGTCTCACAACGATTGCGCGTGTGCAATGTAGTTCACGCTCTGGCAACGACGGTCGGTTTACATCAACCTTCAATCAAGACGCGAGATGCTCCACTCAGCCTGTATAGAAGCTGAATAGACGTGGATTCTGGATGCTGGCGGCCTTCGATGCCCCATATAAACAAGTGCGCACGCCTTCTAATCATCATTGTATCGCCTCACAGCTGAAGCGTAACTGTGATCCTAATCAAGGCAAACGTTTTGCACGAGCGCAACTACCCAGGGTCTTGTCGTAATTAGTAGCATCAGCTTGGAACGACTCAGGGAACTAGATTTCAACGTTGTTTCCCTGATAGAACCATCTCGTGATAGCCTTTATATTAGATATACGGCATATTACCAACTAGGCCACCGCGTTATACGAACACCCTTCTAAGTTGGGACCTAAGCTGGATATAGCTATGCCACGGTATCTTGCGTTATTATAGAAGGCTTTCCATCGAACACTTAATCTACTCTCACATATCGCCTCTATGAAGACACGGAATAGTTCTATATGCTATCTGCACGCTTATGCGGATAAGTACGTCAATACAGCTTTATCTACTACCGTGTAGTTCGCTTGCTATGCGTCAACTTATACATCAAAAGGCACGCCGAACGCGCCGAACGCCGTGTCTAAGGCAAGAAGCCATAACAGGCTATTCATCTTGGGTTCGGCCCTCTATGCGTTATGCTTTCATATCAGAGGCCAAAAGTGTACTGCGAGCCGCACGCGTACTGCTGGGAGTCGATGAACCATGCTCAATAGTTGAAGCTATGAAATCTTGATACACTTTTTTTTAAGACTGACGTTACTTGCCCTGATGTACGATAAGGATAGCAACTGCCGAGATTTTGTGCTCGCTCGCATAAAGCCAATAGCTCCGAAGATGAAGGAGAGACATAAAACCATGAAGTCCGGCATCAATAAAACACTCTCTCCTTCTGCCCCTGTTTTGACCCACCCAACCCAACAGCTTCCGAGCACTGCTCCACCCTGACAAACTCATAATCCTTAATCTTGACCAGCTCGGCATCTTCCCTGACGGCACATGTGAACACCGTGCTCCATCCCTTGGCGCCGGCGTTCCAGAACGCCTGCGACGCAGCTGCCTCCCGACTGCCCATCTTCATCACCTTGAATATCGTCGTATCCCTCGACAGTTGCACCATCAACGGCGAGCCTCCATACGGGTCGATCTTGTCCTCGAATGTCGATACAATGGAGTAGTACGCTAACTCGTTCTTGGCAGACGTGAGACTCTTGTGCGGCGGCAGGGTCCGGTGAGCACGCATATCGCACTCGCTGGTGTCGGGATCGACATCGCACTCGCCGATCTCGTCCTCGAGACCCGACGTCAATGCCGCGGTCACAACGATGGTGGGGAAGTCGAGTGCAGCCGGGGTGGCGCGATCAGCCGGGACCAGGGATGTGATTTCGCAACCTGCCTCTTCCAGCACACTCGCCCGCTTGAACCAGTGGGCGGTTGGGTAGATGTACCAGCAGTCAAGGTTCGCGTGCTTGAGGAATGGGAGGAACTTCTTGAAGTCCACGACTGTAGCCGGATGGGTGGTGACGTAGACGTTGCGGCCAAAGGGCTCAAGCCTCACGGTGCCGTCCCGGAAGTCGGCTTTGCGGCGGAGGAAAGGCCGGTAGGAGAAGATTTTGTCAATGCGGTCGGAATAGTCTAGATCGGAATCGCTGATCTCGGAGTCACTATCATTCCAGGAAGCTACGCTGCCCATGTCGCTGTCGGAGTAATCCCTGGCTTTACTGCGGCGGTTGCCTCGGACATCGGGGTGTATATGTTCATGGTTCTTGCGGGCTGAATATGTGCTGAAGCGGAACCGGCACTTCGTGCCATCCTTGTCACGGAGACGACATGAGTATTTACCGGACTTGGCGCCAAGCGGGAATGGAGAGGTAACGTTCCCTGGTGCGGGGGGAGGCGGCGGTCCCGCGAAGAACTTAGCGGTCTTCTTGCTCATCTTGGGCCCAGGAGGAGGGACCACTACGGGGTAAGAGAACGGCATGGGCGGAGGTGGAGGTGGAGGACAGCAAGTAACTCTCTGAGGCATCCGATATGAGATACCTGGAGGTGGCGGAGGTGGGACGGGCCCGGGGAAGTCTTTTGGCGGTAGAGGCGAGCAGATCTGCAATCCTGGCGGGGGAATGCTCGGCCAGAAAGGTTCAAATTCTAGAGGCGGAGCTGGCGGAGCCGAATTGTCTTTGCTGTTGTCTGTAGTATCCTCCTCTTCGCGCCTATCTTCCAGAACTCTGCTAGGGAGGGGCGTGCCTTGTGGCAAGCCTATGTGTTCCCCCGGTGGGACGAGCTTCTTTAAAACACGAGGCGAGGCCGCCCCTGGTGGGCAAGGAGTCACCCTCCGCTCGGAAGATGTCTGAGATGGCGGAGGTGGCGGAAGAGCTACTGCTGATGGTTCAGGTATACCGCGTGGGATGTGCTTTAGTGTTGCTGGAGACGACAGGGGCGCCGGCGACCCACGATGCAAAATATCTTGCTCTTGACGAGCCATGAGCCACCGTTTCTTTCCCTGCTGCTCAAGAAGCATAAGCTGCATTTGGTAGTCCATTCGTTGGTCCGTCCCAGGCAGAGAGGTTCGAGTGCCATGGACTCCTCTCTCATACTCGGCCGCCTCGATCACATCAGGCTGAGCACATGAGTAATCCTCGATCACCACCATGTCCTCGGTGTCTGACATGTTGTAGTAATAAGAAAAAAGCAGCAGAATGAGGAAGATGCAAAGCACCAAGATGAGTTTGCTTCTTATAAGGGCACGACGAAAGGCAAGATAACGACTAGGCAGCCAACGGAAACTTGCTCAACGACCACACAGCGAGTAAGACAAGGGCAGAAGTTATGCCTAACAACATCACGGAAGCTTACCTTGAATACATAGTTTGACGGCGATGCATCGCCCCGTCCGTGCAGTAAGCTCGGTACGTGGTCACAAGTCAGCTGAGCAGAGCCTCAGAGAATAAGGCGAACGAGGCAACACAATCTGGCGATCACTGGTTACGCCAATACTCTTCCGGACAACTACTCGGAGTATCATGTTCTACGAGTAGTCGTCGTATCACAACAGGATTGTGTTGGCAATTGCGGGGTGTTTTCGGCTAGATGCAGATGTCGTGGTGCGCCTTGCTGCCTGCGACTAAGTAGGGCACACAATCGACAAGCTCGTCCGCATTCCCTGACGCGACGCATGCTGCATCAGCAAGGCTGACAATGCAAGTAGGAAGGGAGTATGAAGAGACGGACAACAGGATTAGTAGACACTCGCTTCCTGGATCCAGGATCATGTGTCGGTGAAAGCTGATAGTGAAGGTGTTATCCTGGCACTTTAAGCAATTCGTGCAAATTTAGATCGGCCGTTGACGCCGTCGCATTTGCATCGCACAGCATACTGAACTGGACAGAAAGCGAGGCGCACACATTGACTTCGTCACTGCATCTGCCGTACATGACATGTTGCTCGAAAGCCACTTGCGTACCTGTCACGAACCGTCCGTGGACGCGAGCGCTGGCCCGAAAGTTGAGGCCGCTTTCGTTGGTGACGCACCTTTGGACACAGGCGGACGCGGAGGATATTTTCGGGCTGCTTACCGGTGGAGAGCCGCTAGCTGAAGAGCGATCACGGCCTTCGATGTGTAGCTGATAGGGTTGCAGATATAGCACGCTGTCTGGGGTACTAGTAGCCTGCATGCGGCTTCGTTGCCTTCAAACCAAGGAGCGTTCTAAGTCAAGGCTCTAGCTCTCCCAGTGATGCAGGCTTAGCAGTAGTCACGACGGAGAAAGGAGTGGCGAATGAGCAGCGACGACATGAAATTCAGGATCAGAAAGGACAAGTAAGAGGACGCGATCGTTTTGACGTAGAAGCCGAGAACAGCTGAGCATTGAACATTGGATGCTTGAAGCGGTCCAACGAGATACGCTTGTTGCGGCAGAGTATAATGGCGATGTAATGAAGCGTTGATGAAGCTTCTGAACTTATCACCGATATTTCTTCCTGGTCTTCTCGAAAAGAATTCAGTGAGCTGAGTGACGGGCCGTAGTGTGAGTTGACCGAATGGAGAAGGGATACGAGTGTGAAGATTTCCGGCTCTCCAGAGCACGTGACGTCGCGCTTCTGGCGAAAGCCCGGAACTCCGTCGCTGTCAACATTCGCGACAACAACACGGGCGCTGGGAATGTGAAGCGCTGTATTCTCCTCCACCGCCACCATGAGGATTGTCGAAGTAGTCATCGACGTAAGCATTGCCGCCCCTGGAGCCTCTCTGCTTCTGCTCACGATTTTCTAGGGTTTCAAATCGTACGCCGTCCGCACCGTAATATCAGGATGGTTTGTTTGCGCCTGGCAACTGAGCTCCCGAGGACTTAGCTGAGAACCTACCAGGGACGCCACTTTCAACTCCATTACCGGTCTGAACGGTTCTGGCAAGTCCAACATCCTTGACTCGATATGCTTCGTTCTAGGCATTACAAATATGAGCACGGTGCGAGCGCAAAACCTCCAGGACCTGATCTACAAGCGCGGCCAAGCGGGCGTCACCAAAGCCTCCGTCACGATTGTGTTCGACAACAGCGATAAGAAGACCTCGCCTATAGGCTTTGAGGAGTATGCGCAGATCTCTGTAACGCGACAAATCGTTCTGGGAGGCACTTCAAAATACCTGATCAACGGGCACCGGGCGCAGCAGCAAACTGTCCAGAACCTTTTCCAGTCTGTTCAACTGAACATCAACAATCCGAACTTCCTGATCATGCAGGGCCGCATTACAAAGGTCTTGAACATGAAGGCTGTGGAGATACTGGCAATGATTGAGGAAGCGGCGGGCACCAGGATGTTCGAGGATAGGCGGGACAAGGCGTTCAAGACCATGGCAAAGAAAGAGATGAAAGTCCAGGAGATCACCGAGCTGCTGCGCGACGAGATCGATCCGAAACTCGAGAAGCTCAGGAATGAGAAGAGGGCGTTTCTGGATTTCCAACAGACACAGAGTGACCTGGAGCGGCTGACCAGGCTGGTGGTCGCTCATGACTACGTCAAAGGGAAGGAGAAGCTGAGGTTAAGCGCAGATGATTTGGAGCGCAAGAAACAGCGTGCACTGGAGCTTGAGGAGTCGGCGGTTAGGCTGAAGAACGAGATCGGGTTCTTGCAGGAGGATGTGAAGAAGGTTAAGGCTGCGCGGGACAAGGAGCTTCGGAAAGGGGGCAAGTTCCAGGCCCTGGAGGACGAGGTCAAGACACAATCCCACGAGATCGTGCGGTTAGCTACTATCATCGATCTTAAGAAGACGAGCACAACAGAAGAGGTGGACAAACGCGCGAAGCTTGAGAAGAGCGCCGAGGAGCTTCAAAAGCAACTGAAGGAAAAGGCGAAGCTCTACGACAAGTTACAACAGCGCTACGAAGCTGCTCATACCGAACTTGCAGCACAAACCGCCGAGGTCGACAAGCAGGAGGAGCTCCTGCAGACTCTTCTCACTGGTGTAGCTTCTAAGGAAGGCCAGGAGAGCGGATACCAGGGCCAACTGCAAGATGCCAAGAACCGGGCGAGTGCTGCCTCTACAGAGCAGGAGCAGGCCAAGCTCAAAATCGCGCACCTTGAGAAGCGCATAAAAGAGGAGGAACCGCGAGCGAAGAAGGCGAAAGAGCAGAACTCTGGCCTACTAAAAGATCTCGAGAGCCTACGGACGCAGGCAAAGAAACTGGAGGCCGACCTTAGCAAACTCGGCTTCGAGCCTGGCAAGGAGGAGGCGATGTACCAAGAAGAGACGCGGCTACAGCAGCGCATACGGGAGTTGCGAGAACAGGCTGATGCAATGAAGCGGAAAGTTGCCAACGTTGATTTCAGTTACAGTGATCCGACGCCAGGCTTCGACAGATCAAGAGTGAAGGGCCTGGTAGCTCAGCTGTTTACCCTGGAGAAAGAGCACACGCGAGCGGGAACCGCACTGGAGATTTGTGCTGGTGGACGACTCTACAACGTTGTGGTTGACTCTGCGGAAACTGGCACCCAGCTACTGCAAAACGGCAAACTTCGGAAACGGGTCACGATTATCCCACTGAACAAGATTGCGGCCTTTAGAGCCTCTGCTGAGGTATGTGTTGCACTAATCAAAGGGATATTTGCAAACCTCCTAACATCCTTATAGAAAATTGGTGCGGCACAGAAAATTGCCCCTGGAAAGGTCGATCTAGCACTTTCGCTCATCGGCTACGATGACGAGGTGACTGCTGCTATGGACTACGTCTTCGGCTCGACCCTGGTCTGTGAAGATGCTGCAACTGCCAAGCGGGTGACATTTGACCCTGCAGTCCGGATGAAGAGTGTCACCTTGGAAGGGGATGTGTACGACCCCTCCGGTACATTATCCGGAGGTAGCTCGCCCGAGTCGAGCGGTGTGCTTGTGACTCTACAGAAGCTGAACGAGCTCACAAAAGAGTTAGCTGCACAAGAGAAAGCACTCAGCGATTTGCAAGCCACTATGTCTCGAGAGAAGAAGCGATTGGACGCTGCAAAGAAGACGAAGCAGGAGCTGGACCTCAAGTCGCATGAGATCAAGTTGACCGAGGAACAAATTAGCGGCAATTCTTCCTCTTCAATCATTGAGGCTGTAGAGGAGATGAGAGCCAACATCGCTCAACTCAAAGAGGACGTTAAAACCGCAAAGACTCGACAAGACGAGGCATCTAAGGACGTCAAGCGGATAGAGCGCGATATGTCCGAGTTCAGCAGCAATAAGGATGGCAAGCTCGCAGAGTTACAAACGTCGCTGGAAAAACTGAAAAGGACTTTGAGCAAAAACTCCGCCTCAATCAAGCCGCTACAACAGGACATGCGAGATGCTATGCTTGAGTCTGAGCAGTGCGGTGCAGATCTGGCCGCAGCAAAGGAGCAGCTACAGGATGCCGACACAACGCTGAAGGCCCAGCAGGAGGAGATCGACTCTCTGATGGCAGAACAGACCCGCGTCAAGGATGCTCATGACTTCGCTCAGGCACATTTACACGACGAACAGGCCAAACTCACAGGATTTGACGATGAACTCTCCGCCCTCGACGAAGCCATTCGATCGAAGAACGCCCTTACCACGGAGGAGGGTCTCGAGATGCAGAAGCTAGGTCATCATATTGAGAAGTTTCACAAGGAACAGCAAGCTGCTGAGCAGACGCTGTCACATCTCGAGAAGGAGCATGACTGGATAGCCGACGAGAGAGAGAGCTTCGGGCGCCCGGGTACGCCCTACGACTTCAAAGGGCAGAACATGGCGGAGTGCAAGGCTACGCTCAAAAACGTCTCCGAACGCTTCCAGGGCATGAAGAAGAAGATCAACCCCAAAGTCATGAACATGATTGACAGTGTGGAGAAAAAGGAGGTCTCGCTGAAAAACATGATGAGGACCGTCATCCGAGACAAGCGCAAGATCGAGGAGACCATCCAGTCGCTGGATGAGTACAAGAAGGAAGCGCTGCAGAAGACGTGGGAAAAAGTTAATGGAGACTTTGGTCAGATCTTCAATGAGCTGCTACCTGGCAGTTTTGCGAAGCTGGATCCGCCTGAGGGCAAGACGATATCGGACGGCCTGGAAGTCAAGGTCTGTCTCGGAAAGGTGTGGAAGCAGAGCTTGACGGAGTTGAGCGGTGGACAACGGTGAGTTTCTCATTCTCTCGCCACTTGGTGCTTCTTGCCGGGGCCTATACTGACAATATGTGCTTAGGTCACTGATCGCGCTCTCTCTCATCATGGCTCTGCTCCAGTTCAAGCCTGCACCCATGTACATCCTGGACGAAGTTGATGCGGCGCTCGATCTGTCACATACACAGAATATCGGCCGGCTCATCAAGACGAGATTCAAGGGCTCTCAGTTCATCGTCGTCAGTCTGAAAGATGGCATGTTCCAGAATGCCAACAGAATCTTCCGGACCAGGTTCAGTGACGGGACCAGCATTGTACAGGCGCTTACTCCAGCGGATCTGAAGTAAAACGAACAGTGGACGGGTATGGATTGGATTCTTCCGTCTTCATCTTTGAGATATGGGCGTTTGGTGGCAGCGTCATGAAGCTGGTATGGAAGGTCTAACCATGATGGCGTTTGGTTTGCGGTCAAAGGGAAATAGTATGGAGGACTGTAAAGATACCTTGGGTTGCCAGAGTATGAAATGAGTATGATATAAGTAGATCACGTTTGATCCTGTTTGACACCTGAGGCCGCATTTTTGCATGTGACTAGCCTGCGCCTCCAGCCGAAAGTGGCCGCTGTCATTGTCCGGCGCAGGCACCGGAAAACCGCATCTTTCGCAACTTTATCTACACCATCCTCAATCTACCGCCACTACCTCGCGCCCTTCACAAGTACATATTCTATCGCCTCCACTGTTCATAGCGACCCGGAATCCCACCCTATCCTTTCCGCCTTCCCACCCAGCAATCCCCACCATCAACTCTCAACCACCCGCTCACCCCCACATCCCACCGATGTCCGACCAAGGCTCAATCAACATACCGCAAATCTTCGTGATCCTCCTCGTCGGCTTCCTCCTCTACCGCTGGTTCTTCACCTCCTCCGACCCCGCTGGCATCAGACAAAGCAGGCAGAATGGCGCACGACTCAACCCGGCGCAAGTGGAGCAGCTATTGCAGATGTTCCCGCAGTTAGACCGGCGGCAGCTCATGTGGGACCTACAGCGGAACGGGGGAAGTGTGGCGGCGACTACAGAGAGGGTTCTGGGGGGACGTGGGCTTGAGGTGGTGAGTTGGGCTTTCTTCGGGCAGTACCGGGGAAGAGGCTTGGATGGGGATACGGTGGGGAACGATATGCTAGACTGGACAGGCTGACGAGACGGTGTTTCTAGCCGCCGCCTTCTTTCCAACCACAGCTACCGCCCCTATCGTCTACATCCACAGGCGCGCGCCCTGGCGCTGCGGCCGTCAAGCCGAAGCCCTCGCATCCGGATCTGATCACGCGATACAACCTCTCCTCAAAGGTCGGGTCATCTGCCTCTATAGAGCCTTCGCCAGTAGATGCGGGCGCAGGCGCAAGCGCAGGCACAAACTCGGGCAAGAAGCCCGCGTGGTCACAGAACAAGAACGAGAGGCAACAACTGCTGCAGCGGCGGAGAGAGGAGATGATATTGGCCGCACGAAGGAAGATGGAGGAGAGGGATAGGGCTGGAGCAGGGGGGACGGCTTGAGCGGGGCGTTCACAAGGGCTGCGGGCGTTCGAGGACGTGTCTATAGTTTGGGTAGAGAAGAATAAATGCAACAACATACTCTCTTTGTTCATACAGCCGCTTTTGTTCTGGAGAGTCTACACCGTGTATTTCTGCGGATTATGCAGTCTCTGTCACGGCCCGAACCGAGCTATCCAAGCCTAAGCTGAACGCATGATACCAGTACTTCAGGCCCCAGAGTCTCCGGTTCTCCAGATATCCACTTGCGCAAAACCTGTCCCAAGGCTTCCATAATCCCAATGTACGAGGCTACACAAGGCAAGGTAGTCGGAATAGGAATGAGCCAGCCGCAACGGATTTCCGCCAGACTGCGACAATAGTACGCCGCGCGGCTTCTTCATCCGTCCGCGCGATGCGTGCGTGTGTGGTTGGACGAAAAAGCGGTGGAGCCGATGCCTATACTGATAGAGCCGCCTATGCGGACAGTAAGCAAGGATCAGGTTGCGGGTGGTTTGTTAGTAGGGCGCTGTAGCGTGTGAGAAGCTGGTAGATCAGGCGTGTGTTGTAGGACACGACAGTTAACGCGTGAAGTGGATGCCGTCTGTTGCGTTTTATGTGGCGCTCTGGACCACGTAGAATGCTCTGATTGTGCTGGACGCGGGATCAGAATGTTGCGACCGCGCCTCAGTTACCACAGCGGATCTTCGTTCTTGAGCGAGTCTTCTGGGGATTTTGTTGTGGTGGCGGGCTTGCTTGTCGATGGGCGGCGGCCGATGGTAGTAGTCGCGTGCTCCAGACGCTGGCGGAGTGATGCGTATGAGAGAGTGGAGGATGCTCCTACGTCTCTGTGCTTGTGTAGGCACACGCTAGATCTGTCGAAGGCGCAATACGGCGATATGGGATGAGTGAATCGCTTGAGGAAGTGTCGTCTAGGAGACGGTCAGCCGATTGATCTGGCCTGGTGGACAGCGAAAAGGTAGAGATCTAAGGATACGAGACCATTGAACGCATCGAGAACATCCACTTGGTCGACCCTTCCTACCACTTTGAGAGAATCTGGAAGCGCAGTTCAGAATCCAGCTAGGCCATAGCTTATTAGAAGCCGGCCTGGCTGGTCCAGACAATGGCGAAAATTGTCAGTCAAGTTTGCGGTGATGGAGGAAGTCGAATTGAGATGAAGGTTTGATTAGATACCATGCTCTCCGTATGAGGGCCGCAACAAGCTATATACAGAACCAGACAACCTCTTTCCATGAGCAATTCTTGACCCGTAACTATCTCGAGCCGAGCAGTGACATACGACTAATATGTCGTGGTGATCAGACCCGCGAGACGGAAAGCAGACGCCGTGTCGCTCGAGCTGGCAACAGAATGGATATAGAGAGATAGATGATTAAACGGCACTTTCGCGCTCCTTGGCCTTCTGGCTTGCACCCTTGATCATGGTTGAGAGATCACCAACTGTGTCCGTGTCAGCCTTCCTTTTCAAGCGGTTTCAACAAAGGGTCAAACTCACCTGGAATCTGGAAGGGGAAGTCCAGAGCAGCCAACATGATGGCAAAGAAGATGTACCAGCCGCACGCACACGTTATAAAGCAGAAAGCGCCCGCAGTGATGATCAAGGTCCCTGCAAGAGACGCATTGCCCAGAGACAAGTTCCAGTACGCACCCGTCAAGCAGCCGAAAGCGACAACGAGGGTGAGGAAAATGATGACGAAGACGACGTTGGTTCGCATGGCAAGGATCAGATAGATAAAGCAGAGGATGCCCATGCTGAGGGTGAAGAAACCGAAGCTGGAATTGAAGCCCACGGTTGCGAGTCCTTCAGCCGGGGCCTCGGGATTTAGTGAATAGGCCGCATATGCTCCGTAGAATGGTTGAAGCGTTCCGGCGAAACCGAGCCAGAAAGCGCCGAAGCTGGTGAAGACGACGAAGGGGAAGGTGTTGCCGATTACCCACTGCTCCGCGTCAATAATTTTGCTGCGAAAACTATGGCGGATGAGATAGGCATACCTCTCCAACACCACCGAGGATCATCAGCAGGCCGCCGAAGAAGAAGTACGTGGCAGTTCCAGCAGCGCCATTGCCACCGGCGCCTCGGAGACCCATAAGATCACAGCTGAGGGGAGACAGAGAGATCAAGAAACCAACGAGAGCACTAAACGCGTTAGTCAGCCTTACACTCCCCTTACGGCGCTCGAGATGGCACTCACAGAGGGGTAGGATTGGCGAAAGTCTTGCGTAGATCGCCCTTGACCTGGTTCTGCGGGGAAAGATAGATCTTCTCGAAAAGCTCGGGAGAGATGGAGATGCTGCCTGCAGTCCTTATCCTCTTGAGAGCCGTGTCCGAGTCCATGTGGTCCCCGAGATGATACGGATTTCCTGATAGAGTAACGTCGTCAGCTGCCGAGAACTGGCGGACTTTGATGGGAGTAAGCACGCGTTACGCTGAGCTCATGGTGGTGGCAGTACCATTTTGGTTGCTGAAGTCCTTCTCCATTGGATCACCTGGCGTCATGTTTGTGTTGTTTTGCGTTGCCTGGTAGTTGTGTTCTGTAGCCATTATTGCCGGGAGGGAGCCGAGCTCGCGTTGAACTTTGATAGGCAATACAGTTGATACACAGCTAGTTGCTCAGGGGTGATGGGTATACTTGGGGGACAGGCAGGCGAATGGATGCAGGAGATGTCAGGAAGCTTGATGGAGCGCAGCACGAGCAAGAGACAGCGACACGCGGACTAGGGACGATACAAATATCAAGGGGCAGAGACCCTCGCCGGCTCCGCACGGGGGAGCGCATCGCGCCTAGGGATCCTTAAACGTACATAGGTCTAACGTGCGGCACTTGCACATCCCACAGGCATCATGGACCAAAGGGTACCACTATTGGCAGCGGTGCCCTTACTGGATACCGTAAGGCCGTGGACAGACAGCAAACCATACGGGGCCTTCCCCAGTGGAGGCGCTCGGCTGCATACCCCAGATCCACAACGCGCTCTGGTTCCAAGCTTCCCCGCGAAGCAGTTGAGCTTCAGTTTTCTGGGCGTTGGTTGTTGGTCAACCTAGAGGCTGGAATGCGATCCATGCGGTGACTTCTCGCGTGTTCACGGGTTGCGGAGGTTTGACATTGCGACCACACACCAGAGCGGCCATGGCTTTTGATCGCTGACAGCTGAGTGGATGGAGGCTTTGGTCGATGGTTAATCTGGGAATAAGAGGTGACGCTATCGGGATACAGTTAGGCCCGGGTTGACGGAGATGCAGGACTGGGTTGGCGGAGATGGTGAGGAGGCTGGTTTGATGTGCCATCTGACTGGTTCGCTTCGGCGGCAAGGGAGATCTGCATCTGGTTTTGCGGGGAAGCTGCATGTGGAGGACGCCGGCAGACGCAAACGTGATCCACAAATACCCAGCCCTCTGCCTCTGGAGTGCCTGCGAACAACTGTCTTGACAAAATACAAGACCGAACGCGCCGGGAGATTCTTCTTCACAGCGGAGCTGTCTACGGGGCACCGCATCGACGCTGCTGCCGTGATCCACCAGCGTACCCGTACAGTGGCCCGCTGAGTCGTAATGCCGAAGCGTGTTTCCAAGTTGTCTCAGCGATCGACAAGCCACTTTCGGTCCAAGGGGCATCGAGCTGTATGGTTGGCTGACGCTACGGCTTGATCGTGAGCTGCGAGGAGATGAGGGCGCAAGCCATGGCGGGCACAGACAGGCACGCATCCGATGGAAGGCCCATCGGCGGTCGGCAGCCGCACCCGCATCTTGTTGCTATCCGCGACCCTTGACCTGCCATATGCCACCACGTCTTCTAGACTCTACGTAGCAGAGTGCAGACCCGCCTGGACTTCGTGTTTCATCTAAGCATCGCCATGTTCTTGTTTGCCTGGAACCTTGGCCAGAGTTGTACAAGAGCCAGCACTTCCTGATCAGTTTGTGTTCAGAGACACGAGAGCAAACATCGGATCAGCAAAATAGACCGGCATCCGAAATGCCAAGGCAGTCAAGCTTCGGTGTCTCTCGGGCTGTCGGCGCTGGCTGGACCCACAGATTGACTTTGGCGCCTTGGGATTTCCGGTGCCTTGGAGCCTCAACCTTCCTGGACATGGCTGCCACGTCTCGTGAAATCCTTACACAGACTCCACCGCGTGCCACGTTACTGCCGGGGTGGATTTGTGTTGATTCTTCAGTGTCAATGGTGTTCCGCTAATATCTCGAGAAGCCTTGAGGCCTCTGCTCGTAGGTATCATTCTTATAAGCCGGTCGTAGGTGCAGTAGCCTCAAACCAGAGCAGGTGGTAGAGGGAAATCCTCTTTTTTCGGGGTTGGTTTCGTATTGAATCCCAGCAGATGAATGGCCGTCTTGTATATAGAGCCTCTGCCCCGTCGCTGGATCCACTGTTATGAATAAGAAGCAGCACGATTTCACCTGGCGTATGGCCCGGACTCGTACCTCGAGAGGCGGTGCGTAGAGACTTTTCCATTTCCTAGTCCGGCCATAGCAGTCTTCCATTGGACGTCTTAGCCGGAGCATGGCTGCGATCGCTGCCACGAAGCGGCCGCCACAGGAGCGGCGAATTTTCACAGCGAGAGTACAAATCGTAATGACCGTGAGGGCCGCCAGCGCAACGGCGGGTGTCGAACGGAACGCTGAAGTCGACTAGAGGTATTGGCAGCACACTGACGCAGGTTGAGAAGAAACCGAGGGAGAAGACTGCGGTGTCCTCATTGTGTATAATAGAGCGGGCTAACAAACGTACTCACGCAGCCCATACCGCCCCTTAGCATAAGTGAGTGGGTTTAAAAGAACGCGAATACTGCTGCAATAGACTCTGCCTGCTGTTCTCCCGCATTCGTAGTCGTACCACGGGGCCCATACTGACGACAAAAGTCAAAAGCACAAAAGCCTCGGCAAAGTCTCGTAGGACCGGAATTCTAATCGCGAGATCGTGAGGTTTTCGGCTGCATGAAGTAGCTTAAAAGGATATGGGAAACGTCACAAAAGTGTCTGCCTGCCTGTCTTGCCCGACCTTTTACAGGTTCATATTTTCAGCATGGCCGCTTCGAGGTTTCTTTGGACGCTTCTTCGTCCTTCAAGATCTTCATAGAGAACAAGCATATTGCGTACATTTTCGTACAAACCACCCCGGCCAAATGTACCAGCACCACCAAGCGATAGGACTACTTCCCTTGTACATTGTCAATCTCCTTTTCCACCACAACCGCCCTACTTCTCTACAGCTTTCCCTTCTCTTGCCCCAAAAGCTCCGCCCCCGCGCCCGCAATACACAGCTTCCCGGTCTCCACGACCTTCGTCTGGAAAATAACTTTCCCGCCCTCCTTCCACATCTCCGTCCTGAGCGTCTGTCCCGGCAACACCGTCCCGGCAAACCGGACCTTGATGTTCTTGAACGGCCCGTACGTCTGAATGACATGCTTTCCACTGAACCCAAAGAAGCACAGCCCGTGCAGGATGGGCGTCTCGAAGCCCCCAACCTTGCTGAACTCCGGGTCGATGTGGAGAGGGTTCCGATCACCAGACAACCTGTACAACGCCGCCTGCTCCTCGGTCGTCTTCTCCTCGACCACGGCGTCCGGGTTGCGCTGCGGCGGCTTGTGCACGCGCGTCGCGGCGCCGCGGTCTGTCCCCTTCTTGGGGCCGCCAAATCCACCTGAGCCGCGGATGAAGGTCGTGCTCTCGTTGTAGAACACATCTTCACCCGTGCGGGCATCCTTGGTGGTCGTGCCGATGGTCACGACGCCCGCTGCGCCCTTGTCGACGACCTCGATGAGCTTGGGGTAACTGACGAGGGTCGCTTCGGTCGGGATGGGATACTTGCGGATCTCTAGATACTGCTCACCGTGCAGCAGCATCATGGGGGAGAAGTTGGGGACAACGTCGGAGAGGGAGAAAGGCGCGACGGCGTTGAAGGGTGGGATTACACCGAAGGTCGGGATCACGTGGAAGTTGTCTGCGTTTTCGAAGACCCAGGGGAGGTCGGTGCGTTTGGCGCCGATGCCGAGATCTGTAGGGTTGTTATTTTAGCTTGGATGCTGGAAGGAAGGATGGGGAAGAGGAGGGCTTACTGTAGAGGATTGCCTCCTTCTCATCGTACTTGTACTCGGTGCCTTCGGCCTCTGCCTTCTTCGCCTTCTCGATGTTCTCTAGGATCTCCTTGTTGGCGCCTCCGCTCTTGCTCTCCTTCTTGCTGCCGGTGCTCCGATTGTCGAAGTTGGCCATGATGGACTTGAGGCCATCGTTACCGTCCTCAGGGTGGTCTGCGCGGCCGTCATCAAAATTGATAATGCGGTCCCAGACCTTGAGTACTGCTTCAGGTGTGAGCGGCACATCAATCGGGAAGCCATGGCCACCGGTTCGCTGCCATCTCGTCTTGGCGTGCCAGCCGCTACCGACCTCGTAGAGGCCGCCAGTAGGCTGAGGAAGCTTGTCCGAGGACAGGAGTACAACGAGCGGCGCAACGTAGTCGGGCTTGAAAGCCTGCACCATCTCCTCGGGCATGATTGTCCGGGTCATGTTCGTGCCGGCGTTGGGTGCAATAGTGTTGACGTAGATGTTGTACTTAACACCCTCCCGGGCAAGAGCACGAGAGAAGCCAAGGATACCGCACTTCGCCGCCGCATAGTTCGCTTGGCCAAAGTTGCCGTAGATACCGCTGGTGCTGGTAGTGTTGACGACTCTGCCGTACTTTTGCTTGAGGAAGTATGGCCATGCCGCCTTGGTAACCTTGTATGTACCTCGGAGGTGGACATTGAGGACAGAGTCGAACTGCTCGTCCGTCATATTGGTAAACGCCTTGTCACGGAGGATGCCAGCATTGTTGATGACGACGTCAATACGACCGTAGGCGTCAATTGCCGTCTTGACTACAGCGTCGCCGTCTTCGCAGTTCGCCTTGTTGCCGACTGCCTCTCCACCCATCTTTTTGATCTCCTCGACGACGTTATCTGGGTTTACTAAGTCATTTACGACGACTTTGGCTCCGTTCTTCGCGAAGAGTAAAGCGTATGCACGACCAAGCCTGTATGTCGTTAGCCTGTGCGCCAGGTCGTCTTCGATGTTAACCTTACCCTCCACCAGCGCCAGTGATAAGCACAACTTTGCCCTTGAAGTCAGTCTTCTCGCCCTCAGGGTTAGGAGGCAGCTTTTGCGCCTCCTCCAGCAGCTCCATAAAGTTCGCCGGCCCAGTTGGATAGCTCGGTGCGGAGAAGTCGTTGACGTTGTCCCACTTTGTCAAGATTGCGCCAGGCGTGAGCGACTCATCCGCGCGGAGGAGAGCACCCTTTGCACGTTCCCACCGTAACTTCGCAATGTGTCCGCCACCAACCTCGAAGATCGAACCGGTTTCTTTCGTGTTCGAGGAGTGTACTAGGACTGCTACAAGAGGGACAACCCAGTCCGGCTTCAGGTTCTCGAGTACGTCCGGGGGCATAACCGTCTGGGTCATGCGACTTGCGGCGATTGGTGCAATTACGTTGCAAAGAATGTTGTACTTGATGCCCTCTTTGGCGAGCGATTCGGTGAAGCCTACCTGTGCTAGTTTGGCCGCTTGGTGGCTGTTAGCAACAACTCATCCGTCCTGTACGGGATGGTGCTTACCAGAGTAATTACACTGGCCAAAACTGCCAAAGAGGCCGGCGGCAGAAGCCGTGTTAATGACTCGGCCGTACTTCTGTTTCCTGAAATGCGGCCAAGCAGCTCTTGCGCACTATACAGCACTTTAGCATCATTTCATCACACCTGGATCTCTGTTTCGCGCACCTTGTATGCTCCTCGAACATGGACCTTCATAATCAGATCCCAGTCCTCATCCTTCATGTTCTTGAAGCTGATATCCCTAAGGATGCCCGCATTGTTGATGAGCACGTCTATCCGTCCGAATGCCTTGATGGCCGTATCGATGATAGCCTCGCCATTCTCCACGCTGTCGTAGTTGGCCACAGCTTTGCCGCCAGCGGCCTTAATCTCATCTACGACTACATCTGCAGCCTACGCAAGTCAATATCGGCGAACTGTCTGATCTTACTGGAAGCTGGTTACGCACCTTTGACGACTTGCCCTCGCCCTTGAACGAGCCGCCGAGATCGTTCACAACGACATTGGCGCCTCTTGAGCCGAAGAAGGTGGCATATGCCTTTCCGAGCCCGCCGCCGGCACCGGTGACGACCACAGTCTGACCGTCGAAGCGCATGTCCACCTGGTTCTGGAGACCGTAGGAGTTGTGTGCCTCTGACGTTCCGCCGGTTTGGGGGGGAGAGCTCTTGTCCTCCTTATTCTGGAGGCCGTACGAGTTGTGCGCCATGACGAGCGGGCTGTAAACAAAGCAAAGAGGGGGATATCAGGGAGTTCGAGATGAAAGGTGAGGAACTGTAGTAGGCGGGAGGGAGATGACAGTGTATTAAACGTAGGATGTGAGTGTAGTTGTAGACAGCTCGTACAGGGAGCTTGTGATGCCGTCCAAAAGCCGAGCATGATGATGCCGAGGTCGGTCACGTCGGTCGTTGATTCGGCAGGCAGAGCTCCCCCACATTGCGGGGGCTCGTGCGCTCCCCTTTGTATCTTCACGTGCAACGAATGGGGAGGTTGTGGACGAAAGTCCATCAGGAACACCCTCCGCAACTGTTTACGATGCCTGACATTCTGGACGACAAGTCCGAGCACTGCATCCCCTTCATTCTCGAGCGCTTGGAGGCGCATAGGGAGGCTCATGAAGGTTCTACTCCGCCGCCGTTCTTTCTGGGCTTGAACGGGGTGCAGGGCGCTGGGAAAACCACTCTGGTGGGTGTACCGTCAGGTTTTAAGCCGTAGTACGTTCGTCAATTGATTGTATGGGTTGAAGGATGGGCTGGAGGAGTCGGCGACGGCATCTGTTATACCGAACATCTCTTCAGGCGGCGGCATCGGTTGTAGCGCGAGGAAAAGGCTGTATGTTCGACAGCGGTAGCGACTATACAGCAGCTTACAGAGCAATCAAAGATTCGTACCGTACCAAAGCGAATACCTCTGATGTGTGACACACTAGGTCTCCACGCTCTGCAACACCCTCCGCTCCCCTCCCCACAATCTACCCACCGTCGTCCTCTCCATCGACGACCTCTACCTGCCACACGATGCGCAAGTTACATTGGCCCAAACCCATCCCCTGAACCCTCTGGTTCAGCACCGCGGCCAACCCAGTACCCACGATCTCCCTCTCGCGCTCACTTTGTTCGACGCGCTCAAGAACCGCAAGACGACCAAGATCCCTGTGTACGACAAGTCTGCGTTCAGTGGCCAGGGAGACAGGGCAGATGCGAGCACGTGGGAAGAGGCGAACAAGCCAGGTGAGGCGCCGATAGAAGTTGTAGTGTTCGAGGGGTGGTGTGTTGGGTTCCGCCCTCTTGACGACGAGACGCTAGAGGCGAAGTGGGCGGATGCGAAGAAGGCGGCGGAGGGAGAGGGGTATCAGGGCCAGCTGGCGCGGCACAGACTGGAGGATCTGGTGTTCGTAAATGAAGCGCTGAAGGGGTACAATGAGCTGACTGAGTGAGTAAGGAGCGTCGCACTGTACAGTATACGGACATTTGCTGATATTTCTATTAGCTCTTTGAACGCTTTCGTCCATATGTAGGATAAACCCTGCTTTGTCCATGCAGCTTACTGACCACGACCCAGCGACGCCGAGGATACCAGATACGTATACGATTGGCGACTGGAACAGGAAGCCGCCCTGCGGGCTTTGAAAGGCACCGGCATGACTGACGAACAAGTCATCAACTTTGTCAACGGATGTACGTTGATCTGCAGCACGGCCTTTAGAGAAGCTTGGTACCGTCTCGAGCCTGGCTGACTGAATGACATTAGATTACCCTGCGTACGAGCTCTACACTGAGACGCTTCGAACAGGCATTTTTGGTACGGACAAGAGGAGGCAGCTGAGGCTTGTAGTAGGGAAGGATCGCAGGGTCAAGACTGTGCATCGTATCTAACGGCGGAGCGAGTCTTGCGTTACTAGGTAGTTATATCCAAGCAGAGTCTTGCAGATGCGGGGCTTACAAACACAAAGCATCAAGCGCCCACTGCGAGCATATCGGCGGGTATAGTGAATCAAGGGGGCCTAAGGTGTTCATTACAAGGTGTGCTATACAGTTCTCTAACCTAGAGCCGCTCAGACGCCGTTCTGGTCTATTGGCCGGAGCAATCGATTAAGTGTCTGACTCATGCTGCGCTTGTGAAAATCCGAACCTACAGGAGAGGCTTGAAAAGATGCTCGATGGCGTGAATCGTGACTGTAAAGCCCGACATTGTTGCAGTAAAAGAAATTCCTGCTCAGTCCAGAGTGGCCCTGCCGTTTTTCCTCTACACATTCAAACTTTGCTAGCAGCTCAGAACTGGCCTGTTGGGGAAGAAATCGAATCATTGGTGCTAACTGTGGGGGACTAGGTGGTTTGATAGCGGCAGCCTCGCCGGTAGTTTGCGCTTGATGGATTATGCACGGTGTCCGTCAGATGATTCAGAGATATATCGGCATGTTGGCTGTGCGAAGGTTTCGTAGACAGCCGCAGTGAACCGGAGCTCTAAAACAGAGCTGAATCTTCCGCTTGGTTGCTCGCAGAGTTTTCCCGACACACAGAGTTTCTCCAACACCCAAGGTTTCTCCAACACCCAAGGTTTCTCCGGCACGCTGTCTATGAATCTATGAGCAACGAGAAGAGTTGGGGAAAGTGAACGGGTTGTGTATAAATTATTGATGAAACGAAAGAGCCCCAGTCGAGTTCAAGTCTGAATAGAAGATGATACTGTAATATCTTACGTAAATGGATGTCCGGAGACAAGTCATCGGACTACAGCTGGTGGTCCCGGTCTGCTGTTATCCATAACGTTGACCTGCTTCTTGACACTAGCACGACACGGAAGCCTCAAAACGTGTCGGGTTTGAAGCCAAGACTAGAGAAGACCGAATGAAGTAGCGCGTTATGCACGAAAGCCACGCGCCGATCCATACCGAGCCACGCTTTGGTTGGTACATGCCTAGTATTCAACCGTTCTCGTGGAGTCCTGCTCACAGCGCCGCGTGCTTACCACACTGAAGTGGCATAGTCTACGTACTCTCAGATAGGAACCGAAGAGCTAGATAAGTGACACACACAAGCCGTGTTTAGTGAACCGTCCTGTTGGAAAGCTGATGGAGTGTTGCGGGTGAGGTCAGTATCTCGGATGTCGGCTCTAAAATTAAGGGCGGACGGACGATCCCAAGCGAGGCCGCATTCGGTTAACTGCATGATGACAGACAATCGTGCAGCAGAGGCCAAGGAATCGTAGGGTAGAGAGTATGTCTCGTTGCCTTGAGTTATGATAAATAACTTGCCAGCTAACGGGCGGTCTGTTCCAGAGCTCTTTTTCTCCGTCTTTCTGATGGCCTGGAGCTGGAAGTTGGAGTGAGAAAGGATGACAACAGAGCGTAACGACTTTACAACCCAAATCGGCAGTTCAAACGGTTTGCGGGAGGAAGACGTGTGACAGATTCCCGAGCATGTCCAGATTCCAAGGCCATGTCAGCGGATCCGAACGTCTCCAACGCTTATCGGGCTTGTGCCTGTTTCCATCAGAATTTCGCATCATAGAGTGGACTGATCAACGCTGCGCATGCATGGAAACGTGCGGGCGAACGGGAGCGATAGCGGGAGCAAGACTGGAATTCAATTTAAGCTGCTACTTGCTATGTGAATATTCAAGAATGGCAACGTGATAAGAGAGATGGTACCTAGTCACTCTGACAAGCCCGAGCTTCCGTTCAATGCCTTCACAAGCCGCCAGACGCATACTGCAACGACCAGGCCTAGGGAGAATGATGCAGTATCTTCTCTTAGGCTGGCTGAAATGGTGGGGAGGCAATGAAGCGGCGATGCTTCTTCCTGCATAGCCTGCACGGCAGCAGGTTTGATCCGCGGAATATGACGAAGATCATGCAGCGAATCTTCCGAGTTCTTAACTAGCGGCCATTTGCCGGCGAGGACAGAGACAGAAGGTCGCGACAGCTGATCCAGGGAATCTTGCAGTAACTCAAAGCCATCCGGTCCATCATAGGTATGCTGGGTACAGATAGCAGGTTGAAGCATGCACCCTCTGAGATACAACTTATGAGTATGTAACCGCCGTTTTCACAGGCTTTTGACATGACTTAGGCGGTTGCAGTGCTACTTCGAGCCACGGATAGCACTGATGGTGTTTCTTGATAGCCAAATGGCCCTTGTGCAACATGTCAGCTGGACGACAACGCTCGAAGGCGAGCAGTGATCACCGTCCCGTTAACTGACTAATCTTTTCATTGGTCTGCTGGAGCCTGCCACAGATTCGTAGTATCGACTTGGCTGCCAGCGAAACCTTTTGGCGATGTTACAGGATTCCGTATCCATTCTGGATTAAGACCCGGTCATGTCTTTTCCGCAGCCTTGCTGTATTGCCTCATCTCCGCGCAATATCGTGAAGCTCTCTGAAGCACTACATATCAATTCTCTGCAGTTGGTTCGGTGGTTGAGCTGAGTGCTGTTTGTGAAACCGCCCCCAGCGCTTTATTTGTTGGCGAGGCCGCTGCGCAAGTCCTAACGTACAATCAAGACGAGATTCAATACTGTGGGTTAAGCAGCATTTCCAGGTAGGTTGCAATCATTATCTCGAGACGTTTAGATGCCAGGCATACCTCTCCACTCGGCGGTTCATCACGCTAACGGTGCCACGAAGGATGTCGGAATCCGTATCCTCAGAGTACTACGAGACCGTGGAGATCCATGATCGTCTCTTCCAGAGATACTCAATCGAGCACAACATCTACTGCGTACCGGTGGACGAGGTCAGTTGAGTCTCGACCTTCCCTGCTGCGGTCAATGTGGGCCACTGCCCTGCGTCTAGTCTACCGGATCCAGCCAGACACCCGAACTGCAGATTCCCGTGTCAGTTGGCGTCATGCTGACTGTGTAGCAGGAGGAGGAGGACAGACTCGAAACCCAGCATCGCATTCTGCACCAGCTGTTCGATCAAAGGCTCTTCTTTCCGCCAATTTCGTATCCCTTGCAGGTCTTGGACTGCGGATATGGACGCGGCTCCTGGGCGCTAGCGATGGCACAAACTTATTACCAAAGCAAAGTCAGTACAGCCCCCCTGCTTTCGCAGCGGCAAGGTATGAGAGCCCGAGGGGTCAAGGCTCTCCATGGCCGACGATCTCTTGCGACCTCAACCACAGATGGTGTCTCTGAACAATGCTACAGAAGTAACCACCGCACCGCAATATCGCGAGGACTCTGACCTTGCCTAGCATGCTGCTAGAGAACCACGCGCTGACCTCTTCGTCCGAAAGGTGACTGCCGTAGATATTTTCCCAGCCGACGTCGATGACCAGCCTGAGAACTTGGACTTCGAAGTATGGGATCTCAACCAGACACTGACACCTACCTACAACCCCAATCACTACGATCTCATCCATTCCCGCTTTGTCGCGCCAGGCATAAAGAGAGACAGATGGCCCAGTTACGTCCGGGACCTTGCCAGACTACTCAAGCGTAACGGCTGGGTCCAGTTGGTCGAGTATTACTACATCATCCAAAGCGATAGCGGACTCTTGACGGATAACCATGCGCTGCAGCAGTGGGGCAACGCATATCGACAATGCATGGAGGGTGAGAGAGACCCGCGAATCGGAAGGAGACTACCGGAGCTGCTGAGGAATGCTGGTCTAGTTGATGTGCAGGAACAGTCGTTCCGGATGCCAATAGGAGGTTGGCCAACCGGTACGTCTAGTGGCCCGTGATGCTTTTCTTACGGCAAGTTTCGTGAGATGGGGGGACGAAATGCCGATAACGTTGGGACTTGGCCTTCAAGTCTCCAGGCCATACGACCAGCCAGGCGCGCGAAGCAAGTGAAGAAGCTCCGCTCCGCCATACACCGATATGCCTCCTGTTTGTTAGCTTGTCGGTGCACTCGAGCTGCGATTGAGGGGCCACGTCCGTTTTGTTTCAAGAGGATCGCGCATCAGCATCTCTCGGCTGGCATCAATCATGCCCCTCACCCACACTGATCCTGCCCCCACACCATGTGCTGAAAGGAAGTCGTCCGAGGATCTCCGCAGTCATGTCACCTGTTCTCAGTTTCGCGTTAGTTTCGTGAGTGATATTCGCTGACTCAGATGCCAGACGCACGGCAGAGAGGTATAGGGGTCCAGAATCAGCAGAACATTGGCGCAATGCTTGAGTCTCATGCGCTGTATCCGTTTACAAGACGGTTCGGCTGGACGAAGGACCAGGTGGCCAGCTTAGCGCAGCGTGCTCAACAGGAGACGAACGACCCACGGCTGAGGTTGTACATACCGCTGTCAGTTCTCCGCATTTAACCAGACTCTGTATGGCTGATAATCTTCGCAGTGTGGTCGCATGGGGGAGGAAACGGTAGCTGCGGACCTGCTCGCGTCTCAGGCCCAACAAGCCATATTCTTTCGTTGACATATTGGCACCGAGACTTTCATGCTCAATCGATTTGGGCTTTAGAGTATAGACCATTTGGATTGGCCCCAGCGTGCAGCGGTACGAATATGTGATCAGTGGTGGACTGCGCTTGTGGACACCAGATCAAAGCCTTTGACGCCAAGATAAGCTCCATCCACCAGTCTGTTTCACTACCCTCTCTGTAAATGTGGTTCTGTGCGGTTCCGATTCTATTTTGCAGTAATGAGGCGCACTTTGCGCGCCAGGAGACAACTTTTCCTTGGACATCGTATGAAGATTCCAGTGTTCGGAATCCGTGGCCGGAGCAGGCTTTCGAAGAAGTCCTGGACACTCCGTACTATGGACCAGGTCGTTCAAGCCTCTGCGTTATGAACGGCGATGTAGGACGCGATGCTCGAATGTTGCAGTGATAGACTGTGGTGGTTTCAACGTCGTTCCTAGCATCCGCACAATAAAAGTCTGTCCCGGATCGGATCACTGTTAGCCGCTGGTCTGTAGTCTACGCTTCCAAACCTCCACGCCTGACCAAGGCCATGCGAAGGAAACACACTCGCAGTGGATGATCATGACGCGGCTGTCGTAGAGTCCGATACAGTGTCGGATAGTCAAGAATTCCTTGTCAAGATCGCGTGGTTTGTTAACGAGTCGTATGGAACGCCTGGAAGTAGCGGAGGGCGACGTCGCGAATCAACCACGAGGGACAAAGTAACGCGAGCGCTGACTGAGCTCTCTTGATCGCAAGACGACTGATGAGAGACGGCAAAGATAAGACAACGGGCTTGTCAGATGGGCCATGGTTTGGGCACACCTTATGCTTGCAACGTCATGCTGAATATGGGACGATCAATCAGATTAACGAGGGCCATGCAGGAGCTGATCAAGAGCAGGAGCGCCTCAACAGTCAGATGAAAAGGTCAGAAGGAACAGGCGAGCAGGAACGATTGGTGAGATGCAACATTTCCGACAGTCTGGTAACGAAATCCAGTGCAACGACGTGGAAGCTGCATAAAACCTTGGAACTGTCCTCCACGTCTCGGGAAGCTTCAGCCCTTTGACGGACTCCGTAACTCTAACAACCAGCACGATGCAAAAACACCTGAGAGAGGCTGGGATCGTTGAATACACACACCATACCGTGAGGACTACGCCGTAACTCCCTTCCGCAGCTACAGGCAATCCATCAGCCCATTCAGAGAGTCTGAGTTGAACTAAGGATGCATGGTTACTGGCTTGATGGATCCTGGGACAGGCATCCATGGTCCAGCATCAGGCGATCGCCAGCCTAACCTTAGCTTCATCAAGGGCGTCAGGGCACAGGTCAAAGCTCTCGCGGAAGTCGGGTGGGACCTCAACACGGAAGTCGGACCGCTCACTAACACCGCATGGTGGACGAATCACGTGGGCCTGAAATGAATCAAGGGAGGATTGTTTCTCCAAACGCCAACTGCGCTCTACGCCTGCACTCGAACTGGCCGAGTACGCAAAGGAAGGCTGGAGAGGAGCCGGAGATAGCAACATCATTCTCAAGTCTTTGGAACAAGACATCAGCTGGAGCCGTTGTCTGCCGTTCTTACGCTTCATCAAAGGCCCGTCTTCCCACTTGGTTTCGTGAGCCGCGGCCGTTCAGGTGTGACTTGGGCACCGTCGCCGCCAATGTTGGCCCACAACAGGGCGCACTGCATCAGGGCACCGGAACCTGACCATCTCCACATCCAGACATCACCTTGTGACTCCTGGAGGAAGGTTGATAGATACCCAAGGTCTACGCAACGGCTCTGTATGGGATCCGGGGAGCTCTCCATCATGTTCGCCCGTTGTCGAACCACCTATCAAAGCAATCTTAGATTGGCCTATCGCGTTCCCACTCTCGCAGGGTACCCATGGATAACGTTACGGGAACGGCTCTAACCCTGGCTGTTCCCAACCTTAAAAGTATCGCGGCATCAGCGCCTGAGCGTCTGCAACCGGGGACAACGGCTTCATCGTGAGAATTTAAAGTTTCTTACTGCCTCTACAGACGCCTTGCAGGATGTGTCCACAGTTCGACGGACCACGACTGCTGGTTCGAGATCCTGTCGCCCGTTGGCCCCATCACGCCTTATTGACGAGGGTGCGACTTGGTCTGATACCATGGCAACTACAGGAGATTAGGCGTGTGTATGCTTGCAGACACTTTGGTTGCTATCAGTGCCATCTTGGACCGCACAAAAGGAAACAATCCAGCAATGACACCGACTCGAGCATCGAAGTTACCTACGACGACAACCAGCCTGACCACGGGAAAAAGAGCTGTCAAGAGCATCAACGAAGGATCTCCTAGGACTGTTCGGCGAGCGAGCATCCAGCGTCTAAGCCAGCGGTTCAGAAACGGTTCCGCGGAGAACTACGCAGTGCCTGCCCGCACGCATAGCCAGGCACATGCTTGCGAGTGCACTAACGCCTTGTCAAGTTGGCCCATCAACTTGCTTTGGCCTTCAACGTCGTCCGCCGGATACAAGACCGACCATGCCGATTGTTGTACCATCTACTATCCGGGGGACGGATACGGGGCGATTTGCGAGTGATGTTTGAAGTCGTGGCTGCACCTTATCTTACGCTGGGTAGATTTCAACAGCCCGGCAAAAGAACACTACATGGTCCCATCACTGATAGGACGAGTTTTTGCAGAGACCGCAGGGAACGGTCGCGTGCGCTGCATTACAAAACAATCTACGGAATCATTCATAGTCAGCGAAGAGCCGCAAGGCGTGAGACTTCCCGCCCTAATTTGGGCATCAGGCTCTGCTAGCAGCTACGAATCTGCGCCTAACGTATGTGCACGATTCGGATCCTACCTCAAGCATTGCGAACCGCTAAGAGCCAATATATGAATGGCGGGCACTGTAGATACGTATGTACACTGCTCGTCTTTGCGTGCTGCAGTAAAAAGGGGCTATGTGACGGAGTCGACAGATGCCTGACGTACACATCCAGTGTCACGTGATGTAGTTCATCCTGCTCTCGCTCGTCTTACCGTCACTCTGATGATAGCTTCAGCAACGAGAAGGCTCACTTTGACCATCCGTCTGTAGAAAGAAGTGATAGGATTGCCTGCGGAGCAATGAACCGGCCGGCTGCCAAGGCTCAGTTACGCTGACGTCTTGTGGTAACCCCGGCCGCTTCAGCTCCAGTCGTTTGCCGTGTTTACCACCGCGGACCATTGCCTGCTTCAGCTTCTCGGCCGTGTTCGTCTTTATCGCATTGCGTCTTTGACCTTGAAGCTGCTTCGTCTTTGATGCGATGCGAAAGTCTTGTCGAGCTCAACCAGCAGTGATGGCGCCGCAGCGGAGCTCCATGGTGAGCTGCTCCGCCCACTGGAGACCCAGAAGAGGCCGGCCATGAAGTCCACAAGTACCTCTTGGTTCAACTCTTCCTCAGTTCCCTCGTTTCCCTCTCTCTAGCCCGTCATTATATACCTTGCACAGCCAATCCAGTTTCAGTCCCATAGACAGCACACTGAGGAGCGGCCGTCACAGTCATACAGACACACACCTCGAAACGCACCTTTCACCCAGCCCACGATCAATCTCCCCTGCCTGGTCATCTGGCTGTCCCCTTCAGGGACGCCGTAAAAGTCCTAATGACCTCAATCAGGCCTGACCGGCTACGCGCGCCGGAGTTTCCGGACCAGCCCGACATTTGCAACCCGCTGTCATGCCCCCCTTGCGAGTTTTGCCTGTATACTACCGGCGTCTGCGGTCGCCATGTGGATTCTCACGCGGTAGGCGCTTGAGGATGAAGCAGGTTTATCCTGTGTTGACGATAAACATATAGGATGTGGCGCCGCGCATCCGACAAGTCATTCAACACGTCGAAAGCTTTGAGCGACATAGCTCGCCGAGAGCGCCGTCGAACGACAACGAAGTTACGGCAGATGGGGGGAGGAGTTCTACTGCTCCTCAGATACACCTACACAATCCCGATGGCGTGGTCGCTGGTCAGCCATTGAGAGAACAGCATGTCAGACAGCTCGCAGAACCCGGGCCTCACGAGCAGTCATGCGCCGTGGGACCATGGCTATACGAACCTTACAATGCCCTGGACCACACAATGCCTCCTGACCCTGCCCCACCACCGCAGGAGCATCTCTACCTAGAGACGAACCATTTCCCATGTGATCACAGTGGGTGTCGCAGGACCTATAGCCAGCAGAGCAAGTTAACGTAAGCTGTCCCCAAACCTGTTTATTCGGGAAGCCGCTGACTAAGATCTCCCAGGAAGCACAGGAAGACGCATGTCCCCAAATCATTGCGACCGCACAAATGCATGTCAGCCGGCTGCAGTGAAGCCTTCAACGATCGCAAGGATCTGCGTCGACACCTCAAAACGCGTCGTCACTCTGAAACAACTGTGCTCTCGCAGGAGTCAGAATACTCTTGTTTTGTGCATCCTTGCAAAACTGGGTTTTCCAGGTTGGACAACCTATGGAGGCACGTCAAAACATTGCATCCGGAACACTATGAGGGTTGCTAGGACCTGGCAGGATTTTGTTTTTGGAGAGCATCTTGGCCTCGTGGCGTATTCGATCGGCTTTGTTCGGATGGGCTTAGAGTCTAAAAGTTTGGATCAATGGCGCTAGCTGTCCGGAGATATACCCCGGTAATGACACACCATGCTACGTTTGGGAGTTACTTTTTCGTTGCGGACATTTCCTTTCTAGAGCAGTTCATCCTTCACTATCTTTCTATCACTCACGGCGGCGTACTAGACACTTCGGCCCGGGCTGTGGACCTTGGTCTCGTAAACCGGGTACCCTCGTGCTGCCTCTAGCAATCTGAGGAACGGTATATACAATTGAAGAAGTGTGTAGACTCCACACATACCACTACCGTTAAGGTCTCACCTCCTTGTGCAGACTACCTCGCTACTAGCTTTTCATGTGCGACCATGGTAGGACTGGTCTTCAGCCTGTTAACAACGCACTCAGTTATCGGCCTTCCGTGCAGCAGAGATACTCTCACCTTCTCACTGGCCCTCGTCGTACTCTCGAATCCTCTCCATTCACCGACTCGGCCTCCGACCGCTCAGCAAACCGCTACAACGCAACCAACGCTCAACGCCAGAAGCACAGACATGCCCCTCCCCAAATATGGAACCCAAGAGGGACAAACTATCCTCCAACTCTGAAGGACAGCTATCATCCCGGCCGAGATTATCACGAAAACACCTTCTGTATGCTTCCGATTCGTCCGTCCGTTCGTGTGACTCTCGTGGTTCTTTGGCTTTTATCCTATCTACAGCTGTGCTTCCTTGTCAGAAGCTTTCCCCAGCTCGTCGCACCAGTCACAGTTAAACCAGCACATCTGTGTCTCTTAGTCGCCAGACCCAGAACAACACCGTCTCGTCTCTTATTGTATCTACTCAGCTCGATACGCAAAACAGGCGGAACGCATGAATCCTCTCTGGAATTATAGCGTTGAAGAATGGCACGTAGACTGTTTGATACTCGTATTCTAGTTGTAGCTACCACTTGAATGGGGTCCGTAAAGATACAACAAAGTGCCTATCTGCGCCCTCAGCAGAGCAGACTGCGCAGCCCTTATGGCTCCCTTTCCATTAATCTGGATCTAGAGGCAGCCACGCAGAACAATACTGAAGGGCGAGGTCGAAGGATTGCCGTCCTGGTAGTTGATCATGGCCTTGACAAACCCCCGGAAATCCACGAATTGTGCCACGAGCCTAACCAAAGATACGCTTGGCGGCGAGCTAGAGTGCCCAGAGGAGCGCGCAATGCGCAAATTGTCGTACCAGTGTAGTACGACGTCCTCCACTATGGGTTCGCAGGTCCGGCGGCGTGTGTTTACGCCAGGCCAAGGCCCCTCAGTCTTACCCAAACATGGCCATACTTCAAGCTCACGAGTAACTCAGTCACTAGCTCTATACTTCGCCCTATACTCCTGCAACCTCCCCACATCCTCCTGCGTGCCCATCCCCTTGAGGAACTCCACCACATCATCCAGCGTCAAGATCGACAGCACCGGGATGCCGTACTGTCTCCTGACCTCTCCAATCGCGCTCTCTCTCGGCGCCTCCTCCTGCTCCCCCTCCTTCGCGGGCGTCTTCTCCAGCCGATCAAGCGCAACCACAATCCCGACCAATGTCCCACCCTCCCTCTTAATGATCTCGATCGCTTCTCGGATGGCGGTACCGGCGGTGATGACATCGTCAATGATGACCACGCGCTTGCCCTTCAGCGGCGCGCCGACTATACTCCCGCCCTCGCCATGGTCCTTCGCTTCCTTCCTGTTGAAACTGTAGCTAACCCCGCCAAATCTCGCGTCGTCCAGCACGCGAAGCTGGATAGCTGTCGCAGCCGCGAGCGGGATGCCTTTGTATGCCGGGCCGAACAGGATGTCAAAGTCGACGGCGGAGGATGCGAGCGTGGCGGCGTAGGCGGCAGTCAGGGAGTCGAGGAGGGAGGCTGTGTGGAAGAGGCCCGCGTTGAAGAAGTAGGGGGACATGCGCCCGGATTTGAGGGTGAAGGTTCCGAATTTCAACGCGCCGGCTGTAACGCAGGAGGAGAGGAAGGCGGCTTTGTGGGGCGCGAGGGCGGGTGTCGGCGCGGACATGTTGGTTGTTGTTGTAAGCACACCGCTGGGAGGAAAGATTTGCTAGGTGGGAGAATTGGTTTAAGGACCAGCTTGTCTCGAGAGCGCTTCTTGAAATCACTGCTTGGGGATGGGTTATGGCAATTGACCGATGGAAGAGAGTAGGTACTCAGGGGGACGGAAATTTGGAGGGGCAGACGTGGGGCAGCCTTTTTTCCAGCCTTTGCGGGATGAGCCGCGGCTTGACCGCTTCGGCGCCGCAGATTCTGCCGGAAATCTTGGCGACACTTTTCTTGAACTTAACGTTGTGCGAGTTGCCTCTCTGTGTTAACACCCGCTTTCTTGCCCACACTCTTTCAGTAGCCAGGACACCAACAGCAAAGATGAAGACTACCTGGAAGGATATCGCGCCTGTGGTCAGTATCTCGGACTGCTTTTCCCAGCGGTTCTATGCTGACGCTACTGCCAGCCCACCTCTCAGGAATTTCTCGACATCGTCCTCTCGAGAACCCAGCGGCGACTCCCTACACAGATCCGCGCCGGCTTCCAAATCAGCAGGATACGGGCGTTCTACACGCGCAAAGTCAAATACACCGCCGAGACCTTCACAGAAAAGTTCCAAGCGATCCTAGACTCGTTCCCGAAGCTTGCCGATATACACCCTTTCCACAAGGATCTGCTGAATACTCTATACGATGCGGACCACGTACGCACAAAGACGACCTACTTCTTAGGGGATTGTGCTTACGAGGCGTAGTTCAGGATAGCGCTCGGCCAAGTATCGACGGCAAAACACCTCATCGAAACAGTCTCACGAGATTATGTGCGACTATTAAAGTACGGACAGTCGCTGTTCCAGTGCAAGCAGCTCAAGCGCGCAGCTCTAGGGCGAATGGCCACCATCTGCAAGCGCCTAAAAGATCCGTTGCTCTACCTAGAGCAGGTACGGCAGCATCTGGGCCGTTTGCCATCGATCGATCCGAATACCCGGACGCTCCTCATCTGCGGATATCCCAACGTGGGCAAATCGAGCTTCCTCAGGAACATCAGCCGGGCGGACGTGGATGTGCAGCCGTACGCCTTTACCACAAAGTCCTTGTTTGTGGGGCACTGGGACTACAAGATGCTTCGTTTCCAGGGTATCGACACACCGGGTATCTTGGACCATCCGTTGGAGGAGATGAACCCGATTGAGATGCAATCGATCACGTGAGTTGAAGATTTCAGATGAGTTCGAGCGGCAGCTGACATGGGGTTGGTAGAGCAATTGCACATCTCCGCAGTGCTATAATGTACTTCATGGTAAGTGCTCCTGTCACACTTTTTGTCAAGTTACTGCAGCAAGAGTGTGTCGCTAATACCCGTAACAGGACCTTAGCGAATCTTGCGGTTATTCTGTAGCAGCACAAGTCCAACTCTTCCACAGTATCAAGCCCCTCTTCGCCAACAAGCTCGTCTTCGTTGTGATCAACAAGATCGACATGGTCGGCCTCGACGATGTCGACGCGGCTACCAACGAGCTGATTCAATCCATGCTCAAGTCCGGCGACGTTGAGCTCCTTACGATGTCGTGCACAACGACAGAGAACGTCATGGTAAAACAAGCTTCTCACTCAGACGCGCAGTGGACATCATCTGACAAATGCACAGCACGTACGGAATGCAGCCTGCGATAGACTGCTGGCGGAGCGTAACGCGGAGAAGCTCAAGGCTGGAACTAACAGCTCCGGAGAGGCGACCGGCCGACTAGGCGATCTACTTCGCCGCATTCACGTCGCGCAGCCGATGGGCGGTGTCACTCGCGAGCTGTTCATCGCGGAAGGGGCGAAGAACAAGATGAAGTATGACAAGGACGACCCGAACAGGCCAAGGCTTGAGCGGGATATCGAAGAAGAGAATGGTGGTGCTGGGGTGTACAACATCAACCTTAGGAAGAAATATATGCTCGACAACCCAGACTGGCGGGAGGACAAAGTTCCCGAGGTATTTGACGGCAAGAATGTAAGCTCCTCCACCTGCAAGGAATATGCAATTTTGGAACCATACCTAACGCGTAACCCTCCCCAGGTCTACGACTTCATCGACCCCGACATCGAGTCCAAGCTAGCCGCGCTCGAAGAAGAAGAAGAGCGCCTCGACGCCGAAGGCTACTACGCCAACGCCTCCGACGACGAGCTCGACGACGCCGAGGACGCCGAGATCCGACACAAGGCGGAGCTGATCCGCGAAAAGCGCCAGCTCATCCGCAACGAGGCACGCATGCGCAAGTCGCTCAAGAACCGTGCCGTCATCCCGCGCACCGCCAAGGCCAAGAAGCTCTCGGCCATGGAATCGCATCTCGGGTCTCTTGGGTTGGACACCACTACCATCGCGGCGAGGGCGAGGAGCCAGAGCCGTGGGCGGCCGGCTCAGCGAGGCCGCTCGGAGGCGGGGGATGCGGATGCAATGGAGGTTGACACGCCGTCGGCGGCGAATACCCCTGCGCAGAACGCGGCACTTCGCGCGAAGAGCAGGGGCAGGAGCCAGAGCACGAACAGGAGGGAGGATGGTGTCACGAATGAGGTGGCGAGGAGTAAGGCGGAGAGATTGGCGAAGCTGGGCCAGAAGAAGATGAACAGGATGGCTAGGCAGGGTGAGGCGGATAGGCATGTCAGCGCGGCGTTGCCGAAGCATTTGCTGTCTGGCAAGCGGGGCATGGGCAAGACTAGGTCGCGGTAGACGGGATGTGGAGGGTGTGTTGTTGATGCTTTGCATGTCTCGATCACGACGACATGGCTTACAAAGGGAGTTGGCGGCGTTGCTTGCAGTTAGCTACGGCGTTCGGGCAGTGAAGACAAGAGGGGAAAGCTCTGGTCAACAGAGACTTGCCTTGGAGCCTGGCAATCAAAACCGTCGCTTCTGAGCAGATGAACGCTGCCGATGCGTACAGAGAATGACTTACATTCTCGCATAAACGCACTAACACAGCCTTATCTCGTTGGCGATAACGCCGAGTGAGGAGTACTTTCCTGGAGCTACATTCCCTTCACGACCGTGGAGAGGTTTCCTGTAGAGGCACTACACACTTCCCCTTCTTTGATCCCGTAGAACTCATGCCTAGAGTCGCCAAGCAGCTGAGCAACGTGCCGCGGGATTTGAGGACGGTGACTGGGATAAAGGGCTCTGTGGCGTATTTATTTCAGATCTCGTGATACTCGTTTGAATTGCCTCTCGATATAGAGCGAGTGAGATACATTTGAAGTGATAGTGAGACCCAACCCGCCGTCCTGCTACTCCCCCCCGTCCTGCTACTCCCCCCCGTGCCTCTTCGAGTTCCTGCCATTCTGATCTGAACCTTGGCGGATGGCATCCCCTAGATCTGCCAAGGCCTTCGGAATCGCCGTGGCCGCCTCGGCTACAGTCATGTTAGAATACTGCTCAACCGACTGATTTGTAAAGATACTTACACATTGTCTCCTTGAACTTCCGATCGGCTTCACGGTCACGCTCGAGTCTCTCGCGTTCAGCTTCCGGCGAATATTGTTAGTAATTCTCATAGAAATCTTGCGCTGTTTCTAATTTACTTACCGTCGCGATCTTTACCGTTAAAAAACCGGTCCATTTTTTTTTCGACGAAGGAGTAAATCACGATTGTTGCTATGTTTTTTAACGCATCATGAGCATGTGGGCGTAACTCGTGGTAAAGCGGCGTTAGGCGTTCTCGAAGGCGTCGGATAACATTCATCTTAATAGCGAAGGTTGTGTGGATGCAAGAGATAGTCGAGGGATGCTGAGGGGTTGACGAGGTGGTGCGGATATGTGGAGTGCAAAGCAGAGTGGGAAGGCTTACTTATGGGTCCGAACATGTTAGCTGCTGTTTACTTCGCTTGAGGAAGGTCGAGGAAGTCGTGCAGGATGTTGGGGGGGAAGCGGCTGTATTTATGGGAAAGAGCCCAGGAGAATTTGGGTAGTCGACCATTGGTACGACTTCACGCCAAGAAACTTACGAGATGCGTCGCGTGTTCCGCCTTCCTCCTCCCTTTCAGACCCCCTCCTCCCCATCCCCAGCTTTCCTGAACTCGCGCACCATATCAATCCACCCCCCACCGCCATACGTCACCGCGCTCCTCCCCCGATTCTCGAACCCCAGCGTCTCGTAAAACGGCACGAGGCGATCGTACGTCAGCAGCGCGACGCGGTCCGCGATGCCGGAGGATTCTATGCGCTGCACGTACGCTTTCAGCAGCAGCGCGCCGAGGCCCTTGCGCTGGTAGGCCGGCAGCACGGCTAGGGAGTGCAGCGCTACGGTGCGGCCGTGCTCTTGGTGGCCTTGGCACTGGGAGTGGGAGGGCGGGGCGGAGGGCCAGTTCGGCGGGATGACCATGTCGTCGTCGTGGATTGTTGGGTTGGTGGTTTTTGTGGCGACGATGTGGCCGAGGAGGAGTTCTCTCCTGCTTGTGCTGCGGATTAGAAAGGGGAAAGCGAGGAGGGGGGTGGGGATGGGGAGGGGGATGTTTGGGCGTACCGGTCCGGCTGGTTCGAGTCTACGGGGAGGGCGCTTGAAGCTGTGGGCCCGGATGCTAGGTCGGCGTTGCTGGAGTTCTCGACGGTTTGCGTGGTTGTGAAGAGGCCGAGGGAGAGCTCGCCGCAGACGCTGAGGCGGTAGATGAACTGGATGGTGTTAGTGGAGGCTGTGCGGACCGTGACTTGCATATCGGAAGCTGCGTGATAAGATGAAATGTACAGAACGTATAGTGTTGCTGCTACCGAGCCCGTTCCATACACAAAGCATCTCGGCATGTACTTGTTCCAGAAGCTGCGGAAGTCCGTTTCGTGTAACGACTGATGCTTCAACTACACGACCTTCCAAAACTAATCACCTAAGCTGTAGCGGTGCTGTGCAAGATCGTTCGGCCAGATTTAAGCACCACATCCCCAAAATGCCAGCTACTCTGATGGCATATAACTCCAATCTCAAATTGCTTACGACAGCGACGAAGTGAGCTTTGACAAGAATATGGGAGACTCAAGTTGGATCAAACGGTAAAAACTCGACATGCCTTTTCTTTTGAAGCAGCCTCATTGGGTGGGAAAGTAGCATTCTCCAGTTGCACACAGCTGTCGAGGTTGGACAGGGTTAGCGTCTGCACGAAGGGATGCAGCTCGTTCCGCTTGTCATCCTGCTGCATGTCCCGCACGAGCTTATCTCCGGGGTCGTTGTCTTCGTCCTTGACTAGATTGTCGTAGCCCGTGACTGGAGGCGCGCCGGTATCAGGCTCCTTGGTCAATGGCGCCATGCCGTTCAGTGTGTCTATTTCTGATTCGAGATCTCGAGGCATTGTACCTTGGCAGTGGCACGTGAGGGCTTTGGGCTGCAATTAGCAGACGATAGCGGAGAAGTTGGGTAAGGGGGAAAGGACTGGGGAAGCAGACGGAGGAGGGAGATGGGAATGTCAAGTTCGCCGTACGAAGGAGTGCACGAAACTGGGATCCTCTGCTTTTCAGATGTTGCGGTCAGATGTTTCAGTCCAGATGTCATGGGCTGATGCCGTCAGAGAACCGGCCAGGAACGCGCGAAGTGGGATGCCAGCTGCCTGAAGTGCCCCACCATCCACTGGGCCTGCATCACCGCCGTTTCTCCCGTCTCCCGGCGGCGTTTCAGAAGAGGAGAGCTGGCTATGTAGCTGCCTGAGGTCATCCGTCTGCTGCGTGCACAGCTGCGACACCCAACACAGGTCTATGTCACAGACACTTGCACACCCACACCGTCCACCCACACCTTCCCACACGCTGCCGTCCGCCGTGCTCTCCCCTCGCACCAGCAACCCACCTTCACCGCCGTCCCTCACGTGGCGACCCTTACATATTGCATTCGCCATCTTATCGTCTCCGCCGGCTTCCACCATCTTCTAGCCCGTCGGCAGTCGTCAGCCTCCTCAAAGCTTGACTGCCTAGAGAACCTCTCAAAAGCGTGTCCAGCTTCCCAAATCGCTCTCCTGCGTCCGTTGCATAGCTTCCGCCTCGTGCTTCTCACACACACTGCCACCCCATCGGGACCGCTCCCTTTTTTCCCTCGAGTGTACCACCCAAAGGCCACCCTCTCCCGAACCGATTCAGAAACAGCTGCATACGTACGCAAGGAGGACCGCCATTGTAGCCAACGGACAGACGAGCCCAGAACAGAGCCGTCTCCGCAGCCCATACCACCATGTGAGTTGAAGCCCCCCGCCATGTCCGGCCTTCCCGTCCTTGTGCAACGTCCTCGCTGCTACGCTGCCACGCTGCCACGCTGCCACGCGCGGCCACACTTACCCTAAATCCCAATAAATGAGAGCCGATGGCTGACTTCCAAGTGCGACAGGCCGCGCATCACCATATTAATCAATGCTCGCGACGGAGAGCGAGAACACGAGCCTCTCACCTTAGATCTCCCACCCGGCCTCACCCTCGGCGACCTCAAAGGCTTCGTACAGGCCGAGACGAGCTTCCCGACGTCCGGCCAGCACTTCTACCTCAACGGCCGGCTGCTCACAAGCGATCTCCAAACACTAGAAGACGCCGGCATCACCGATGGCGAGATGCTAGCTTTGCTCCTCAACGAGCCCCAACAGCAGACTGAACCCCGACAACCACAAGCGCGTGGACAACAGCTACAAGACAACGACATGGCACCGCGGAGCCGCCGCGGCGAGCCAAACAACGATGAAGTTGAGACGATGCGGTTACGGATGCTGGGCGACGCGCCTGCTCGGGCGCAGATGATGCAGCGGATGCCCCAGCTGGGGTCCGCGATCAACGACCCCGTCCGCTTCAGAGAGGTATGGCTGGCCATGATACGCGAGGATGAGGCCCGGAGGCGGGAGCGGCAAAACCAGATCGAGCTGCTGAACAACGACCCCTTCAACATCGAGGCTCAGCGCAAGATCGAGGAGATCATCAGGCAGGACCAGGTGACTGAGAACCTGATACATGCGTACGAGAACAACCCCGAAGGTGCGTCTTAGCCGCTCCTGTTGGCATCCCAACCTTTCGCCTACTGACACCGTCACAGTCTTCGGCCGCGTGAGCATGCTCTACATCAACGCCGAAGTAAACGGCCGGCCCGTGAAAGCCTTCGTCGACTCCGGCGCCCAGGCGACCATCATGTCGCCCTCGTGCGCCGAAGCCTGCGGCATCATGCGGCTAATCGACAGGCGCTACTCCGGCGTCGCCAAAGGCGTCGGCACCGCCACCATCCTCGGCCGCGTGCACCACGCGGAGATCAAAATCGGCGACGCCGTCATGCCTTGCGCCTTCACCGTCATGGAGGGCAAGGACGTGGATCTGCTCTTCGGCCTCGACATGCTGAAGCGCTACCGCGCGTGCATCGACCTCGACAAGGGATGTCTGCGCTTCCAGGGCGTGGAGGTGCCCTTCCTGCCGGAGAGCGAGATCCCGAAGGGGTTTGAGGAGGCCATGGAGAGCGAGCCCGCGATCTCGGGACCGGCGGGGACGGAGATCGGCGCCAAGTCCGGGGCCGTGAAACCGGCGGGGACATCGGCGGCGGCGACCGAGGCGTCGAGCTCGCATTCGGCGCAGACGCAGCCGTCCGCGCAAGCGCAGCCCCAGCAGCCGCCGATACCCCATCGCCAGCAGCAGCACCTGCTGCGCGGAGCCTCTGCGTTCCCGCAGCAGAGTGTAGAGCAACTGGTGCGGCTCGGCTTCTCGCCCCAGCAGGCGCTCGAGGCCTTGAGGGCAACGGACGGCAACGTTGAATATGCCGCCAGCCTCCTTTTCCAGGGCTGACACCACCGCGGATTTCCAGTCTTTGAATGGCGCCGATGGGCTTTCCCATTGACCATCAGAGTAAGAAGCCGGGGGCCAGGCGTCCTTTGAGTTACGGATGGTGAGGAAACTTTTCCTTTGCTGGGACAACGGAGAGGCACCTGGGCGCACGTCACGGCAGAGGCACATCCGGTGTGGACAGCGTATGGCGAAGGCGACATAGCGGAGTCACGTTGCGGGTTCCTCGGGGCTAGAAAAGGGAACCATGGCTTGCTAGCGATAGAATAGCTGTAATGAATAAAGCTTACACACGTCAGCGGACGTCTCGCTGCATGATTCTTCAAGCCGATAGCGTGCTTACTATCTATGTCCCCAGAATCCTGCAAAGTTTCCGGGACTGCACAACTAAAAAGGCAAAAGGTATGTCAGGCATATCAAGAGGTCGTAAGGGTGTGCTATTGAGGCCGTACAGCTGGTGCCGGTATGTTTGCCATCACAATGGTTTTACTCTTGCTGGAGTTTACTCTGTAACAACGTAATTCGCTCTGCTGGGGGTCACTCGGCACTCCTAACAGGTTGAGCAGGTAACCAGCAACGGCGCCGTGAATGCCTGAATGTAAATCCACCGAGGACGAGGGTCTCATCTTGATACTGTCCATCATACCTTTCATCCGCTCTCTCTCCCCTCCCCTTCCGCGCAAAAGAAGACACAGAAACCCCCGCAAAAGACACAAAACACCACCCATGACAAAAATGCCGCCCGCTCACAACCAACACGCCCCCACGCACAAGCTCCCCAAAAACCCCCCCCCCGCCCTTTCCAAACACAAGAAGCAAAAAAAACCGTCGGAACAACAAAAACCTCCCCTACTTCCACCCGCTCAGCCCGGCCCACGGATCCCCCTGCCCCTGCTGCCCGCCCTGCTGATACTGCGAGCTTCCCCTTCCCTGCCTCGCATTCTGCGCATACCCCCCGGGACCAGCCGGATACGCGCCTGCCGTCAAGCCCGAGAAGTCGAGCTGGCCTGGCGGCGGACCCGGCGGTGGAGGCGGGGGCACGTAGCCTGGCGGGATGCCTGAGAAGTGCTGGGAGTGGTGTTGTGGCTGCTGCTGTTGCTGTTGCTGGGCAGTGTGGTACTGGCCCGGTGGTGGGGAGAAGTACTGCTGTGTCGCGGGCGGGGAGACCGGGCCGTAGGTGTTGGGGTTGTAGGGCTGGGAGGAGGAGGAGGGGGTGGCGTAGGATTCGCGTTGGCGAGGTGGGGGGCTGAACTGCTGGAAGGAGCCGTTTGTGGGGGGGGCTTGGTGGGGGTATGCTTGTGGTGGGAGAGATTGCATGCCGTATTGACTTGAGATGGGGTAGCGGGGCGTTGCTGGTGGTGAGGCGGCGGTGTTGTAGGCCGGCTGGTAGGATTCCCTTTGTTGCTGCTGGAGCGGTGGGGGTCTAGCTTCCTGTTTGATGCGCTGCGGAGAGGTCGGGGAACTCGACGGATCGGTTGACATGCGCTCCATCAGTCGCTGAAGCCTCTCGTGCTCCAGGTCCGCCTGCGCGTTGCCGCTCGCCTTCTTGGAGTTCTCGATCGCGGTTAGCAGCTGGCCGCCCTCGGAGCGGCGGTTGTTGACAAATGTCTCGACGTTCTTCTGAAGACTCTCGACTGTGTCTTTCATTTCTGAGTAGAAGCCCTGCGCGCGCTGAAGACCAGCTATGAGGTCGTTAAAGGCGTGGTACACTTTACGGTATTTGGTCATTACGGAGTTGCGCTGGCGCGAAAAGGCTTCGTATTTGCTCTGCTCGGCACGTACGCGTTTGTCCTGGAGGAGGTCGCTGTAGGTGCGGGTGAGCTCTTTCATGAGAGAGGTTTGCTTGTGGTTCGCTTGCAGGAGGCGGGTTTGGTGGGGTCGGAACTTGTCGAGCTCAGCCTTGAATAGCTGCTGTTCTTGGTTGGTCTTTTTATTTAGGATCAGGACATTCGAGATGTCGTCGTTGTGAACCTGTCAATGTGAGCTGTAGAACATACAGCAGGATAATTCCAAACCCTACCTTCTCCTTCAGATCCTTCAAGACCTGCGCGCGCTCCCGCTTGATGAGATTGAGCTTCCGCAACAGCTCTTCGACGCGCGCAATTTGATCTGCTACACTTGGCCCGTCGTCGAAGTCGTCTCCTAACAGGTTGCCTTCCCCACCAGGGCTCGCACTGCCTGCCCCACCCTTGCCTTTGCCCCGGCCCGCACCAGCTTTTATCATAGCCCTCTGGTACAGTACATCAGCTTCATCTGTCTCCCCTGCGGATCGCATCTCGTCGAAATCCGATTCGTATTGTCTGAACGTGCTGTATAGCTGCGCATCACTTGTGCTGGCCTCCTCAACAGCAGCTCGATAATTCCTTATGTCACTCCGGAGGGTTGCTGTGAGTCTGGAACTCGGCTGCTGCGTCCACGCCGCACCGTACTTCGACCGCATCTTCTCGCAGACACTCTCTTCCTGATCCAAGGACTTCATACACTGGTCCAGTATACTTGTGATACTCGACTTGTCCGCATTGAGCTGATCGAATGCATTGGTGAACGGCGCATGTCCCGCAAGTTCCTGGCACCATTTGTGGAATTCATCGTCGACGGTCATCTCCTGATCCATCCCCCCTTTGAGGACGTTCAGGCTATCTGGAAGCTTGAGATAGTCGAGACTCGCTGCCATCTCATCGTTGGCAATCTCCACCCGCTCGCTCTCAGCCCGGATCAGCTTCGCTTTCTCTTCATCGTAGAGACTAGCGGACTCGGTCACGGACATTGGGACAATCTTCTGGAAAATGTCCGGTCCTATTATCCTCCCCACATCCTGGCCTTGATACAGCTCGCTGACAGGTATTGCCTTTGCGGCGGGAAGCTTGGGTATTGCGGAAAGTGCTGCCTCGCCTGGTATCGGCTGGTGGTAGATGAAGTCGTTGTCCTTGATGAACTCTGCAGTCTTCTCTTGGCAGATCGCGTAATGCCGCTTCGTCATGTCTGCGAGTACCGTACCTGTTTCTGAACTTAGGTTGGAATTCGAGGGGACTGATGCTGGAAAGGTGTTGGCGATCCTGTTGGCATCGCGGGCCAGTCCTTCAGCTACTTGTAGCCTGCAAATCGCTGTTCCATGAGCGTTGGCGTCATCATCCGCTAGTGCCTGATAGTACTGAGCCAAAGAAGAGATGTAATTCGACTTGATCTGTATCCTTCTGTAAGCGGTGGCGAGCCGGCTACAAGGCGAGCTCCTCTTACTTGCGTGACCAACAACCACACCTTCTCGAAAATCGCCTTGTTCACGTTGTCTTGCACACCTTCGACCGCCTGTGCGTACAGGAAGGCTGCTTGGCTAGCAAGCTTCGCTAGGAGGCCGACCTTTTTGCCGTCTGCAATCTGCTTTTCTAGGAACACTTCCTGGCCCTGGGCTAGCATTATCGCAATCAACGTCTTGACTGTGTCTCGGCTTAAGTCTGTGGAAGGAGCGTGGAGAAAGTTGTCATTGATGTAGGTGAACATGCCGGCCGAGGCCTGGAAGGAGTGGTAGGCAGTTTTGAGTCCGGTGTCTTCATGGCGATCCTGATTCGCGGCATGGCAGGACAGGACGGCGGATATGTTGAAGATGATGGAGGCCTTCTCGTAGGCCAGGGAGTATTGCGAGGTCGGCTTGTGGGTGAATGCATCGAACCTATTAAAGCATACTTATCAGCACCCAAGATAGACCGGGTATAATCTAACCGCCTGGGCGCGCTCTCACCATGTGAAGGAGATCTTAATATGGTTTTCATCTACCGGAAATCTCAGGTCCAGTAGCTCCAGCTGTCCGTAGTATCTGTATAGCAGGTCCCGTCCGGCAGCACTGTCCTTCCCAGCACCTCGCATATCCTGACGCAGCCTGTTCAGCGTCGCGCATTCCTCGGCATACCGCTCCGGATCATCGCCGTACGTCTGCCGTATGTAGCCCTTCAGCGGCGCGATCCAGTCGATCTCGTTGGTCTGCTTGAGCGGACTAGATATCATAGGCGCTTGCGCCATCATGGCTGCGGTGGTCGATATGGCTCCTGCGGACGCTGGCTATGTGGAGGTTCTCGAAACTACTGTGGGTGGATATGTTGGAACGACGACCCTCCGGAGCCGGCTTCAAGAGAGTGGTGAAGCCCGCCACGCGCTGGCACCCTCGTCCCGGTGATGCACCCAAGAACTAAGCAGATCTTGCTACTCCTCTTACTGGAAGTTCGCAGACATCGGAGCGGTACTGTAGGTAGTCTCTTTGCGACGTAGGGATGCAGCGAACCCGGGGTAGGCAAGGCGCAGGTACGTGTGGTTACGTGGTTTGCCGGATAGCTACCTTAGCTACCAACGATGGAGCCAGACCTTCTTCTTGCTGTTTCGGGTGATGCTGACGCCGATGTGGTGTTGTGTGAGAGTTACCTTGTCGACTTTAGGCGGTCAGCGTCTCGGGATGTGATGCCACCTGTGAAGGATCTTGGGATAGAGGGATGGTGTTGACCAGAGCCGAGTGTACCTCCGTCTGTACAATTGTTCTAGGTGTGCTACCGAAGCGGTTTGGGAAGAGCGGACCGTATCTGCGGCCTTACGTTTCTTGCTTGATCCAAATACGCGCCGGGTGCAGCCACTGGACGTGTTTCTGAACGCCCGCTAAAACGGCGGGGTCATGTTCTGGACTGGATGCATGGCTTCCGAATGGTCTCTGTAAGCGCTGCATCAAACTACATAGATCGAACTCTACCGTTTGAGGAGAGATAGCTATTCTACAGGATATGCTACAACACTCTACTGGTACATCTAGACGGCGGTACGAACCAACGCCTGCAATGCGCTCCAGGACGGTTGCAAACCCTGGCGGAAACGTCGCCCAACGCTAAATACAAACACTGTGCAGGAGAAGATAATGGAGTGGGAGTATTACACGTTGTTCACCCAGAGCCAGAGCCCGACGCCTTCTTGGGCTCCTCCTCGTCCGGTTTTTGCGGCTTCCCATCCGAGTTCAGATGCTTGTGCTGTCCCGTCAGGTTATGCCACGCGCTCTTCAGAAACCCCTCATTCTTGTGCTCATCCTCTGGTGTCGGGGCAGCCGTTTTACCACCGGCCTGAGAGTCGGGGTTCGGTTTCGCGTACTTTCCGATGTTCATGATCCGCTTCGCCGTCTTGTCTCCCATCTCGTCCGCCAGCATCTCAACAATAGTCCGTTGGTTCGCGCTGAGGTATTTCGGCATGTTGACCTTGAACTCGACCCGCAGATCACCCTTTGCTCCTCTCCGGCTGTTCAGCTGCTTCATGCCCATGCCGCCCAGCGTGATCTTGTCTCCCGTGCCTGTTCCTGTGGGCACCTTCACTCTAACATCACCGTCTAGAGTTGGTACGTGAATTTCGCCGCCTAGGACAGCGGTGGTAAGCGGTATCGACGCCGTGTATAGTATGTCTGCACCGTTGCGGCTGAATTTGGGATCCGCGGCGACGCGGATAAAGACGTAGAGGTCGCCTTTCGCCGTCCGCACATTAGAGCCCGTCGCTTGCCCACTCAGCGGCGCATCGCCTTCGCCGGAGACGCGCAGTCGCATTCCATCTTCCACTCCGCCGGGTATGTCTATTGTGACTGTCCTCTTTTCCCTTACAGCGCCCTCGCCGCCACACGTGCGGCACTCGCTGCCAGGAGGTGTGACCACCCCTGCTCCACCACAAGCGCCGCAGGTGCTCGCCATCTGGAAGCCCTGCTGCATGAAGTGTATTTTTTGACCCGTGCCCTTGCAACTCTTGCACTCCGTCCGCTTCGTCCCTTTCTTCAGTCCGGTGCCCGTACACGTCTTGCACTCGACCAGCGGGGTCACAAAGATGTCCTTCGTCGTCCCCTTCGCCGCATCCGCAAACGAGATGTTGGTCTGCACTTCAATGTCCTCTCCCACCAGTATCTCTTCCTGGAACGGCGATCCTCGAGTCCTCCGCCCACCCCTGCCTCCTCTCCGCGCATCCGCACCAAAAGCACCGGCGAAGAGGTCCTCAAAGTTGAACTCGGCCCCAAATCCCCCTCCTGCAGTGCCGAAGCCGCCGAAGCCGGCAAACCCTCCAGCGCCGGCGAACGGGTTGCCTCCTGTGCCACCAGTTGGATCGAAGCCGGGCCCACCTTGACCAAAAGCGGCGTCGCCGTAAGTGTCGTAGGCTTCCTTCTTCTTGGGATCGGAGAGGGTCTCGTATGCGGTTTGCGCCTCGGTAAATTTCTCCTTCGCGGTGGGGTCCTTATTCGTATCGGGGTGGTACTTCTTCGCGAGACCGTAGTAGGCCTTCTTGATGTCGGCGGCGGAAGCTTCTTTGTTGACGCCGAGGACGCTGTATGGGTTCTTGGCTGCGAGGGACGTGGGCGATGCGTGGAAGGCCTGAAGATGGGGATGTTAGTCTTGCTCCGGATGGGGTTGTTATAAGCCGTTTAAAGGGCTACCTACCCTCACTCGATGAGATTGCGGTAGCTGACGCCGTCGAACCTGTCGGGGACTATTCCATCGCGATTCAGTGCTTATGCTCCGTCTTTGCCGGTTGCTCTGCCTCTGACAGGTCCATGATGCGGCAACAGAGCGGACGGGGAGAGCGGCTTTCAGCGAAAAGCCTGGCGCAACGACACTCATAGCGAGTATCTTAGAAGATGATGTTCAATGCGTGAGAAGTGACCCGACGTGCTGTTAAGCGGAGATGCCATAGACAAACTTCGAGATGGCCATCAAAAAGTTCGCGGACGTCGCAGGATTGGCCGCCGGAAAATTGTGGCCCGTGCACCTTTCTAGAAATTCCCATGGGATGAAGCCTCGCGTTGGAAATGTTGATATGCAATCTCATGTTGAGAAATACTGGGGGAAATATGGTATCTATATTATGGATACATGTGTAGTCCTATACTCCGCTTAGAGCTCCGAACCGAACCGGTTCCGAACTATGCTGAAAGAAAAAATGTTAATCGTTGCGAAGGCAAAACGTGAAGACGCGAACGCGCGAAGCGGATGCAAGACCCCGTATCCAGGTGGTGATCAATCTCCATCCCAAGCAATGTCCTGGATTCCCGCCATATACCCCCATCGAATCCTAGATATGCCTGCCCATCGGGTATACAATTCCTCGTGTTAACGCCTTGTTGCGCCTGTACAAGCTTCCCAAGTCGCCCCGTAGGGCGGTATCAACTCGCCGGTTTACGGGGCGTAAATCGCCTGCGAAACTCCTTATCTGTCTCGGTGTAAGCACATGAGCTTTGTTTCGAGGGCCGTATGCCATACCTTTCTCCTTGACTCTATACAGAAGAGCCAGCGTAACCTCGTCCTCCTTCACAGCCAGCGCATTGAAGTTCTTCCGAATTGCGAGCGCTAGCTGGTCCTTGCTGATTCTCCTTTTCGCCCTTTGCCGTGCCATCGTGGGGGAGTATTTGCCGATGCCTTGGCTGAGGACTATGTGGCTAAGGGGTTGGTGAAAGGCGGCGGGTGTGTTGAGCGAATGGATGGTGCGGTAGGCTTGGAGGAGGGAGCGGTCTTCAGTTTTCCACGACAACTGTTCAGAAGCAATTGTGTCAGTCGATGGACTCCTCGAAGAGCGAGGACAGAGCTGGGATGGCTTACCCCGGAATTGCCAATCTGTGTGTTCTGCGCACCGCTGCTGGTTGCTGCAGACTTGCCATCTGCCGCAGCAGACACGACCTCTTTCAGTGAGCTTCCGTTCGCTGCAGCTGCGGCTCCATTCCGCGCTCTCCGTCCATTTGTTGTGTGGCCATTAGCAGCGAGCTTCTCCTTCAGAGATGGGCTGTCGGTCCTCGAGTCCTCCTGAACCACGCGAGCGCGAGGCGGCATCCTTGAAGCTGAGTCAAAGAAGAAGCCAGAGCGATATAGGAGGTCAGAACTGTGTCGTTAGGGAGGCTTGTTGAAGGCGATGCTCCCCATGGATATGCAAGCGTGGTGTTCGGGACAGAGTTCCATGGGGCAGCTCTTCCTCAGAGCTTCCCGTACCTTTTCGCAGACGCGGACCCTGAACGGATGACGCTGGACGATGCAGGGATAGATGCTGCTAATGCTGGATAGGCTTAGCCCAGCCGCACTGTGGGGACGAGGACGGAGCCTTCGGTGATGGGCTCCGACACGTGATCACGCGAAAACCGATAGAGCCCTGCACACATCGCAGTGTCCCACCATATCTTGAACGGAAGCGATATGAAAATATTCCGCTATCACGCGGTTGATGCGTGCACGCTGTAGTCAGAGGTCCGAGAGTTCGCCGTGTCCCTGGTGCGGAGAATCACCTGCGGTGTGGCTGCAGCACATGTTCGAACCACGCATCTTGCTAAGTTTGAAGCGTGGTGAACAGTGCTTTAATCTCGAGGCTGTTACTTCTCACTCTGCTCAGTGTTGCGGTACAATGGGACTAAATGTTTGTACCTTGCATTCAAGCTGTGGCTCAAATTTCATCGTGTCTGTGGTAATCTATAAATTCCGTAGCACCTTTCAGCTCAGACTTCCTCATCAGCCATGTAGCACTCCACATCGTTGACTGCCGTTCGACTACTCTCTCTAAGTGAGAATGCCGGCGCGATACCAGTTACTTCTAAACTACAGGTGAGAATGATCCGGCTCCCATACATGACAAGCGAGGACAAGACAATTCGAGCAACAGCTGTGGTGTGATGCAGAAAGGCGCTGATCTGTGAGAGCCAACGAGCGAAATACGCAAGTGTAAGCCAGGAGTAGGTTGTGTGAGTCGTGAAGCTGGCGGCGACTGCTTCAGTCATTGGCTTGCGAGATGGACTTGAAGTACTTGGTAATCTTGAAATTGGTAATCTCTTCCGCTCTCAGACAGGAAACCTTCCCATCGACGAGAGCTCGCCTGTCCTCTTGTTGGCGTAGAACTCCATCCCAGATCTCCGGAAGTTTCGTTCCGATTTTACCCAACTCGTTAAGATTCTCATTCTCTCGTGCAACTCGGGCCAGGTGCAGGATGTCTTTGAGTTGAGTCAGATGCTCGCTTCGGTTTATCCCCCACTCCGCACCACATGGTACCACGTCCCTTAACGCGACCGCCGCATTAGTGATCCTCTCATACGCCCCAATAACCTCGTGTGGAGTTGCTGGCGCGACGGTCGTGCTGGGAAACAGTGCTTCCTTCTCCTTCACATAAGCCGACCACTCCGTGTCGTAGGGTTCCATCTCGGACTTATCCAAAGGGCCCTTCATGCTCTTCGTGCCTATCAGAGTCTTGCTGTACTTGTGGCTCTCATGATCGAATGGAAGAGAGCGGTGCAAGAGCTCTATGTCTTCAAGATCTACTCGTACTACGTTGCGGAGAGACCAAAGGGGCTCGAGAAGCCATTTCGCAGGAGCGACAACGGACTCAAACCGGAGTTTGCAGGTATACAGCGACACCACGATCCTCAACTCACGGATGCGATTGACCTCCAGGAGAAGCGCCACTAGTCTGCGCACGTTGTCACGGACATCGTAGAGCGCCTGCTCCCATTGGCTCGGTGTCGATGTATCGAGCTCGTAAGGAACGGTGACCTCCACGTAGAACCTCTGGATCTTTCTGTACGGCAAAACCGTAAGATCTGCTTTCCAGCCCTGGCCATAGGGATTGGTGTCAGAACTAACAGGATCGACATAATAGCGGGCGCCTGGAATCAAGATGCGCTCGGAATTTAGGTCTACAGAGAATCTCGCTTGCCCGTAGAGTGTGCTCGAGGCCTCTTGATGGATCTGACGATTGACAAGCAGCAACGACATATTCCAATCGCCCAGCTCACACGCTGCCGACTCGTAGACTTCTGAATCATCATCTGAGTCTGGCCATTCATAGGACAGCGCTCTGGAAGGCAAGAGGTACTCGAAAATGCGCAGGCGTATCTCTGTCGGCAATTTGAGCATGTAGCAAGGATGTGGGAAGTCTTCGTGCAACTGGCATAGTCTGTGATGTGATTAGCACTGACGTTCTATCGACTGACGATATTCTAAGGCATCTGTTGCTGATGGATGAAGGTTGGCTATATATCATCGCTTAGAGACAGGGCGAGACAGACAGCATCACGCTTTAGCCACTTGTTGTTATTCGCTCTCTTAATGGTCGAAGGCCCAGGACTGAAAGGCGACTTACTGATGGTAGTATGGCGGTGACCATGGAATTCGACGAAGGCACTTTTCTCCACAGGATGCGATTGCTTCGCATTGCGACGCGGGGCGAAGCTGAAATTGATGCTCCTTGCAAGTAGCCAGATATCCTTGAGTGGCGACAACGGCATTCCGCTGGCAGGGTCCGCCGCATGTTGTCCTGCCGTTACAAGGGGTGTACATCCTGTTATGGTGAGGACATTCGTCATAACTGTGGCGCGTCGATATAGTGCCGGTGGGTTTGAGTCGTTTCGTCTGCTCAGGACCACTGCCCGAACCTTCCTCTACGAAAACGAGACTCCATCAGTAGCTGTAGTAAGAAACGACAGATGCTCAAGACGCTGTGACGCAGCGCAGCTAGGGGACAAGGGCATGAATAATGTCTCAATAGAGGCTCAAAGCCAACGATAGAAGTTTGACAGTGCTGCATCGACTTCTTAATCCGAGCTCTTTATATAACCGGGAGGAAATTCCAGCCCAGTGACTCTAAAAAGTCCTACAGACCGCATGAACGTTAAGCATGAAGGTGTTCTCTTCGTTCGAGATGATGGAAGCCATGCGTGATAAGGAACGATGAAGTCAAGATGTATGAGTAATTGCATATCGCAAGGTGAAGGAAGGCTTTGGCAACTGACGGCTCAGTGAGCCATCCAACCTGAAGGAGCCTCTGCAGAGCTTACAGCCCTATGCAGGGTTCGTGATTAGCGCTTCCCGTGTAGTTACTCTGTTCACTGCTCGCGACCATAAAGGTCTGCGGTAGGTTTGGAATGCGTTCATGACAGCCAGATTATCAGTTGCAAAAGAGCTGAGGGTAGATCTGTTCTTCAGGCAAGTGTGCTTTGAAGAGTGACGAAGCGTATAGCTCATCTCATAAGGATACTGTGAAGTGTGCCTTGCGCCTTGGACGGGCAAGGTAGCCTACCTGCATTACGTGAGCTCATTTTGCAGTCGGATGTGGCGCGAAAAGTGCTCCCATACACTGATAATGTTTGTGCTCATAAGTCGAGTTGAGGTGTGAATGCTCGGTCAAAAAAGACAGGTGAATTAGATTAGATTAAATTAGATTAGATTTGCCGCCAAGGATCGCGGCGAGGCGTCATGGAAAGTCGCCGACATTTGCATCGAGCCGCGGCGACTTTATCCTACCGCCACCAGCACCGTTACTTCTCCCTCTTCGTTCTCCCAGCGTGTTCCTGGCTCAGTGTTCATCTCTAACAATCTCCCCTTCACCTTTACCAGCATGCTTTACGGCCAGAATCTACCTTGGAGGGTGGCACTCAGACAGACGTCTCAAAGCCGAATCAGCGTATCGCGGACAGCATCTTCCCACTTCCACTGCGCCAGCCGGAGTCAATACCTATCAGTTGCTGGAAGTAGCGCTCGAACACACAGATATCGACCATCATCATCGTTAGCTCCTACGTACAACTTTTCTACATCCTCGGCAAGATGGAAAGAAAGGCCCAGCAGCTCGAGCAAAGAGGATCACGAAGGGGCGAAGGAGAAAGATGATACTTCCCCGGAGGAGAAGAAAGCAGCCCGTAACCCCGAACGAGACGAGACAAACACCGTCGACTTCAAGAGCAAGGCACCGGAGCCGATACCATCGCGGTCAGCGTCAGACGGCAAGGGCGCAACAGCAGGAAGCGGTGGTGGCGATGCAGGATCAAGTGGGGGAGATAGTGGGAGCAAGAAGCGCAGTAAGACGGAGCGCTCGCTCGCCAAACCCACCGTGCCGGAGGTCTATCCACAGGTTATGGCCATACCTATCGGCAAGCGCCCACTCTTTCCGGGATTCTACAAGGCGATTACTATACGCGACCAGGCTGTAGCAACAGCGATACATGAGATGGTCAAGCGAGGGCAGCCGTATGTGGGTGCATTCATGTTGAAGGACGACAACGCGGACAAGGACACGATAGACAGCATGGACGAGGTATACGACGTAGGGACATTCTGCCAAGTTACGAGCGCATTCCCGGTGCAAGGCGAGCAGCCGAGCATGACTGCGGTTCTATATCCTCATCGTAGGATCAAGATGACCTCGCTCATACCTTCCAACCGCGAAGCAGATGCTACAACGAATAAGGCGGAGGCCACTGCTGCGGAAGCCACGCTCGAGGATCAGCCGGCCAAGGAGCAAGAACCACAAGACAAGCAAGGTGACGTGGTGGCTAGCTTTGAGGAGAACTCTACGGAGCCATCCAAGGCACTACAGCCATACGAGTCGCTGTCATTCTTGCGTAAGTACCCTGTCAGCTTTGTCAATGTGGACAACCTAGCGGAAGAGCCACTCGATAAGAAGAGCGGCACTGTGCGCGCTCTTGTAGCCGAAATCGTCAACGTTTGTAAAGAGATGGCCACAATGAACCCGCTATTTCGGGATCAGATCTCTACTTTTGCCATGAGCCAGAACGCCGGCAACATAGGAGAGGATCCCGGAAAGCTCGCAGATTTCGCCGCGGCCGTGGCAGCAGCAGAATCTTACGAGCTGCAAGAGGCACTTTCGTCACTGAACATCGAGCAACGGCTGAGCAAATCACTTGAGGTCCTCAAGAAGGAACACATGAACATGCAACTGCAATCGAAGATCGTCAAAGACGTCGAGAGCAAGATCCAGAAGCGGCAACGAGAGTACTGGTTGCATGAGCAGCTGAAGGGCATCAAGCGCGAATTGGGCATGGAATCTGACGGTAAAGACAAACTCATTGAGAGATTCAGGGACAAGGCCAACAAGCTTGCCATGCCTGACGGTGTCAAGAAGGTGTTTGAGGAGGAGCTCAACAAACTTGCACATCTGGAGCCGGCTGCATCAGAATTCAACGTCACGCGAAATTACCTGGATTGGCTAACACAGATCCCCTGGGGTCAGAGGAGCGCCGAAAACTTTGGCATCAAGAACGCAATGAGGGTCCTGGACGAAGACCATCACGGCCTTAAGGATGTCAAAGATCGGATTCTCGAGTTTATTGCTGTCGGTAAGCTTCGAGGGACGGTTGAAGGAAAGATTCTGTGCATGGTTGGTCCGCCAGGTGTAGGCAAGACAAGTATCGGCAAGTCTATTGCAAAGGCACTCAATCGGCAATACTACCGATTCAGCGTTGGCGGCCTGACTGATGTGGCCGAGATCAAGGGTCACAGGCGGACATACGTTGGAGCACTTCCCGGCAGAATAATCCAGGCTTTGAAGAAATGCCAAACTGAAAACCCACTTGTGCTGATTGACGAAGTCGACAAGATTGGCCGAGGCCACCAGGGCGACCCTTCGTCAGCACTTCTGGAGCTGTTGGATCCGGAGCAGAACAATTCTTTCCTAGACCACTACATGGACGTGCCTGTCGATCTTTCCAAGGTACTCTTCGTCTGCACGGCAAATATGACCGACACGATACCTCGACCATTGCTGGATCGTATGGAAATGATCGAGCTCTCGGGCTACGTTGCGGATGAGAAGATGGCAATCGCTGAGCGGTACCTTGCGCCGGCGGCCAAGGAGCTCAGCGGCCTCAAGGACGCGGATGTGCAGCTGGAGAGAGAGGCTATCGCTGAACTCATCCACAAGTACTGCCGAGAGAGTGGTGTGCGAAACCTCAAGAAGCAGATCGAGAAGGTCTACCGGAAGTCTGCGCTGAAGATCATCCAAGATCTTGGAGAAGACGTTCTCTCCGAGGACAAAGCTCTTACAGAGGAAGGCAAAGCCGCGCAGCTGGAATCATCAAAGGATACCACTGACGTCAAGGAAACGCCCGAGAACATTGAGAACGAGACCACGGAGACTCCACGAATAGCACTCAAGGTTCCCGACTCTGTACACGTTTCCATTAACAAGGACAACTTGAAGGACTACGTGGGTCCGCCCGTTTACACGTCCGATCGACTTTACGACATCACCCCTGCCGGCGTTGCTATGGGTCTGGCATGGACACAGATGGGCGGTGCCGCCCTCTACGTCGAATCTATCCTAGAGGCGGCACTGAACTCTCACTCTCGGCCCAATCTAGAGCGCACTGGCAATCTGAAGAATGTGATGAAGGAGTCGACGTCAATAGCCTACAGCTTCGCCAAATCAGTCATGGCACGCGAATTCCCTGGAAACCAGTTCTTCGAGCATGCCCGGATACATTTGCATTGTCCTGAGGGCGCGGTGCAAAAGGACGGGCCGAGTGCCGGTATAACGATGGCAACAAGCTTGCTCAGTCTGGCGCTAGACAAACGGCTGGACCCGACGATTGCCATGACCGGCGAGCTGACCGTTACGGGTAAGGTGCTTAGGATTGGTGGGCTTAGGGAGAAGACAGTTGCTGCGAGGAGAGCGGGGGCCAAGATGATCCTGTTTCCGGCTGATAATCTGAGTGATTGGCTGGAACTGCCTGAGGTAGGTTCCACTCTCAATGATTTGGTAACAATATACACTGACATGTTTTGCACAGAACATCAAGAATGACATCGAAGGCAAGCCCGTAGGCTGGTACTCCGAAGTCTTCAATATCGTCTTCCCAGACCTAGACCGCAATCAGGCCAACAGCCTATGGAAAAAGCAGCTAGCCAAGCCATCGAAAAAGAAGACTGCGGAGTTCTCGGATGAAGAGGCGGACGATGTTAACCCTACGGTCTGAGTAAGAGGAACAAGGACAAGCTAAGATGAAGATGGCTACGCTTCGTGGCCCAAACCACGTGTGATATGCGGCCACGTTCATTTTAGCCCGCACTTGGAAGCTTTCTGGTGCACGGGTTCTGATACAGGGTCATTGCATTAGATTCGGCGTCCAGGGATAGTGCAGCCATCTGTGTGGGTACATAGCATGCTGCTTTCTGCGTTCCGCATGCATACCATCGTAACTGTACAATGGAAGCACGGTGGTCGGAGTTGGAGCAGGAAATTTGTTAAGGGGCCGGGGCGGTCGCAAGCTTGTACTCCACTCTTGTCTGATAGTTATGTACGGACGCAGTCGCTGGGCCCAGTGTGTAGAGAGCCGAATGAATGTTGTCCTCATGTCAGGCACTGTGCTTCCAAGAACAGAACCTCGGGCTCCACTTGCAAAGTAAACGCCCGCATCACAAGTTTGGCTTGCTAAATACCTGCCTTAGGTACCTCTTAACCGTGGCGTGAACCAACCTCAAACTCTAATTAAACTCGCGCATAACGCGCGACATGGCATGAACTCTATCACTATGACGACAGAATGATAATGGAATCCACCGTACAAGGCTGTCGAGGCACTGCTGTCAGGCAAACTCCAGCCTAGGAAACTTTATTCTGCATACCCGTGGCAGCCGCTGACTCGCCGGCTGCTCTGAGCCTGACACATCTCTCGAGACGGGCGCCCCAATGCAGGACAAAGGAACAGTGAAGCAAGCAGACGAGGAACGCAAGCGCCCCGAGCGAGTGGAACGTTGCTGTCGCGGGAGCATGGCTAGGTTCATGCAGGTCGCCCAGAAGTCGATGGTGCTTGCTGGCCTACCTGCCCGTGGGTTTGCGGAGTGCGATCGGGGGTTGTGGAGGGGTTTGATGGGGACGGGGGTCGGAAGAAAGGGGGCTGTGTGAGCAAATCCAAAGGAGTTCAATTCTCGAATGTATCTTCCAGATTATCCTTAAAGTTTTTTCTCATGCTCAAAGAATTGAGTCTGAGATCAGCACGGTTGAATTGAGCTGACTACGCCTCAGCCCGTGACAACGCAGGCCGGGGCACCACAACCGCTCGCATTGACCGCCTCAGCCCAAGTGTTGACTGCAACAACACGTTCGCAGCCCATTGCAGCCTCACGTTGTACATACTAGAGCCTATCCATTCGCGACTTTACGCTTTCTTAGACTCACATACGCCTGCCTGCAGTTTTTTAAACCACGGCGCCTAGATATTCTCACGAGGCTCAACGCCATTACTCCTCTGCTCCTCCTACATAACATCCTGCATTGACACGTTATGGATTTCTGGATACACGCAGATCCGAGCGTCACTGTGTGAGTTCCGTGCGGAACACGAGGCGGCGCGCTAAAGAGCTCCTCTGCCTCCGCCGTTATAGGTGCCTGCCGGTACCTGCACGCTCATCCTCCTCGACCGGATGGCTCTCGAGCATAGCGTTATGCCGCATTTCTTCTCATTCGTCGGCGACCACGAGAGAACCGCTTGTCCAGAGTCCGTTGGCTCGACGCCGAACATGTGGGGAAGGCTATCGCTGCAGAAGATGGGCAGCTGGTTCAAGAAGGAGGACGGAGAGTTCGCGCACTTGCCTGAGTGGACAAATCAAGAGCTGCCTCGACGGGAGCGGGAAGACAGAGCGAGCATTGCAGAGAGGCGGCAACCGAGAAGGGCGATACCGAGCCTCCCGAGACCCATCACTTTCAGAAGACAGAACTCTGAGCGTCGCGAGAAACTTTCGCCCACCAAGACCAGCTTTGCAGAGCGGAGAGCCTACTCCGTTGACCGGCAAGGTACCGTCTCCTTTCGGAGATGCTCATCCCCATCGCCTGCCCCTCTGCCTTCACGGTCTTTCCCGGATGTTTCAGACACGGGCAATGGGACGTCGTTGGACGGGCTTCGGGCAGTGAGAAGTTCTGACGCATCAGAGGATGCAAGGGGTGCCCGCGATGGCTCGGAGCAGATAGGACAGTCGGATCAGCCGCCGCCTCTTGAACCCGCCGACGCATTTGTAGAACAGGAAACATCGTCCGTGGGTCTGGATTCCGAGACACTAGTGCAGGAGTTGGAGGCCAAATGGATACTGAACCTGAGCATGCACTTCCGAGACCAGTCTGAGCGCGAGAAGTTCTTTATTACCTACGCTGAGGAGCCGAACGAATGGCGGCGAGTCACTGTATCCTGCGATTACCGTCACGCCCAATCGGGTTCCCTGGAGGCTGAGCTGAAGACGTTACACTACCAACGAGATAAGATCCTTCGCATCTACGACTCAATCCGGGAGAGCTTGCCAGATATACAATTTTTCGACACCGTCACCAATCTTAAACTAGAAACGGAAGACAGCCAGCTCCACGTTCATGTTACTGAGGATGTCAATGAGATTATTCCCTACCCGCCTTTATCATCTTTCAACCATATTGATTGTCCCAGATTCCTGGAAAGTCAGGTCCATTTCGAGTCCCATATTTCCGGTTTCGTGTACAAAGTTAAGGTCAGCGGCCGTACATACATCAAGAAAGAGATACCCAGTCCGGAGAATGTGGACGAGTTCAACTATGAAGTCAATGCACTCCATGACCTAGAGGGATCAGAGAGCGTCATTCCATTCAGTGGTCTAATCGTGGATGACGATAGCCGTGTCGTCAAGGGTCTTCTCATCCCCTACGCGGAGCAGGGCGCCCTGGTTGACCTTTTGTTTGACCGGAAGGGTACGCCTTCGATGTCCTGGGGCAGGCGGGAACGCTGGGCCAAGCAAATTGTGCGAGGCCTATCCGAGATTCACGGGGGCGGCTTTGTACAAGGAGATTTTACGCTGTCGAACATCGTCGTTGACGCTAACGATGATGCCAAGATCATCGATATCAACAGAAGAGGCTGTCCCGTAGGGTGGGAGCCACCAGAGCTGACAACTAGGATCGACGCCGGTCAGAGGATCTCGATCTACATCGGCGTCAAGACGGATCTCTTCCAGCTCGGCATGGTGCTGTGGGCTCTGGCCGAAGTGCAGGATGAGCCGGAGCGAGAGGAGCGGCCGCTGGAGTTCACATCTGCAAGTGACAACGTACCTTCTTACTTCAAAGATATCGTTAGGACTTGCCTAAGCAGCAAGCCCAGAGAAAGAGCATCAGCAGAGCACTTGCTGACGCTGTTCCCTGAGGTTACCCGAGAGCATGCAAGGCCTCTGGACGAATTCAGGCACAGCGTATCAACCCACCGCTCGGACAAAGAGTATATCGATCCTGCTGTAGCTGTGGGTCGAGAAGATATCGACGAGTACCGGACTAGGAATGCGGCTACGAACCTCTCCGCTCCGTCCACTGGATTTACCTTTGCAGATGCCGTACCTTCAACTGAGTATCAGTTCGACAGCTCCCACTCTTACCTGGTTGGACGCCGTGGAAGATCCCCCATTGGCAGTGGCAGGAGGCGGTACGAACACTCTCCTTACGCTCGTAACTCGTCGACTGTGTCCATCGACGACAGCGAGCTGAATCACGACACCTTGCTCCTACCATCAGGCCTCGAGCGGGAATGGGAGCGCGTCTACATCGATGGTGGTCCTTCGCTCGTCCAACGAAGTTCCCTCCGTCCGATCGTAAGCGATCTCGATCTACGCGAAGAAGGCGTTCCATGTCTATCAACAGATGATTCTCGGACGCCGCAGGCGAGCAGCAATCTTGCCATCGATTCTCTGGCGCTCGCGGGTATCTCGGCCATAGACTGCCACGGGCCGCCCGAATTGCCAGGCGCTTCCATGGACATGCCGAAGAAGCAGTCGTTCCACGAGAGAGTACAGATGCTCCGCCGGAGTAATGACAGTGCACTGGCTGATCTGGAGCTCGAGGCGGCGCAGGAGCGGACACCGGAAGCGAAGGGAGTGGTAGAGGATTTTCGCTTTGGTCCGCCGGTGCATCAGGACTCAGGCTTCAGTGAACCGAAGGGAAGTATGGCTGACATGGATGCAGCGAACGCGGAATCACGAAGCGGGACAGATATAGCTGCGGCACCTTCGACAGCTGTCCTAACATCCAGTGCAAACAACGCACCTTCTGCGTCCTCGGAAGTCGACTTTAAGGAACCCCTTATGGATATTCCCTTAGTAGCGCCAGCAGACACACAACTGGATGGTCCGACCACCATTCCGCTCTCTCACCTCCCAGCCCGTGAGCCACAGAACCTTCTTGAGCAATGCGGCATTCCAGTCTCCCACCGACAGATATCGGAGCAGGATGCCTTTGTGCCCCCTTCGCCCAAGGATTCTTAGGTCGATGGTTTACACGCCTGCTTTCATATTGTCTTTGCGTCGACTTCTCATGGATTGGAATTGGCGCATGGCGGCCGTGGCCATCGTCTGCAGCAGTTAGGATGTCAAGATGGATGATCCAGGGAGGTTTTGTGTACATCACGGTTAATCAAACATGTGCACATTGCCTCCGATGGAGATCTTCGTTATCATGGTGAAAGGGCGTTGGGATCTACTTCTGGCTTACACGATATACCTTCATCTCTTCTCGGTGGTGTAGCTTTGAGTTTCTGGCTATTGCCCTCTTCGAAAAGCTTGGTTGGATGTGGCTTGCTGAGCCACGGCTGGCGTATTGGTCGTCCTGAATTGGACTCGGTGCCTTTATACATCTCATGAATTGCTTCACGTCACGAATTTTGGTACCTTTTGAAACGCCGTCATGATTGCCATTGCCGTTGGGATTCGGACGACGTTTTTGGCTTGATTTCGGTTTCTTTTACGCTAGATGTCCGTCTCGGTCCTTGGAGTAAATGAATACAGATATCTTTTTGTAGATATTATGGACAACGTTGGTTTCTCCTGCTGCCTAAGGCTTCGTGCTTCCCCCTATTTCAAAGTTGCAAGGAACCAATTCGCTCACATAACACCAAAAATCACAGAATCACCAAGTCATCCAAGACTAATTGGCTCCCTTATCATCAACAAATCACCAAACCATCCATGTCATAACGAACACCTCGTCCTTGATTAGTAGCTCTTCTTCCCCTATCTTACCTCCCAGCGAAATCAAGGACCTCATTTATGGTCTCGCTGAGCCCGAAAATACTATGTATAGTATCATCCGGTGCAACCACTGTAGTCTTTACTAAGCTTAAAGAAATACATACGATGACAAGCACCTGACACCCGGTCTAATTCTTGTGATTATTGATACCAACGCTTCTTTGAACGGTCTGTAAAGGCTGCAGCGTTAAAAAAGCATATGAGCAGAGTAACTCACACAACATTCAATCGCAACCAAGCTAGAGAGTTAGGCTTGTGATGAGAGGTATTTCACACTGGCCGCTTGTATAGAGAGTAGAGAACCACCTAGCCGTTAAGTGCTTATATGCATTGATCAGCTGAGGTGCTTTTAAAGCACGAATCGCTGTTAAAGTAACCCAACATCAACCTCGAAACCATAGATCGTACGGAATCGATAGCGGTGGCTATATAACCAGCTAATTGCAGCTTCGACTTGAGTGAAGCTCTAATGCAAGATCAACTATCTACAGCATGATTTGCTCTGTTCCCGAGGCTCAATGGTAGACGAAGAACCCCTGCCGTGCCTGCCAAGACCTCGAGTATTCATCTCCCCAGACGCGCGCTCAACCTACAGTCGCAAACCCCACCATGCTATAGAAACCGTTGATACTGCGTCCCAACCGCTCGCTCCTCTTCGCCTACTCGCTGTCTTGCTCTCCTCATTCACGGACACACCACAATGGCCACCACGAAAGAAACATCCATTCCGGCGCAAACGCGCGTCCCCGACTGGGAGCACGAAGCGCAAGCGCACACCACCACCAAGAGACCGGGGTTTACCACGATCCTTACGTCCAGATTCAATGCCTTTTTCCCACCCCATCGAACCTACCTCGGCCTCTCCCGCCGCGTCTTCCTCCTCATCCTCACCGCCGTATTCTTGCTACTCTTCACCCTCGTCATCGGCCTCGCCGTAGGCCTAACCCTCAGATCCAGCAGCACTCGGAACCTGCCCCTCCCCGGCAACGCTGAAGTCCACACCGGCGACCTCACATACTACGACACGGGTCTCGGCGCCTGCGGTCTGACTTCCTCGGCCAGCGACGACGTTGTCTCGATCAGCCACTTCGTGTTCGATGCGGTGCAGGTGGGTGGGAATCCGAATAGTAATCCGCTCTGTGGACGGAGGATCAGGGCGAGGAGGTGGCACGAGGGGGAGAAGGGGGAGAGGAGCTTGGATTTAAGAGTCGTGGATCGGTGCACGGGGTGTCAGCCGCAGGATATCGATGTCAGTTATGGGGCTTTTGATAAGCTGGCTGTGAGGGATCATGGGAGGGTGGTGGTGGAGTGGGCGTGGCTGGAGAGTTGAAGAGGACAAGAGCTTTTGGAAGACGACATAAAAGACAGGAGGTTGAGCCCGTTATGGCCATGACGAAACCGCTTTCGATATGCGCCTACGCCTAGACAAGCGTCGACACTACGATCCTCATCAAGGATCTCCTGTTACATGGCCATCAAGACTCTCCCGAAACTCCTCCGGCGTATCCTCCTGCCGCCTCCAGTGCGCCTTCACGACAGCCTCCTCCCGACTCATCGTCTCATAGATCCTTTTCACCGTCGGCAGCTTCTCGAGGTCGACGCCGAACCTCTCCGCGCCCCACACAGCCGGCACCAGCACCACATCCGCCATCGTAATCTCATCCCCAACCGAGAACTCCCCCGCCGTCTTCTTCGCCGTCTCCTCGTACGCCTTCAGCCCGCGCGTCATGTACTCTCGCGACCACTCTGGCCCGTTCTTTCCCAGCTTGCCGACGGCTAGCATGATGTGCCGATTCGTCACAGGCTGCGTGTCGCACGCGATGATGTCGACGAGCGTCCGGACCTGCGCTCGAGCCACCGCCTTGTCGCCTGGAGGCAGCAGGGGTCGGCGATCTGGGAACGCTTCCTCGAGGTATTCGAGACCGGCGACGGATTGGGTGATCGGCCAGGCGTTGTCGGTGTTCAGCGGTGTGAGGACGGGGACGGTGCCCGAAGGGTTGAGGGAGAGGTGCGAGGCGGAGGTTTGCTCGTCTTTGAGGAGGTTGGTGTAGCTGCAGCTGTAGGAGAGGGACTTGAGGTTCAGGGCGATGCGCAAACGCGCGGAGCAGGAGGAGCGGAAGTAGGTGTTGAGGTGGAATTGGGGAGTATCGGAGGACATGGTGGTGGTCAGAAGGGGGAAGCACTACGCTGTGGGTGCTCCTAGGGGTAAGCTCAAGGGCTGCTAAGCTGGAATGGCATCACACAAGCTCTCCAGTAGGCAGGCCTCTAACTTATGTGGAAGCACTGCGCGGAAGCTCTCCGCAGATATGCGGGGTGTTGCGGGATATCCGTCGATAGCCATAGGGGCTGGCGCATGATGGAGAGCAAGCCACTTCGTGACCCTTGGCGGTAATGCTAGGGATGTCAGAAACACTTGAAGTTGTCATGTCAGCCGAACGGTATCCGGAGGACTTGTCCGTAGATTGGGTCAATGTGTTTCTGCGATGGTGCAGGGTGTTGAATCTCTGACCTCGAACGCCAAGACTGATGCTCCGCCTCCGCCTCACGTGGTCTCGGTGGCTGGGCTTTGGGCGTCGGCGAATGACGCCGCATCAGTCTCTCAAACCTCCCAGTAACGACCACAAGCTTCCTTAACCCTGAGCTCACCTACCCAACTGCCTGTATCGAGTTAACCAAGAACTCATCTACCCCGGTTCGTCTGCTCCAACTTCGGCGAGCAGCTCTGGACATCTCCGATCCATCAGACCTCGTCCGATAAGCCCATCAGGCATCTCACAAAACAATCCACTCCCAGCAACCGCTCCAACATGCGTCTCTCAGCCCTCGTCCTTTCCCTCGCTGCCGCGACAGCCGTGTCCGCCCGCTCGGCAGGCGACTTCATCAAGGTCGGCGGCTCCCAGGTCTCCATCAACGAGGACCTGAGCGTGCCGGGCAAGAACCCGCTCTCCTTCTGCTCGGCGCCGACGGACGACATCCTGAAGATTGACCACGTGGATCTGGACCCGAACCCGCCCGAGGCGTGAGTTGTTTCCTCTTATCGTTTGCGCGGATGGCTGGGCGGGCAGGGGCATGATGGCTTTGGGCATCAGCACCGGTCCTCCCCGGACCGCCCACCCCCACGCTACACAAGACCGCTTACTGACAGCTAACCAACTCTTTGATCCCAGCGGCAAAACCCTCAACATCTCCGCCAGCGGCACCCTGCGCGAAAAAGTCGAAGAAGGCGCTACGATCCACCTGCAGGTCAAGTACGGTCTCATCACGCTGATCAACCAGCAAACCCCGCTCTGCGACCAAGTCAAGAACGTCGACCTCGAGTGCCCGCTCGAGAAGGGCGACATGAAGCTGAGCAAGAGCGTCGACCTGCCGCGCGAGATCCCGCCGGGGAAGTACACCGTTTTGGCCGACGTGGAGGATAAGGCGGGGAAGAGGATCACGTGTTTGACGGCGTCGATTACGTTTGGGAGACATTAGGCTGTGGTGCGTGGAGAGGACTTGGGGATGGGGAACGGGAGGGGGAGGTCGGGAGACGGGGGAGGACTGTGTGGGTTTTGGTGGTAGGACACGGCGACGCTGAAGGCAGGGGAGGAGGTTTCAATGTACTTTGATGCACAGTTTCTGAACGGGACGTGATGCAGGTCTTTGCTACAATTCTTCTTTGCAGCTGGTATCGAGAACGTAATCCTAGGCCCCGAAAGACCCCGTGCTATTGGCACCGCCGTGAATCCCAGCCCACCGCACCGTCGTAAAGAGCCTCCTAGCCCTGCTATAGGTGCTGAGAATCTGCATCGTTCCGCCGGAGTGACATGTAGCTACTCGCCGAAGAGCCGGCGCACCCTCTTCAACACGCTATCCTTCTCTGGGTCGTATGGGTGGTCTTTCGATGGAATCTCCAAGAGCGCCGGAAACGCCGCCGTGTACGTGTCGACGCGGTGCCGGATCTTATCCGCGATCTACACGAGGTTCAGCGCGTGCTACGCCCAGTGTGCTTGGAGTAGCAGGCGAGTGCACGTACGTGCTGATTTATGAGCACTATCGCTATGTCCTTCCTCTCCTGCGTGAAGCGCTCAAACGCCGCTTCGATCGTCGAGTTCTCGGTTTTCTGATCCACTACTAGGAAGTTGCGTTGCGAGTCTGGGGGTTCCGTGACGTGCTGCACAACCCGTCAGGCTTACAAAGTTCCTTGGTAGTATGGTAGGGGAACTGGATTGCTACGCACACCGACGCCCGCGAGGAGTAGGCCGGTCACTGAGTCCTGGTAGTCCTCAGTGTGAGCTTGGGGAACGGTGGTGGTGGGGGTGCAGCAAGTACCTCGTCACCGATAACGGCGAGGAACTGTCTATCCTTGTACGCTGAAGGGGGAGCTGCCATGATGCGTAGTCCTGGGTTGTGGATTCGTCAAGTCGTAGGTTCGTCAAAGCGGCAGCGGTTCTGCGCGTTGGATATTACGGACGTGTGGACGGTGAGGGTGCTTAAGATGTAGCTTGCGGCGGAGGCTGAAGCCATGGCGGGATCGGCGCAGGGATGATCGGCGCTAGAGTTCGCTGTGACGCTTAGCTTCGATGTATGTAAACAACAAAACTTTCTGTGGACGACTGAACGGAGCTTCTCCAGTAAGCTTTCAAAGCGCGGCTACCTCGGAGGATGGCGAGTGGCAGAGATACATACCTCTGCAGTTCTCCATCCTGATATCTCTCTCATCCTCTAACAATTCAAAATGCCCCGCCTCGTCCGCCGCGCGCCGCTCTCTGAGCGCATCAAGAGCTACCTCAACCCGTGGGACTTCCTCCTTTGGCTATCGGAAGAAGTCAACGACGAGTGGGAGGAGCGCTTGAAAGAATGGTCGGTCGTGATGGGTGTTGCGATGAACTTCGTGTTCATGGTTGCGCGCGCGAACGGCGGGAGAGCTGCGAGCTACGCAGGAGACGATGTCTTTGGAGACTATGAAGGACGGAGAGGCAGCGGCTGGTTATCGTGGTTTGTGAGTGAACCCGTCAAGATCGCCTAACACTGCGAGAAACAAACTGACCGGCTTTCCCTCCAGGCTACCTGTCTTGTCTGGATCCTCTCTGGGTTCTCGGTTCTCAACGCTGTATATACCTTCTACCGCAGACGCCACTACAGGCTCTTCGAGACCTCGATCGATGTCCCTCCAACAACTCCATCCGCCCACCGCGTCCGTGTCGACTCCTCACCTCTATCATCCTCTCCCCTCCGCTTTCTTTCCAACATTATAACCTCATCATCAGCCGAAGCGCGCGCCCACCCCGATGAAACGCGCGATGTCTGGGAGCTCGCTGTCTGGGACCCAACGCCCATATGCCTGCGTCTCTTCTGCCTGTTCAGTCCCGGTCATGTCCTCGTCTACTTTCTATTTCTCCCCTTTGCGCCGCTCGACCCTCGGCCCAGCGTCACAGTCGTCAAGACCATCATTCTGGCGACCCTTCTGTCAGTACAGCTGAGCATGCTCCATACTTCATTCTCACAGCAGACCAAAGACACCGCCATAATTTCTAAAGAAGTGTTGCACGAATACGATACCAAATTCGTGCATCCGATGCTAAATCGACCGGTACGGGACGTTGGCACTCAGAGCGCGGAGAGCGGCGCGCAGACCACAGAGGTTGATACATACACCCCGACAACAATCGTCAATCGCGGTTTCCGCATTAACCCCAATCCCGCATATGCGTCGCAATATGATCCAGATGGTGCACTCCAGGAACAGCGTCAGCACAGGCTGCCCCGCATGGCCAGCACGCCTTCATTTAAGACGCCAGCAACAGTAAACGGCTTCGCGGATCCCGCTTCTTCTCCAGCAACACAGCCAAGGACTGCAATACGCCAACCGCAGTTCCGACCGGCTGCTCAAAGCACAAATCACGTATCTAGTGGCCCCGGCGATGGGGGCAGTCTAGGCGTGTACTCGCATGCGAATTCACCGCTGAGAAAATCTGCGTCCACAAACCTACTGAGGGCCGACGGCGGCGGTGGCGATGGGATAAAGAAGCGGGAGGGGAGCCCGCTGAAGAGGATGAGCACCCCTGGAGGTGGCGATGGAGGGCTGAACCGGCGATTTGCCCAGCTAAGGGGCGAGGGAGCTCCAAGAAGGGAGAGCGGACGGTTTTAAATGGGACGGAATGTTCAGAAAACACTTCATGAAGGACGGGATGGGACGTCGCACGCCCTCTGGAGAGTCTTTGATGTAATCATGGAACTGCGAGATGTATCACACTGCCAGCCTGCAGGAGAGAAGTGCTAATCATCATCATGGCGTTCATCATCATCAGCAGCTGGAAGATTCGTACCGGCTGGAGTTTATGGGTGTTGGCTCGGTGCCTGAGCGGCCTAAAGCGCCCTGTGGTCGGCTCAGTAAAGTATCACAAGGCGCGCCATCTGATTGGCCAGTCAGTTGAATCTCACGTCATCATGCTGACTGTCGCATATTATGAACCCTCTGCGTTCATCACCGCAAGTCAAGAACTTGTCCGGGTTACAGCTCGCACCACCCACAAAAAAGTTCCGGGCACCCACGGATTAACCTCTGGGTGGGCCGAGCTTTTTCGGATAAACCTCTAGGTGGGCTTAGCTTTTAGCCTAAGCAGTGCACATGCGATGCATATGCAATGAATAAGCGCTGCATATACACTTTATATGTATATCTATTGCAAGTTGGCGGTTAGCGGTTAGTGGTTAGATGGTTAGGTGGTTAGCGGTTAGGGTGGTTAGGATTAGCTGTTTAGGAAGAGCATAGGAACCTGTCCCGACTAATTGCAACCCTAAACGGTCTAGGATCAGTATATGTAATGTGTAGGAATTGTATAAGCGATGCATATGCACCTTGTGGGTGGGCTCAGCTTTGCCAAGGTAAGCTCTGGGTGGTGCCAAGTCTCAATTTCTGGGTGCCCAGAACTTTTCTCTGGGTGCCGCGAGGTGTGTGCCCGAACTTGTCAGAGTTTCAGAATCAGCCTGTAATTACAACCTTCACGAGCCGGACAGATAATGGCATCAACTCAAGGCATACCCGTCATGATGGTCGGCAGGTCCGCCGAGAACGGCAAAGGCGTCATTGCGCTTCTGCAGCCCGATTATGATGGTAAGCCCATCCTCACGCTCAACCCTCCCAAAAATTGTGAAAGCACACAAGGAGCCCCTTGAAGCTCAACTCGTCTCATACCCACTCCCAGTCGTCCATTTCTGCGAAACAGTCCCCTCAGCCAAGGAAGAAATCCCCACCGTGCTCCAAGGCCTCCCCGTCCATGCAGCTACCCCGATTGGAAGCAACGCCCATCGCACCAACACTGGATCCAAACTTCCGACCCCTGAATTTATCTTCATGGGCGCCGGGTTTCCGGACGAAGACTTCGAAGAGGTAAAGGCTGCGGTTGGGGAGCTACCCGAAGGCATCCGCTGGGCCAGGGAACGGAGGAGTGACTTTGACGGGCTGGGGCTGGAGAAGGATGAGAGTTGGCATGAAGCTGCGGGGAGGAGGGTTCCGAAGCCGGAGATCATCGCTCAGGCGGCAAGGAGGGTGTTCGCGAGGGCGAAGGAGGAGGGGACGTAGGAGTGCAGTTGAATGCTCCTCGTAGCGTGAAGGATAGAACGACTTCGAATGAAAACTGCTGGAAACTTCGGTACCGTTTGACAAGTGGTTATGCAGAGCTATCTGTCTACCTCAGCTTGTACACGCACGGCTTCAACACCTTGCTCTCATCCGTTTCATCCTTCTGTTCCTCCTCCACAAACTTCCCCTTCGGCTTCCTCTTCCACGTTTCATCATCGCCCGTCTTGTTGTCTGCAGCCTGGACGTTCTTCCCCTTGACCGGCGTCGCAGCCTTGACGAAGTTCATCCTGACAAACATCTTGTTGCTCAGATCAACCGCTCCCTCTCCATTCAGCACAAACCCCCTTTTCCCCAAAACCTCCACAAACGCCCCGACATCAGTCCCCTGCTTTCCGCTTTCCACACCATCAACTTCAACCGCCAACTCCTCCTGGTTCTCTCCCTCTTCCTGTTCTTGCAGCTTCCTCTTCTCTTCCTTGCCGACTAGCTTGTTGTTCTTCTGCCGTTTGCCCACACTATGCTCCACCACCTTCCCAGCCCCTCGCTTCCCCTCCACTCTTCCAAATCGGCTCTTGATCTCTGCAACCCACAGCTCGCCCCTCCACCGCAAAACCCTCCACGCCTCTTCAATGAACTCAACCCAATTCGTGCCCATGAGCGCCAAACAAAAAATCGCCACATCCACGCTCCCATCCCCAAGAGACAGGTCCGCGATATCCGCCTTCGTGACCAACGGGCTCGGACTCGCAAGATCAAAGCTCTTGATCTCGAGCTTCAGCTTCGCCGCCAGCGGACCAAGCTCCGCAGCCAACCTCGCATCCCCGCACCCCAAATCCGCAATCCTACACACCCCATGCGTCCGTGGCAGTGGCGCCAACTCCCCTTCCTTCCTCGCCCCAGCACCGCCATCGCCCCTCCCGCCCCGCCTATCGCGAAAATTGCCTCGCGGCTCCCGCACCTTTCCCCTCTCGCGGATCGTGCGGATGTACACGTCCAGCGGGTTCTCGGGCCATGCCTCGACTTGCTGCCGGAAGCCGGCGTGGTACTCGTTGAATATCTCCGGGTCCTCGTCGATGAGTTTCAGGGAGTGGGAGGAGGGCGTGGTGTAGAGTGTTTGATTCAGATGTCTGAAGCGGGCGGAGGCGAGCTTGGCGCGCATGGAGGCCTGCAGGGGCGTCAATTTTGTGGCGGGGGGAAGGGGTGGAGGTGCGGCTGGTTGCTTGGGGTTCGAGGGGGTTTGGGTGGCCTTGAGAGTGTCTTTGGTGGGCGAAGTAGAGGCGGGTTGGGGTTTGGCGGCATCGCGGAGGTTCTTTTCGGGCCTGTTTCTCTTCTTTTTCTCGAGCTTGGTGGACTGCTCTGCCTGTACTGGCTTTGATGTAGAATCGGGCCCATGCTTCACTTCTACCTCCTCCTGACCGTTGTTTTGCTTCTCAGCCCTCCGCGCAGCTCCAGCCTCCCGCTGCTTCTGCCTCCTCTGCGTCTCGGCCTCGTCGTTCTTGCTCTTCTTCGCAGGCTTCCCCTCGATGTACTGCTCCCACATGTCCGCCACGTTGCCCCTCGTCACCGTAGGTCCATTTGTTCTTCCATGACCCCCCCTCTTCCGCTTCTTGGAAATCTCAGACGCGTTGGCTGCGGTGCCTTTGTTTGGCGCGACATTTGGTACGGCAGCAGATGACGTGTTGGTTTGCGCCTTGATTGGAGCGGATATGTTCCAGCCTGGGACAGCGAACATGGCTCGAAGTGTGTAAATAGCGTAGTGGTGTCGAAGACTGGAGCTGGACGGAAGACCAATGTTTCGTGCGGTCAACTTTTCCAACGGCTTGGCAGGGTCCAGCGATTTTCCGGGGTCGACACTCGCCAGAGCGCGGCTTCAGTTTTAATCTTAGACGTTGGAGACTCCGTTCAGCTTGCATATCTACTCAGCAGCTAGGATTACCATGATAAACACGCGGGACGCTCAAGGAGGCGCGCGTAGAAGACCACAGGTTATTAGCTGTGATGGCTTACAGTTCTCATGACTGACCGCGCAACCGCGCTATCAAGAGTGCTGTTCCTCGTCCTGCAGCTGCTAACGTGAAATCGATTACAGGTGCTTGATTACCGTAGCGTGATGTGAAAGTTATCTTCCTTCGTGAGCGCTGTTTGATATTGGAATCACTATCAGTCCAATCCCTACATCATCATGACGTGGTACGGACGAGCAATCGAGATATTTACGAGTACATGGACATGCTGCATTACAACAATTCAGACCAACCTCATCCTCATCGTTTCCGGTACCTCAACACACAATGTCCAAAACAACCCTCACCTCCAAGATTGCCGTGGTTGGCGCCGGCGAAGTCGGCTCTACAATCGCCTACTCCCTGATCCTCCTCACCGTAGCGGGGGAGATCCTCCTCGTTGACCCAAAGGAAAATGTCCGGGATGCACAGGTACAGGATCTCTCCGACGCGACCTTCCATGGTAACACGAGCACCCGAATCAGGGCGGGCACGCACAAAGAGGCGGGCCAGTGCGATATCGTAGTCATAACTGCTGGCGCAAAGCAGAAGAAAGGTAGACTTTTCTACCTGTGCCGGAGTCTGTAGTCAATCATGTACTAAGAGAACTGTTTACGTGAAGGCGAGAGTCGTACGGATCTGATCGGCCGCAACATGAAGATCTTGGGAAGTGCAATCGAGGACATGAAGCCATTCGCCAAAGACACGGTGCTGCTTCTTGTTGCTAACCCGGTCGATGTCTTGACATACTTCGCGCAGAAGTTTGCGGGTCTACCAAGGGAGCAGGTTATTGGCAGTGGCACGTTTTTGGACTCTGCAAGACTCAGGGGCATGTTGGCGGAGAAAGCTGATGTGAGTGGTTGCGAATTCTCACTGCAGCTATGTGTATCCTGGTCTCAAGGACATAGGAGTGGGGGTGATAGAAAAGAGCCCGTCGCTGCCGATGCCGCTTCTACAGACTGCATTAGTAATCATTCCAAGCTCACGCTTCTCTTTCTAGGTCGCGGCAAGCTCAATCGACGCCTACGTGCTCGGCGAGCACGGAGAGTCTCAGTTCGTAAGCAAACACCATCTTAATAACAGCCCCAAGAATGCGTGCTGAAGCAGAGTGACGACTAGGTAGCATGGTCCAGCGTATCCATCGGTGGCGTACCCATCGAGCAGGCAGTGTCCGACCTACAGATCGACCGCGCCGCTACGGCCGAAGACACGAAGAACAAAGCAACAGCCATCATGGAATCGAAGGGCGCAACAGCCTTCGGTATCGGCGGTGTTGCAGCAAGTATTTGCAAGTCGATTCTGTTTGATCAGAAGAACATCAGGCCGATCAGCCATTATCGGGAGGATCTGCAGTGTTGCTTGAGCTTCCCAGTTGTGCTTGGCAGGAAAGGTGTCGTGAGAACGGTGCCGATGCCGCTTAGCGAGGAGGAAGACAAGGCGTTGAAGAAGTCGGGGGAGAGTTTGAGGGAGATCATTGTGGATGCGGAGAAGAGTTCTGCGTAAAGTGACTGGGCCATCCCAGAGAAAGAAGAGCGCTGCACCGTGATCTGAAATCCTCGCAAATCTGCTAAGCAGGTATAGATCCTGGGTGCTTCGCCGATACAAGCTGTGGCAGTATACTGACAATTTACACGTGCTAAAGACTTTGAGCGGTGGGAAACCCTCGGAATGTACTGAGAAGCTGACGACGCTGGAAGTCTTTCCTGCTTGAAAGCTTCGCTACTATGCTGAGAAGCTGTAGGAGGTAAATCCGCATCCCGCAGAGACAGCGCAGCCTCGTTCTGTCAGACCGAACACCCAATAGTAAACAACAGTCCTACGCGCCACCATGTCATGCCACCACCAGGGTATCTACCACCTGATCCAGTAACCCCTCCCAAAACGCCCTTTCCCAGAATCTCAAGCTTGATGGAATTGTGGTACCCGTAGTCTGCTGCTCCTTACGAACTCCCTTTCTACCCTGCTCCCACAGGGAACACCCCTCCTTCACCTGATTCTCCCACCACTCTCTTTCCGCGCTCTCGCCGGCCCTTCTTACCACGGCTTCCTCATCCTCCATCTTGTACAGATCACATCTGTCACATTCCTGACAAGGTTTCCCAGGATCCGGTCTGAAATGCTGACAGAAATGCCTATAGCCCTCCTTGCCCACCTCTTGACGGCAGACGTAGCACATCTGGTACCCGCACACGCACGTCAGCTTGTTGCAGCCAGACGCCTTAACAAAGCTGAGATTGCAGTTCGGACAGGTGCGCTTGATTGCTTCGGCCTGTGCACGCTCGATGGCCGTACGGAGGGCCTGCCGCTCGGACTCATGGCAGATGTGGATGTCGTGCCACTCTTTGTGGCAGCTGATGCAGGAGCGGCGGCCGCAGAAGGGTGAGAGGCAGGAGAAGCGGAGGCCGAGGCTTTTGCGAGCGAGTCGTTTGCGGGATTCGATCAAAGGTGCAAAGATCTGGATGTTGGTTTTGAGGAGGTAATTGAGCGTGATGAAGAGAAACGTGAAAAGAACGAGGAAGCGGAAGGGGCCGCGGAAAGCTGGGATGGAAAGTAGATGGAAGAGTATAGCGGAGGTGAGTACGAGAAGTCCGCGGTTTTTTAGCCGCCATTTGAGATGCTGCGTCGCGAGATAAACCTCATCGACTTCGGCATAGATACAGAAGGGACATTTGAGGATTGGTAACCCAGACTGTATGAGGTTTGAAGTCGTTGAGCGTTCATGAAGTTTCCGCCATGTCTCTTCGCCGTTCGGTTCTGTGGCGAGTGCTTGTTGGATGGAGGAGAGTGGGAGGCACCCGTTGCATTCTTTTGTGCCGTTGGTAGCGAGTGCAATGCACCGCAATGTTCCCCTTTCTGTGTTGATATTGCGGGCCCAACCTTGACCGTAGAGTGCTTCGTTAACAGAGTGACGTATGCAGCGGAAGCAGATGTAATGAACTCCGTCATCACAGACAGACAGCTGTTCGAATGTGCAAGGTGTGAAACAGCACCCGCAGTCGTACATATCCCCAGCTTCCTCAGCCTGAGCTTCATTAAGCTGCTCAGCCAACGCTCGGTCCCTCACAATCTGCTCCGCTTCCATCCTGGCCAAGACTGGAGCAACCAGAGTGTCATAAAGCTCTTTGTTGAGCTCTGCATTTTCTGTGTACGTCAGCACCGGCCGTGCTGGTATATTCAACCTTGGTTCAGGAGCGCTCCAAGTTATGAGTGGATGGTCGGTAGAAGATGGCGCCTTCCGCCGTTTGATAAGGCTTGTGAAAGAGAACCTCCATGACTTAGAGGCCAAGTTCAAGAGTGTAGGTCTAGCTTGAGTGTAAGAGTAGTTGTATTCGGCAAGCACAGCCCGGATGGTGGAGCGGCTGAGCCCCTTGAACTCCTCATATAGAGCGGTTTTCACTGCAGCCTGGTAGCTTTCGTTCCGGAATCTGTCTTCCATGGCTAGAGGCATTCCACGAGAATCTACCGTACACGCGGCTCTGTATTTGTAAAAGGATGGTACCTCTCGTTCCTGCGGCTGACGGTATCGTCCGCGTACTAGCTTTGCTCTGTGCTTGAGGAGGCTCTCGGTCACGATTTGGACTCTACTCTCCTCGCTGACATTGGCGAGGAGTTCGCGGAAGACCTCAGGCTGGATGTCAGGGAAGATAGTGGCGAGAATCTGTAGGGAGTCGTTAAGATGGTGCAAGTCAGGTTCCTCATCCTCAGGCTCACGCAGCGCTATTCGTTCAAGAACAGCTACCGAAGGCGTAGCAGATCGAGGTGCCGGCGAGCTGAACGAGCCCCATGGCATTGCGTGACTACGTGGCGTGAAGTTGAGGGATAACTTTCAGAGAGGCAGGTGGACGGGAGTGTTTAGAAGGTGCTCAACCGGCAAAACACGTGATACGAAAGCCAAGCGAACTTGCCGCCGACGACAAGTCTTCGACGTCTCCAAGAGCTCCTTTCGCATCACATCCCATCAACCCGCAGAGCGAGCAGCATGCCATCCGTCTCAGTATCACCGCGTTCAGTTACCAGTCGAGTCCTGTCGGAGTGGCCACCATGAACCGTGATGATTAGCAGCGGATCTGATGCTGGAGAAGCGGGCAGCATACTATGCATGCTAATTCTGCCAACACTAAGAGGAACAGTAATCTGTGACCTTGAAGATCCGTGAGAGCAAGGCATCATGACCAGATACATCTTTCAGAATGTCGTGAAGTTCCGCACGAACCAGTTATGTCCTTCAATGCAAAGATGCGGGCGCGCCACGTCAATGAGGGTGAAGATGGTTTGTAATACGCTCTTTCAGCTCAGTAGATACTACGTGTTTCCCTGCATGCTTCAATCTTTCCAGGTCAACAGTCAAATAGCTTTGAACCGTCAAGGCCTATTAGCAGTGAACGCGCTAGCGCCTTCAGGGTGCTCCAGCGGTGTTTGCAACTCCTCTTCACTAGACCGTAACACCGCGTTCCACTCCGCCCTCTCTGAGTGACATCCAACTCTGTGCCGTCCTTATTTCATCTTGTTCTTTCTTCACTTCCATCCTCAACACAGGTCGCGGTTGAAGGGCCCATATCTTACGCGATCACGAAGAGCTCACATAAAGTTGACCTTACATCAATCTCGTGGGTACCTAACTACCATCACGAGTACCCTTTCAAGCAGATCTAGAACCTTGAAGAATACAGCCGACACCGCAGGCGCGCTTCCTCCTGGAGCCGTGCTTGCATTCAGCCATCGCCGCGATGATCGACGGAAAGATTCTAGATTACATTATCAACCATGTCGTTCTACCGCCCAAGTTGCCTCTCCGAGTGGAGAAGAATCAAGGTTCGCTAGAGGACGCGCTTCTCGAGTTTGTTCACGAAACCGCTTGCACCTTTATTCAGCAGCTATCAGACGCCGATCAGGCTGGGTGGAGGCCTATTCTATCCATGCTGGAGCGATGGATGCATACGTTACGAAACGGAGCTTTGGGAGCGGAAGCGCTGACAAAATCGCTTTTTCACATGCAATCGAACGGTTAGTGCTCACCCTTTACAGCCTAAGCCTACAGAGCCGTATGGCTACAGTTCAGTTTTTGAATATCGGTTGTTACTTGTGATACATGCTGGCAAGGCTGACCCGCACCACAGATTTCATGGGCCTCCATCTCAACGCACAGAATGCTGGAGTTCTACTTTACAGACTTACAGACTCTTTCGTTTTTGAAGCGTAAGACTTTCTACATCCACTGCTCCTCCCTCGACTTGAACACATGCAGCGTTTGAGGAACTTAGAGGCCTACTTGGAGCGCCGCCATAAGAAGGCGGTGCCCAGCAACCCAGGACACTTTACACACCCGCAAAAGCAGTCATTCTCCGTCCAATACGTCCAGACCTCTTCCCAACACGACGCTCTCAAGACTTCCATCGAAGATAACGCACTGCAGCGAAGGACTGAGAAGGGATTAGAATGGGAACGAAAATCACTCAAATTTCAGTCCTTGGAGGCTGAGGCTAGGGAGCTGGAACATACTCCGAAAAGAGACAATGACGATGCGGAGGTCCATGGCGAAGCAAACTGCGCGAAATGCAGGATTCAACATGAGGCAGACAGCATGACCGTGGAAATTGATGAGTGGCCACTACCTTCGGATAAAGAGCAGATGGAGGCTTGCCTGTTTGAGCTGGATCGACCACCAGGCTTTGATGCGTGGCGAGACACGACCTGGAGCATTGTACAAGATCTTGGCAGAAATCCGGCTGACCCTTCTGAAGACGTGCATGTTCGTCTACACGAATACTCCCACCTGAGGAAGTTAGCAACAGGCTCCCCCCGCATCACGCTGGCCTCATACACAAAGCCTTTCGCGCTGTCGCACTACAAGCGTCGCAAGTTCGCAATCCCGATCGACAGTATATGCGTCGATAGTGGACTAAGATATCGCCTATTCGACACGACTCAGAAAGCTTGGGTGACGCTTGCTAGAACGGGTGAGCGTCCATCATTGGCCCAGAAGTGCGTTCTTGCACTACCTAGCAGTCCGTACACGACTCTTCAGTGGGCCGTCGACTCAACGAAACACTTCGCGAACCAGGTCATGGAGAAGCAAGCAGAGTGCCCACCAGAGATCAGTCTTCGGGAATACCATTCTTTTGGACTCCTCCGTGCTGGTCCGAGACTACAATGGAGCAACATCCTAGCGGAACTCAGCGCCACGAACCTAACATTGAATGGCTCGGCCCGAGTATTGCTCCTGCAAACGGCTTGGGAAGCTGGTCGAGCGTCCACCAGAGGAGTGCTCCGTGAAACGCACTGCATGTTTGAAGACAATGCTTTCTGCCAGAAGCTTCTGCAGGTGTTAGGGCATGTGGCGAACAGGGTTGCGGCGAGTTGGAAAGAGCATGAGGCCGTAGCGATGACCATCAGCCTGCTACTTCGCCTTCTCTCCCTTACGCAGTCGGAAGATGTCACTTTAGAGGCAATATCGCTGCTTCGTAAGCTACGAGAAATCAAGGTTAGCCAGACCAACAGACGGCTGTTACGGATTGCAGCCAGCACCTGTCGCACCACCTACAATGTTGACGCTCGGCACGTTCCCAGAATCTTATGCACTGACGCGGACGTCGCCTGTTTAATCGAGTGTTCCATCATCGTACACGACAATGCGACAAATGACATACCTGCCACCCAGGCAAACGTGGAGGACACACTCATCAACCATGCCTTGCAACATGGTCTACGAAGCTGCATACTCGAGCTTCCTACGGGTATGAACACAGCTGTCACCAAGGTCCTGACAGGAGCAGTTGTTAGTGACCCCTGGCGCATCTCTTCGGAGAACTCGTCTACGTGGGTCACTAACTTCATAGACGCCACGATACCTCGACAGTCTCGCACTACTCTTCATTACAACCTCCTCAGTGGCGAGCTGCTCGTAGGTGGCAGGCCGCTGGGGAGAATGCCCCCATCTTCCGAGAATGATGAAGTCTTTCGCCGGGTTTTCGAAGCCCGGGTGCTCCGAGTGTCTTCATCCGATATGCCAGGTATGACGTACGCCGCATTACATCCGATCAACGGACATCTGGTTCATCTTGGTATGAGGCAAAACAAACTCATCGTTCGACCACGCCTGGGTAGCAGAATACTCGAGATCATCCCACATGAACTGTTTCGAGCTGACTTACCCCGGCAATTGGTCGAAGACTACGTACACTGGCTGGACCTTCAGAGCAATGAGATCGAATTCCGTCCACGGAACAGCATTTGGAGCTCCTCCGAGCAGAACTGGCGGTTGCAGTTCTCCTCTAGAGGCCCGACATCTCTGCGAATCTTGAACAAGAGGTTGGTGAATCCACTTAGCCACATTGCTCGAAAGATCTTCAGCATCCTCGCTACATTAGACGACAGGGTCAACATCCACATCACCATGACGGACGAAAAACTCATAGAAGTCAGTTTGCCCCGATTTGCGCTGCATTTCTTCGTGAACCGGGCTGGCGCTTTAGAATCGAGGGAGTACGATGCCGTTGTTGGCTCGGATCAGATTTTGGGCTGCTTGAGCGGCTTGAAGAGCAAACTGGTACTTAACAGCCAAGCGTTTGAGGGATCTCAGCTTCAGCAAAGCGTTCTAATACCGTATGGTGAAGTCTTCATCAACAAGGCCGATTCTCATGTTGCCGTGAGCATCGAACCTGGCAAAGATGACAAAGTTCGTCATTTCCATTATCGTATCGACACACACCTCCGGAAGCTAAAGGGGCCACCTGAGTTGTTATCTGGGCTTTTCAAGGCCTATCTGCACGCAATTACCACTCACTGGCTGCCTGACACCTTCACGGGTCTCACCGGTACGGAGGAGGCCCTGGAAATCCTCAGCGAAGAATCGATGCGGATGTGCTTTCCTCTCACTGAGGATGAACTGCGCACGCTGCACTGCATTTCGGCACTTGCCCCTCGCCGGTTTTACTACCCGCAACATCTGGAACGGAGCGGCCAGGTGCAAGTAGTCATGTGGCATAAGGTTTTGTCACCTCTCGCGCAGCATGAAGAGTTCCATAACATGGCTGCGGCCATATCTGCCTATGCAGCGAGGGCTGCAGACCTGTACCCTGAGGGAGAACGAACGAAACTAGTGGAGTACAAAGGCGATCTTCTTCTTCTGGAAAGAGCTGCTCAGCGTAACGCAGCGATTAGGCCGCGCGACCACCTTCAGAGCAGTCCACTCACCAGGGGTGATGTTGGATACAGTCAGCGAGATACAGCTAACGCCTCTGATCGATACTCTAGGGTTTCTGAGATTGCGAAACTGGTCCAAGCGTGGCCATTAAAGGTTGATATCTGTCTGGATCTAGCTAAACGTATGAAATCGTGGACGACGGTATCTGGATTCAACGGATCCTTCACGCTTTTGTCGTATACGGACCTCCTTGACTTGGGACGTGACAGCTGGGGTTTACTGTTCAATCTCTGCCGAAAAGCCCGCCGCACCGACTCTCATAGGCTCATGTTCCTCTTTGGCACGCTGGCTTTCGGCGGAGATATTGAACAGATCCATCTTCGGACACTGCTCGCTGTTGCATTTTCAGGAATCTTTCGCGACCTCGCTGGACCGGCACAGGACAGCTTCGACCTTTCCGCAGGTAGCGGGCCAGATAATTTGAAGCTCGAAAGTATTCTTCGCCAGCATACCGTACCCTTCGTGTGTGGTCCGGTGCCGCCAAACTCAACAAGGTATCGCCGGGGAGTATTCCGCAAGCAGGAGACTGCAAAGTACACCAAGGAGGTCACCGCGCAAGTCACGCAGCTTGCAGAGGATTTCTGTGAACAGTGGCCTGCAGCAAGGCTAGTTCCTCCAGCTCAAACAGCGGTGCCACTGATCAACCTAGCTTCGGCGGTTGCTGCTTGCAACGAAATGTTCAAGGTATGGCACAGCAACGCAACATTCCTGCAATACATTCGAGGTATAGAAGTAGATCTACGTCCTTTGCACGATCCGGCGCAGACGAGCACGCCCGCGGAAGCAGCCATACAGGAGCCCATCATTTCGGCGCACCAGGATATAATCTATCCGTCGCTCATGGACATCATTGCGAATTCATCACCGCCAGCCCTGGAACCGATTCCAGAAGCCCTGACCCGTCGGCCCCGTCCGTCTAAGAGCTCGAGTAGTCATGCCGCCGAGAACCAGCATCGCATGTCTCTTGACTCCTTGGATGATCTGGGAGAGGAATTAATGGCCCGAGGCGGTTCGATCCAGCGGGAATATGCTGAAGTTCTTCGCCTCAGCATCACGCAGCTTCGTGCGCGGCCTATGGCCGGACTGCAGGAGTGAGTAATCGTTCCAGTTTCCTTTGTCTGTGAAACCCTAGTTCGAACAACGGCGTATATTTAGCACCTAACCAAGATGCGCCGTGTTGAGAGACCGAAAGGCCTTGGCAATGAATGCAATACTGACCATCTGTGAGCAGATTCTGTCCACTGATTCCTGAAGGCGTTGTCGACAGCTATCCTCACCACGCCCTGGAGTATGCGGATCATGCAGCTGATCTCAAGGCCTATGTTCACCAGGTGTTCTCCTCCATCACGGCTGCTCTAAGTCCCACCGCGTCTCACCAAGTTCTACTCCAAGAGGCCTCCATTTATCCACCGGCTACGCCGCGTTCGCTGCTTGCACTTCTATCTAGAAAGACAGTGAAGCAGCTCCCTGAGGGTTGGCTGCAAGTGCTAATCACTTACGGAAGCTCAATCGCCATATATCAGCGCTCAGAACGTTTAGTTCAGCTCGCCGCTCAAAAAGATATCTTGGGATTACTCAAGCTTTTGGAGTGTCCTGGTCGAGACGGTTGGAGTCCGATTCAGTATCCCGACTGGCTCCTCATCGAGATAGAGAACAACATATGTATTCGGGCCGTTCAGGCGCGAGTTGCTCAGGAAATGCTCTCGCCCTCCTCGATGACCAGTCAAGTCTATCAGCTGAATTGTGGCGAGGGGAAATCCTCCGTCATCATTCCCATGCTCGCCGCTGCTCTAGCTGATGGTAACAGTCTCGCGCGAATCGTCGTTCTGAAGCCGTTGCTCCGCCAGACTCAGTATTTGCTGTCTCAGAGACTTGGAGCGTTACTCGGTCGGAGAATATACTATGCGCCATTCTGTAGGAAGACGAAGCTTGACCAGCAGACTGTCGCAACACTCCAGAAGATCTACAAAGAATGCAAGGATGAAGGTGGCATTCAATTGATTCTGCCTGAGCAGATCCTTTCATTCCGATTAGCGGGCCGAGAGCGCCTCGCGTCTGATCATTCGCTCGCGCAAAAGCTCATAGGACTGGAGAGGTGGCTTGAAGCTAATTGCCGGGACGTTCTAGATGAATCTGATGAACTTCTCGATACCCGATTTCAAGTTGCGTACACGATCGGCACTCAAAGGCTGTTTGACGGACATCCTGATCGTTGGCTTCTGGTGCAAAACGTCCTCTCCAGGGTCGCGCTCCATGGGAACACGCTTGCGAAGCGGTTTTCCAAGGGTATCGAACTCGATGAAAAGCCGGGGACTTTTCCTGCCTTGAGCATCACCAGCAACGAAGTTGGTGAAGAGCTTGAGGCACTTCTCGTATCCGATCTTGAAGAGGGCAATATCGCTGGTCTCTCAATTGGCTTCGTTCCTGCCACCGTGCGGCGAGCTATCCTCAAGTTCGTGCGGTACAGAAAGGTGGACTCAACCATTGCCTCGCTCGCCAGTACAGCACTTGCAGGCACGCCTCAGCTACTCAAAGCGGTACTTCTACTTCGCGGACTGATAGGTCATGGCTTACTGTTGTCCGCATTGCGGAAGCGCTGGATGGTTGAGTACGGCTTGGATTTACGCCGGTCGTTGATGGCTGTACCATATTATGCAAAAGGGGTGCCATCAGTATCTTCAGAGTTCGGACATCCCGACATCGCCATAATACTTTCGGCTTTAAGCTATTACTATGCGTAGGTCTTTCTATCTTATTTGATGGGAAGGAATACTGACTTTTCTAGTGGTCTCACGCCTGAGCAGCTACGACAATCCTTTGATGTGCTCTTCAAAGTTCCCAGCGCCGCGGATGAGTACGCGTCCTGGTGTATTTCATGCCCCGGACTGCCCGACCAGCTCCGATCACTTGAAGGGGTAAACATCGAGGACGAAGATGTGTTTACCTACCAACTACTTCCATCGCTGTCGAAGAACAAGAAAGCCGTTGATTTCTTCCTCTCGAACATCTGCTATCCGAAAGCCGGCAGGGAGTTTCTTCACAAGCTATCGACTTCTGCTTGGGACATTCCCGCGTCACGTCGGGGTAAACCAACAACCGGTTTCAGTGGCACTAATGACAATCGGTTCCTCCTTCCACTGACGATCCAGCAATACGACCTGCCTGAACTTCAACACACCAACAGCATGGTTCTGAACCTCTTACTTCGGCCAGAGAACAGGGAGTACGTCAACGCGGTCGATGGCAATGGCCGGCGTCTTGATATCCCAGCTCTTCTCAGGCTTATCTCCGCACAAGAGCCTCCCATCCATGTGCTTATCGATGTGGGCGCACAAGTCTTGGAGATGAAGAACCAGGACGTAGCTCAAGCGTGGTTGAAGGTGGTGCCGAATGCCACTGCTGCAGTCTTCTTTGGCGAGAACGATGAGCAGATGGTAGTGGATCGTGAGGGTCGCCTCAGTCACCTGGAAGCGTCTCCGTTCAAGTACAAGTTGGGCGACTGCTTGATCTATCTTGACGAAGTTCATACGCGGGGTATGGATCTTCCGATCCCGCCGGGCGTTCGAGCCGCCCTGACGCTGGGTCCACGGTTAACGAAGGACAGGCTTGTGCAAGGTTCGTGGTAATCCAGTTCCTTGTGTTGTTGGTCAATTTTATGGGTGAGTTTACTCTGTGAGACTGTGCTAACAGACCTCCTAACAGCCTGCATGCGCATGCGCAAGCTCGGATCGGGCCATGCACTTGCCTTCCTTGCTCCTCCTGAAGTTCACCAAGGTATACTAGACTCTGCTGGAAAGGAGGTCCACGAGCAAGTCACATCTCTGGACGTTATCCGGTGGTCCATACTCCAAACATTGCAGCAGGCCAAGAACAATCTTCCGCTTTGGGTCATGCAGGGCGTTGAGTTTGTCAAGCGCAGGACCATATGCGAAAGTTTCTTGACAGAGCCTAATCCCGATCGCCTGTTTTCTGATGCTCCACGTATCAGCAACATTTGGAACGAGCTTCGAGAAAACGACGCACAGGGCCTCCAGGAGATGTATGGAACAGATCGAAGTCACACCCAAGGATCTCTGCCTGCTCTCAGTGAATCGCCTAACGATCCCATTGCGGCGCACTTGGAGACCGTTGCCGCAACATTGGATCCCAGTGCGGTCTCTGAGACCGCACTCAACGAAGAGCAAGAGCGTGAGCTGTAAGCGACTTCTCCTTTCCGCTACTGCCCCCGTAAACCTTCCCGAACAACCCGCTGATTTGAAGCTACAGAGCTACCGAAGTCGAGCAGCAGCAACAGATACAGCGACCACCGGCTGCTTCAGCACTTCCTCACAAACTGAGTGCTGTCGTGGAGGAGTTCGTTTCCTCTGGAAGCCTTCCGTCTGGACAAGGCGAGCTTGCCTTGCCGGCGTACACAAGCTTATGCAATACATCAGTCATGAAGCAAATTGGCAGTTTCGACGGCATATGCCCTGATATCTACGTTTCCGTCGACTTCGCTAATTCGGTCAAACTATTATCAAACGCGCTCGGCGATGATTACCTCAAGCCTGTCCGATGGGTGCTATCTAGCGGTAGGTCCAAAGCCGTATTCATAATCAGCCCGCACGAAGCAAACAGACTCGTCGACTCGATTAGGACATCAGACCATGCTAGACTCCACATCTTTGTTCCCCGTGTCGCGAAAACAATGACCGGCTTCGGCGATTTCCTTTACACGATTGCTGGAACTGAGCGTAATGCCAGTATCCCCCAAACTGAACAATCTTCTTCAGGCTCGGGAGGTGCGCCGGAGAATTGGCCGTCGGAGCAAATACTCCGCGGACTAAACCTTTTCGCTGGCTCCCTTTACCTTCCCAATTACACAGAGTATACAAACCTTTGTCACTTCCTCGGAATCGCCACTAGAGGCTACTCGAACCGCAGCGGACAAAACGTACTCGAAGCAGTAAGTGTGGCGCATAGTCATTTCCCTTCACCTATCACGGACATCGCGGTGTTACATCCCTCTGCTGTGCTAGTTTTTCCATATCTAACACTGTCCAGCGCTGCGGACCTTCTTTTTCCTCATGTTTCACATGATACTAATCTTCGTTCCCAGGATCCCCAAGTGTCAATCGCTAATGACGGGTTCGTTGATCCGGCCTCTCGCGCCGCCTTGCAGTGGCCCGTGGAGTCACCTTTCAAGCAGAGCCCGCTTCCGTTTATCAAGGCACTCCTCTCGCTCCGTCAACACGGGCAAATTTTCGCGCATACGCACATGGGATACATAACGAGTGGCAGGGTTTTGACGGAGGCGGACTTTCCAGACACAGATGGTCTCTTCTTTCCTATGAATGACTTGGGATAGCATGGATAGGAGCACATCGGATGGTTCCCTTTGGCGCTGGAGTATGGATCAAGTTGGATTTGATTTTTGGCGGGCACGGTTTCTGCTTGGGCTTTTGGACACGGAACTGCATCCTTCCTCAGCGGTTGACTGTGATTGAGCGCTCTAGCTACTTATCTAGCGCACTGCAATCTCATCCACAAAGCTCCTTACCTGCTTGTGCGTCCTCTGAGGCAAGAAGCTGCTTTCAACTCGGCTGTGGTTGCTGTGCCCCAATGCTGGTAATTTCCCGCCCATGTGGACTCTTTTGGCGCCCTTCCCTTACGTGCTTCTCCGCGGTTGATGACTTGGATATCTCGTGCTGTGCTGGTTGTTTGCAACACTAAACAACGATTGAATGCTTACCTATAGAGACCTACAGGGTTCCAAGATAGCTGGTCTGACCTCATCAGAAAGCCGCGCCGTAGAAGCGCAGTTTGATCACGTGCATTCGCGGATCAACCATTCACGCATCACAACGGTTCATGTCGCGTCCACAAAGCGAACAGGGAGAAAGAGAGTCTGACTGTCTGATTTCTCAGCTCTTGCAAAGACATGGCATCCCTCAGCCCATTCAGAAATTTTTGTCGCCGAACTTTCCAGTGACAAATAGTGTGAAGCTGTTCTCGACAAAGGCCCGTTATGCCGTGAGCGCCCATGACTTATGATTACTACCATGCTGTACAACGCTCTTGATACTAAAGAAGCGTCCCCCAAGCAGATCCATACACAGCCCTGAATTAAAAGTCGTTCTTCCCGGACTTATCAACACGCTGTTCAAGCTCGCAGCCTATTATCGATGTTCCAATCCACATTTGCGTCATCGACGATCTCCCGCCGCGAACCGTCCCGTTCCTGCATGACGGGAACGTTGCTCACGGGCCCGAAAATGGCAGATCAACCTACGATCTTCACATTCTCTGCTTGCACTTACCAAGCTTCTTAACGCTGCACACGTTCTGTCCATCCTAACTCCAACCACTCAGCCTTGTCATTGTTTCGCCGCACCACCACCCACACAGCACAGTAGGGGCCCCGGACAACGAGCACGGTACAATTCCGCCGCATCAACCTCCCCATCTCTAACCGTTAACCTGTCCATCCTCTCGTCCGGCCGACCCAACCACCTACTAGCCGTATCTTGAGATGTCGGGATGGGAAGCCCCTCGCTGAGCAGCGCAAGATGTCCGGTCTCGATCAAGCAGGATGCGAGCAGCGCAAGCCGGGCGAGGTGGATAAGGCTAGGAATAAGTTACATAACGATGGAACGTTGGGGCAGTCGTTGTTTGAGGGAAGGGTATTTGAGAAGGGTAACGCTCGGTTCTCAGAACAGAGTATATGATTTGCTGCGCAAGCTCGCGAAGGATATCAGGATATCGAGACATAGAGCCAAACGCTCCGAATCCAGGTACCGACAGCGTGCTTTGAAGAGGTGAAGCATTCAAGCTGCCACAACCTGATCGACTGCTAGTAGTCACTGTTGACTCCGGTTCGGCAGTATGTTTACAGAGTCCTGTCAGTGCAAGCTGAAGTTCAAAGACTATGGCGATGTCTGACCCTCGCTGTAACTGCGTCACGTGACCTTACAGCTGGAGCGGTAATAAGCTAAGCACACGCACCTACTCTGACCACAGCTAACTAACTCAGTGACAAGTTGCCCCAATCTCAGCATATTTGAAGACTTCCACTTTGCCAGGTGCAGTTTGAAGATGCAGCGTATCACGTGATCTCGCTCGTCAGCTGATGTAGTACCTGGGCAGCATCACTCACAGTTCCTCACCAGCCCGTGCAACCGAGCTTGTGATGCTCATCCAAAGGCAGTCCACTCAAGGCGCTGTAACCTACCAAACAAACCCACGAGGTGTCAGCTGTACTGTGTAGCAGCACTGGTACCATTTCAGGAGCTGTGGCCAAAACGACTTCATGAACTCGTTGAGACGTTCCTGGCTTGGGTGAATGAGATGTACCGGTACTGTGAGCATCTCGCTGTCCGTTCTGGTCAACATAACAGAGCTCCGAGGCTGTTCGGCATTGTTTCAAAGATCTACTCCGAGAACCCCTCGAAAAGATTGACACTTCCTCGTCGAGGAACTCAGCTACATGAGATGGAGGCATTGATCTGCCTAGATGTGCCCCCGTTGATTCCGCATGACCATCACTGGAAGCATAGGTCATGCTACATATTGCCGGCCTGCTGCAGAGTAGAACCTGCTCAGGCTAAGAAGGCGGCTTCTCTGTCGATGGTAGGATTCCTCTGCACACGATCGGATCAATAAGAGGAGTGCTGGTATCGCGTCGTCCTGTACGGCTAGAGGCTGAGCAATCACGGCCGCAGTCGATGGTGCAATGGGCACTTGCGCTCGGCTTGCGCAGTCGAATCCGGTTGGCAGTTGCTGTCGACTCAGCGTTCGCGGTTCTAGGCGGAATCCTCCTACACGTGCTCTAGCTCGGTTGCTGAGTCTGCACCTGGCCAATCCACAACGGTGGGTTCTGTTCGCCTTGTCCAATATCGGAGAGGCAGAGGGACGCCATCGGTTGCGGAACGCGCCGGTACGGATGACGATCTCCAGCTCCTATCAACGATCGGTTCGAGAGAGCGGTACAGCTACTGAGCACCTGCAACAGGAGACGGGATATGAGAAGAAGAACGTGGTGAAGCGATGTTGGTTGCCTGACCTGAAGCTTCGACAGCTAGCAGTGCGCGTTGTATGATACTAACCACGCGTGCACCTCTTATTGGCTGCCTCAACTCACAACACTAACGACAGAAAATACTCATGTTGAAAGTAGATAGGAAGAATCATTTAAGAAGCCGCGCTCGTTGCTAAGTTGTATAGAATCAGACGGCATTGGCTTAGGTCATGGAAGCTTTGGGTCCGGCTCAGTGCTCGGCCCGCGAAGTTGAACTGAGAATTGTGAAATTATGTCCTCCGTTAAATCACGGAAGCTATTAAACTCACCTAGAGTTTTGAGAGTCACCCGATTCAAGCAGCCCCGCCGTAAGCGTGAGAAGCTAATGCAGCGCCGCAAAGGTTCTTCTATCCCATAGTTACGGCGGATGTGGCATCCCCCGGAGGTTAATGAACATACGAGTCGTTATCTTGATCGACTCGACTAGCTTGAGAAATGTCTCCGAATGTCGTGTAAGATTAGCTCGGCAAGTTTTACGCTCAGCTACCTATGTTTAGTAGGCTGAAGATTGTATCACCATCAGCGCATGCAGTATCCTGTGCAGTATCATGCTGTGAACGTAAGCGGACAGCTAAGAAAAATAGAGATGATGTTCAGCTCGCAGCCTCTGCGACACTCTCCTTCAGGAGGGCTCTCTACCAAACCACTGCATTATGGAAGCAGTTCTATTCGAATAAGAAGTTTTGTCTTCCAGGTTACTTGGCATGCTCGACACATACTTGGTACTTCCAGCCTCACCAGATCAGGCAGGCAAGCCTTGGAGGATATGTTGCCGCGAATGGTGAATATAGGCGTGACGTGATCGGCGTACTTGCATATGCCCATCTTTTCGAAGTGTGTGCTGTTGAACACACAACCTGGCGATCACGGTAAGGTACTCTCCATGGCCATCGGACGAACATGACCAGGATCGGGGAAAGACGCGTGGACGCTTCCTGGGAGAGTCCAACGGAGACCATCCCGAACAAGCAAAGCGGAAGTTTGAAGGAGTGCAGGATCACGGGTGCGGGATGACCACCATCAGCCGCTCGTCGATCAGCGCTGTTCGGCTCCGTGCTCTTTGCTCCTCGGTTGCCTTCTCGAACATCTGGATTTTGCGTTTGGAATTTACAGGCATGGCACCGCCTCGATCTTCTCAGCAGCCCCGGCAGCTCCGGCAGCCCCGGCAATGCTGTGGCCGCCCCTCGAGCGCCGGGCGAGAAGCGGGCGCTGTAAGCGCTGCAGGAGCGGGCCTGGTGGACGAGGTGGATACGGCGGGCAACGTGGTGAGAAGAAGCGTGGGTTTCATCGATCGACATCCGCCACAAAGTCCGGGGACGCACGGCCAAGGTGTGCTGAAGAGCGGCTTAACTGGCTGTGCAAAGAGCTTGGCCTGCAGCGGCTGCAGAATGGAGCAGCTGTCGGGTGCGGAGCGCAGCTGATTGGCGTCAGCACGCATCGAACAACACGAATAGGGCCAAACCTCGCTACAACCGCGCTGCATCTGGCCCGTTTGGCAGCCCACCGCGCTGCTCACCAGTTGCTCTCCTGCCTGTGCCTGTCGCAGACTACTGTCCGCCTCAAATCATGGACGCCGCCGCCGCCAGTTCCACACCCCGTTGTGCACGCTCTCACCGCTCGGGCACCGGGTCTTCGTGGCACGTCCATCTCTATAGCAAGATCTTCCTAAGCATCTCCATCATCCGCCCCGACACGGCCAGCCATTCCTCAGGCTATCCCACTAGTACTGGTACCTGCAACCTCATTCACTCTGCGTTGGCCATCTGGTTGCCTCTTCGGCATGTGCGCATATGTATAGCGTCTAGCGAAACATCTTTTAGAAAAACCCATACGTTTACCATCTTTGGGCCTTCTCTTCCTCCAAATCATCAAACTGCACACTTGGACATCTTTGGTCGAACGACAATACAGTGGTCACAGCCCACAACATGAACTCAAACCCGTACTGGTCCGGTTCGCAGCCCACCAGCAGCAGCACTGCAAGCTTCCGTCGCAGTGGTAGTGAGAGATCCTATCACTCGCAAAGCACAGCGCCTACAGAACACCACGACCGCCCAGCAGCGCGACACTACGAAACCTGCTATGGTAGGCTCGAAGGTCACCGGAACTTTGAGTGCGAAGTTCCGACCGACGAGTACGATGTGGACTACTACGACGATCCGCGAACATCGGTAGAGACCTATGCTTCGACGATACCTTCAGAAGACGAGCCGGACATCGCACATGATGCCTGTCCAGATTTCGAGGTACCTGAACAGCATCCGGAACCCTTTCCTATCGACGCTCTTCCAGCAACACCGAGAGACTTCGCAGAATTGTTTCCGTCCTCGCGCCGCCTTTTGATTCGCCATGACGATTCAACGATTGATGGAAACAAGAACCTGCGGATCGACACCCAAGTTGATACAATGTCGGGAAGGGTGCAAAACTTGACACTTTTCCATCTCCGCATGCACGACCTGAAGGACCGCGAGTTCTCATTGCGCCGGTATTGTCGGGACTCGGGGAGGGAGGTCTGCCACTCGGTGGGAAAGCATCACAAAGCTGCCGCGGAGAAAAGGCCCGGCCTTCAGAGGTCGCTGAGTAGCGCATTGGCGACGCTATTGAACAAGCCTGACTCTAAGAGCTCGAGCAGTCCTGGAATCAAGCGATCAGACTCTGGCTATAACTCGATGAATGGCGAGGAGGACAGTGAGGCGAGTATCAAGCCAGTCACCTTGCGAAAAGGTCATCCACAAACACCAACAAACACGATAAAATTAGAGTTCTCAAACTATGCGCACGTGGAGGTCAAGCGCCAAGGTGCAAAGTCCAATAAGCGGTACGAGTTCGAGTACTGGGGCACGAATTACGCCTGGCGACGAGTGGTGAAGCTGGACGGTCATCACGAGCAAGCCTCCTTTCACCTCACCAGGAGTGATAGCGAAGCAGCGCTTGCTCACATCGTCCCCGCAGCCCTTACCCGGGCTCAATTACAGGATGAAGCTGTGAAGGGCGGCTGGATACCGCCCTGCTCAATGTGGATCAGTGACAGGAGGATCATCGGCGGTCTAACAGACATATCCGAGTGAGTTATGGCATGTTGCTTGGTGCAACTGAAGCATCCACTAACCGTCTCGCAGTGTTGTGGTAGCTTCCGGACTCATCGCGCTTGTGGATGACTGCATCAGGAGACGCTTCCATTCCGAGAAGTCGACGCAGCTGATGATTCCGCTTTCGAGAAACTCCTCGTTCAAGATGGAGTACATTGGTCCGAAGCGCCTGATCGACGAAGTCTTCAACCGTGCCACTTCCAGCCGGCGACCGACCCTGCCACGTCGCACATCACATAGAACGTGACCATGTCACGTGCCCAGTTTTGTCGAACCTACCGACGGCAACCTGCGTTCTCTTGCTACTCCTCCATGTGTTGGGAGGTAGGACAGCCTCGTTTTGAGGTTGTAGCCTCTAAACGTGGAGCTGCAGCCGCTTCTGGCGCCGCTCTCCATCCACAGCATTTACATGGACACGATGCGAGCATTCTGGAGTTTTGTGAGCGAAAACGGAAGTATCTCCGTGGGCTGGCTAGAATGGCGTTTGATGGGGTATTCGTCATGTCCATCGCCTCTGCATGGCGTTTGACAGGCGATGGATAGCATATCGGAAGATTCTGCATGCATGGCGCGGTTAGGCATTTCTATACCATGATGTGATCGCGCGTATAAACTCAAACATATTGAATGACGTCCTCTTCTGAGCACCTTGTTCGTGCAGCTACTGGCCTCCTCAGCTATGAGAGCAAGCCGTCACGATGGATGAGGCTCCATGAAGACTCGGCTCGGTTTGATTAATCGAGACTGCTCTCGTGATGAAACCGCCACGGCGTCCCGATGCCGACAGCCTTATACTGGGCAACATGTCAAACTGCGAGAGAGCAGGTACCCGTTGTAGTACTTCTCGTGATCCGTGCGGCTCCCACGAGCCATTGAAACGAACTGCTTCTATCCGCCTTGGCCCGGGCCCAAACAAACACCATCTTGCATCATTCGCATCAGACCATGGACGAAGCCTCACGAACGCAGCGACTGGAGAAAGAATTCTTCAGGCCTACGCTAGGAGCCAACGAGCTCCAGAAAAGCATGTCGACACGTTGCGAGCTGTCGAGGTGGCAGGCCAGCGCATGCTGCAGCAGTTCGCCGCAACCCCCCTGAGTCTTGGCCGATCCGTTTTTGAAGCTGCTGAACGGTCTACCCAGATCGAAGCAGTCATCCTGTCCGCCGCTTCTCTGAATGGAAGCCGTTTTCGTAGCACGCACGGCTGCAACGGATGAGGCTACTGCACTCTCCCCTATTCCCGACCAGCCGAAGCTACATGCCGCATGCAAATAAGGCTTTCATCAGATGTGATGCCAGGCGAAGCATCATACTACGCGTGAACGTGAGAACTCCTAGCGAGTTGGGGATTCTAAAGTGGCAGCGCCAGATCCCAACGGTGAGACCCACTTGCAGCCACACATCTGGGCCGTTTGCTACGAACCTGCGAACCGATGTAAGGTCAATCCGCAACTCGGTCCATGGGAGACTGAGCATAGCCAACGCAAAGAGTGCATTCGCTGGCTCACACCGTAAGGTAGTCACGGCTAGCTGCTGCCCGACATTCGCAGTGGACCTCAAGGCGAACGGTATGCACACCTTAGCTCTATAAGTATCTGCTGGCTTCAAGCCATGTCTCGTTGTTCATCCTTCAGAATCAGGCGTCCTGGCATCGACTACGATCAGCAGCTAACACCATCCTATCATTTGCTTGGGCTTCCGTCAATCCCTGCACTCTGCTCTTTCAGCAAGCCTTTACTTGGCCATAGTCTGTCTTATACTTCTTGTATCATGTCTACCCGGAGTTCCAGTGCTTCCATGCAAAGTTCCACGGCGTCTTATCAAGCTTCCAATGCCTCATCAAACACGACTGCTGCGACCACCGGTGGCACTGGACCATGGCAGGAAAGGCTCCAAAGTCGGTTCCGCCATCCCACCTGTTCCCAGCACTATTGACAATGCGCCTCAGGCCACTGCCAGGCTACTCAGATGCGGCCACCGGTCTGGGAAATTGTCTCGGACCGCCGGGGTAAGTTCAGAAACATGATCTCTTTATCCCAATTCACCTTCACCACGTCCAGCTGGATTGACCGCAATCATTTCGGTCCGTCGTACAAGCCTCACCGCTCGACGGCAGCAAAACTTCTCTCCGTCACCGCACACGACGCCCTTTCTTTCCTCCTATCCTTTGTCACATGAGATTGCGTCTAACAGCATCATTTCTAGGAGGGCGCACAGCATGGTCCAGCACCGTCACGGTAGCGGGCCACCAGGTTCCCGCACGCTACTGGTACGACGGCAGCAGGGTCAACCAGGCTAAGGAGGACGCCGCCGAGGTGGCTCTGCAGCGGATGGGCATGGCTTCGACAGCGCCCGCGCAGCAGCGCTGGTATGGTGCCTTGAACCCTTGACTTTAACGCGACAGCGTTGACGGTTCCTTTCGGCAAGACAATGGCATGCGCCGTCGCCCTTTTCTCCAATATTCTCGCTGTGTGACACTATCTGGGTTACTGGGTATCATGCTGGAACCGGTGTTCGGAACGCGGGAACGGAAATGGGATGATGGGCGGCCCAATCTGCTTTGTGTCTTCCTCTTCTGTCCTCCTCTCCTCTCAAAGTCATGGGCCGTTTTGCCTTCAGTAGGCATATAATTTGAGAAATTTGAGGGGTTGTTGCTGGTGTTTGAAGTATTGAGAGTACTATTCGTCTTGTCCGATCGTTTCCTTTTGGCGTTCTTGATACAGTCATTAAATGTAGCCAGCACCTTCATAGCTCAGATTGGTCAGTCTTCCTCTACGTGCACACTCTGCTATCTTCGAGAATTGCTAAGTAGCAATCCATGGCGTATTGGGCCCCTTTGTTTTAGCTGAGGCCAATATGTTTGCTCTTTTTTCTATGTTATCGACAATATCAATACCAGGCGCTGCGTACACGCTGGGTTCTCCACCAACACCCAAAACCAGTCAGCCCACTTACCGCTTATTTTCCCATTAGTCTTGTCCGTTGCAAGCTCTGGCTCGGGACACAGGCCGCAACTTTAGAACCCCACAAAATCAGCTCACAGCCTTCCTGCGCTTCAAACATATACTCCAACCCCGAGCTGAGGTGCCGCCGGACATCCAATGCAGTCCGCAGAAACCTTGTGACACACGTGCGTACACCGACGATCAGCTCCGCGGTCAATAATCGCTAAGCCATGCGCCAAACTACAGCTCGCTCAAACATGATACCGGCACCGAGACCTAACGGCAAAAACACTCGGGTCATTCCTGGCTACAACAGTGCATGCCGCAGCTCTTTTTCTATAGTCACATACATTCCATACATCACAGGGGGTCTCACGTTATGAATGATCGAAATTGGGGTTACGGACAAGATGATCTCATCCGATGCCAGGTCCTTCCTCGATGCGGAGTTACCGCTGGCCTGTATCCGGCCGGACGGTAAACATTCATTTCAGGCGCGATGTAGAGCTGCTCATGAGCCCTGGGCGGTGGGAAGCTTCACGCTGCCAATGGCTGTAGACAGCGGAGAGGCGAAACCCGTTGGGGAGAACTAATGTTCAGGTGACATCAACTCGATTTCGGTGGCTCACGTCTCCATCTGAAGTGGTTTATATGTCAAAGACGTGTTCCGACTAGCGCCCACCTTGTATAAGATGGATCTGAGAGGGATTGTGTTGTTCCTCCGAATCCGCAAGCTCGATGCATGATGCATCTGAAATTCTTAATATTAATATCGAATTGTTACTGAAATGCTTTTGATAACGTTTGATACAAGTCAGTTAGTTTCGCACTACGAGAATATCTCTGTTAACATAGAATTTTAACGAAATACACGCTCCCTGTGTGGGAGTATCGCAAGCTCCGCTCTCGTGCCCTGGCCTTGTCGTTGACGTGCTTTGTCAAGAGAATAATTCAATAAGTATAGATAACAGCTTTCTACGCAGGCTCAAGCAGCCTCGTAACAAGGTAGATTATCCCAATTTTTAGTACTCTCTTGGAGCTGAATAATGGCATGTCGAGAGAAGGTCGTTACTCCTTGAGTAATTCACTCTCGGTCGCAGCGTCAGACGTCTATTGTTGCCTTGGCAAGAACGTCGCCGAAGAAGAGATATTCACTCTGCAGTCTGCAGTTGTTGTAGACTTGCCGAAATCCGGACCTCTAAACAGCCAAGCTTTTCTGAAGGATAATTTGATAAGGAGCATCACGCGAAATAATCGCTTCGTCCATTCATGAAAGCTTATCCCTGCTTCTTCAAGGCTCACCAGTGCACTAATTGTGACGAGAAGAGGGAGGGCGCACGAATGGATATATACATAGTGATATACTCGAGCCTAGAAGTACGGCCATCTTCGGTAACCCAGCACACAGCCGCTGACATTCTGAGGCCCGTCTAAAATGATCATTTGCCTTTAACGAAGCGAAGCGCATAGAGGAACGCCTTAGCCGTCAGCCGCCTGACTGCTCGTTCCGTATGACACGATCTACACCCATCCTTCCACACGCTCCCTCTTATGCTAAGCCTGCTGCTAGTTGGCTCTGCCAGGATCTCGACAGCCATCCTCCGATCAAACCCAAGACTCAAGCCTCAGCATACACTCGCCTGACGTGTGCAGGTGCCGAACAAATAAACGCCACAAATCGGGCCGTCGTGGAAGGGGAATGTTGAACGTTACAAGGGGCCACGTGGGCGTTGTTATCGACTCGAAGGTCAGTCAAGGTTTGTACGATTGTTTAGCTGGGAGGTGCACGGTACGAGTAGCCTTCGAACACCGGTCGGCGATACCCTGACAACTCAGCAGCCAACGATCGTGCTGTATTAAGAGGGCGATCGTACACAGAAGAAGGCGGTCGAGACGCGAGTCTGAGCGTTTGTCATGTTGTAATGCGGGTTGGGGCCAGGCAATCGAGGCGATGCTGAGATACCTGTAATGGCACCGTGAAGAGGACGTTAGTTCTTTACTGCAACAATCTTCAGCCGTGGTTTAGAGTTTCAAACAGAGGTAATGTGAGGAAGAGTGACGGCGGCCCACGCATTCTCCAGTATGGCCATGGGATGTATATTCGGAGACTGTTAGGCGCTTCTCGCTGTCTTCAGGCTGTTGAGTATTCGTCTAGGTCAAGAGAGTCGATCACCTTGATTGCTCACGCTCGCACAGCCAATCACAGCGCCATGAGGAAAGATACATCAAGAAATTGACTAGAGAATCCACTAACAGTGAAGGACTAATAGGCGAGGTGTCATCATTGAGCTTTGGGCATTCTAGCACCAAACTTTGTCAAAAAAAGTCGAACCGTGAGACTCGGATTTCCGAGGAAGAAGATCCATTGAAGTGCAAGCTGACAGATTGAGCGTCTTGGATGGAGTGTGAAGAAGCAGGGAATGTGTCCGTATGCTGTAGTTGAAACTGCGCTCCGCTCACCGAGAAGCAGCGAAGGGAATGCAAACACATCTCCGGGGATTCTGGTTTCAAAGCACACTGTGGACGTCGTAGTGCAACGGAGGCAGAGCGTACATACGTCAGCAGCTCAACCTGTTGATAGGCCGACTTGGTCAAAACTCCCAAGCAGTTAGTTCTGACGGGAGCTGCAGAAGGCAATGGTTGCACCCTGAAGATGGAAACAGATGCCGCATTCAGTGCACGATCTTCGGAATCATTCTGGTGCGGAGTCCACTGCAAGTCCGGTTGAGCTTTAGGGGTCTAGAGGCCGACTCTTGACGCCGCTCTCCGCGAAGTCCGCCACGGATATGCAGATCTTCCACTGTCTCGGGGGAGGTTGGTGGCATGGTCAAGACATCACCTGCGTATCAGACCGGAGGCCAACACTGTTGAGATAGGGTCGGCTTTACGCACAGGCCAGGGGTTCGTGATGCGTTGTCAGACGCAGCTGCATCGGCGTCAGATCCGTCCCCAGTATACGCTTCGTACGACGAAGCCTCCGAGCTCTTAGGGCCCTCGGTAAGGCCCTTCTCTGGGCAGGAGGTCGACCTGGTCCTGAGCCCGCTTTTGGCATGAGACAGCCAGGAAGAGTAAGACGGGTGAACTAATAGTCGTCGCCGGTGGGACTGGTTCATTCACATGACGTTGGCTCCAGCGTCGGACGGTCGAAGAATGCTGTGCGACGGCTGAGAACGGCTGTAGTGAGTTGAGACAAGCTTAATGAGCAAATCAAGCAAACCGAGCGGTTCTCGCCAAACAATCGGGGATCCACTACTTCTCGCTACCAATCCTGGCAGTTGGAGAGAGACCGAGAGTGGGAGGAGCTCATGGGTAAGGGGATAGGCATCCCGCCTTCACGATAACAAGTCGCAGCCATGCGCCTGGGAAAACTGTGCGTACGCTGGTAGTCTGGCTCACGGTTCGTTGCAATCTTGCATCGACCCACGGGACTGCGCTCCTAAGTCTCCGAGGAAGTGTCTCTCAGACGGCTACAAGTACGCAATCACGGTTGCAGGGCAGATCAGCGGGCACATGCTCTTCGGAATTTTGAAGATAACAGGAACCCGGTTGCGGCAGTGCGAGCGCTGGTTGCTTGAGAGAAGCTCGACCATGCCATCAACCGCAATTGACGGCTAGACACGGCTGGTCGCCTTTCACGTGTCCTTCAAGACTCGTCCTGACCTTGCGCGCCCTGAGTCCAGGTGACTTGTCCGTTGACAATAATTAAAAGGGGTCCCTCTCATACCAATTCTTTAGCTGTCTCCGTTCAGCTGGAAGCATGGCAGTGCGTCCTATCTCATAAGGTAATCAATGCGAATGGGCCGTGTCGGAGCACCAGCAGCTAGCGCCCTAAGTGTGATGGCCTCAAGGGACCGACGTAAAGTAACTACCGTTCGGCGGCCGGTCCTTTACAACAGCCACCGAATGGTGGAGCGACTGAAAAGGTGATACATCCAACACCCCAGATTCTGGAAAATTGGCGCTGCTCGCGTCTGGTTAGCAACGCGGAGTCCGGGCACTCGGCGGACTAGAAACTGGACTCGAAAACGGGCCGTACCGCTGTAGTGGGATATGAACGACAGCCATGGTAGCATCCTAATCTTAGACGTTACGGGATGCAGTACCTCCTCGACCGCCGTGTAACCCTAGTGTCATAGCTTTGATGAAGAGACTGGCGCCCATCGAAGGAGTCGCCACGCATCTCACTAGTGATGTTGACTCTGACGGACTGGAACAGCATTTGACAACTGAGAACATGCAATCCGTCCTCTGGTATTTCTACGTACGGTAAGAACGATTCGTTTGAAGTGCTGTTTGCTTTACGTAGTTCAGGCGGAAAACTGCATATTGGTATCTTCAAAAGGTAATTTTTCTGCAATCTTAGCTAAAAGGTCTGGCTGTTATGAACATCAAAGGTCAGCGGGTCATGCTTGTCAGGGAGCGCAGCCACCTTGCTCATTACCCGCAGCCATGCTCGAATCAAACACATCCGGTCGATCTACGGAGAATTCCAGCGGCTCCAGGTACGCATCCGTCGACGATGGCTGGAGGCTTGGCAACGGTCACCGGGTCCGTATTTCATGCATCTCAATCCAGTCATCGTCTGAGGGGTCTTAATGAGAGTGGTCAGACGACCGGCACTAATAGATTCAAGCTCCGATGCCGTTTCTGCCGGACCCCTCCCGAAAGGCAGTATCGGGGGGGCTACTCGACGTCTTGCAGCCGAATGCTCAAATAGTCGGCGGCCTGATTCAAGTCAGGTGGTCGGTCGGATGCAAGGAACGCAGAGAGCAGACCCCCTTCTCCTAAAACCGGCGAGCCCGAAACCCAGGAATGTCCAAACAACGTGCAAGGCACATACGGAGAGCACTAACTTTGTCGTCGATAGTGGCGCGAAGACCGCGCACGGCCGCCTCGCGCGCCGATCACAGGCAGCTGAGCAGCTAGGCTGAGAGACAAAGGACGCGCCTTTGCAGCAGAGTCACCGGCCAGACGTTGGATCGCAGCGCTGGGCGTGGGCGGCATGCTTGAAGTAGGAGGCTGACCAGCCTATTGCTGACGAGTGGGCGGAGACAAAGGAAGCCACGGCGGGCGTTGCTAAGCGAGCAAGCCTCTTTCCAGATACACGCTAGGCACACGCGCATATCTGCACGTCAACAATCCCTTGTCCTCGCTGCCGTCGTGGGGAGGGTTGTGTCCTGGGTCGAGGGTCGGCCTCGCATGTAGATTCAGAAGCAAGGCATGTGACCAGTCTCTAGATATCTTCGGTCAGAGTCAGCCTGCCGCATACCCACAGTGCCGGGTCGGCCTCTTCACAAGGTTCCGCAGACTTTCCAATCGGAGACCCAACATGACCTGAGCGCCGGAAGAGGCAGTCCCCGGCTTTCTGCTTCCAGCAGATATTGCCTAGCCTTCGAAGCCAATTGCTTCTCAGGAATTTGGATGGTCGTCAAGACCGTTAGGCAGACTAAGGGCCAAGGTGAGTGCTGATGGTCATTCTGAAGCGCAAACTGACGTCGCAGCCAAGGAGAATGCATGATCTTCTCCGAGGTCAGCATCTCAACAATGGCGGTGGCGACGTTTGTGCTATTGAGGCGTCGAGTCGCTCCGGTTTCGCCAGCATAGTGAGCGGGGTGGAGCAGCAATATTACAGCTGTTATAGCCTTATGACGGATAACGGCCCGAACGGCCAGGACGGCTGTCGTGCCTTTTTGTCGCTCTGTAGGGGGATAGAGTGGATCTTACGCTTTGCTCACCGCGCGGCAGCCGGGCCGTTACAGAGTTCTGGGAGGACTAAGATCAGCCCAGCCTTGGCCGTTCAGCGATGTGATGCTGACAACCTTCCAGGTCCGTGGAAGCTCGTCCAATGGCTTCCCCAGACCGGGATATCCATGTCTGGATGACCTGCAGGAGCCAAGCATGATCGATTCCATGGGTTGTTCGTGGGCACATCGAGACGAATCACCGCCAATCTAGATCAGTAACTCATGCTGTAAGGAGCCGTCAGGGCCGTACATGGTTCAGACTCGAGGTGCCAGAAGGATTGTTCCTGCATCATTGGCAAGGCGAGTCCAGCAGGAAGATGCGGCGGATTCGCGTCCCGAATGGAAAGCTCACCGTGCATCCGGAGCAAGGAGTGCGCAACTGCGTGGAAAAGAGACGGGTTGAGAAATTGTGGGTGTTTGACTATTTGGGACGAACCCATTCTCCCTGGCGTCGGACCTTTAGATAGATCGCTCTTGGTAGTGTCCGCAGCTGCAGCCTGCCAATGCTACCGTTTCGCTAGAGAAATGGAAATGGTCTGCTCCAAAATGATCGGTCGCTGGGGCTGAAAGACTGGTCCGCGACCTGTCAATGAACGCTCAAGTTCTTTAGGTAGATGCTTCTCCTTTGGGCCAATCGACCGACATACACCCTAGCTAGCTTTGGTTTCCAGCAACCCTCGCATTACTGTCGTTTTTGTCCATATTCAACATTTCTCGAAGGGACCCTGTGCACTAAAACGCGCCCAGAGACCCGTCCATCAGCTTTCTTGTCGCTCGACCTGGCTCCGTGGGTTCTACACGCCAAACATACTTGCTTTATCATTTGAATCTACTCCCAGTTCACCGATATTTTTATAAAGATTTTCGAACATCCAGAAGCATTCACGAGGTCTGCGTGACGAGCCTACTGGTTGAAAGCACTCCGTCGACCTACCTTGCCGTCCGCGCACATCTCCACTGATTCGACCACCATCTCAACCGTAGCACTCAGATCCATCCAGGATCTTTCCAAGTGAGTCGCAAATCCCAGTACGCGGCGACTATCATCACTTATTTTGAGAAAGATCACATACGAGTCAGAAGTTGACGCGGTCGAGACTCCTCCCACACCCAGGTCCTGGCGCAGATCGCTAAACGACCTGCACCGGCTGCACTCGAGCAATAACACAGGGCCACACTGCTTCAGCTGCAGCAGACCAATCCGGTACGCGGAGGATCGGCTTCGGCAGATGCGAGTTGAAAAAGTGACTGACGGTTCGAAAAGTGACCGCATTCGATTGCCTGACTGACGGAGAACCTGACGCGAGAATATTAAAACGAACCTGAGAGCCGCCCAGTTTTTCGAATCGCGTCACGACCGGATAGGTTCGCCAGTATCTCATAACTCGCGCATCATCCCACGCTACGACACGTGCGCTTCCGCCATCTCCGGAGCGCACCATCCGCTCCCCGAGGTCCTGAAGACTCACTTACGAAGGTGTACCATTGAGCGACCAAGCAAGCAAGCCCGAAGCTGGCATCATCAGCCTCATCTGCGACGACATCCGAACGAATCGTGATTGTCGAGTCGCGACAGGCCAGCGGCTGCGCGGGCATTAGCTGCGGCAACTAGGTCGACGATCGAGCGTTTGTGCCGGCAAAACCGCCAACCGCCCCCAAGTCTGCCGTTGAAGCGCGCCGCGCTGCTGGTGATTGGACGGCATCCTGTCTCTTTGCGCAAGGCGAGAGAATCCATCGCGCAATCGGAGGAAGCTCGGGCCTGTGAGAACGCTGTAGGTCCCGGGGCTTCAAGCACATTGCGACAAGGAAGGGAAGCCTTTCGCTGCGACGCAGAGTTGGAGAGGGAAAGATTCGGCGTGAGTGAAGAGCTTGCGCGTACGCAACGCTGGCGGCTGCGGTCGTCTGAGGAATAATCGCTCGGGGTTCGCGGATTTATGTGTGCCGCTGCGACAATGAATCAAGGTAAGGCAGCATTGGAGAAAGATCTCTGGATGGCTAAATCGCACACCCATAACGCTTTTCTACCTCACCGTACCAGGAGCAACACTCCCGTTTTTTCCCTGCCTTCATGACGTTGAGTTTGCGTGTGGAGCCTTCCGTCTTCCTTACTGCAATATGCGTTCTTATATTGAGCGTTTGAGGCTGTTGCTCAGATCTGCAGAAGCCGGCACCGCTTCATGTGATGCACTTTTTAGCAACTGAGATACCCAACTCGGCAAGGTCTGTGTCACCAGCACGCCAGAAGACAAACGTTCTCTTTCCTCGTTATTTGGAGAGCATGTTTTCGATTTTCTGTCCTATTTCTGTTTCACTACGCGCGAGAAACGTCCATGCGCAGCTAAATGGCTGATTTGGTGCCTACAGCACTCTTGAATCCTCTTCCATTGGGATCAGACTATCCCCTATCGTCGGAGCACGAATGCATGGACCATATCGGTGCGCATGCACATCATTCACCATTCGCAGGTGGAGGCGTGCCGGATCAGCTTCGGCGTGACGCTGCATTAGGCCAGTCAGCGACAAGTTTCACGCTGCCGTCGAGTAATGGTGTCCGTTACATGCCACATCGTTCCGTGGGGCACGAAGCACAGTAAGTACTCCGTCCTTATTGGGTCTTCATGCGCACGGGTCCTCCTTGCTCCGCAGCGCTGCTTGGCCGCAACTAGACTTTGCTCTCGCTGCATTTGCGCGTTGGAGTTGCTGCGGCCCATACCTTCTTACTGTCGGGGCCTGTTTCACGGGCCCCGACACAAACACGTCGTCATGTCCGGCATAGCCTCTCGTGCTACGAGTTCCGTATGCTCGGCTTGCTGTTGTCCCAATAGACTGGTTTTCGCCTTGGTCACAAGACAACGCCAGTAACGGCCTGTTGTTTCTTGTCGTGGTGGTTAACTTAAATTGTGCCACCGGTCTGTTGTGGTTACACATCGCAGGCCTTAGCACCCGTCTTGACCTAGATTTCCTCTCTAAACGATGGACGACACCGATGTAGCTGACTTTGCATGACACAGTTATCACTCAGGGTCCGGAATTTCCAATTCAGGCTCAGGATCCATCTCCGCCAGCCCTGGCTCGAACGTATCCTCACTGACATTTCCGCCTTTTACGGCGTCGAACATCTTCCAGCAACCTGGTCTTAGCGTCGTTAATCAGTACCCACCGGCAGCTCAAGTCTATCCCAACCCTGTTAGGTTTCCTCATTCATTTGGCAGCATGGCTAATATGAAGTCAAGGATGTCATCCACGTACGTATCCCTACATTCCTTGCCTGCGGCTTTCTCATAGCCGGCAGAGCACAAGATTCGATGTATGACGGCTGACAGCTGAGCCTCAGAACGGACCCCTCAGCATCGGGTATGTTACCTCCGGCTCGAACATCGGGAATGGAAAATCCAGTGTCACCTTCTTTGGGTGCAACCGCTAGAGAGAACTACACGACTGCCACTCCACATCTCAACAGGCATACTTTGTCACCTCGAAGCCATGCGGAAGCTCTCTCAAGGGCGCCGTATACTTCGCTACCGGACACGCCGAGAAGTGTGCTGACTGCCAGCGCGATGTCGCTGTCACCTCCCTCCGTGGCATCTTACAACGCTGCAGCCGTAATGGGCTATCAGACGCAGCAGAACCCCCAACAATCTGAGACTCCGCCATTCCAGCCTCAGGAAACGCTACATGAGATCACCTGCGCGGGGCAGACTGTTATCCCCAGCATCGAAGCGAAGATCGGCAAGGGATTTTTCTTCTCATCAGACAAGACATGGACCTGCTACCGGCGCAACTACTTCTCAGTAGAGTGCTCGTACTCTTTGAACCCGCATGTTGCGGATGGCCGCTTGTACCTCAACAGAGGCAGCAAGCAAGGCCAGGAACAGATCCAGGCTTTGGCAATGTCACTTTCAGCCGTGGTTGACGGCACGACCGGCAAATCGATCGAGCTCGTTCAACACACTCCAAAGCGCGACAAGGGACCTCAGCTGCAGATCCAGAAAGAGAAACTGGCTCCGACGCCGCCTAGAAAGTATCAGACTGACGTACATGGACATCCAATCAACACTTTTCATGCCCAGCCAACAATGACGCCGCCGTTTCTACCCCTTCAGAACACTCCAGAGCAGTCTCAAGCGGATCCAGAGCAGCACCAAGCGTACTCACCTGCTGGCGTCTCCAGCTCCTCATACTCGCATACCTTCGAGCGAATCCAATTTAAATCAGCGACGGCCAACAACGGAAAGCGGCGTGCGCAGCAGCAATATTACCACCTCATTGTCGAACTATATGCCGATGTGCGCAGCCGTCGAGAGTCGAAGCCTGACTGGGTGAAGCTTGCACAGCGTATTTCGGCAGCCGTCGTTGTGCGTGGTCGCAGTCCAAGCCACTACCAAAACGAGGGACCCCACAGCGCGAGCTCCTCTCGCGGTCCTGGCGGCCCAGGCAGCGCTTCAGGAGGCGGAAACTTGGGCTACGGAGCGGCCGGAGCACCAGGGCTGGGCGCGCGGGGTCTTGATAGTGGCCTCGCTGGCATTGGAGGCTCGATGGGCGGAGGCATGTACGGGGGCAGCCAGTACTCATTGGATCCAAGCCCAATGAGCAGCTACTCCGTCAGCTCGGCAAGTTCAGTCAGCGGTGGTGCTCCTGAAAGGCTCGTCAACAATGACACAATGATGGATGAAAACGACAGCAAAGCCATTGAGGGCTTCGATGGATACCAGTACTATCCAAGCACATTGTACGAAGCTGGACTCTCGCCTGGAGCAAAGACGCTCGGATCAGCCTTTGGAGAGCAGGCAAGGGTCAAAACAGAGTATGGCGGGCATGTCCAGTTGCCTCCTGCATGGCAGGTTGGTGGCTGCGGAAGGTTCCGGGGAACGGAGACAAGCCGTGGCTACTATCCGGACCTGCATACTGGATACTAACTGCAGTTGCAGCCTCAGTCGTAGTTTTCTCCACGTCATCCCACAGTTGCCCGATCGAATTCATTGCGGGGGCTCGTATGTGCAATTTTACGCTACAGAGAAGCACATGGCACACCTTCCACAATGCCCTAGGCCGGCATCTCTAGTCTCTTCACAGCTCGCTCACCCTCACGTCCACCGCTCTCGTAAAGGACAACTGGTCGTGGCTTGTTGCTCTGGGTCGCTCTACTACCTGGCCTTTGTTTTCGCACTACTTCCTCCCACAACGCACCATGACACTAACGAATATACTACCAACCCAGACACTTTCCCTTCTCAACAATTTCGGACCACCAGACTTCGATAGCACGATTCTTCTCTTATTAGCAGCATTCTAGGCGCTAGGAATCTAGGATGACCTACCAAGGAGCAACGCGACACTCAGCACAACTCACGAACCCCAGAAGGCTGGGCGCACCGGCGCCAACCTCGGACGATCCATCACTTTTCATTACTGCGGACTATGTCAACGTTTACGATGTCACGAACTGCAATGTTTCTTATGTTTTCCATGTTTCTCTTTATCTCGGCATACCTAACGAGTCTCATAACTTGCTCTCACCTCCCACGGTGCAGCAGCTGGCGCAAGGCTCGGATCTAAAACGGGAAGGGACGGGCATGGACACCGGCACGGATGGATTAGAGGGGCAGAGATTCGAACATGGACACGGCGCTTGACCAACCCTGCGGGGTTGAATGCATGGCTAGAAACTGGGTGCATGCATGGGCATCAGGCAGGCAGGTAGGTCTGACGGTAAGGACAGCCAAAAGAAGCTCCGAAAACGATATGACGCTGGATGAGGTTATGGGGACGGGACCTCGACTTATGACGGCGGCATTCTTGTACTTTAGTCTCCTTGAAATTACGCAGGGCGGCCCCTACTGCGTTTTTACATACCTCTTCTCTTCCATCTCACTTCAGCAACCCTTGTGTCTTGACGCATGTATTGATGCAGAAAAGCAATGCCCAATATCAGATAGACTTTCCGAAGACCCACACAAACATCGGCCCATCCTAGTCGCGTAGTGCCCGCGCCAACAAGAATGCCGATCCTGTGTGGGTGCGGTGCCGCCCGCAGCAGGCCGCCCGCTCCGTGACCATCGCCTTCGCCTGGCGACCCCTAGCTGATTACAGTAGGTGCTATGTAGAATGGCTTCGGAGTTGATGGTTAAGCGGCCAGCATAGCGTTGTGCCAGCTCTCCGCCGTCTTCCTAGCCCGGCACTCCGTACCGCGCTTCGGGGGTCCGCTAGACTCCGCTGTCAGGAATATTCGAAGAGACTCCAGCGTCATACTCTCACTATTTATAAACACAACCAGACTTCTGTATCGCGAATCGGCTAAGGATCTGACTAACATTCGAACGGGTGCATAGCCAACTTCAGAGGTATGAGAATGCTGTTTCCACCATCAAAGAGACTGCAAAAGCCTACGAAAATACCAAATGTCAAGTCAAACCCTCTTTCATTCTCAACAGCCAATCTCCGCCACACTTCTCTCTACGACCTGACCATTCCATAGCAGCACTTGAAGTTATCACCTCCCGGACACTGGTCTATCATCGCGTCAGCTACACGTTTCCCAGCATCTCTTTAGCTTATGACTTACTGTTTAGTGTCTGTCCCCCACGCCTGCTACACTCACTCGTGAACGCGCAAACATCATCATTGCGAGTAGGATGGCAGTTGCTCTTGATGCAACACTTGACACCGTTTCCGTCATACGGACACCAGTTGTTGAGAGTGTAGCCGCCGTCGGCCTGGCAGTCGGCGATCCGCACGCAGACGCCGTATTGGTATTGACCACCGGTACTCGGGTTAGTACAGCGGCCGTTAATGGCGGCTTCGACTGCACCGAGTGAGGATGTGAGAGTAAGGAGAGCGGTAAAGCCGGTAAGCTTCATACTGCTTGACGATTGTAAGGGCAGTGGTTGGAGGAGTTCAGCTTCATTTCAGCCGACCAGCACGCACTAGCCTTTACTTTATAGAATGAGAGGAGAAATAGCTAGGTATCTCCATGGCGCTGGAGGGCAGTGCCTCCGAGGTCTCAAATCTTCGTATTCATAAAGGCAATACGAGAGCCAAGCCTGCAAGGCATTCCACTTGAAGATAGTCCGCATTGGTTCAAGATATGCACCCCGCAATCTGTATCACCGCATTGCATGCATGACAAGGCTAAGCCTTCAGAACGGGAGGGCTAAAGGTTGGTCGACTGGCAGAGAGAGCGCTGCTCACCCTTTCCGCATTTGATTGGGAGTTGCAAGCAACACGCCTCTGCAACCCCGAATTGATACTGTAGGTACGCCCACCCTACTGTATCTCTCTTCCGAAGCGCTGGAGTAAGAGCGCTCACTCAAGCCGATATGCTTGGTTCACATGAGTTCATGTGCAACCCCCTGTCAAACACTTCGTGCATCGTTGGCGAGAATGTCGAAAAACTTCAGAGAATATCGGTCATGTTTCTTCTGAGCTATGACTGGGTATGGGAGGACGGCACCCACAAGGACTCCAAGAAGAAAAGCCTACGTATGAATCACTTCCAAGGCAGACACAGCTCATAAGATCTATGATCAACGTGTTCTCCAGATTCGGACCAGAATGAAATGTCAGGGGTAAGGATTCCCAATCCTTGTGGTATTCACCTCTTCCTATGCCTCACGCCTTTCCAACGAGCGAGCCGATCTACGTCCGCAGCAAAATTGGGACGCCGAACGCAGAGAGCTTGATGCTGTGGCCTGATCTCGCGCCTAACAACATGCTGGGATACCCTAACGCCCCACAGTCATACATCTCCCTGCTCTTAACAAGGATACTGTCAGAGATACCCGTCGACAAAGGATGCACGTCTATTTCCCTTCATCTTCGTCCTGTGATCCGCTCATGTAACCTCTCTCATTTCAAGGCCGCGATCGAGTACCGCCCTTCACTCTTTCCCGTGCGCATGCCCATTGGTCTGACTCTTCCCCTGTCTCACAAGCCAACTCAGTAGATCAACCTTCGTGACGACAGCTACAGCCTTCAGCTGCCCCGCCTCGCCAACCCTCTCCGTGACAACAGCAGCGCTGTTCCACTCAAAGAACCGCGAAAGCGCAGAGAGGGGAGTATCTCTTGTGATCTCCACAAACTTCCTGCTCTTCCCCTGCTGCTTCTTCTTGTCCTCTTTCCCCTGCCCACTCGCCTCAAGCGTCTGCCCCGGATACACATTCTCCTTCTTCTGCTGCTCCTCCCTGCCCACCTTGCCAGCATCGTTCATGCCGAACACATCACTCGGGTCCGTGACCGTCTCTCTTAGCTTCCCAAAATCAAACATGATCTCGCCAACCGGCGTCTGTGGGCTCGCGCGGCCGCTGCCTATGTAGCTGAGTAGGTTGCCCAGCGTGACGAGTCCGACGAGGCGTTGGCCTTTGGGTGAAGAGACGGGAAGCTGGTCGAACCCTTTTTCTCGCATCGTCTCGATCGCGTCTGCGCACGGGCTGTCGGATGTGACGGTCGTGACGGGCTTGAGGCGGAGGGAGGCGATCGTGGCGCCATGGTAGGGGTCTTTGGCGCGTGCGGAGGCGGAGAGGCGGGTGTCTGGCGAGGGGGTCTCGGTGGGGGGTGTAAGAGGTGGTGAAGGCGGGAGGAGGTCGTTGGCGGCGAGCCAGTCATCGTCGACGAACTGCAAGGTGTTGTGTTAGTTCTGTATGTGCTGCTGGGAACTAGCGGGAGGTGTGGAAAGAAAAGGTTCCGTGAGGGTGGGAGGAAAGTATGAGGAGGAAAGTATGAGGAGGAAGAGGGTCAGATCACGTACTTTACTCAAATAGCTTCTTATGCTATCCGGCAGCACCACAACCACTACATCATCCTTCCCCAACCCCAATTCTTTGACCGCCTTTACCATTGCCGCCATCGAGCTCCCGGAGCTCCCGCCCACAAGCAGCCCCTCCTCCGCAATCAGTCTCCTCGCGAACTGGAAGCTCTCTCGGTCATCAGTTTTGTACCATTTATCCACACTGCCCTGATCCAACACATCCGGGATGAAATCATATCCAATACCCTCCACTTTGTACGGCTTATCCTTGAAATCTTCATTCAGCTGCGTCGGCAGCGCCAGAATGCTGCCCTGCGGATCCGCCGCAATAATCTTGACATCCTTGTTATGCTTCCTCAGCCCCCTGGCAATGCCCGTGATGGTCCCTCCCGTCCCCGCGCCCGCCACCAGCGCCGTAACCCTCCCCTCTGTCTGCGCCCAGATCTCCTCGGCCGTGCCCAACTCGTGCGCGAGCGGGTTATCCGGATTCCCATACTGATCCAAAATGTGCGCGTTGGGAATCTCCTTCTGCAGCCTCCTCGCAACCCCAATATGGCTCTCCGGGGAATCAAACGCCGCCTGCGTAGGCGTACGAATGATCTCCGCCCCCAGCGCCCTCAGCACCGCGACCTTCTCCGGGCTCATTTTCTCCGGCAGCGTGATGATTGTGCGATACCCTTTCACGGCCCCCACGAGCGCGAGCCCAATGCCCGTGTTCCCGCTTGTGGGCTCGATGAGCACGTCGCCCGGTTTTATGCGGCCGGCGCGCTCGGCTTCTTCGACCATGCGCAGCGCGATGCGGTCTTTGACGCTGCCGCCGGCGTTGAACATCTCCATTTTGGCGTAGACGGTGCATTCGATGCCCAGCGATTGGGGAATTTTGTTCAGGCGGATGAGGGGCGTGTTGCCGATCTGTTGGAGGACGTTGTCCATCACTATGGGCGGGAGCGCGGGCCGGGTTTTGGAGGCCATGGTGGGCGGATTGGAAGTGGTAAGAGGCTCGCGGGGGATATCGAGGGTGGTCTCAGCTTAGGGAGGGTGGATTTTAGAGTCGTAGTCGCGATGGAGTGGAGCAGCGGTGAGATTTGCTGGCGACGAAGGAATGTGGTACGTATCGGTAAGCCGCAAGTAGCCGGTGGGGCAAGCGAGCCGTCATTTCTGCCTGAGGCCCCACAACACGATGCAAGGAGCGAGTTTGCGTACAAGATTAGGCATTCGAGGAGAACGCAGCTTGAGCAAATGCAACCAATGCTATGGGTATCATATGGAGGTACGTTCGAACTTCCGCCAACTACCGTCAGGCCTAGAGCTGCCTCGAAATCCATTCCCACCACTCACCCACCTCACCGCCCTGCCCACCCACGACATTTCCTCCCTTGACTTCAACCACGACATTGACTTCCTCCATCTGCTTGAACGTGAACTTGCCCTCTCCCCCATCGCCGAGCCAGTCCCTCTCCTCCCTGTCCCCATCTTCGTCCATCCCAATGCCACTATCCAATAAGCCCTTCGCGCGTGTGTCCCGCACTCTCGTGATTTCCGCTTCCAACGCCGCCTTGACCAACGGCGCCGGCAGCGCAGTGAAAAGATCCATCTTGTTTGCTGCAATCAGCACAGGCGTCTCGCCGGGCCCCTTGCTCGTCTTGGTGTTTGTGTAGCGTTTCTGCAGCGCGAGAAGGATGTCGTGAAGGTACTCTGCTGCTTCCGTGAGGCCGGAACTGCTGCTTCCGGAGACACCTGCGCTGTCGCTGCTTAGGTTCGCGGCGTCGACGAGGTAGATGATGCCCTTGAGGTTCTGCGGAGCGACGAGCTGGGCGGAAGCGAAGTGGCGGAGCTTGCCATGGCCGGGCGTGTCGATGAGGAGGAAGCGGCTATTCTTTTGCGCGGTGGGGTCGGAGGCGGAGCGGTACTTGTTCGATGCGGCGGCCGTGTCTGAGGGAAGGGTGATTTCGACGCTGAGAGGTGCCTGGGATGTATGTGTAGGAGATGGATTGCCGCGCTCGAGCTTTTGCAGAGTTAGCGAAACGCTGGGGGAGGCTTGTATGCGGAGCTTACGAGAGTGAGGAGAGCGGTCTTGCCCGCGCCGCTGGGACCGATGAGCAGGAAGGCGGGGAGGCTGGTGGGCGCTGTTTTACGGTAGATGTAGAGATGGAGGAGGAGCGGCAGGGCGACGGAGACGAAGGCTGCGAGGAGGATGGTGGAGAGATACGGCCCAAAGCTTCGCGACAGCCAGCTGTCGGCGTCGTGCCACGCCATTATAAGCAGTACTTGAGGCAGAGGTGAGTGATCACGCCGGCGCAGAGGAGGTGGGCGAAGAGGTGGGTGAAGACTTGCTTGGCGCCCTCGGCGCGCAGCACGACGTCCACGAAGAAAATCAAGGGCCTACGGACCCAGACATGGACCACCAAGGCCCACCAAAAGATGCCGCCCTTGGTGCGGCAGCCCCAGTGAGAGCCTTCGTGCATACAGTATGCCGCACAACGACCCAAACCGCAACGGCACCTGACAAAAAGAGCAGGGCCCAGCCCTCAAGCTCGCCGGGCGGGAAGCGGGAACCTGCGCGCCTCACCCTCTTCCTGTTGATGTATACATGCGTTAGCAACTGTACTTCATAACGGGATCCCATGATCATTGTGATGAGAAGTGGTTTACTTACTTCCACGCCGCGGATACTCTCCTCGTTGTTCATCTTGTCTGAATATCTGCGTCAACGAAGAGCTTCCGGTGGTTCACTATGGGTACGCACTGCATTGATTTCAGCTTGGGACAGTTTCAACATCACGTTGCAATATTCTATGTGATTTTGTTCTACTACGCTAGGCTCGTTAAGTAACTGAGGAAGGAGGATATTGAGGAAGGCGCTGGGCCGTGAGCGGCGCTGCGTTGCTCCTACCTTCGGCGGGCAGAGCTGCTGACGTGTGGAAACCCATTTCTCGCTGAACATGCTAACGTTCAGAAGACGTGGTGCTCTGCAGAAACTGCCGCTGAGCGATTCAAGAAGCCGTGAATACTATCACGGCTCCAGCCGCAGGGGAGGATCCGGCTATGATCATAAGGCTCGGTGGGGTTTCCCAAGCTACAGTCATAATTTTCTGAGTAAACCCTAAGCTGGACGAAGCCCTCAAAAAATGAAAACTTCCTTTGGAAAGCCCATCGGATGTGGCTCGAGGTGATGTTCTTAAGGTTTTTGTCGTGACATCCTGCGGTGGTTGAGAGCTCCAAGGCACGCTTCCCAAAAGGGTAATGTCGGATTTTCCGCAGAACGACACAGTGCGGACCCGAGTCGGGTCGCGTCGCGCGACTGGAACGTTTTCATGGGCGGCGTTCAGCGTCAGAACCAGCCTTCTGCGCGAATGCAACGAAGTCCTCCGTGGGGTTCGCGGTGGGCTTTCGGAACTCGGTGACTTCACCCATGTTTCTGCATGAACTTCGCGATATGTCCTCAAGGCCCAGTGCTGTCACCAAAACTCCTTCACGGCGATGGCGCCTGATTCGCTCCGCAGTGTCTTCTGACCAGATATGACTCTCGCGTAATCAAGAAATTGTGAGCAATGCTACATCGCCAGCTATAGGCGAAATCCACCAATGATGATGAGAGCGCCGTTCATCATCAAAGTTGCGAATACCTTTAGCGTGTGAATTCATGGCTGTGAGAAATCTGTCTAAGCTCAAATCGAAACGCCCCTCAACAAGCGTAGGTAAACGGCCGTCTCCGGCCTGTGACCATGTTTACCGGCGTACAGGCTGTCTTCGAGGCGTGCGCAGGGGAGAGAGACATGGGCGCCAGGGTCGATAGATCGTGTGTCACAAGCACGACCGAATCTAGAAAAGACCCTGGACTTTCACTTTGAGCCGCGTTGACAACGATAGACTCCAAGACGGCATAGAAAGGTGTCAACAGCGTTAACATGTCTCTGCAAACACAGACCGGAATATCTGCAGAAGGACATGCCGAGGCGATGTCCATGACGCATCCTCACGTCACGTCATTTTTGTAGGTGTAAGCTTCGATATATCAAGTCAAAGCTGTTTCCTGCGTTCTTATTCCCTTACGGAAATTACCTATACATTTTTAATAGTCTTCATATCTTTAAAGCCATCTTGTTGCTCAAGTCAAGCTCTCAACATACACTATCAGCTTAATACTCGCCTCCATCCAGCAAAAATGGCACACCTCATCACAGGGAACAAGTTCGACCCGAATACGGACATTCCTGACCTGAGCGGGAAGGTAATAATTTTACACTTGTACAATCACCTTCATTTGCTCATAGTCCTCCCAGACCTACATCGTCACAGGCGGCACAGCAGGCATTGGCTTCGGCATCTCCGCCCACCTGCTCCAACACAACCCAACCAAACTCATTATGATCTCAAAAAAGGAAGAGCACGGCCAGGAAGCAATTGAGGGCCTCAAGAAGTATGGCGATGTGGATAAGGTCCAGTTCATCCAGTGCGACTTCGAGGACCTAAAGAGCGTAGACAAGGTTGCGAAGGAGCTGAGCGAGAGCTTGCAGCAGCTCGACGGCGTATGTCTATCCACAGATCCAAGGAATAGAAGGACTGGCCCCTGACGCTCATCCTCAGCTCATCTGCAACGCCGGTCTAGGCGTGGGACCATACAACGAGACAGTCGACGGCATCGGTACGCCCTCCCAGCCGCTCCTCCCCCCTGCCCACACGACGGCTTCACTAACACCACCAACCGCGCAGACTCGCATATGCAAGTCAACCACATCTCCCAGTTCCACCTTACCCTCACCCTCCTGCACCTCCTGCAGAAGACACCCAACTCCCGCCTCGCCTTCCAGTCCTCGGACCTACACCGCGCCGCGTCTTCGAGCATCAAGTTTGCCTCCCTCGACGAGATCAACACCGACATCGGCGCTACTAACCTCTACAACCGCACTAAGCTGGCAAACGTGCTATTCGTGCGGGCTTTGGTGCGGCGACAAGCGGCTGGAGACCTGGGCTTCAACAAGGCAGCGCAGGCGGGTCCGTATATCAATGCTACGCATCCGGGGGCCGTGAGCACTGATCAGCAGGAGCAGGCTATTGAAGCGTACGGGAAGGCGGCCAAGTTGGGCGTCAAGATCATGCGCCCCTTTATGAAAAGCCCTGAGGAGGAAGGTTGTAGGCCTATGCTGTTTGCGGCTACGAGCGAGGATGTCGTGAAGGAGGGGATCAACGGAGCATATGTAAGCCTATCTCAAGCTGTGCCTTATGGAGTCGGTTCCCGCCTCTGGGGTCCACAGCGGCCTAAGCATTTGCATTTCTATCGGGTGAGGTTCAAGCTGACATAACAACAACCAGATCGTACCTGACCGCAAAGTCACGGACCCCTCGAAGCAGGCTCAGGACGAAGAGCTGGGCGAGCAGCTGTGGAGGTTGACGGAGCAGATCCTCTCGGAGAAGCTCGACAGCCTGCCGTACCGGACGCAGTATATTGATCCGATGGCGAAGGAGGGGATGCACGGGCAGAGCCACGCACGATAGAAGTTTGGGAAGTTAGAGATTTTTTGAGTATATTCTTCCGCGGCTATAAAGGAAGCAAACGTTGGGGAAATTCGAGTTTCCCAAATGTACGGAACTTATGAGAAAAGCAATATCTGCTTTTATGTTCACGCAACGATCGCTCATGGTGATATTTGGAAGATGCTGCTGATGAGTGGCCACTGAACACCTTTTCCCACTTCCGAACACGGAAAAATCACTGCTTCGTAGAACGCCGCCACCAACCGACCCCACTGCTGAGCAGCCACCATGGTACGGTAATGGATATCACGGCAATAACGGTAATCATAAACAGCGCGAGGACCCCAACAAACGCCGGATTGGCGGTGCAAGTCGAAACAGAGAAGGGCGTATCGGGCCCTGGCAAATTTGAGCACGATGGCGAGGATCGTGAAAGGCCGTGTCGACGGCGGTCCTAGCAATAGTTGTAACGACGACGATGATGACTTTCCACGGTCTCGGGTTGTACCAGGCGCCAGCACAACGGTGCTGGTCAAGGAATACAAGCTTGAGCGAGTCCATCCGTCTTTCTAACAACTTTCACATTCAGTGTTCTACGGATACTGTCTATTTCTAAATACAGTAACATCTAGGCCTTCCGTGGGACATCGTTCATATTTCATGTCTCACTCAGTACGCGTTTCGCCGCAGAGCGGCCCCCTCAGCCACTACCTCTGCCCACTTAAGTGTGCCTTTACCAAGAGGAAAACTAACAAATACTTATCGATGCACGCTCTTCCCTCAACAGTCTTTTATAAGAACTCCAGGCGGCTTGACGGTACAGCCGCAAAGGGGGCACTGGGTGGCTGCCCAACTAATGGTTTATCGAGTCCTCGCATGCTTACAACTGCTCGTTACCCCGAGGCCTTTTCGAATGGCTTCCGGGCTGGGTCGGTTGGTTCGGCCTCAAGTTCGTATGGTCGTTAAGACTTATACTTGCCTATATTCATATCGTGTCAAAGGCACCACCATTGGAATATCTTCCGAGTAAGTTGCCTCCTTCTCTTTCTTCTTCTCCGCCCTCTTCTCCGCCCAGTTGTCTGCCCAGTACACAGTCAGTTGAAGAGCCGCAAAAAATGGAACAGATGGTCTATCCAAACGTACCGCTGAAGGCCTGGATTAATACCATCGGCGTTATTAGAACTAATGCTAAGGGCACGAATTGCCCGAACGTCCACAAATCATCCTCGGGATTTTTCCCAGTCGGTTTCGCGATGAGTCCAGAATTGGACATCCACACTCGGAGACGCTGGATGTGATAGTAGGATAAAATGGCCACGGTAGTCGTACCGCCCACCACGAAGAGCCGGAAGGACCAGTAGAGTAGATGGATGGTCGGTTTGCGACGGAGACGTTCTTGTGCCACGAAAGCCCAGATTGAGAGAAAGAACATGAGTCCATAGGCGGTCATAGTTGCTATCCACAGTCTATAGCCGGGAGAGAATTCGGATACTGCTGGTCTAGACTCCGTGGCGTTTGCCGGTAGTCCACCGCTTAGATAAAAGCAGGCGGCTGGCAGAGTAAGAAGCGTCTCTGTTGTATTCTTTGGTGGGACAGCGGTAGGAAATGGACTCCCGGAGCTGGTAACTCGGTTCTGTTTGACAAACATGAAACCAATCAGGAGCTGCGAAACCAGCACAAGGAGGAAGCGAGCCAGACCCATCCAGTAACCTCTCCAGTATGTATTGGTTACAGTAATAGCGGTAAGATGAGTCGTAAATGAGATTAGCCCTAGACGAGCAATGACCTCATAGTGATAGGCCGAGACCTGGCAACCGAGACCAAAACGAGCGGCTAATGCGAATGCTAAACCTGTGTAGATCTGCTGGTCACTCAAGCTCAATATGACCTTCTCGATGATCTTGGACCATGTGATCTGGAGACGGCGGCGCTGACACTGCTGGATTTTTCTGTAATCACAAAGCCCTGTCAGTTATCGGTGCTACACACTCAAGGGGCACCCAAGGGCCATTCACTGCATTCTCTCTTCCCTGCGGCTTCTTCTTGCTTCCCTGCTCATGGGAAGGGGGATACAACAGAAGAAGAATCTCAGACACTCAGTCACGCCAATGGCTGCAAAGTGCTCGACCCATTGGAGGACTAGGTGTAGTAGACCGAGGCCGGAAGCGACCATGGCTACGGCAAAGAATCCTTTGAGAACCTACTCCTATCAGCTAGTAATAGCCGGAGGTTGCTCCCACCTACTGCTGTGCCTGCCACAGTTGGATTGGCCTCAAACTCGCCCGGACCTGCTGGCGCGCAATCGACCGACAGATTCCATGCCGCTTGGCAGACATTCGGAGACACCGAGAAAGCGTCTGAGAAAACGTGCGTCATGGCTCTCTAGTTGACAACAAATGACTGTATAGCAAGATGAGAGGTTTGGAGAAGTTTTGACTAAAGAAGCACAAGGCACAGCTTATGCTGGAAGCATGATAGATTGTATGTCCTACCTGCGGGATACAACAACGTTTCGATCCTGTAGCGACTTCTCGCTAGATGCTGCCAGCAAGGCTGAAGGGTACATTTCGAGGCTGAGCGGTAGCATTTCATTCAAACCCGCAGCCATTGTTTCACAAGAATAGGCTCGATAAACGCAGCTTGGATCCTTTACACGATGCCCATTCCTGCTGCTACTGCACTGCAATGCATGAATAGGAATGGACAGGTTCACTGGCCTCGCAAATGTAGACCATATATTGATCCAACTGGTTGGGTGGTATCGAGACGCCCCTCTCAGAGCCCGGAAATAGGCGCCAGTGGCCGTTTAAGCCTCAATGATGGTCTTCCTGCAGGAGTGCAGCAAGGTCAAGTCTTTTGGAACCTGTAGGATGCCTCCGATGCCTACAGCAGCAGAAACGGGGCTGACCGAGAAGGCATGCAATATCCAGCCGTTACCGATCTATGGCATGCATGCACTGCAATGGGTAGAGATCTTCCAAATCAATATTGAAATGGCAGAACGAGGCTGAACGCTTTTAGCACAAGGTGCATCGCTAGAGAATGTCAGTCGGCGGAACAGCTGCATATCATGATTGCGCGTCGTTTCAGCCTTATCCCTGTGCATAAGCTGTGAGCTTGTTAGATACTTAGCAGCATTGTTCGAGAGGCTAAACCGTCGGTATGGACCCGAGTCTGGGTCTACTCAGGCGTTGAATCAATAGTGTTGGTGATTGACGGATGATGATAGTTGCCTTCGGGCAGAGCGAAGGCGTAGTCGTGGGTGCAAGACCCTCACGGCACGACTCACGTGACTCATCAAGCTGCAGATAGCCATACGCTTAGGTGTTCGCGGTGACCTCCTTCCCAGCCCTTACCGCTTACGCGAGTGACAGAAATCGCCAGACTCGTAGACTACCGGACTTAAAACTCACTCCTAGATTACTAAAATCTATTAGATTTACTATATCTCTAAAGATCTTTACTCTAGCTATCCTACCTCTAGGTATAGCTTACACATGTTTATATAGTAGTATACTATAAAGAATTACGCCTAATTATAGCCTCCCTAAGGTGACTGAAGACCTATCTGTTTTTCGGAGTCGGGCAATCTCTGTCACCTAGGCTGAATACAGGAAGACGTGCCCTGATCGCCCCTAGAGCATGTCTCAGTTTCTCAGTTTTCATATTTCATGCCGCTTTCCAGTCTGACTGCGCCATAAATGCCAGCGATGTCTCCTTTTTCTCCGACATGCTCCTTGACACTCGCCAGATGGCTGTCAGCCACTTCGACAGCGCGCATCTTAGCCCCGCAAGCAGAGGCTAATGCCAATGCATGTCCAGCATCTTTTCTTGCAAGGTCAACTTGGAAGAGCGGCTGCAGAGGCTTGTTAGTATGCTCGCCTCCCAATATGCAACCTTCAAGAACGACTCACCTCCTCCCGCTTGTAGTAGTCCCCGGACCGCATCCTGGTTGAGTATGCGGCATACGGCCCAGGCATCATTGCCTCCAGAAATTTGTGGAGGTTATCCACACCGAGGCCAGACTTCTCAGCGACAGTAAGACCTTCGGCTAACGCCTCAACCATTTGGAGAATGAAGGTGTTGCCGATGATCTTCAACAGTGTGGCCTGGCCGTATGGTTGGTCGCTGAACTCTATCACCGCTTTTCCCATCACGCCGGTGGTATACGGCTTGACTCTCTCGACTTCAGCTTTAGGGCCAGCGAGCACGCAGACTAACTGACCGTTGTCGGCCATAGCCGGTGCGCCGAAAACTGATTATAAGTCAGCAGAATAAGGGAAACTCCGCGAAGACTCAGATGCTGACCTGGACACGCTACGAACGAAGCACGCTTCTCTTCGATTCTTTTACCCAGTCCATTCGTAGTGTCCGGATGAACGGTGGAACAGTCTACGAAGAGTTTGCCCTTGACGTCGCTTTTAAGTGCAGTGTCTATGGTATCGTTGATGGCCTTGTCGTCCGCAACGCAGGTAAAGATAATGTCTGACTGTGCAACGGCATCTTCGATACTTTCGGCGACTTTCGCTTTACCGGTATCGAGTGTTGCGGATAGGTCTTCCGCGCGCTTCTTTGTTCGGTTGAAGATAATCAATGGCTTGTCTAGATTGCCCTTCTCGACCAGATTCTTGCACATGCCCTGGATCGATGGTCAGATAGTATCTCATACATTACAGCTGCGTTAGTTTTGGCGTACTCTGCCCATATTCCCTAGCCCAACCCATGCCAGCTGCGGTGCCATTGTGATATCTCCCACTTCCGAAGTCTGATGTCCCTAACTGCGAGTTGTGGATAGTTTGGAGATGTAACCGCGTCAATGACAAAAACACCAATATATACTCGCGTGATGAATGACCCAAGCTCAAATTGGAGCTTTCAGTGATGACTGGTTTGAGCGTTTGAAGGTTGTATGTATACAAAAGCGTGGAACTGCTAAGGTGGTGTATAGATTACCCGCGCTCGTCTGCCGGCGGCTCCCAGAACGATTGCACCACCGTACGGTATGCAGTTGCCAGTCAAATACGCTACCTCCAGAATGTTCTCCCATGATAACCGCCGTGGCTTGGAGGAGTGGATGCCGACCTCGGAGCAGCTGAGTGCCGCAACCGCGGAGATAAACCTGGCATCAAAAAGTTAAATCCGAGCCTTATCGATAGCCACGGAGTCAGACGCACAGCGATTGAAGCTTCATTGAGTCACCGCCAATTCACTTCAGTGCAATGCGTAGGATTCCTCCGGTATGAGCGCAACAGCATGCGCAATGCCATGGTCCTCCTGTATGAGACATGAGGGCATACCGACTGGCCGCAGGCAGAGGCAGCGGCGTGCAGACGAGATCTGCCAAGGTTCGTCATCACTCGGGGAGGGTACTCTAAAGCCGTCAATAGCAATTGACACTTCTGATCCACAGGCCCAACCACATAACCAGACACACGGGCCGTCATGTCTACGTCCTTCGAGCGCTTGCTACTCCACGAGTGCAAGCCAACCATCCGCCCGCCATGACACCTCGCCGAAGTCGCAGAAGGGCCAGCCCGCGCAGAACTTCGCAGAAAGGGACTTCTTCCTCTCCGTGCTCGCCGCAAGTGCCACGAAAAGGGACGCGAAGTCCTATCTAGCCCGTTTCAGACCAGTCGATAAGCCAGAGAAGAGTAGAAGAGAGGCTGTGAAGACGGTCGTGGATGACGCATGGAAGCAGGAGCAGTGGAATCAATCAAGTGGTGTCAATCTGGGCAATCTGTATGCTCCCACCAAAGCCATTGGCGAAAGTCCCGTCTTTGCGCAGGAGCCCATCCGGGATCAGACCAAGATCAGAAGCGCGGAATTGGTGCACGTAGCCCTGGTCAAGCTCAGGGCTCCGCAGACCTGGAGCGAAGCCACCCTAAGTGGAGTCGCTCTAACTCTCAGTCAGCTGGCAGCCCTTGGTCTGCACAGCGCAATCGTCGTTGACTGCGACGAGGTATACACGCCTGAGAGGACCGAAGAGCTGTCACGCAAGTGGAGGGAAGATGTCACGCGACAGGCAGAACGCATCGTTGCTGCTATAGCCGAGCACAACCCCAACGACGCCATCCTACTCGACAACGCGCTTGGAGTGTCGGCGCTCAAGCAAGAAGTCCGTTCTACGGTCCATGTTCGTGGAGGGGTAGAAGTCCAGTATAGCAAGCTTCTCCTAGATCCTCTGATGAGAGGCTTGATACCTGTGATACCACCGATAGCTTATACCGTGGATGAGCAGCGAGCTACGCGTGTACACCCTGATGATGCAGTCTTAGCATTAACCAGGGAGTTCGCTGGTATCACGACGCAGGCTGTAAACGGATCATCCTCAGCCAAGCCCCATGAGACAGATACGAAAACGGGCAGGTCACTCCAGAATCATGTTTCCCTTGACCGAGTCATTGTCTTGGATCCTCTTGGCGGCATTCCTGCTGCGGACCGACCCGACAATGCTCACATCTTCATTAACCTGGAGCAGGAGTACGAGGACATCCGGCAAGAACTCACTAAGTCGTCGGACGCCGTTGATGATATAGCCTTGTCACGGAAAGCAGGAGAAGCTGAGCAGTTCTCCAGTCTAGCTGCGAGCAATCCGTTTTCTCGATTTGTAGAGCAAGAGATTGCGTCGCTGCCGCACACTGCGTCGACCGAGCGCACGTCGTTGAGTGGCAGCAATACCAGACCACCGAGCCGACACCTCAAAAACCTCGATCTAATACAGCGAGCACTAGCTCTGCTTCCACCATCCGCCTCCGCCTTCCTCACCACCCCCGACGAAGCCGCCATCTCCGCGCGTCCGCCCGCCTCCGAGTCCTCCAGCACCGGCGTCCGCACCCGCCGCCAAAAGAACCCACTAATCCACAACCTCCTAACCGACAAGCCCATGGTCTCGTCCTCTCTCCCCTCCTCGCGCCTCCCCTCGACCTCTCCCTCCCGCACCACCACCCACGCCACCTTCCTCAAGAAAGGCATGCCCTTAACCATCATCCCCGACCCGCGCCAACATCCCTGGACGCCCCCCGGGCCAGAAGGAACGACTCTCTCTCTTAACGACCCCCGCATCGATTTCCCGCGCCTGCTCCACCTGATTGAGGATTCCTTCAACCGACCCCTAGACGTGCAGCACTATCTCTCGCGCATCCGGAACCGGCTGGCCGGCATCATCATCGCGGGCGAATATGAAGGCGGGGCGCTGCTAACGTGGGAAGTGCCGCCCTCGCACCCGCATCACCCGCCGGTGCCGTACCTAGATAAGTTTGCGGTGCTGAAGCGGAGTCAGGGCGCTGGCGGGGTGGCGGACGTAGTCTTTAAGGCTATGGTGCGAAGCTGTTTCCCACAGGGGGTGGTGTGGAGGAGTCGCCAGAACAACCCGGTCAACAAGTGGTATTTTGAGAGGAGTATGGGTACGTACAAGGTGCCGGGGACGCAGTGGACGATGTTCTGGACGACGGAGGGGGTGGAGGGGAGGAGGGAGTTGTGGGAGGATTACGTGGGGGTCTGTAGGGGGGTGGAGCCCAGCTGGGCGGATAAGAAGGCGCCGGATTAGCGACTTGTTTGAGAGGTTGAACATCTAGAGGACGCCGTGTACGCTGTGCTCTGCTACTATCTACATATGATGAACGCTCGAAAGGCTCAGCAAGCTCGCCATGATCCGGTGCCGGAACGCATAGAATCCTAACTCCAGCGAGCGGTGGAGTTAGGTTTCTATTCCCTCGAAGAACTAAGGCTAGCCGATTATACGTAGGGCCGTCGAACTACCGCTATCCCCTTTCCGCCTTATATTAAGAAGGATTCGAGTATAGGTCCGTTGTCATACTACCGAATCACCTTATTAGAGTTTTCACTTCATTAGCCTTATATATTATTTATAGAATTTTCGAAGATCCCTATCTCTATTTGCAGCTCCCGCTACCTAAACGCGGCCGTCCACCGGCCCTATAGCCGCCCGCCGCACCTTCTCCTAAGCAAACTCTCAGTCCACACTCTCATTCCATGGCAAGCCCTCTAAAGTCACTAAGCCTTTTAAAGTCACTAAGCTCACGTCCGCAGCAGCGGCAGCGGTTAAAGGCATTAATATAGCCGCCCACCGCACCTCCTCCTAAGCAAACTCATAGTTATTATGAGCGCTCTAGGCAGGAAGCACGTCCAGCGTGAGAAGAAAGCCGAAACCTCCAGCTCGTCTAAGGAGAAGTCCTTCTCTAGCGGCGGGCTCATCCTCCGCGACTCCCTAACTCGTGCCATTGCTGGGTTCGACGGCAACCGTGATCCCGCTGATCCGAACACCCCATACTCTAAGGTACTGGCTATGTTAATGAGGGAGAGGGCGGAGAAGGAAGCGCCGAGGAAGAGATAGGAGAAGGGAGCCTCCCAAGCAAACTCTCAATCCACGCTCTCATTCCACGGCAAGCCCTCCAAAGCCGAAGGCCTCGGACGGTCGGACGGGGTAAGGGCGCACCACCGGACGGACGGACGAGGACGGGCAATCCTTGAGGGCGGACGGGTGGGGCTGGACGAGGTAGTTGTCTATCTAGAGAAGCTTAGCGTGGTGTTATGATTTCTTGGCAGCGTTTTCTTGGGTAAAATACAAGATCTTATCCATTAAAGCCGTCCCTCACTACTGGATGCCTGCCCATTATGTCCGCCACGCTCCTATTGTGTCCACCACGCTCCCAGTATGCTCTCTTGCTGCTAGCTGTGATAGATGAAGTTGGGTGAACGTGGTGAAGAGGTTCTATGTGTGCGACTGCAGTGTGTCGAGGCTAGAGGACCACGGCCTCCTATCACAATAGAGACAGACCCCGGGAGCGGTTCCCATAGTACGGATTACTCTAGAGCACATGATCCTGAACATCTACACGCGATGGACCACACGTTCAACCCCCGGTCCCTACTCAAACTGCGCAAAAGCAAGCTCGTACCCGAACGCCAGGGTGAGCCTCGCATGCTGCAGCATATGCCCAAAGTTCAAATACTCCATCTTATCCTCCGTTGTATGTATTTTGTTGTCCGAAAACTTGAAATCGCTCTCAATCACGAACGCGCTCGGATACCCCGCCTTGGACGCACTCGCGTGATCCGAGCACGCGTAGCCGCACTTCGTCAGCACGTACGGAATGTCGCAGTACTCGGTAATCACCGTCTTGATGAACTCCGTCAGTCCAGCGTCCACGAAATCCGTGATCACGCCCACAGATTCCGGCTCGCCGGCATCGAGCGTCTTCTGGATGTAGCCCGTCATGTCCTGCTGCAGCATCGCCTTGACGTCTCGCCGCGCCTTCTCGTATGAGTGGAAGATGGCTTGGCTACCGAGCAGTCCCCCTTCTTCCGCGCTGTAGAAATGGAACTCGAGCGTGTTTTCCGCGCTGCCGTTCACGATGGCCGGGGACGTCAGCAGCACGCGCAGCGCCTCGAGGATCGTCACCGTGCCGGAGCCGTCGTCGTCGGCGCCGGGAGCCGCGAGGATGGAGGGCAGGAATAAGTTTATGCTGTCTTGGTGCGCGCCGATGACGACGGTCTTGTTGCTTTTGCCCGGTAGCGTCGCGATGATGCTGCTTTGGCCCCAGGGGTGCGAGAAGGCTTTGACGTGCGCGCCGTGGGAGAGGGCGCCGGCGTCCGCTAGTGTGCTGTTGACTTGTTTGAGGAGCCAGGCCGAGGATTGTGCCCCGTAGTCGGACTTGTAATAGCGCGTGTGGAAGGCGGTGAAGGTCTTGAGGTGGTCGTGCATGTGCTTCTTGGAGAGGTGCTCGAGCATTGGCTTGATGGTTTCATTGTAGGCGGGCTTAGAGGGGTATTTGACGGTCTTAATGCTGTTGGTAGAGACGGTGGAGCCGAGGTCGGGGGTATAGGTTACGTCGAAGAAGTTGATGCCTTGCTGTTGTCCATGTCAGTCGGACCGCGAATACGGGTAGGGATTGCTTACCCTCCGCAGCTCCCACTTCTCAGACTCCTTGACCCATCTTCTCGAGCCGCCTTCTTCCTCAATCAGGCAGAGCTCGCTGTCAGCTTCGCCGCCAAGTACGGTGTCGGATGCTGGTTGAACACTCAACGGCGCCTGTCCTTCATGGCGCTGGATGGATAGTGCCGCCGCACTCGTTGCTGCGCACAATGCAAAGACGGTGGAGAATCTCATGGCTAGAGACGCTGTGGTAAAAGCTTAGGTGACTCTTGGATGAAGCTTGCGTGGAGCTCGGTGTTGACTGGTGACGCAGATCATCGGCACGCTGTAGCGCCGATGGCTACGGCTGTCCAAAGCGACCGAAACCACAACGTTCCTGCCAAGAGTTCAGGATAGTGTAGATGCCAAATTGGTAGGTAAACAAGCGCTGCTCAACTGATAGAATACGCATCCGACTGGGGATTGCCAACACTATTGTATTGCGACAACGTAGTGATAAGCGCTTAACAGAGCGCTGGCGCTCTAGATAGTACTTCAGCAGCTCGATGCTTCACATTTCCAGCACCGTTGACATCGTGAACCACTGATGGTGGATGATTTACTAGCTTTGAACCTTACTTACTAGTTCCATGAGTCAACATTAATCCTCTCGCCACCATGTGATTGTGACACCGTACCATCTGCAGCTCCCAAATCGAATCCGCTCACGCCGGCCTCCACTCGTAGTGATGCGCGCCCTTCGTCGCCTTTCCCGGATCCTCACCCTTGACATTCGCCTTGTCGAAGGCGTGCGCCCCAAAGAAGTCCATCTCCGCCTCCATGAACTGCGTCGCGAGCATTGTGCCGCCCTCGTACTTCAGGTATTCCAAACTCGCGCTCAGGCTCGGGACGTAGTTATCCCACTCCGTCCCCTTAAGCACCACCTTCTTCAGGGGCTCATAGTTCTTGTGCAGGTCCGCTGACACCTCATCGATGAGCTTCATGTTCATCATACGCTCGTTTGAGGATTCGAAGATCGGCTGCAGCATGTTCGCGATGTGGTCTTCCTGGATGATGCAGCCAGCGCGCCAGATTTGGATGCAGGTGGCGAGGTCGATGTTCCAGTCTTCGTCTTTCGAGGCACGGGCGATCAGCTCGAGTCCCTGGCAGAAGGCGCAGAGAAAGGAGGCATAGACGGCTTTGCGGAGGTCCTCAACGAAGGCCTCCTTATCGACGTCGGAAGCTTTCTGTGGCTGCGGCATCTTGAGCTTCTTGGCGACTCTGAGGCGCTGTGCGCGGGCGCCGCTGGCGACGCGGAAGAAGTGGCCGGTTGCGATGGTGGGTGCGGAGATGTGGCGGCGCGCGGCTTCCATCACCGTCCAGTATAGGGTGCCTTCGCTGTCATCGTCATCCTGGACGACTTTGAGGGTATCAGCATGGGAACGATGGCTTTGGATCAACGAGGAAAGACTTGCCTTTGTCGAGGACGTCGTCGAGGACATGCTCTGACGGGTCGCCCTTCTCTTCGCCGTGCTGGTCGCCTTGGGGCGATTTCTTCCTCGTGCAGATCTCCGAGGCGATCTGAACGAGATAGGTGCCCTCTAGTTCACCCTCGGAGTTCCACTTCTCGAACACCTTGCCGATCTCGTCGAGCTCCATGCCAAGAGACTTATGCATGAGGCTCCAGGCTTCGCACACCGTTGAGAGCATGCCATTCTCGATGCCGTTGTGCACCATCTTGACGAAATGTCCTGAGCCGCGAGGCCCGATGTTGGCCACGCATGGCTTGCCAGACTTTGGGTCCTTGGCGGCGAACTTTTCCAGCAGAGGGAGGACGGTGTTGACAGCTTCCGGATCACCACCGGGGGACATGCTCGGACCACGTCGAGCGGACTGGTATCCCCCTGACACTCCCATACCAATCCACTTCACGCCCTTCGATTCCAGCTCCTTCTGCCTCCTCTCAGTGTTCTTGTAGTTCTCGTTGCCGCCATCAAGAATGATATCGCCCTCCTTCAGGTCATCTTTGATCTTGTCGAGCACCGAGTCGGCCGGGTAACCATGCGTTATCGAGAAGATGAAGACCTTTCTCTCTGCATCCTTCAAGCTCTTCACAAACTCGTGGATGTCGTGGTATCCCTTGACCTCGCCTTTCAGGTTCTTCTCATTCTTCGCCATCTCCAGGGCTTGATCCACGTTCTCGCCCGATATGTCCCAGAGAGAGACGGCCAAGCCTTGCTCAGAGAAGCCGAAGGTCATCTCGGTGCCCATGTTGCCGGCGCCAACGATGCCAATATGTTTGATTTGACGCAAAGGATCCGCCATGTTGAAGGTTTGACTGCTTGCGTCCTAGACAGAGTGGTACGAAAATTGAGAGGGTTGGAACTGAGATAAGTGGAAGTTATGAAAGACGGCGCGCAAGTAGCTCAAGGGTCCGCGATGAGGTATCTCTGACTTCATCACGCAGACGGCACAGGCGTGAAAATAGACGAGAAGGAGCAAGTGCAGCACTTACGGTGCAGAATTTACGCTTACAAGGACCGGCTATGGAGTTCCTTCCTGACTTGAGCCTGATAGCGGCATCCCGCATGATGTCTGAGCATTCATGACGAGCTACCTGTAGGACTGAAGGTAGTCGAGCACCGTTGGCGTGAGGAGCCAGGCGCATAGCTTCCGATGGTGCTTCTTCCCAACTATGGAGTTATGGCCTGTCTCTCATGCACAGATCTTCTTCTGTACTGACCAATTTCCTCCTCTTACCCACCTGCTCAGATGCGCATGTCAAAGCTGCCAAGGTGTGCTATGGACGCTTGACGCAGCCCAAAAAGCTTCGCCGTTTCGGCCCGCACTCGAGGGCTGACACCGCCCGCCGATCCACCACCAACCCCAGCATATCCCCAATGCGAGCATGCCAATCTGCATAGAATGTAGATACCCCGTTAAGACTCTCTACACCACCTACAGCAAGGCCGATGACCGGTCACTCGGCAAGGGCGTGCGGCTGACGCAGTGTCCGCGCTGCAAGCGCTTCGCCGACAAATACGTCGAGCATGACTTTGTCGTGCTGTTTATAGATCTGGTGTTGATCAAGCCGCAGGTATGCAATCACGCTAAGGAGGTTGCTGCCGTTTAGCTAATTCGAGTGTTTAGGTCTACCGCCACCTCCTGTTCAACCGGCTCGGCCGCGAGGATGGGCGCTTCGACGTATAGCTCTCCCTTCCGACCCACTGTTACCACAATTTGCTGACCATGCTCTCGCCCAGCCCTCAATAACCCGCCTCGGCATCCTCCTCCTCCTCTTCGACGTCTACCTAACCTGGGCGCGCATCGAGAAAGCCTCGCCCGGATCCACCACCCCCACCACCGTCGGCGGCCCCTCCAACCCCACCAACGCCAACCACTTCTCCTCCCAGCCCCTCGTCCTGCAATACCTCTTCTTCCTGCTGCACTGCTTCCTCAGCACGCTAGCCTTCCACCTCCCCATCCGGCTGCTCTGCTCACTGCCGCCGTCAGTCCCGCGTCTGGGGTTATTCCCCTACTACCCGCATCCGACGCCGCTGAGCACGGCGCTGCTGGTATCCAGCTGTACGAAGCTGTTTCCGATCCTGTTGATTGTGTGGGAGTATGATCTGCCGAGCAGCGCGACGGCGGTCAGCTGGGCGGTCATTGTCAATAACGTGGCGGCGCTGGAGATCCTGATGGACTGTGGGTACATAAGGGCCGGGGTGTTGGTGGGTGTGGGAGCGGCGGTGAGGGCGGCGGTTGGGTGGGCTACACTGGGATTGGTGGGACTGGATGGTGAGAGGCTTGGGATCGGGAGTTTGTTGTTGTGAATCTGGGGGTCGCTGAGACGGGGGCATGGTCTGTGTGCCGGACGCCGTGGCGGGACAGTCAATAGAGTTCTTATGGAAAAAGACCTTGTCCTTGATGACACATCTATGATTCAACGCCCGCACGATGTGGCAACAGCCCTATAACGCCAATGCCTGTACACGACGAGTCGCTCAGAACGGTGCCAGGGAGCACACACCGTCCCCAGCCGCTCCAGACGTCCTTCGCAGATCTATGCCTCCGTATCATACGCCTCAGAAGCCTTGGCCCCCTCCCTTCAGGCAGTATCTCCCCTCCCCCTGTCCGCTCCCTCATACCCTCCAGCCCGATCAAAACATCCCATCCGGCCCATGGTCCACCACCCTCGGCCTCAGATCGCCCCGCTCAGGCCTGATAAGCGGATGCCACTGCGCCAGAAACGTCACCGCCCACATGATGTAGCAGGACCAGGCCGAGAGGATGAGGGTGGAGCGCCAGATACTATGTCCACATTAAACGTCAGCGAGATTCCTTGCAGCTTTATGGTCTGCGCCGACGACGCGCTGGGGCAATGGGGCTGGGAAGCGTGTGGCTGGGGCGCATGACGGGGAGAGGAATACGCCGGTAGTGAGGACGAAGTTGGGGTGAGAAAACAGGTGGATGGGTGTGAAGAGAGCACGCACGTTTGGTTCTCCCCCTTCGGACTTGCGAACCAGGCGACGGCGCAGAAGACGAGGATGAAGATGAGGCCGACGAGGAGGCTCCAGCTAGCGGACTTTGTCAGCTATTCGTTCTCTCTTGGGCGGGGGAGAGAAGAGTACCCGTTTGCCATCGTGCTCGAAATTTATAGTAGTATTGTATTGTGTTGATTTGGCTGCTGGCGGGCTTTGGAGACGCCGTTCGCGATGCTCGATGCAGTGATGCGTGACGTTCGCCATCCGTGAAGCTCGAGCGGCTTGTGCACGTGACTGGCGTTGAGGGTTTCTTGGCTGTTGCGCTTTCTTTTGCACGGGCTCGCCAGCCAGCCCCTTGTCAAAATATTAGGGGAAGAGTGCCAGATGAATTTGATGCCATGAGTGGCTGTGTTAACTTGATATCGGGCATTTTCAGGCTCTCAAGACGCCAAACCGTAAAACGCGGTACGGCATCGATCTTGTAGCTTAATCGTGTAGAGTGATCGCATGTAAACTCAAGTGCAGCTCTAGAGAAGCTTGAAGGGCAGCTTCTTCTTCTCCTTCTTCGTAGATCTCACTCTGTCACGAAAACTGCATGTCAATAACCCCTTCACTATCCCTCCAACACTTCTCCAGCACCCCAAAAGCAACGCACTCAGGCAGATTAGCCTAAACAGGCTTAAATATCCAATCGCCTCCCGGTCCCCAACCTTCACCCCCCCGCCCCCTCTCTTCACTTCTCACCATC